TTCTGTATTTTGAAGTTTTTGTAAACGTTTAGACTGATTTTCCCCCAAAACAGTCCAAACTTTGCAACGATAATTGAAACATGGATACGCATATTATATAGCGTAAATAAGGCTGTGATCGCTCATTCCTGTGTGAATAACACCTCTACTTGAGATTTTATTTAGTTGATTTTTTATTAAATGATCAATTAGTGTGGAGCATGACTTGGTCATTCTAGTTGGTTCATTTATTCGTTGAGATAATTGGTAAACTTAAGCAGTGATGTTAGTTTCTTTGTTTGGTGATCACTATTTAACTTAAGGCTCTTTTTCACTAATACCAAAGTGCTCTCGATGCAAGCTTGTGAGTCGGTTCGCGCGATCAAAAAATTTTGTTCATATAATTTAACTATGCTTCAGATCATGGTAAGCTCGCTGCGAGTAACTCGCAGGCACTCGCAGCGAGCTTGCAAGTACGTTTTGCTATGAGTGGAAAAGAGCCTTTAGAAAGGTCACAGAGTTTAAGTCTCCCAGAAAATAAAATTTTTTGTATTCATTGTCAATTTTTTGTAAGAGATCTTCAAAATGATTGAAAAACTCAAATGGTGTGTCAGGTAGTCTGTAAACTGTAAAACAATAAAAGGTCTACTGTGGGGTTTATTAATTTCAATACCTTCAACACCAGCTGGCATAAGATCTAGTTAAGCATTTAGTTTGTTCTTGTGTTCCATTTGTTTGTCTGCCAGTTCTACAGCCAACAAAGATACGTATTTTTGTCCAGTTTTATGGACCCAATAATTTGCATAGTCCTGCTGAGCGGAAGAAAGCGCTGTGTGGAGACATACCAAATACCTTAGCCATATAGCAAACTTTCACAATCATCGAAGCATATCAGAATTACATGAAGCTTTTTTTTGTAGTTGTAGCTGGTAATCGAATTAGAACATGTGTTTATTTGATTGTATTCGTCGTATATATGCCAGACGCAGAATTGCGACTTATTCAAACCGCACACCTTTTGTGGCAAAGACTGAAGATTGTGAATATGAAAGCTTGCTTCCACGTCATCAAACAGTTCAAATTGAACATTTATCTCCTCATTCACCTGCTATTGATTGTCAACAATCGACAACGTTAAAACGTACAGCAAATGATATCAACTACAATGTAACAAGAGCTCCAAGTTATGCTTCTCAGGCTAAATCAAAACCGAATGAAAAACCGCAAACTGTTTTCAAACCAAATTTGGTGAGTGATTTTAAAAGAAATGAAAAGGCGAATTCATATGACAATGATAACGGTAGAGCCTCCAGCACTATTGTTGATCGAAAAGAACAAAGACGAAGAGCTGCAGAGTTTGAATATTCTCAGAATAATACTTGCTACACAGTATTGCCTCGTAAAATTGTGACTTATCACTTGAAAACTTTTAGTTTAAGATTGACAAATCCCCCTAAGGATAGGCATTTTAGAGCAGAAGATAACATTCTATACCACAACCAAAGGACTGAATGTCATGTTGTCGTTCATGACCAGTACAACGCAGAAATTAATATAAAAAAGGCTCAAGTAAGAAGCGATTCACGACAAGTTTATTTTGGTAATGTCAAAGCTCTGAAACATTTATACTTCAACATTAAATGTGATGTAACAGGAAAGATTTCTATCATCTTAAACATTAACGACAGTCACGTTCTTACAAAGGACTTCATTGTATCATTTAACCCATGCTCAACATCGTTGTCAGAAATGACCATCCATAAAATTGATCTGACATCAAAGGAATTTACTTATCGACTTCATCTTTTTGATGTATTTGGTGTTGAAGTACCAATGAATTCGAATGCATCTTTTCGCCTACATGAATGTTTCTCTTCTAGCAACAATGGTAAAATATTGGAAGTGTGTAAAGTCTCAGACGATGAAATGTATCAGCTATGCTATGATATTAGAGTGACAGGAGAACGACCTTTGTTAAGTAATTTTCAGCTTCACATAAATGGTGACTACGTGAATGTTGCACAAAAATACAAGTTTACTCAAGAGGAATTGGAGGAAATTGATAAACTTGAAGATGACGAACACGAGCTGGCAGAAGAAGTTTTTCTTGATGACAACGACGAATTTGCTATACCTTTGACAAATGGCAAAGACGAAGGGCGTTTTGTGGCATATGATGAAGATGATTGTAAACTTCAATTGCATAATGGAAAGAACTACAAACTTGTTTGTAGAAATATCACAAAACACGATATTATGACTTCAAACGGGATGAAGGACTTCGCGTATATAAACAATATCAAAAGAGTGTTACAAATAAACGATCGTTTGGAGATTGAGCAATTTTCAGATGGCGTTATTATACATCTTCCAAATGCAAAGAGAGAATTACTGAGAAGTTCAAAGAAGTTAGTGGGTTATCTTCTTTGTGGTTTGTATTACAGACGAAAAGCATCTGAAATTGCCAAAATTCGAATGATTTGGAAGAACAGGTTGAATACTATCAATGACATCATATTGTTGACTCCGAAATCTCCAAGCCATGCTCTGTGTATGTATTTTAAAGATTTCTTTGGTGCATTAATGAATCAATATAATCGAGCTGCGTGTGACAAAATATTTACATTTTTCAACATTTGTCGATTGAAGTGTGAAGTTGATCTTCATGGTCTTCTTGTTGCTGATGAAGAAGCACTGGAACAACTGAGATTGAATTTGATGATCGCACATTTAAACCGCGATGTTGTCGTTGCTATTCTTCAAAGATACAATATTTTCTGCAGGAAAAGAGGTCGGGAAAAAATGATTTTGAGACAAAAATTTAACATAGGATCGATACCTAACAGTATCATTGAAATGTCGTATGAAAATCAAATGCCCAGCAGTGATGATAGAAAAGATGTGGAAACCATTATAAAAGAGTGTAGAAAAGAAAGTGATGAAGCTATTCGTAAACTGGAAGAGTACATAGACAAATATAATGTTGAGGAGGCAATGCAAAGTAAAACTCCTTGGTTAGAGATCATTGTTGGCGCTGGTCGACATGGAAAGATACCAAACAAGCAAAATATTCGACCCAAAGTTGAAAAGTTCCTTGAAGAAAGAAAATTAAACTTTGCATTAGTAAACAAAGGCTCGCTTGTTATCACATATAAAAGATATGAGGGTCCACAGCCTTGCTTTGGTGAGTATTATTGTGCTAATTGTGACCGTTTTTGGTCAAGTAGCAAAAGTTATGTTGGGAAGTATCAGAAATGCAAAGATTGCCGAGAAGACTGTTGGCCAGTAAAACAACGAGAGAAAAAGATAGTTTCTGATTATTCTCGTGAAGGCAAAAGACCTAGGAAATGTCAAAATAGGCGTCATGAATCAAGTCTTTGTCAACAATGTCAGGATTTAGGTCGTCCTTGTAATGAGTATGACAGTGATGAATCAGATTATTAAAGAGATTGAAATCAAGAGTCAAGTGTTGGACGTGTCAGATAGTTTTGCGTATTTTTTTATTTACACGCTTACATACTAAAATTCACAAATTATAAAGAAACTTTCAAAGAACTAGGTCCAGGTACAAAATTTTTTCACCGTACACATGCAAGGGAAGTAGTACTATTTCACCGTACGACTAATTTATACTTATTGGGGGACATTTTGAAGCGTCATTTTAGCAAGATAATTTGTACTTCGATCACATATTTTTGCCATAGTTACAAAAAATTAAGATGGAACTGTAGATTGGTTTGTGAAATACAACCACAGTTTTGCCAATGTAATCTTAATTTAGTAGATTAATAAATTGATACCTATTAACAAGTTCTTTAAGATTTATTCGATGAATTTGCATTATGGTTTAGAGAAAAGTTTTCTTTTCATTGTAAGCTTGATTTGTAGATTACTATACACATAAACTGAACAAATGAACGTAACAAACAATAGATGCGTATTTTAGATTGTCCGCATGCCAAGACAACGCTTATCACAAATATGCAATTACTTTCACTTCTGTAGTGGTTTTGCTTTGATAGCTGAGTCACTAAAGGTTATAGCTAAAATGTTTGATAACGCCCATTAAATTATCAAGTTAGTGTTTACTGTCGTATTGTATTAAAAACTGAAGTGAATATGAAAATAAACGCTATCGTCTTATACTATACATAGTTTAATAATTTTTTATTGTCGACAAGGAAAGAGATGGCTGTACGTAAGATAATAAGATGTACGCCATTTATGGATAAATTGGATCGTTATGACTTTCATTATTTCTGATATTTCATTATTAATCATGACGCTTGGACATCATAACAATACCGAGAATTTGAGCAATAAACAACATTCCTTTATTGGAAAATCGTTGATATCCTTGTGAAATGTACACAAACAAAATATGCTGCATTTAAATTGTCAATGATGAAACAGCTATACAGCCTATACTGCAGATATATACAAGACATTTCAAGAACATCTCGCTGTGATCTACTTTTTTGGCTGATATTTGTTGGATTGACAAACCTTTAATTGATTATATATTGTATCTTCAATTAATAATTACGTAAAGATAAAGTGATAAAATACAATACGTAAGTCATAAGCATTTGTTGAGAATTACTCACCGACTTTCCGGTATCGAGTACAAATACATAAGTAACAATAACGTGTGACGCAAGTGTCGGTTATTATCATGTTAACATGAGAAAAAAATCTACATTATTCAGCAAAATCATTTCGCCAATGACGTAGAAAACTAAAAATAAACACATTTAACAACATGATACCATCCTGACGTACTTTAAAAAGGTGTGTTTACTTATGTCGACAAGATTATCCGAAGCTTTCGCACACAACATTAAATAAGTTGTTTTTTTGATGTCAATAACTACTCACAAGTACGAAGAAACATTTTTTGATGAGATTTAAACAATCAAATATTTGGTCTGGAATTCTTTTCTGGTGACGTATGTGAGCTCGAGAACGCCAGTACAGGGGTGTGAGGGTTTAGAATCATAGTCAATAATGGATAGCAATGATGATTTTCTACCATAATACGAGTATGTATGGTAATGGCATTCATTCGACTAGGACTGGCATTTGGTACCAGTTTATGACTAACTACCAAAGGATTAGTTCTTACATAACATACAATAAACTTTGCAACCACTTTGAAATATGGTCTTGCATGCATCTAGAAATTGTTTCAACATCAACCATGATCTGCCGAGCAAAAAAAGGAAGTTTTATAGCTTAACCCTATGCTGGTTTTTGGAATTTTTTAACCTTGATTTATGCTAGAATGTAGAAATTGAGCCACATTTTGAGCTGTTTGCTAAGGCAAACTTCATCATGATGTCGAGTAAGTTAATATAGCTTGGTAAAAATTTCTTCTATTTTTTAAGTTGTAAACATCGAAGTAATAGTATAAGAAAACTTGTTCTGATTAGAGTTGAGTGGTACATCAACTATGCTGACATGTATATGACTTGTATAAAGCAGAAAGGGATTCATGAGACCAATAAGCCAATTTCCCATTCTTCTTTGTTCCTGTTATTATACCGCCAAGAAAATCCAACGCGCTTATGACGACTTACTTACAATTAACTAATGACTTCTTTGTTTTTCCAAACTTCTTTACATGTTTATCCTGGAGACGCCGTTAACCGGTTGCTGAAGAAATATCCTATTGATAGAAGCTCCTTTTCTATTTATAAAGCTCATCTCTGTAAAGTCACTCTTCTTTAAAGCTTCTCATGACGACGTCTGGGCGTTATTTTACATAGTTTACAAATACCAACTTCTGAAATAAATTAAAGTTTTGAAAAATGACAAATAAAATTTTACCCACATTTGGGTGATTTATCTCATAATTTTGAAGGGGTCCTACCCCTCCCCTAAGTTGCTGTGACAGCACTTTCTACGTCCATGCAAACTTCACGACCGTTCGCAATATTTAGAGAAAAAAATTATGTGATTATTATGATACACTTTTAAGTATTCTAGTAAAAGTTTGTTTCTTCAAAAACATATTTTCTGAATTTTTTTCTTTCAGCTGATATAGCCTGCTATCGCGCACTTTGCTTCATAGACGTCTACATACAGTGAAATATACATTTGATTGGTCTTATACCAAATAAGTATGACATAAAACGTAATCCGGCGTCAGGAAAAGTGATTCTGCACAGATTAGTGTAATTTGCATTGAATTTGCTTGATCACGCTGACTTGATTTATTGGAAATGCATTTGTCGATCTCTACCAATTTTTCAATAATCTACGTGTATAGTATAAGTCACGATGTGCTTTTTTTGTAATATGCAACCAGTATATATTTTCAAATTTCATTTCAGAACCATTCAAGTCGTTCTGCTGCGTAGACATTTCGTCGGGACTTTATTTTTTCTGCAACATTATTCTCGGAAATGATTGTTTTCCTGTGATGCATACTTATGTTTTCATAAGAAATATATAGCCATCCAAAGGGCATTTGTCACTTTAAAATCAAATCCCTCACATTCTCACTCTTGAATGTCGCCGACTTATAGTGGACACTTTAAACTAATCGAAATGAAAAACAAATTACATCCCTAATTATCTATATCACCATCAAAATTAAGACATGGAAAATGGGGGCTTAGACATAGCATTTTTAAGAACTATTTTGCTAAACTCACGATAACTGATAGTTCTTCCAAAGATTATACTTATATACGATTTCATCAATCTAATGGTTGCCAAAAGTCGATAGCTACTGTTAACAATTTTGTCACACGTATTCAGAAAAATTTCGATAAAAAGCTGCGTTATCTTAATATATTGTATATTAATTATTACTTTATATCACTTAATATATTCTTACTTCAATCTTAAATTTTCATTTCCAGTATCAAGTCCTTTTATAGATTCGCAGACTGCAATTTAAATCTTTGGTAATTTTCGTTACAACTTTACAAAATTTATTTCACAACCAAAAATCCTAAAAGATAATTCAAAATGATGATTTTTGTGAGTTAATTTTTATTTTCAGCAAGTTAAGTTTGACTTGGCTGCGGCTATTTCAACACTTAATTTTAGGAACACAAGAAAAGATTAAAATCTCCACTCAACTTGCATACTTATTAATTCCTCTTACATTCTGGCATGACCTATATTTTATTATTTTAAGTCGCCGTAATTAATGATGTCAAAAATTTTACCCTCATGATTCATTAGCTCACCTGGTGTTGTTTAATAACTTTAATGCACATATTTGTCAATTTTCATTGAATGACATCAAAGACCATTCTCAGTTGGAAAGCGCACGCTTCTATATTAACAATTACTGTGCATGACAACTTTTATATCAAACAACTGCTGAGCTAAACAGAAGCCTGTGGTTCAGTTCTCAATATCCGGCATGAAAATTACCAAATTTTTGTGTTATTATTAAACTGCACTTTTTGTCATTTGTGGTAATATTTTAACCTATGCCTGTTTTAAAACTTGACCTTTCGTGATGATAGAAATAGATCTAACCTAACATATGTTTAGTTTGCATATCAAATTGCTAACGCCATTGCGTTGTGGCCTGTGGCCAGTGGCGTATATGTATAATACTGGCTTAATGATTACGCTCCTTGTCCTTGAAGAGGCATTTTCAGAACTTTTGTCGTAGTGTATGAACAACGCTAAAGCGAAGAAAGCAATTATGTGAGTATTTCCTGTTCTTCTGACTGTAAAAGCATTCATTAAGGTCTCTATGTCATAATTGTCATAATTAAGACACTTCCGTCCGAATGCGTCGTTTGTTGATTTGTGAGAATGTGATTTTATTTCTTTCAACAATTTTAATTGTTGTGAAATTACAAAATGGCTAAGAAAATACTTTACAAGCAAATTTATTTCCATCGTTGTCTGTGGTAATCAATAAAATATTATACTTTATTATAGAAAAAACTAAAAACTGTATGATCTTTAACATCATTTAGCGCATTCAACGTTGTTACATATGAGTTGTATCGAACGTGGGCTTGGTCTTCTCGTTGTTGAATACACTAGAATTCTTCTGCACGTCATGATTTATAAGAGTAGTCGCAGTTGTGCTGGATAGTGGCCAACTATATGCAAACAATTAGTGAGTGAACACACAACAGTTTGCACTGCATGACTAAATAATCGACGTGTGGCTACGCAGTAGTGATTGCTCAGTGTTTGTTTCTAATTTCATTCTGTTTAACTCAATGTAATATCTATTATTATGAAATCACCCAAGCTTTTTTTCGCTAAATATAATCATAATTTTTTAACTTCAGAGAAAGGCTATGATTCGTTCTGGAGTAATTCTAGCAATAGCGCACTACCTTAATTTACATATTTTGCGCAAATGTAGGCATTGTAGGGCAGGATTTATGTAATAGCATGTTTGTTAAATTCATAATGAAAAGAATAATCAAAATCGACTGACTGATTTGTTTAAGATGGTGGTAAGTTATTTTCAACTCGCAGAAATCATATAATGTAACATTTCACAGTTATGTACAACTGCTAAGTTAACAATTGAAAAAGTGTAGAAGTCAAAGCATATAAGGTAGCATTTAATAAGCAGACAGCGGCACGCGGCTATGACCGTAAATTGACATCACTAATGGCCATTATTCGTGCGTTGACATGTCTCTCCTGATGATCACAGCAAGACAGAATACATCACGCAACAAAACTGTTGCAAATGTTATCCTTCATTAATACTTGAGAGGTTTATAGATTTGCAAAAGATACCGGAAATAGTATCCAAAAGACCGGCTATCCAGTACCTACTACATTCTGTTTTTGTCATTAAAGTCTTAGACTTACTGACGTTATGTAGACGCCAACCTAAATTCCTGTTGGACGAAGGTATGTAAAGGAGAAGAAAGAACTGTTATCACTTTTTTAGATTCGAAATAACTTGTAACACCCACTTCCCTCGTTTAAAGCCGCAGGGTGTTAACGGCAGATATATAAAGAAAGTTCAGCGTCCTCTCATTACATTTGATCAACTAATCGTACTAGTGAAGCTCAGCCTTAACGTACAAAACATGAATTCTATGACAATTGTATGTTGTATTGCATGTATTTGTTTTGCTAGCACCAGTGCAAGCTATGTCAGGAATATCTTCCGAAAAACGAACAACGTCATGAAGGATATTGGTAGAACACAATTGGATGAAACTCAAGACTCTGAAGACCTTTTTCAAACTGAAAAATGGACATGGAAACCAGTAGGCGCTGACTGGAATGGAGTTGAAAATGCACATGCTTGGCAATACTTTGGAAACGTTTCAAAATCGGATGAAGAAGAGAGTTATAATGAGCATGAAGTTGAGACGGAGGTCGATCCTTTCACAAACATGACTTTCATATTTTCCCCTTCAAGTCCAGGGATTATATTTGGTAAGAGGAATAAAACGGTGGAAAAAGCGCATTTGGTTTTTGAAGGTCAATTAAAAACAACGAATTGGTGCTTCAAAGCGTATTACACAAAAGCATCTAAAAAATATAAGGTGAGGTTCTTCCATAATGCATTTAAAAGTACGTATATGCATGTCTTATTTAGACAATTGCTAGATAATTATTTCGTTAATCAGGTTGATATAAGACAGAACTCTACATCACATACAGGAGACAGGTTTCCGCTCAGTGCATGCTTTGAACAAAAAATACAAGGTTTAAAATATTTGATATTTTGTCATCAATCTTCACATGCAAACAACTGTGAAATTACGCTTTCCAGAAAAGAATCTCGAGAATTGCCTTTATGGTTATTCATAATATATCATACTGAACAGTTCATAAATGGATTTACAACTCAAAACACGTTGAAAAGAAATTTATTGGTAAAATTTTGCTCTTAAGAACTTCATAGCCCAAAGTATTGTGATAAAAGTATAATTTGAGAGTAAAATAAAGCTAGCTACTGTAATATTTGTTTTGGCCAACGTTGCAATACAGGCAACACTTTTGGGGTACAACAAATATTTAATTTAGCAAATCTTCCTAAAATGAGTAATAATGAGTAATAGTTGTCGCTGTAGAATCACAGTTATTAAGCTGTTGAATCGGAAGTTCGGATTTCCTAATACGAAAGAATCCATGTAGCAGAGAATTCAATCATTTCTTAGGAAAATTGACATCTTGCTTTAATTTTATAAAAGAATTTCGGTTGAATTTCAAAGCTGCCCACGTCGGTATGCAACAAACTAATCTTTAAATCCGTCAAAATGTTCGTGCAAGGATAGATTTACGTATGATAAATAGCAAGTAAATTGAAGTAATTGAGTTAAAATCTTTTTTTTTTAATATGTTTTTGACATTTTTTGTTGCTAATGAGTAAACGCATAGAGGAACTTCAAGTGGAATCATGGAAATTCGGTCTTCCGTACATTTTAACGACTTGTGATAGACTGCACGGAAAGAAGTCTTATAATTAAAGTTACCAAATTGTCGTGAGAGCCAATTAATCGCGAAGTCAGCAGTTTAACTGCAGGCTTGTTGACACTTCTGCTTATAACATGGATGTGGCGGTCACGTTTAAGACGTAATAGATAGTGAAAAATCGATTACTAAATTTGCTAATTAGGTAAAAAATTAATTATTTAATGAAATTACCTATTCTTTGATACAGAAAACTATGAACTGCTGTAAAAAGTTAAGAAAGTGCCAAAAGAAAAGACACGTTAAAGATGGAATTTTCGATTGCTCGTGTGCTATATATTTTAACATCTGTTTGAAAAAAGCCAAGACAAACATGGCCAAAACCATTGAAAAAATGTACTTCGATCGAAATATTGTTTGCTACAAGAAAAATCACAATTGTGGAGCGGATGGAAAGTGCGTAACAAACTTTGCATACCAATGGAAGATTATCTATCGATACCTTGGATAAACTTAGTAATCCCAGTAATTTCCGAAATGTTAAGAGTCTATACTTTAGGATATATACAAGAGGTTTACCATGGTGTTAGATTTGAAACTCGCTGGAACACACATACTGTTAGGCTGTAAGCTAACACAGAACTACTTTTTGTAGATAGTTCTAACTGAGATTATGCTTAGAACGTCAAATAATAACTAAAGAATATGTTCAGAGTTTATTAGCCAAATTTGACAAAGTAAATAGACAAATTAACCTTTTCAAACAAATTAATTCAATAAATATATAAGTCGCTTTAGTTCAAATTATCAAATCAGTTAACAATTTTAATGTCGTTATCACGAGTTACACATTTTATCCAATCACGTAACAAATGGTTGTCATGGCTTTTTCCACAACATCACAGTGTGAGACTGAGTACTTCAACTTCAAGACGTTTTTAGCATATAATAGCATTCAATGCGTCAAGTGTTAAGTGCTTTGCGATTGGTTGCAATCATCACAGATAAGTCTCTTAAGCCACTTAAAAAAGGCTGTATAATCTTATGAACTATTTTCTTCTTCCTATCAAACACCCTTACCCACAAAACACTTAAACATATACAGCTATCAACTTTAATACACATGTATTTTTGATTGTTTTCGTGAATAAGCGATCACAGGGAATTCAGAAGGAGATACAGAGCAAATGCCGTTTGATGCAAACACTTCAGAAGCCAAAGAAAAGAGAAACGGTAGAAACCAACTACGTTTGAAAAAGCTCCAGAATTATGAAGCAACTTAGCAAGCATTTAATTAAAGTGTTATCACAGGGAATATAACAGGAGTCTCGGCGATATTATTAAATCTTAAGATCGCTAGCTGTCTCAATTAGGTAAAATGAAAATGTTAATTGAATAAAATTAAAAGTATTTCAGTAATGAATGAACCCTGAAGTAACACTTTAAAAAACAATTATGATTCGTGTTGAGGTGAGAACAAAATTGAAATTCCCAAAATAGTAACGTCATTGGAATGAAATCATAGATAATCCCAAATGCACGTCAAGTGCTTTTGCATCAACCAGTCATTTCGTCTCTGCCGGACAACTTATCTTTTTATTATTTGTGAAAACTAAAATCACCACTCGATTTTATTATATTTATAATCTGTCATTTAAGTTTGATGATCCCCAAAATCTGGCATCAAAATCTTTTTGAATACAGGAGGAAGAAAATTGGCGTGCTTATACATAGTTTTATATTGGCGAAATGGATACTATAAATCTATAAAAATGACGTAATTTCGACGTCGTCCACCGTCAGCTTTCACTAGTAACGAATCTCTTATCACACTAAATGAACTAATATAGTTATATCAGTTGATATTCTCTTGTCAGAGAACATAAATACGTTAAAAAACAACAAAAAATACTTGCAGTAAAGCTAAAATGCATGAAAGCAAGCATAAAGCTGGAATGTTTTACCAACACAAGCAAACAGAGAATGATATAAGCATTTCTCATTTGTAGGATTATATTTACACGCACTCACGATTCGGCTTAGTAAAGAAGCAAAAATTACGATGGTTTCCAAGACTCTGGTTCGTATTTTCCTGTATCATTTTTCTTTTGTTGATCCAATTGTTTTCCCCATACTCCAGGTTGAAACTGACCACCTGAAGTTCTGGGTCCTTTTGAAGACTCAACATTTCCATAAGTTGTCGCAGAAGCATGACCTACAGGCTTAGCAACGAGGCCAGCTGAAATGGAAAAATATCAATTGCATAAACCACACTCAATAATCTTTATAATTTCAAAACGATATCAAATCTTTTGAAAGTAACTAAAATTTGTTCGGTTGAAATTGTGCAGCGTCAGCATTTCTCTCGTTATCGTAATAAGGTGCACATTTTTAAAAAATAAAAGTTAATTATGTAATACCTACAAATTATGTTAGTAGTATGTGGGGGGGAAATTTGATGGAATTCAAGAGGAAATTGTTGAAACACTAAACAAATAATCTCACTGTCTTGGTGTGAAAACTACCTTTAATGGTATAAAGAGTACCAAATATGAAATACCTGAAAGTGTGACGTAATGTATTTATTGTCGTGTTAATTATACGTGTTTTTTTCACTCGCTATTACGATAGATGAATCATGCTATCACGTTGAGTTTTCCACCTTTATCTGGCATCTAGCCACAAGTCCCAGAACACTAAGTGTGGGTGTGGGTACTAGGATGGTGGTAGGGATGGGTACTACGATGGTGGTAGGGGTGGGTACTACGATGGTGGTAGGGGTGGGATCTGGGATTGTGACAGGGGTGGGATCTGGGATTGTGACAGGGGTGGGTACTACGATGGTGGTAGGGGTGGGTACTAGGATGGTGGTAGGGGTGGGAAACTACAATGGTGGTAGGGGTGGGATCTGGGATTGTGACAGGGGTGGGTACTAGGATGGTGGCAGGGGTGGGATCTGAGATGATGGACAAGTACGATTCATGCATGGTTTTGGTAATATGAGCCCAATCCTTTTCAAAAAAGGTTAAATAAATAGGCAGAGGAGTATATATATGAATATATAAGACACAAAAATAAAGCCAACAATTAACCTGCATACTCTTCCTCTTGAAGCTACATAAAAATGGAGAATTCTGATTAAAAATATTGCAAAAAACTGACATAATTTTCAAACTGATATTGCTATCGCAATGAGAAACACAAACATACATGTATTCATACAAAAGTACCTTCATATCACGACGATTTAATTCAATTACTTTTTTTGAAAGCACAATTTGTTGCTGTTGCTTCTTAACAAGATCCTGAAAAGTTCACATTTATCTCAATAGTTGATATTTTGAAAAAGCAAAATACTTAAATGTATTACATGTTTTAGCATAATTGTAGTTTTAAAAATGGCAATTAAAGAGGAGTAAAAGCTGCAGAAATGGATTAACTTGGTTGTACTGGCAGTGGCAGTTTACCTACGAAAATTTAAATTAAGTGATAGCAGGGGTGAATTGTCAACTATTGCTCTATTCAAATCTTCAAAACTATACATCAAAACAGTCATTAGCAACATATTAAATGTTTTTTTAAAATTTTTTGAAATAAATTATATAAAGAATCAAAATTTTATTTATATAAAAAGTTATATTCATCCATAACTTAGCTTTATCTACATTATAATTTGCAATTACTGCACTTTGGCCAACTATGAAAGACAGAGAAACTTCTGTACAAATCAGTCTCTGTAAGAGTCTTATCATAAAATAATGAGAGCTAAGTCATACATATTCACCTCAAGTGAGGGTGGTTTATCCACTGATCCTCTTAACCAAGCTAATAATGAAACCAAGAAAAGTATAATCTCAAGATCCAATTAGAAAATATTTTCTTAGGAGTGTAATTGAGCATGCTATCAGTATACATTTCTACAATGTTTATTCAGTTGCATGTGCAAATATGTACAATGCATTCATTTTTTTCAATGTCTTCTTTGTCTTTGGTAATGGTAATACAATGCACTCGATCTCTTATTGAGGTACACTGGTTTTGTTTAATTATTCTCCCAGACAACTGCTTTTTTACAGAACTGGTGATCAAAACATTTCATTTCAACCAAAAACATTGAGCAGTCACAAAATTGCACTGTTCTTTCATAAAATCTCTACAAAAGAAAAGAAAGTATTTCTAAGATTATACCTTCCCATTCAACTGGAATCACACCAGCCTTATATTCTTCGTGTTTTAGTTTCATTACCACTTCTCGTCTTTTTTTACCACTACCACCTAAAAATATAATAATTTTATTTTTTTCAAGGGCTTAATATAAAAACAGACAAATTAGCAAGCATACAGCATACTGTAAACATGAGAACATTTTAAAGTTTTTTCGATTTCAACTATTCTTTTAACTGCTAAACAAGGCGCGATAAAACACCCAATACAGTGTGTAATGTAAATGGCACAATATTTCTTTTGCTGGCTGACAAATATTGTTGTATACTAACTTCAACACAATTTACAAACAATTTGCACTAGCTGTTTGCAATTAAAAATATATTGCATAGCTAGTGCACTGCAGGCAAAAAATAACATTCCTCTCTTCACCTTGAATCATCTCGTAGTATTTGTTACCATCAAGATCTGTACCAACAAGACGACGGGAAGAACGAAACAAAGAACGTAGCCATTGCATAATTTGAAAAAATTATCGTATAATTTTTAAATGGAGACAAATTAAAATTCTACGATTAACGCTTTAAAGGTTGTAGTTAAGAAATAAAAGATGTTTACACAGTAAACTTTACTGTGTTTGCACAATTGAGTTTGCACACGCTTATGCATACTGAGGAGAACTTTGGGAGAACTCGAGAGCAGATCAGTGCAAGCCCGAGACCGAAGGTCGAGCATGTGCAACCCTCAAACAGGTGCAACCCTCGACCTTTGGTCTCGGGCTTGCACTGATCTGCTCTCGAGTTCTCCCAAGGTCTCCTCAGTTTGCATAATCCTGTGCAAGGTGCAAACATAGTAAACATCTTTTATTTCTTGAATAGTTTCGCGTCATGCACGCGCTTTGTTATGTAAATATTGTATATTAATATATATCATATGATGCAACGGCTTCTGTCAAGTTTTATGGTTTGTTCGAGGGGCAACCGAGTAAATCCGTTATTACGCTTTAGGCCTAACTTTACTGATTGCCTGTAGTCATCTTTTTAGGTGTAACTTTTGTAACTGTATTGTGGCGGATATAAACAAATGTTGACTTCTGATTGAAAACAAACAGCTTGGCAACCATTTGACAACTAAGACATCACAAGTCAACAAACCTCAACAGGATCAGGGAACTGAAAAACTTCCAGGGAACTGAAAAATTTTCAGAGAACTTGAAAACATATTTCGTTTGATCAAGTTTAATTCAAAGAATAATTATACTTTGCAAACTGAAGGTGGGTGAGGTTTGGTTTGTAATCTTGCGCGATCTATTGTGACACTGTGCATTGTATGGACAGTTTCAGACAGCGTGTGGGGTTTTATACTACTTCTTTTGGTGAAATTCACTTCAGCAGAATCCTTAAAACCGTAGTCTCGTAGCCTCTTACATTACTCTAACTCCTCTACAGCCAAGTTCATTTTCTCTTGAATTTGATCGTGCAGTTTGTAGTTGCAATGTTTCCTCGATTTTAACTCAAACACGCTTTAAGTGAAACGCCTTGACAATTCAAACGTCATTTTACTTTCCCTTTTTAAAATTTTCCGGATATTCAGTAACTCAAATCCTTATTTCGAAACAAGGGGATAGGTAAAATCTAAGTTCGCAAAATTAGCACGTTTTTGTATAAATACAATTTGGCTTCAAAATATTCATATTGAATAATTTGCCTCAATAGCATTGCAACTATGATATTTGACGTTTACTCCTCATTTGATTCTGAAAGTGACAACCACTAAGGCTGTCGAAACATCAGTCAACAACAACAAAAATAGTCCTTATCGGGACTCTACTAACATGGATGATCTACATCTACAAACATGTAATAGAAATCATTATGAATATAAGAAGTCTTGTAATGCTTAGTTGACTTTACGCGTGAAACGATCTCCAATGGTTTGCAAACTTTTTATTCAGCTAATTTGGGTTTTGAGATTCCATTTTGTTTTACCGTAACATAAAATTCGCAAATTAACATGAATGTATCACTCAATTCAACCTCCTCTCCATTTATTATTTGACTTTTTTTGCATTTTTTTACCATTTTCAAATGTACGAATATTTGGTGCCATAAATCCATGTTGTGATGGTTTTTTGACTTTCAGTGTTTGTCACCAATAACTAACAACCAAAAATTTATGTAGAGCACGCATTTCTCCTAATTTCAAATTTGAGCAAGATTCCAAATTTGATCATAGTTTTTATTGACCAAAGATTCTTTACCAAATCAAGAAGGTGCAATTAAATCTTCATGCAAAATGACTGAATATTTGCTATCTTCGTTATCTACAACAATATGCTTGGAATCATTCCCATCAACGATGATGTAATCACCACCAAATTTAGTTTACATCTCTGCATAAGTTTAACATAGTCATACACAGGCAACATTTGTTATGATGTCAACTATCGCTTTTGTTCCCTCCTCAGCTGTAATGATTTTTTTTGCTTCGTGTCTTTCTGTTAGTTTATTACAATGTATTTTAAACTATATCAATGAAAAGCGAGTTCTCTCTAATAGAAACACGAACGCTAATATAAGAGTTATATTGGTCAGAACTAGCAAAGACTTTCTAATTCAGACATCATTGTAGTGTGATTGGAGCGTGTTGGATTGTTACTTATATATTGACAAAAGGAAATGTGTTTGCTATGCCAGTTCGAGAAATCACATTCTAATGCACCATTGTTCTGGAATTCAGAGTTATAGAATCCGACATCGGGCAGATGAACTTTTAAGAATCTTTGCTTCAATCATACAAAACTATAGCTTTGGTTGTGATGAATTATGCCATTTTAGAGGCCGTGTGTGATCTCACCCTAAGTTTACCCATTTCCCTTCAAAAAAAGATAACTGTTATGACGAACAGTTCAAATGTATTAAAAGCAACCAGTTGTGTTGAAACAATCCAATAATGGAATTTTTGGACACAGCACCGTCTTTTTGGCTTTTCCATGCAGTTCATCTTTTTAATTTGCTAATACTATGAAAAAATCCTTCAATAAAACATTAATGTAATTCTCTCATTTTATATATGTCAGAGATTGTATTCCTTACAAATATAATAGTATTGCTTTTTTTCCAACATGAAACCAGAGCATTTCTCACGATATAAAATAGTCCATAAAGTTACGATTAACCATTGACAATAATTCTTTCTTTGATATTTTCAGAATTGTTGACATAACTGGTTGGTAAAAGTCGATTGAAGTTGTTGCTGGAAATTGGACTCCCGAAGGGCTTAGTTTATATGGTAAACTTAGTAACTGCAAAATAAGTTTTTATCTTTATGGTAATGAACATGTAATGTCAGTAATTGAGAATGTTTGGTCATTGTTTTAGTGATGTTTATTATGGTTATTGAGTAATGTCTAAAGAATATTTGGGCTCTCAATTCAAATATTATTGGTATGTTCATCATCTTGAAATTGCTTTGCCTCATAATTTGCTAAATAATTTTTGCTGACATACGTAGGCTTGGTGTATGTGTCTTCATTGCTTTTGTCGCATGTTTCAAATGCCGTTGTAAGTCTAAAAATCGATTCACTAATGACGAATTTTCACCTCAACGCCTAATGTCACTTCAACGATTACATGGGAGGCTAGACGTTTTTAACCTCCGTGGAGCTTTTGTTACTAATCAATCTGGTGCCCCTCCCGCCTACGAAGTTGTTATCAACAGGCCAGAAGATTATCCAGTTTATCAATCTCCAGGTAAATAGTGAAACTGACAATGAAAACTATCACCAGCCATTACTATGCCCTTAATAACCGAACTTTTTACGGAGAAATATCAGACCGATGTCTTTTTGTACAGACCGAGCCCGTAGAGCGAGGTTTGAACAAAAGATAGAGGTCCGATATTTCTCCGTAAAGACCAAGAAAGCGAGGTTATTGAAAGGTTTATTACATGGATTATTTGACCTGAAACGAAGCTTGCTTTCTTTCTCGTCCTTGCTGTTTTTACAGGCTGTTTTTCAATTTTGTAGTTTTCGTCTATAAAAATAAATCTTTTCAAATTGTATTGTCTGGATAGTTTAACTGTTTTCCAAGTGTTTTTCCCTCGAATCACATTCGCAAATGGTTTTTTGTTTCGTTTATTTTGCGTTTTGCTGGTTGCTTTACGAAGTTTGTTTACATTTGACAGTAAAATTACGCGTTTTGGACCGTGGTCGATTACGAGAAAATAATGGACCGGCAAAAATGTTTCTGAGCCAATCAAAGCGCGCCATTTTGCCGGAAGGGACGCTTGCCATATAATAAATTTCGTTATCGTTTTATGTTTGCAGTGACTAATGGCTCTGCGAATGGTGAAAATGGAAGCACTGTAGAGAACTTACCCACCTACGAAGATGTAGTCCAAATTTCTCAGAATGACGTTAGTAATACACGAGTGAGTCACAACCAAAAGGGATAGGTATGGGTACCGTGGATCTCATTTGCAATAAAGTTTATTAATTAGACAAACAAGCAAACTGCAAAAATTTTTAACTTTCATGAAACGGACGGGAAATTTGCATAAATGTCTTATAACATCTTATATTGTTAATAAACACAATGTTTCCAATGAGGAAAATCGTGATTGTAGAGATTTTTCGAAATGACTCGAAAAGCATTTAATACTAAAGCTCGTAATTTTACTTGTCATTACTAAATTAACTGGCATCTAGTTCAAGTTAAATTATGATTAAATTAAAGTGCTTTACTGAGTTAAGACAATTTATCGCATTTTAAAGTTTTTTTCGATTTCAACTATTCTTTTTAAGTGCTAAACACGGTTACATGGCGGGATAAAAGACCAAACACATTGTGTAAACGGTGCAATGTTTCTGTTGCAATTTTCTCCTTTGCGCGTTAGCACAACGCAGTTATGCGTCTGCTGATTCGTTTTTGGGACTGTATACTATCCTACTGTACGCGCAGTCGACACACAATTCTCAATTTTACTCAATATATCTATTCCGCATCACAGATTATCTTTAACATTTCAAGCTTTTACATTCACAGCCAGCGACAGAACAAGCTGACTTTCAACGTGTCACAACTTATAAAATATTAACATAAGTTCCTATTTCCGTTCTTCCATAAGTTCCTAGTATCAAATAACAATTATCTATTACTTATTTACATAAGTTCCGACAATTTCTTTTTCTGGCTGACAAACATTGTTGTGTACTAACTTCAATATAATTTACAAACAATTTGCACAAGCTGTTTGCAATTGAATAATGATTTACACAACGCACTGCAGGCAAAAAAATAACATTCCTCTCTTCACCTTGAATCATCTCGTAGTATTTGTTACCATCAAGATCTGTACCAACAAGACGGCGGGAAGAACGAAACAAAGAACGTAGCCATTGTATAATTTGAAAAAATTATCATATAATTCTTCAAATGGAGAAAAATTAAAATTCTATGATTAACGCTTTAAGGTTGCAATTGGCAATGTCATTAAATGTCAAGCATCCGGCATTTCAATAGACAATAGGTCCGCGTCATGCACGCGCTTTGTTATGTAAATATTGTGTATTAATATATATCATATGATGCCACGCTTTCTGTCAAGTTTTATGGTTTGTTTGAGGAGCAACCGAGTAAATCAGTTATTACGCTTTAGCCCTAACTTTACTGATTGCCTGTAGCCATCTTTTCAAGTGTAACTTTTGTAACTGTTGTTGCCATCGGTCGTCTCAACTTTTAAGCACAGATTGTGGCGGATGTAAACAAGTATTGACGTCTGAAAACAAACTGTTGACAACCTAGACCTCTCACAAGTCAACAAACCTCAACTGGGTCAGGGAACTGAAAAACTTCAGGGAACTTGAAAACATTTTTCGTTTGACCAAGTTTAATTCAAAGAATAATTATACTTCGCAAACTGAAGGTGGGTGAGATTTGGTTTGTAATCTTGCGCGATTATTACTCTATCTATTATGACATTTTGCATTGTATAGACAGTTTTAGACAGCGTATGGGATTTTATTCTATTTCTTTCGCAAGTTAAAATTCACTTCACCAGAATCCTTAAAACCGTAGTCTCGTAGTCTCTTACTCTTACTCCTCTACAGCCAAGTTAATTTTCCCTTGAATTTGATCGTGCAGTTTGTAGTGTTTCGTCTATTTTAACTCAAACATGCTTTAAGAAACGCCTTGACAACTCAAACAAAATTATATTTTCCCTTTTCAAAATTCTCCGTGTATTCAGTAACTCGAATCCGTATTTTAAAACAAGAGTATATGTCAAGTGTAAATTCGATTTAAACAACAAAAATTAGAACATTTATAAATACAGTTTGGCTTCAAAGATTCATAATGAATAATTTGCCTCAATAGTATTGCAACTATGATATTAGACAGAATTAGATTGCAGCTTGTACAGTTTGTACAAAACAATAACACGGATCTTTTAAAGTATTTGATCACACTTGAAACTCAACCATTGCAAACTCGAATTCCCGCGAACAATTTGCAAAAGGGACGTGATATTTTATTACCTTATAATTTTGAAACAAGCATGCCAAAACATGTTTGCTTTGATAAAAATTTTTGTCCATTTGAAATGATAATTTAATAATGGGAAAGAAAAAAGGACAGGACATTTTATTTTATGGAAAAAAGAATAATCACATTTATCAACGTCCTGTGTAGAGGCCTAGAGAGGTTAACAATGTTGTCATTTCAGGACACCTACTTGATAAAAATTTAATGCAAGACTTCATAAACTTCGAATTGTTCGTTGAACTTAACAAATTATTTCATGAATATAGCTTGTGTATTGAAATCAGCTTTGAATGCATTTAATGACAATGGTGGTACAATATTTAACATCTATCAATGCTTTGCTGACCATTTCACATGAAATGCAATTAGAGGCGTAGTGAAGTTTATGTTTTGGGGTGTCTGAGCGTCAAATTTGCCGACAAAGTGGGCGTGGCATGGTCGTTGTCTGCGGGCTTGGGCGTAGTGGCTGACCTTTTCACATGAAATTCAATCAATGGCGCAATCAGGGCGTCAAATTTCCGACAAAATGGGCGTGGCATGGTCTTGGTTTGAGGATTTGGGCGTTTTTTGACGAAAGAATGATGATTGGGGAGGTCAGGCACCCCTGACCCCCCGTTCGCGACTCCCCTGAATGCAATATCTATAATATGCTTGTGCATAAACAGTTTGGTTGTTGAATTTTGCATTTTTGAACGATTTGATTTCACGTTGATTAGAGACCAAAGAAATGCTTGATGAAATATAAATTATTTTCGTAACTTTAACTGATATTTTGTAAGTTTATTTGTTAACAAGCTGACATTTTATCTTAACTCTTGAAACATCATCTGACAATATCAAATTATAAGCAGTATAAAAATGTTAGTTATGAGTATATATGCCATGTTGAATTGCATTGGTCATCACAAGACACGTGTATTGACCCAGGAATGGACAAAACAAGTTTGCATGTGACAAATTTATGGAGAAAAACAATATTGTCAAACAAAAGACTTTCATGGATAAGAAGTTTGTTAGCATCTGAGCAAGGTCTAATATCTATGTTCCTGTTCTTTTTCAAAACAATATTGAAGATTTCGATGTCTCGTGAAAACTTTTCAACTAAAAGGTCGTCTTGAGTTTGAAAAGTGACATCTACATAGTTAGCTTTGGTCATGGATCTCGAATCATGAGATTGTCACTTGCTTCACCAACTTACTGTGCAATTGAAAGACAACTCAATAAAGTACATTTTTTTCAGTCATTTTCTTTCCACTGAGTAAACATGTTTGCGTTTGTTATTTTCCATCAACGAAGATGAAGAATGATATTCTGCTTTTTGCATCTTCTATTCACTATAACAATGACTGTTGATAACTGCTTCTTGCTTAAGGATTTTTTGTCTCGTCTGTGATGTTTGACTGCCAGGCATACTTTATCGTCACACCTCACCTTAACTTAGGTCTGTCCTTCTTCTTTCATTTCTTCAAATTTCTTTCTTTTCATTGTCATGAACGAGGTTCGGGATTTCAAATATCAGGAGGTGACATTTCACGTGATCTCATAGAGCGAGCAGTTTCCAAATGTTTTCTAATGTTTCTAATCTTCCGTTTTGAGCAGAATTATATTGGACTGTATTTTGTATCAGTGTGTAGTTCGTCTTCTGGTAGGCACTAAAATTGAAATTAGAACAATATTTCCCTTCGTTATTTTGTGTTGGAATCGTTGAATTTACTTAGTTTTACTATGATTTTAAATTTTACAATGAATTTTACGTTGATTTTACTAACATAAAATTCACAACTTAACATAAATGTATCACACAATTCAAACTCCCCTCAATTTACTATTTTACTTTTTTTGGAACTTTTTACCGTTTCCAGTTGTACAAATATCTAGTGCTATAAATCAATGTTAACTTTCTTCAATGGTCACAATTAGCCAAAAACTTAAAATTTTGTAAAGCATGCATTTCTCCTAATTTCAAATTTGACCAAGATTCCAATTAACTGCAATTAACTCTTCATGCAAAATGACTGAATATTTGCTATCTTCGTTATCTACAACAATATGCTTGGAATTATTCCCATCAACGATGATGTAATCACCACCAAATTTAGCTTACAGTTCTACATAAGTTTAACATAGTCATACACAGGCAACATTTGTAGTGATGTCAATTATCCCTTTTGTTAGTTCTTCAAAAGTAATGATTCTTTTTGCCTCATGCCTTTTTGTTGGTTTAGTACAATGTATTTAAACGATATCAATGAAGAGCATCCCACGAGTTGTTCTCTCTAATAGAATCACGAACGCTAATGAGAGTTATATTGGTCAGAACTTGGAAAGACTTTCTAATTCAGACATCGTCAACTTCCCTTCCACTCCATCGCAAATTTCTTACTTTCCCCATCAGACATTATCCCATCTTATTTCCTTGTTAACTGGTGTAAATGCTTTGAATACATAAAAATATATGTCAGAACAAAATGTTCCAAGTTGGAATCAAATCTTAATTTTCCATCCAGTGGGAAACATTTTCATAGACAAACTAAAATCACACATGAACTTAAAACAGCTTTTTGCATTATTATAAATCGTATTGTTTATATGTAAACCAATTTTTTATTATTACTACGTTACTGAATTCTGATGGAATGTGATTGGAGTGTGTTAGATTGTTGCATATATATTGACAAAAGGGAAATACAAAAACTCGAATGATCTCATCTTTATCATGTGGTTGCTGTGCCAATTGAAGAAATCATAATGTAATTCACAATTGGTCTGGAATTCATAGTTATAGAATCCGACGTCGGGCAGATGAACTTTTAAGAATCTTTGCTTCAATCATACAAAACTATAGCTTTGGTTGTGATGAACAGTTCAAATGTATTAAAAGCAAGCAGTTGTGTTAAAACAATCCATTAATGGAATTTTTGGACACAGCACCGTCTTTTTGGCTTTTCCATGCAGTTCATCTTTTTAATTTGCTAATGCTATTAAGAAAATCCTTCAATAAAACATTTATGTAATTCTCTCATTTTATATATGTCAGAGATTGCGTTCCTTACAAATAAAATGGTGTTGCTTTTTTTTCCAACATGTAACCAGAGCATTTCTCGCGATATAAAATAGTCCATGAAGTTACGATTAACCATTGACAATAATTCTTTCTTTGATATTTTCAGAATTGTAGACATAACTGGTTGGTAAAAGTCAATTGAAGTTGTTGGTGGAAATTGGACTCCTGAAAGGCTTAGTCTATATGGTAAACTTAGTAACTGCAAAATATGTTTTTATCTTTATGGTAATGAACATGTCAGTAATTGAGAATGTTTGGTCATTGTTTTAGGGATGTTTATTGTGGTTTTTGAGTAATCTTTAAAGGAATGTCCACAGACATTTTTAGCGCTCAATATAAATATTATTGGTATGTTTATCATTTTGAAATTGTTTTGCTTCATACTTTTTGCCGTGGTTTGCCTCATAATTAGCCAGATAATTTTTGCTTACATAGGCTTGGTTTCTGTATCCTTATTGCTTTTGTGGTACTAGCATTTTGCAAATGCTATAGTAAGAATCTTTTCACTAATGACGAAATTATACCTCGACGTCTAATTGTGATTCAACAATTACGTCAGGACCTGGGGGGAGTCGTTGTTGAAGTTGGTGACGCCGATGGTATTAATCAATATGGGGCCCCTCCTGCCTACGACGATGTTATCAACAAGCCAGAAGATTATCCAGTTTATCAATCTCCAGGTAAATAGTGGAACTGACAATGAAAACTATCACCAGCCATTACATTTCGTTATCATTTTATGTTTGCAGTGACTAATGGCTCTGTGAATGGTGAATATGGGATCACTTTAGAGAACTTACCCACCTACAAAGATGTAGTCCAAATTTCTCAGAATGACATTAGTAATACACGAGTGAGTCACAACCAAAGGGGATAGGTATGGGTACCGTGGATTTCATTTGCAATAAAGTTTATTAATTAGAGAAACAAACAAGCAAACTGCAAAAATGTTACAACTTTCATGAAACGGACAGAAAATTTGCATAACTGTCTTATATTGTCTCTGTTAATAAACATTTAGGAAAATCGCGGTTCGGACTGTAGAGATTTTTGGAATTGATTCAAAAAGCATTTTATACTAAAAGTTGTGATTTTACTTTTCATCACTAAATCAATCGGTATATAGTTCAAGTTGTATCATGATTAGATTAAACTGCTACACTGGCTATACCAGCATCATATGTTCCTCCAAAACACTATACTACTATAAGTTGTTGAATGATATTTTAATGTTGTAAAATTACAGTGTGAAGATAGAAGTTTTAAAAAAACGCATCCCCTTTGATTTTTTCGTTAATTTTATCTTCGGCTGCGTTTCCCAATCCCAAAAGATTTTGCGCTTGCGCATGTATGGAGCGCATTCAACCCTTCGTCTTATTCTTTTTTATAACGACATGGATAGTATTCTACTGACTGATCAATCGAATCATGTCGGTGAAACAGTTATTTTATCATCAGTTACCTGCGGTACAGAAATATCACACAATGATGACGTTTACTTTGTCAAGTAATTGTATAATTTACCCAAGTATTCGATTAGCTGGGTGGTTACTACCCTTATGCTACTGTCCTGTGCAACTGTGTTTTAGTTAAAAATGATTTTGTACAGGTGCTACAACGGACTTTATCACAAACTATAACCTCTAATAAATTATTAGAGGAAAAAATGTAAAGGAAATCCAAATTTTGAAAGAGAATAATGCTGTTGTTTATTTTTGTGGGTAGCCGCTGCTCATTTTTACGCCAGTAACTAAACACCATGCTATATAGCATTGGTATGTTACTTGTTATCCTCGGGGATAGTCGGACATACGAGCGATGACGAAAAACACCGTTTTGTGCGTTTGTCGCTTTGTCGCCTGTCGGAAAAATACTTTGAACTAAAATACATGGAACACTACCTGCAAAGCAAATATTTGAAGCCAAATCTTACACCCAAACACTCTAGACTTTAATCCAATAACTCTAGCGTACAGTAAATGTTTGCAAAAATTTATTGCATGCAGAATTCAAAACACATGGCAATAAGCTTCTTGACTTTTTTATGTACATATATACAATATATATACTGTCAAACAGTAAGCATGATAGCAATAATATCATTGAATCTTTGCAATGATAAGTTCACGTCAATAAATTAACAATAGTTTATTGGTAAGAATACTGTAGAGTTAACTCAACATAGCAAATTGTAAGATTTTTAAGTTAAGATTCCCTTTATGCTGTTTTACAGGTTTTTTATACAATCACTAATATTTTCATCATGATTTCAATGTTGCGGAAAAGTTGCATCAACAACTGCGTTCATTATCGTTAATCTTTTGCAAAAATTTAGTTTCCTGACAATCTTTAATCCTTCACGACGTAATATGGAATTTTTCCAAAAAAACACCAGACAATTTAAAGAGGAGTTCATTGCTAGAAGGGTGCAACTCCAAAGTTGAAGATGAACATCCAACGTGGGTTGTATATTTTTAGTGTAAGCAGACAAAGCAGCGCGAGGAAGTGTAAAAACCACTAAACATACGACAATTAGAAAAGTTGGCACTGATGTCTTATGAGAATTCTTTCTACTATTGTTCATCGAGTTCATTGGAGAAAGGCGTTTTTCTTTTGATCTTGCGATTTTATACATTTCAAAATTTAAATAAATTACGGTAGCTGAGATCAATGGAAGATAAATGTATGATATATTTGGTATAATGTGAAGCCAAACCAGACTTTGCGAAAGAGCAAATAAACACACCGAGCATGCAGTGAAACCTATTATTCTCTCTTTTGTTACTTGCTTTTGATGAAAAAAAGGAAATTTGATTGCCAAGAATCGTTCGATGTTCAGTGTCAATACCATCACAGATGAAATACCTTGTACGATGAAAAAAACAATAAAAATCTTCATTTTGCGAATTTTATAGTTCTCTCCATAATAATAAGCCATCCATACGATAGATTGATGAATAATTACGACAACAGCGAAGTCAGCACAAGACAACAGACATATCATGAAATAACAAAGTTTTTTCCGCAGTTGTGACGATCGTCGTATACTGATGATAACAACGGAATTTAGAAATATTCCTGCACAAAAAAATGTCCAATTAAAGATCCACAATAGAACAATGCTTACAAGCGTAGACAGAACCATAGTTTGAACATGAAAACGTGAACAGATGTTTGCATCAGTTAAGCACGAAGTCTAATTCTTTTGGCAATTATTAACGTATAAAGATTGGTCACTTGTTATTAAAAATGTTAACAAACAGGATAAGAAGAACAAGAAGTTCATGAGCTCTAGATTAAAGTGCAAATGAAATGACAATAAATGCTGGCAAATTTAAGTAGAAAAATCGAGACAGGTGATACTGTGTTAGTGACTCTGTCATTTACCATGTGACCAATGCCCAGACTGGAAACTAAATTAAATTCGTGCATTTTAATGATTCATTTTTCATGTAACTGGTAGTGAAGTTGAAAAACAAGAAGCTTTACATATTGTTTAAATACTACCAAACTCTTGCGAATAGTGACATCAAAAGAAAAATACGGCCTTATGTAGTTTGGATTAGCTACGAGTCAAAATTAGTTGAACGATAAATGGTAGAGCAATAACTACGCGATATGAATTGCTCAAGATAGTAAGTGTAACAGCTGCTAGGGTTTTAATAGTTGACAGTTGTCAACATATAGTAATTTAATTTCGTTTTAATGATTTGACATTAAATTTTCCCTCGATGAATACACGTCTCCTTGAGTTAGCAGTCTTCTCACAGGTAAGAATTTATAGGCAAGTCCGCAGCCACTCACTCACTCACTCACGAGAACAATTGACAAGTATTAATAATAAACGACAAAATTTCTTATTATAAACATGTTTCGACTTAAAATAATGACTTACAATAAAAAATTTTGTTGTTTATTTTAAATACCTAATAAATCTTGTGCTTTTGAGATCATATGACAAGTACTTGCTAACGCGTTTATATTTGTACTTGCTAATGGCGAGAATAGTTTGACAGAAAACATGAATTACTATTTTTGTGTCATAAAAACGTAAAACAGGTGTGTTTCATGTTTTTTTGCCATTCTTACTATGGCATTGGAAAAATGCACTATGTATCTTGTTTGAAAGTAAGAGTTTCTCCGCATTTTATAAATAATTTTATTGAGCTTTCGACTCGGTGCTTCGAGCCTTCATCAGAATCGGAAGTTATAAGTTATTTACATATCAGTAATATCATTCTCAGAGAATGAGTAAAAATGTTCAAAAGAACTGCTAAAACCGTATAACATTTGCATTGAAAACAACGAGACGAGGTTGTTTGCACTTCAAAATTGAAACTTTTTTGGTATTGTCGTTATGTTTATGTATTTTTAATCCTCTTATTTGATGAGCAAATATATATCAATTTCTAAATAGTTTACTAATGAGTAATGAAGGTTTTTTCTTTTTTTTGAAATGACCATTACTCATATAAATGGTATCTTTAAGAAGCCTACTTTTATTTATCTTTTTGCAATTTTAATGATGATAACTATATCTTTTATCTCTGTTCTTTTTTTGAGGTACTTCCATCCATCGCATCAGAAGAACTTAAGAAGTTTAAGCTGCAGGACATAATTTTCTCTTGTGGAATTCTCCATGTGTCTTTCTACATATACTTCGACAGTCAACAAGATTTAATGTTTGAGGACATTGAATAGTTGACGGGATTTTTTGACTAAACCATGGATTTAAAAGACGAGTGGACATCTACGTAGACATCTCCAAGTTCATGTATCCACCAAGAGGGTTGGTTTGTTGTTGTTCAGAAAAAACACTTGTTGGTACCTTCATAACAAAATAGGCACACTGACATTCACGGTAAATCTTTGTCTGGTGCAAAGTGGAGGTCTGTGCATCATCGTAAATAATAAGCTCCCTTTTAAGAGATTAGTTTAATATCATATACACGACGTAAAATGCTAATATAGATCTCAATAAAACCTTATTCTCGGATATTTCATCTACAATTTGTAATTTACCACAACTTCCAAACGAGAAGCTGATAATACTATTTTGCTACAACACATCGAACAAAATCTCGACAACTTATTAGCTCAACAACCAAGTGCAAATATTAATTGTTACTGGGTCTTTTAATTTTACAACCACTGGATTGAAATTGAAGAACTTAACCCAATTGATGATTTACATCAGATAATCGTAAGCAAAAATATGTGTTAATTCGACCAACAACAATGTCTCAAAAAATTAAGACTCGTGATATGAGAGAAAGAACTTTGGCAAGAATTTGAGCAACAGATGACCAAGAAAGATTGGGACCGAGTTTTTACTTTACCCCTGTGAGCGAAAATTCAATTTCTTCATTACAACCATTACAGATAATATGTAATTAAGGTATTAATTTTTATCTGCTAAAACTCAAAAAGACAGTAAGAATTCATTGCACTGATCGTCGTTGGATGGCAAATGAAGATATGGATTAAGAAAAGCCAATCTGTATTCCAAAGACAAGACAAGAAAGAAGTTATGTATAAATATTGGAGGAATAAAATTCATAAGAAAATTGAATTAGTAAAATTGTACTATCGTACTCACGAAGTTCCAGCACTAGATCAGACCAACACAAGTAAATGGATTGAACAAATAAAAAGCCTTATGAGTCAAAATACTCAACAGCAGTTCTGCAGTGACCGTTAATGTCTGGGAAGTAATGCAAACATAAAGATACTAAAATTTGTTAAACATAACAGAAAACTTTATACCCTTATTATCTTCTTGCTCAGTTCAACAAGTGTCAAAAGATTTCTTTGTTTCTGAAGAAGTGTTTTTCAGTTTTTTACTTCTGTGAAAATGTTTTAAAGACAATTCACTTTCAAAAAGAAATCAGTCGGGCACAACGTAATATATAAATAAGCAACCAATCAACGTTCTAGGTACGGTCCTGCAGGTTATTGAGAGAATATGCTCTAGAACTCTTCATGTTTCTTCAGGACATAATTGGTTCATTAGAGAAGGATAATTCCTCTAACTATTAAATCAATGATATATGTCTTGTACCAAACGTCACCCCGCTACAATCTCTATGAAGTGATCTACAAATCCGCATCGAAAATATTTGATATGTAGCTTAGCTAAGATCATGAAGACTTTCTTACAACTCGCAGGGAAAATTGAAAGTCGATAGTGTACTTTTCTACCAAAGACACATTTTAATTTTTGCTGCAACCAGTTAACGAAGCACTTGACACGAGGAATGCCTGCGCCCAGATTTGATTGTTTTGACCGTTGGGTTGTTGTGAATGAGCTCTGATCAAACTCGATAATCACCATGTACAGCTAAATTGGATTTCTGCCTTCCTTTTTATTAGAAAAAGTCTGTCAGAATAGATGGTGCATTTTCTGACTCGAAATCTTCCAATGGTGGTATTCCAACTAAATTTAATGTCATCCTATTCTATGTTATGACAAATACCTTAATATTGGTCTGGCATCTAAGAACAAAATAAATCACATAGTGGATGAAGTGTATCAATTTTTAATAAATCAAAACGAAAGCAATGAACTTGATGTTGCATACCAATAATGAGACCTATGATAATATTGGTAATAATTTGATTGAAAGATTAAGTTGTTATAAACACTTTGAAGTCCAATTGAGTAATGATCTCAAGTGGAATAATCATGCTCAGTTATTTATATGAAAAGACCAATAAGGAACTATGTTCCCTCCGTTTTCCGTAGAACAACTGTTGTAGAGCAGAAGAACATTTAAAAGTGTGTACAATCTGGCCTGGACTTGAATACGCTGTACAAATATGGCAAGAAATACCAATAAAATTAAATCAATAAATAAAACTGCACTCCAAAATTATCTATCCCTCGACAAAGAATTATAAAGAGACAATTAATGTTACCTGCAAATACACTAACTTTAAATAAAATGCAATTGTGTATAGAATACATGATAAAAATGATGAATGAAGATCATCTATTCCATAATCAATTAATAAAGTGCACAATCGATTGCTCTTACAGAAACTACATAAAAATATTAAGTTGAGCAAACTAAATGCGAGTAGTAATATGCGAAACACCTTTGTGTCATTTTTTCTATATAGTTGAGATCGCGTATTGTCGACTGGTTTTAGTGGTTTTAGGTTGTTTAAGTGAAGCAAGAAGACGAGAAGTAATAGAAGTTTGGGATTGAAAAAATTGAAGAAAGTGTCCTTTCACGTTTTAACTCCGCTATATCGGTCACAAGCCCAGGACTTTCAGCGTAAAGCTCTAGCTCTCTGCTTTAGAGAAGACTTGTCTCGTTTACAAGGAAGAGGAGTGGAAGGACTTTACTTACTCATTCACGATTGTTTTAGTGTAATAAAAACAAGATTTAGGTGTTTCGCAAATTACTACTCGAATTAAGGTCCAGCTTAATATTTTCATATAGTCTCTTGCATAATATTTTTCTGATATACAGGATTTCTGATATGTGGATTTAGAAGAGCGAAACAACTTTTTTTGTTTGAATTTGTTTACAGTTAAAAAAGTTAATAACAAATTATAACCTAACAACATTTTTATAGATTATCATTTCTTTCTCTAATAAATATTTTAGTTAGCTGTTCCCTGCATGCGTTGGGGCTGCATAATACTTATTTTTGCAATGTGCTAACATTTATACGAAATATTACGACATTGTGAAACATATTTTCGAATTGACGTTTATTTTCGATTAGAGTCATTAACAACAACTAAGTTCATTCCTCTAATGTTTTGCAAAAATTTAGTTTCCCGACAATCTTTAATCCTTCACGACGCAATATTGAAATTTTCCAAAAAAACACCAGACAATTAAAAGATGAGCTCATAGCCATAATGGTGTTACTCCAAAGTTCAAGATGAACTTTTAGTATTTTGTGAAAAGTTATATTTGAACTGTAGCTAATGTACGCGGATGTTACAGCACGAGGAAGCATGAAAAACATTAACAAGATGACAATCAAAAACGTTGGCACTGATGTCTTCTGATAATTCCTTGTACTATTGTCCATTGAATTCATGCGTGCCATGTTTCTTTCTTTTGATCTTGCAATTTTATACATTTCAAAGTTTAAGTAAACAAGGATAACTGAGAACAGAGGAAGAGTAATGTACAATGTGCTCTGTATAATGTTCAACCAAACGAGACTTTGTAGAAGAACGAAAAAACATACCAGGCATGCAGCGAAAGCTATTAAACTCTTTTTTGTTACTTGCGTTTGATGAAAAAAAGGAAATTTGACTGCCAAGAATCGTTCGATGTTCAGTGTCAATACCATCAAAACTGAAATACCTAGTACGACGAAAAAGACACTTCGAAAGATAATTTCGTTAGTTTTATACTTCTCTCCATAATAATAAGCGATCCACGCGATAGATGGATGAATAATTACAACAACAGCGAAGTCAGCACAAGACAACAGACATATCATGAAATAACAAAGCTTTTTCCGCAGTTGTGATGATCGCCGTATACTGATGATAACAACGGAATTTAGAAATATTCCTGCACAAAAAAATGTCCAATTAAAGATCAACAATAAAACAATGCTTGCCAGCTTGGATGAATTCATCATTTGAAGATGAAGAAACCTTTCACCAAAATTGTGTAGGCCGCAGCAAGATGCAAAGTTTGCATTGAGATGTGTTGCATATACTGACAAATTTGCAGTATGAGAAAATTAGCATCAATTTTAAAGTTATTCACCTGTCATGTCTGGTAAAATGTTGACGACCGAGCCAATCAAACAATTGAAAGATTCGTGTTTCATACGCGTACACAACATATTTTAAATGTTTGATAAACATAGGTGGTAGCATAATTACGTTCAAGGCTGGAGACAAGACAGATGCTAACAAATGCCTAGCCAGGAGACTAATTTCAAAAATGCGTCTATTATTAATGATTGTGAAGTGGATAGTCGATTAAATGTTATATAACATAAATAACTGAAAGAAGATTGATTGATATGCTGAAAATGGTTAAACTAGAAGAAAAATATTGCCTTATGTAGTTTACACAACAAATTTCGATGTTGATTCAAACGAGAAATCACAAATGCTAGAGCAGAAACTATAAAATATCAAAGAAGGCAGGTGCAACTGCTGCTGGGGTTTTAATAATTAATAGTTGTCATCCCATCTACGTGGATTGGACCGTCAGTCCATTACTGGAAAATATTTGACCGGCAAATATCTTTCCGAGGCGAGATTCAAGTGTTTCAGGTAGCCTCCACTTACAACATTATTTTGATCAAACACACTCAAACTTTGGAAATATGAATGGCAGAAAAGTCTAAAGATGCTTGAATAGGATAATTGTTTGCGTTGTTATGGTAACTATGTTTCGTTTTCTTTTACACTTTTAACGTCTAATTTTTAAGAAATTGACCGTATCTTTTTTTCAGTTCGGTGACTTTTTCTGATAAAATCTTCAATTAAACCAGCGCAGCCAGGCGTTTACTTAAAAACATCCACTCGACATGACCACAATATGCGGATGGAAATTGTCCGCAATCCCCTGCTTAGTAACTGTAGGAAGCCTTAAATTTATTCGGCTCATCTAAAATGCGACGTTTGAAACGGGTCTTAGGGGGTGTTTACATGAATCCGGAATGACTTTCAATCCCGATCGAAACGTGATGTCAATCCGTGTTTACATGAAACTAATTGTTGTTTTTCTTCGCACTCATTTTAACCCATTTAGCCTCTTTATTTGCTTACGAGCTTCAATTTGCCGGAAGACAATACCCATGGCACATGCGTGCTTCGTCATTAATCACAATATCATTCCAGAATGAAACTCAATTCGCGTTTACATGAGATAACAAGTAAATTTCGATCCGGAATGAAACTAGGAATGAACTCGATCCGGATCGAGTTGTGACTCATTCCGCATTCATGTAAACATGCAATAGGATTTCATTTAAAGTGGAATGAGTTCATTCCGGATCGAAACTCATTCCGGATTCATGTAAACACCCCCTTAGCCAATCAAAGCGTGCCATTTTTGCGGAAGTGGCGTTCGCCGTTTAAAAAATTGTTTTGAATGTTTTGTTGGTTTCAAGTCACGTATGACTACGAAATGACACTTGCACTTAGTGCTTATGGAGGGTGATCTCCGCCAAAATTAAAAGCCATATTTTCAATTGCTAATGCGCATTTTGTCCTTTGCAATGTGCATTTTGTCTTGATCATATTGCATTCTGGAATTTCATAATCGGATTTTGTCCTGTTCAATTTCCGTTAAAACGCATTTTGTTATTGAACATTCCATTATGATGACGTAACATTATTCGTGACTCGCAGAACATCAAATTTTACTCGATCACATTATAATTTATTTATAATTTATTTTCTTCATGCGGAAATATAAATGAAAACAAAATAAACCAATTGTTTTACCTACAAGTCTACAACCCTAAAACATGGCAGACAGGTTATACTTTGTAAGACTCCTTCGCAACTCTATTTTGGGTTGTATTGCTGACCTCGAAGGAAGTCCAGATCGGATTTTGCGTTTTTGGTCATAAGAAACTTAACGAACGAGTTTCCCAATCTTGGCTACAAACGTATGTCAGGATTGCTGTTAGCAAGAGGTTTGCGAATTCAGCAGGATAGGATTCGTGAAATGATGCGAAGAGTTGATCCACAGGGTACATTGTTTCGTGCTTTGTCTCTTACAGCAGTGCACAGACGTAAATATCATGTTACTAGCCCCTTGTCACTTTGGCATGTTGATGGCAATCACAAATTGATTAGGTGGGCTACTAAAAAATACCTATTCGGGGCGTTAATAAATCTCAGTTTTGCATACAAATGTGCTAGTAGTTTCATATTTTTAGATGGAGATTTGTGACTCATGCAGGAATAGATGGCTATTCACGTTTGCTGGTATTTATTCGCTGTAGCACAAACAATCGAGCTGATACTGTTCTAAGACTATTTCTATCTGGTGTATCTCAATATGGACTGCCATCCAGAGTAAGAACTGATAAAGGAGGTGAAAATGTTGGTATTGCTCAATTTATGTTAAACCACCATTTACGAGGACCTGGTCGTGGCAGTCATATTACCGGAAGAAGTGTGCACAACCAACGGATTGAGCGCTTTTGGCGAGATCTTTTTGTTGGTTGTACAAGTCTTTTTTATCATTTATTCTATCATATGGAAAGTAATGGAATATTGGATCCATCAAATGAAGAACATGTGTTTTCATTGCATTATGTGTTTTGTCCAATTATTAACAGAAATTTGGAAATTTTCCAGGAAGGTTACAATAGATCTCCCATAAGAACAGAAAGAAATCTATCACCTGAACAGCTATGGATCCAAGGATCTTGCTTAGCCAATAATTCAAACAACCATATACAGCAGGTATTTTTATATTTTTATGCAATAACTCATGACTTTACTTTTAGACTACACTTTACATTATAATCATCAGCCTGTGTCCAAAGCTAATTGATGTATATTGAAGTCAGAATCTAATTTAATGTTCCAATTCACTAAGGTAAACCAAGAATTTCCACCCACCTTTACACAAAACTACGCATGTCATGAAACAGATCAGCAACAAGTGATTTTTCCAGAAACCAACATTCCATTGAATGAAATAGATCTTGATGAGCTGCAAAGAACCATTAATCCTTTAAGGCCATCTAATCATAATGGTGCTGACATATACATTGAGGTGCTTCAGTTTATAAATACCAGACTGCACCAGGAAGACGAGTGACATTGTGAACTCACAAAACAAGAAAAGCTACTTGACCTATTGTTCATTGGTGTCAATTCAGATAATACAAAAGAAGATATGTATGGCAACGAAGGCTATAAATTTTGCATTATGTTGATTATTTCAACATTTTAGCAGAAAATGTTTTTTAGCACATAAATGCTGATGCACTGACATAACAAAATTTAATGAAACATTAACATATTCACTTTAAGTCTTTAACTATAAAAATGATATCCAAAACAAATAATAAAAATATTTCAATTTAGTGCATCATCCATATTAGCTGTAACAAGCTATGTTATTGCTGAAAGAAATGTATAAACTGTTCCAAGATCAAATATTCGTAAATCCTCTTGAACCAAATTGCAAAGCCCTATCCAGTTTAGCTTTCAATTCATCGAAGTTTTCATAACATGGAAGAACTAACAAATGAAAACAAGTTCTACTTTCTGGCAGCAGAGTACGATCTTTTGTTCTGTCAACTTTGAGATGCAGGATTGCACCATTTGCAGGCAGTAAATCACACCCAGTCCAAAAAGACAACAGATCTTTAAGATTTGCCCCTAGGAATGGACAAGTATTAAAGTATTAATATAACTAGTACCTCAAACAGTCAAGCATTTAAGTTTTTTTTGGAGAAAGCAAAGGTCCAATTTAAAAGCAAGAAAATATTACTGACATTGATATTGTTCAAACAGATAAAGTTACTGCTGCTCCAACATATGATATATAATCAGTTGTGGTGCAAATCATAGGCGTACGGGGGGGGTGGGCTGGGGGGGCTGCAGCCCCCCCAATTTCTCGAGAATTTGTGTATTCGGGCAAGCATTTACATGATATTCTGGCAAGATACTTACTACAGTTTTTAAATTTTCAATATTAATCTACATCATTTCTAGATCATAAACTGCTTCGGTTCTTGAGCGTGAACGGTCTTTTAATGGATGGTTTTTAAATTGTTTAAATTACTTAAATTTCAGGAGGTAAAATAAAAAATCGCGTAAAGTGATTGGGTGCAAAATTTTTCTTGCGACATAATAGGAGAATTTTACATCCGCCCCATTATAATATAAACAAATTACGTCACGAGAAATCGGTCTATTTACTAGCGATATTGCGACGAATATATTCGGTGTTTACAACTTTTAAACGAACACGAACGCCGATATTTTCAATCAGAGCAAAGCTTTTGGTATTAAATTTATCCACATAACGTTCTCCATTTATAAAAAAGGGCTGAGGTCAGTAAAAGTCTTGAAATGTCTTGAAATTGCGAAAAATCGTCTCCCACACGCTATCCGTTATACATTAATATATAGATTAACAATCGCTGCGATCCCCAAAAGTGATTTTTAATTTTGCATGAAAATTAGGCTTCGTATGGAGAGGCACTGTCCATTCCATTGATTAGATTAGTGCCATTCACTCTATGATTGTTGTTCAAGGAAACTATTATCCACAAGGGGAAAACATTTAGTAGCCAAGCTCTAATAAAGCGTACATATGGCGTCTCGTAAACGACCGTATCGACATCGCGTTTGGTGCGAGGAATGCAGCAGAAAATGGTGTTCATGAAGTCCTGCCTGTGGCTTACAAAGTATTTTCGATTCTGGCCGCGATCCCGGCAACATCCTGCTCAGCAGAAAGATCTTTTAGCGCTCTTCGTCGCTTAAAACCTATCTTCGAAGTACAATTGGTCAAAACGGTTAAACAGCATTGCCCTAATCAATGTGGAAAGAGCCTATGCAAATAGTACTTTAAAGAACGACATGGAAAAGATAATTAACATTTTGGACAGCGACGTAATCGTAAATCTTATTTCTTTTAGTCTTAGATCGTCGCACATTTAACTAACTAAATTTCTTCTGCGTCTAGTGTTATATATGACAAAATTTCAAATATCAAATAAAATGTAGTTACTTTCGTAGCATCCTCTTAGCAAATTGTAATGATTTTAGCTTATTAATTGAGATGGCCAGAGACAACATAAGAATATCTATGACGTCATACGTCATATGACGTCATATAATTCGGGCAAATTTAGTCCAGCTCCCCCTAAAAATATGTGCCCGTACGCCTATGGTGCAAATATTAAAAAGCAAACCATATTCACACAAAAAAAACACATACATAGACTGACTACAACCAATTACAACCTTCCCTGCACCTTTCTACCAAAACACTTACCACTAGTTGTCCCATCAATTAGATCAATGTATTGTTTCAAAAACAACATCAGTTGATTACAATGAACGCCTTCTTCTTCTTCTTCAATTTCAATAATTCTTTTTAAGTCGTCTTTATTAATAATAGAAGCAGTTGACTGTGGAAAAAGCTGTGGTTGAATAACATCTTTGTGTTTCTTAAGGAAATCAACCAGTCCAAACTCATTCATTCCATCAGCTAGATCTTGCAACATCTTGCAACTCATGAGCAGTCGATGAAGATCTAAGACTTGCTGATCCAGAAGAGTCTGGATTCAGCAAATTTGCTGCTCGGCGAAGCAAAGCTGCTGCCTCTCGATTTTTCGCTCCATTATCATCCCCCATACCAAAAAAATCGTTTCTTTTTTACAGAATACTAAAGTTGCTTCGAAGGACAAAGATCGTGATAGTTATTGCATAAAATATTGCAACAGTATAATTTATTGATATTAACAATTTTTGGCGGTAAATAATTATAAATAAATTATAATGTGATCGAGTAAAATTTGATGTTCTGCGAGTCACGAATAATGTTACGTCATCATAATGGAATGTTCAATAACAAAATGCGTTTTAACGGAAATTGAACAGGACAAAATCCGATTATGAAATTCCAGAATGCAATATGATCAAGACAAAATGCACATTGCAAAGGACAAAATGCACATTGCAAAGGACAAAATGCGCATTAGCAATTGAAAATATGGCTTTTAATTTTGGCGGAGATCACCCTCCATAAGTGCTCGTGCTTGCTACACAATTTTTCGTTTCTTCCAAACTTTCTCGTGTGTTCCTTTGAAACACTTGCACTTAGTGCTCGTGCTTGCTACGCAATTTTTCGTTTCTTCCAAACTTTCTCGTATGTTCCTTTGAAACACTTGCACTTAGTGCTCGTGCTTGCTACGCAATTTTTCGTTTCTTCCAAACTTTCTCGTATGTTTCTATAACTCAATAGAAGCCCCGAAAATGTTTTCTATTTTTTAAGAGAGCGATTAACATGGCTTCGTGATTGCCAAATATTTCTCCGTTTCAAATTAAACAACTAGATAAACTCGAAACTGATGTGAATCCAGGTTGACATTGTGTGAATGCAGTAAATGCATGTTGAAAAAGATAGGTAGAGTGTTACATATGGGATATCAACAGAGCTATCGACAAATACTGTGCTAATGGGAGGTACTGCACAACAGTAGATATGATTTGGCCATGTTTTCCAAGCTGTTCAGTTTTTTTGATACACCCTTTATAAGTAATTGAGAGTTAGAAAAAACAGCTGTATACCACTTGTTCAACACATGATTGCATGACGACAGTACCTACATTTTCGAGCAGTGTGACCATACATGAATAATTTTTTATCAAAAATGCGTTGATCCGTGTAGAATGATTCCCCAAGTTCTAAATCCTGCAATTATTTAATCGAATGGGGCTTTCTAAGCTCACCAGAGCAGTTCTGGTATTAAAAATTACCAAGTCTGGTCACACTGTGTCCGAACCACTTAGTAGCCAAATCATATATCTGCCTCCTATGAATTTATAATCATGATTGTTGCGTTAAATTATATATTCTGAAAAAATATGCAAAGTTAAGCAACACATTGCCAACGAAGATACATGCAGAAATGACGTCAAGATACATATCACTGCCTATTGCTATTGTTCATAATCACAACGTCTTACCATGCTCATAGTTGTACACAGATGTAAATAGATGTACATAGATGTACAAACACCACGTCACTTGTATATACATGCATTAAAGAAGTTGAGAATAAAAAAAGAAAGAAAGAAATTTTATGCATAGTCAGTTTCTTTCCATTCAATGAAATCCGTACATTTTCGTAACATTATCATAAAAAGTCTTAATGAAAATATGATATAGTACGACGATTTCTATCCATGAAACTAAGCTTGACGGTAGCCAGATCTCAAAAAATTGGTATAATCACGTTGTATCTGTGAATTGTGTGTTGAAATCATCGATAGCCTGCAAAACAAAATACAACAATACGGTCAAAAACGATAGTCAATACCCCAAACTGTTTTGACACATAATGAAGACGAGCAGAATGTTACTTAAATAACAATTACCTTAGCATCAGGTAAGCAAGGACCAAAAGCTTCTAAAAGGAGAGGCTCTTTGTTTACAACCATTTCAAAGTCCTTGAAAGATAATTTTCCAACATTGCCATGATCCTGCATAAAGATTTTTTTTTAAAACAAACACTATTCGAAAGCATGCAGTTACATAGCCAGCTTGATAATTGGGGCGGGGGGGCAATATTTATATTTTCATGTTCTGAGGTAATAATTTGAAATCGATCTTCATTTTTAGTTTTCGAAATTAGCATCAATGTGCCTTATAACATGCGTATATGAAGATACAACAATCATCGATGCTAGCTACGCTACTGTTTAATAAGTACGAATATTCTATAAATTATATGTACCACCAGCTTCAGCACGATTTCAACTAATTCTTTCACACCTTCATCGGGATCTTCTTCCGTTGGTTGCTATAAAGTGAACGATGTCCAAATGTTTAGGTACCGATGCTTGTCTTGAAAAATTATACGGTTCTGACAAACTATACCTTAATCAAACTTGACTTCAGCATTTGAAATATCTCTTCGCGTGATATGTAACCATCGCTGTTTAAGTCATACACCTCGAAGCAGTCTGAAATTCAATGGTGTAAATTTTACTGTCCGTTTCTAATCTTCAACGGGTAGATAATATGTTAGGGTATGAAAGTACATAGTTATACATATTTTATTTAGACAGAAATACTTTTTAAATGTGTGTTATTTGGTTTGCATTTCCTTAAGAAGAGAGATTCATTAATAATATTTGCAAGGGTAAGACAGCAAATCTGTCACCACTTTTTCGTAATCATTGATTAAATTTAAAAATCAAAGACTTAGTGGTAACTACCCAGCATTGAAAGTTACTGTCTTTGAGCTTTAGTTCTTAAATATGAATTTATAGATATCAATAAGAATAATTACAGTGCATTTTTTCCTCCATGGTACCTCGTAGAAAAACTGACAAACCAAGGATCCATTCTTCCATGTTGATATTACTATCATTATCTTTATCAAAAGCTCTAAACACTGAATGAAAAAAGTCCAGGAAAATTATCATTTGTTTCAGCTTAAAAAATTCTAGCTCTCGCTTTGGTGTTCAATCGTAAAATAAATGGATGGAGAAAAATAAAAGTGGGCTTTCGTCGCTAATATGATATGCTTAAACGTTATGAGATGCACATTCTTGTTTACTCACCGCCATCCATAAGAAAGTCATCTGTCATTCCAAATGTGTTATGAAGAATATCCCGAAATTTTGTTCGGTCAAGCTTCTCTTTCTGGTTCGCTCTTTCACGAAATATCATCAGCAAATTCTCTACCTCTGTTTTTGTGACTGTGATAAGCAATGGAAACATCATTCATGGATTTGAAGGAGAACATTTTTATTGCAAATCCTTAGACATTTGCATTATCTAATAATATCAAGTCTAGAGAGGACAACTGCGTTATCAAGTAACAAGAGCAATTTATATGATTTATTTTCAAGGAAAAATTGTAGAGAATCAACAATGCGATGTTAAATACTGTGTGCCATTCTAACAATTTCTTCCACAGCTAATGTCATCATTTTTAATGAAATCACCACTTGTCATAATCTCTTATCACTCGACAACATCGAATTGACGAAACAATCGTGTTACGTTCTGTCCCCAGTTTTATTCAAATACGTACAGTGTGTTTGCTTGTAAATACCCTCTGCTATTTTTGCTTGATTCTTCTTTACAGTGAGGCTAGTCATCTTAAATTTATACTTATTTTACAGAGGTTTCAATTATGACCAGCTCAGCGTCTTGTTGTGAAGGCCGTTGTCAAGGTTGTCCGCAAACATTGCGGGCTCTTTAGTATTAACTTTACTTCATGTCCTTTCCACAAAACTATTCATTCTCAATCATTCATTTCATTGATGACAAGAAAGTGTCTAAAACTCTAAATATATAGGCAAAATATATGAGTTTTTCACATTTTTTTCTTTAAACATATATTTCATTTAACATAACTTTTTCTCTTGCTTACAATAAATGATTTACCATGGCAGAGAAAAGAGTCTTTCGTGAAGGATGAATAAACTAAAGATTTTCTGTCACATGCATGATCTCCAATCATATTCGTAGATGAAACAATGTCATGGCATATAAAAACCATTGAACACAAATATGTACCATGAAAGAATTTACAACAAATGATTTATGAGCCTTCTACAATGCTTTGTGAATTTTTACTTTTGATTGGTGGAGAATACCTTTGTAGTGGATGACGTTTGATTGGTTTGTGGATTTAAGAGAAAAGGAAACCAACAGAAACTCAATTTGAAAGTTTGTCCTAGGTGATATCTTATTATCTTAGGTCATTTCGTCATGGGGAAATGGGCAAATCTCGACCCTGGATACAGGATAGTAACAAACAGTAGTCCGACTCTATAGAAATATTTTTTGTAGTGCATATCTTATTACTCATGTGATTAGTATAGTGGCAGCCAGTAAATTTTCTAACCAATAGGAGCGCTGAGGTGGCTATCCGCAGCCAGCCGAAGCCGGTAATCTAATTAAATATACAGCACCAAGTTGCACGACGACAGTTTTTTTCTAGGTTTCTATACTGTGCCCTGGACTCACTACACCCTGGATTGCAGGGGTTGTCAATAATTGATTGCAATTAAATTGGTCTGCCCAATCAATTAATTGAAATTGGGAGTTTTGCCCAATCAATTAATTTTAATTGATGCTTTGTACAATCAATTAATTGGTTACAAATAATTGCAATTAATTGAAACTCGATTAATTTTTGACAACCCTTGTATACTTTGTCTACATATCTTTTTAGTACTAGAACGCACACTAACGCTAATATCGTATAGAAATAGGTAGGTCTATTGTACAGGCAATAGCAATAGGTATAGCAACAGTAAATATATTTAACTTTTTCTCTATGTCATAGGTCAGAAGCTTGTTATATTAACAGTGGTTATTTCAAAATCTGACATAATTACATTCAAACACATAACCCAAGATACTGTTACAATACTATTTTTTGAGAGAGTTATAAAGCTCTGTATAAAGTATTTTTTTACCAGAGCTAAGGTGTTCATTAAATTTATATTTTATCTTATGAAATATTTGATATGGATGTCATCAGTGGCATATCCAGAATGAATGTTTTACACTTGCTATGTAAATTTCACTGCATCATTGCTCATTTCGTTAGAAATCTATTGTTTTTACAGTGAGTGAACAAAGCAAGATTGAGATAATATGCAAGCAAGATTGAGATGCATGAGCAAATAAAAATGCTGGCTATGGCTGAGATTATTATAAGATATACAAACAAACAAACAACATTTGTATACCGGCCAGTATTAATCCCCGCCAGGGGGGTTGACCGGTCCATGAATTTTTCCACGCCAAACGTCTCTATCTCTCGCCATATCTCTCGTTATACCCATCGCCTTCATATCACTGTTCACAGCATCCATCCATCTCTTTCTCGGTCTACCTCGTTTGCGGACTCCATCAACATTCATATGCAACGTTCTACGAATTTCAGCACTTTCTTCCCTCCTTTCCACATGCCCAAACCACCTCAAACGCTGGCGCCTTACCCAATTCTCGATACACTCAACACCAACTCTTTCTCTAATCTCTTCACTTCGAATCCTATCCATCAACGTTACACCACACATCATCCTAAGCATTCTCCTTTCCGTCGACGCCAATCTTCTCAGGTCCTCTGCTTTCGGCGCCCAACACTCTGCTCCATATCCCGAAACACTTCTAACACATGCCTTATACAATTCTCCCTTCTGCTTGAACGAAGTCGACTTTCCGCACAACATTCACAACATTCTTATTTATTATAAGATATAGCTGTGAATAAAATATATGTGACTTTTATGCTTATCATACTTAGTTATAGTATATGTTTTTATTATGCTATAGCTACAACACCATCTATGATACCAGTTGTTTCCAATGGCAATACAATTTTATAACTACAAATTTCTAAATTGCATCACATTATTAACATGCAACTAATGACTTCTAACAAAAATTGTATCATACTGCTCAGTTTGTTAATTTTATGACACTTATGTACAAAGATAAGTAAACTACTGATATTTCTTTGTTCAATACATGACAGCCCCAGCAACTGAAAACTGCTTTGTTGTAAGTGAAAGCAAGCTGCTGTGACAAGACAAAAGTAGTTTCAATGTAAAAAAATAGAAAAAAGCAGTCAATGCCAATCAATTAATTTTAATTGGAGGTGCGCCCAATCAATTAATTTTAATTGATGCTTTGTCCAATCAATTAATTGGTCACAAATAATTGCAATTAATTGAAACTCAATTTTTGACAACCCTTGCTGGATTGATTCAAAATGGCGGACGACGAAAAGACCGAAAATTGTGAAGAAAGCTCCGAGAAAGATGATACCGCCGATTCTCCCCTTGCTAACGGAGTCTTTGAATCGAGTGAATTCAAAAATTCTGCCGTTAATACAAGCAATAACAAAAAGAAAAAGAAAAAAGGGAAAAAGAAAGATGAATCCACATCGGTTTTGCCATCACCCCAAGCTCTAGCACAACTGCTAAAGGCGGTGGGTCGATTACGTTTTAATGAAGCTATCAATGGGTGAAAAGGAAAAGGAAAAAATGCGAATGTGTTTGAGAAAAAGTACGAGTTTTGGGATACACAGCCGGTTCCGAAATTGAGTAAGTACTTTAAGGGTTTTTGAGTAGTCCTTGTATATAGACATTGTGTATGACAAGACTGAATGAAAACACCATGTAGTATATAGGAGGATAAGACTCTATTAGTTTTTGTGTGTCATATTGCTTGTTTAAAACAACATTTATAAATGACTTTTTTGTATCAACAGGATATTAATTGAAGCACAATATTATATGGTTGTCTAAAATCTCTTTAAATCTAAGTAATTTTATGAAAACATGTTGCTACACATGTTGCTACATTAAATTCTACATGTTCTTAATTCATATTTTGCATTGTAATATAGAAATTGAAATGTTGCTTGCTGATTTGCTATGTTTTTATGTTGAAATTTATAAATCAGAAAGTAATTGGAAAAAATTTTCCTGACGCAACATAAAAAATATTAAGCATGCATGTCAATCATGCTGCAAAATACACACGTTTAGTCTCGCCCAAAACCTTTTTCTAAGTCATACTAGCATCATAGCTCAGACATTTTTGTGAAAAAAGAAGTTATTTTCTCCAGATGCTATTATTAAAGGCATATGTGGTGAAAACCATAGTAAACCTGGTGGATTTTCATGATAATTATAGGCTTGAGTATTCTCTTTTTGGCATTTTTCTCTTGTTTTTTAATATAATCAGCAGGTTCTGATTAACCTACTGAGTTATCGATGGGCTTTTCAATAACCAGCTTCAGTGTCTCATCTCTTGTGTTTTTTTATGGAAATATTTCCAGTCTCACAAACCACCTGCTTCAAATACAGATATGTGCACTTGGTGGGCTAAGAAACTTTACCATAATGTTAAAAATATTGCTTGTAATGCTTTTTCAGTTGGTTTATCCATTTGAATAGTTGGCAAGCCATTTGTAGATACAATTTTTTTAGATATTATTTCATTTGAATGCAGTAAACTTGTGTTGTCCTTAGCAATAAAATTGATTGTAAAAATTGGAAATCGACTTGTGAAGAAACACCAATCTATCCTTTAAAGTGTTTGGAATAAGTTTAATGTAACATTTTATTTTTTAGCGGAGGTTTGTCTTGAAAATCGTGCAGTTGAAGATGATAAAAAATTGAAGACATTAGGCAAGATGAATATTCGCTCCCTAATGGATTTGAATGGGCAACTTTGGATATTGATGACGAGATGCAGGTAAATTTTTAAATTGATTTTAGCCACCATAAATTTTAACTATCAAGTTCGCACTTAATGTAAGATGTTAAATTATCCTCTTGCCCTTTAACCTTCCCTACATTTGCTTATTTTCTGAAGTATTACAACTGAAGTTATTGTTTCAACAGATGTAAGTGCCTTTATGAGTGATGCACTAGTTTAATAAAATTTCCTGTTTACCAACCATGTGCTTATTGTAATGTAAACATGCAAATGTCCACATTTCTTTCATAAGTTTTATTTATATTTTTAGAAACATGTAACTTCGTATATATTTTCCACAAAGTTTGTGACTTGTACCTACATACATAGCATTAACTTCAAAAAGTGTGGTATATCACTATATCTTAGTATTTTTAATCCTACTCTTTAATCACCATTTTTCTATCAATTGAAAGTCACAGTCGTCTTTCTTAAGCAACTTCTCATAATGAAGTTTATTTTTCAAGCTGAAAGAATTGTATCAACTATTGAATGAAAATTATGTTGAAGATGATGACAATATTTTTAGATTTGATTATTCCCTGGACTTTCTAAAGTGGTGAGCTTTTGTACACTTCAACTTTACTGACTTAATAAAATCAAACAAATTGATGCTTGGAGAAATGTTTGTTCAAGGGATTGCAGAAGATTGATAACTGTGGGCAGGCTCATATTCATATATTCATATGTTAATTATATTCTGTAATCATTGATTCAATAGAACATATTTTACTCAAGAACTATACAAACACAAAATCACAGAAGAAAGGTTTTGCACTATTATGTTGTATGCCGTATTTACTTGCTTGAGCGTCCCACTGCTTTTCCAATTTTTGTAACTTTAGATTTGGTGCTCTTTAAAAGAGAATCTTTCAAGTGTGTCTTGTAGCCAGATTATTTAACAACAAATAAATTTCTGAGGTTGATTTGAGATTTTTGGTTGTTTTGTGCTAGAGTCTATCAATTTTGACGGTGTGTCGATTAATCATGCATCTAAAAATAATTAGTGCGCCGCTCATTGGTGGCGGCCTTCCCTAATAAATATTTTTTGAAAATGTTTCACTCATTATAGGGAGGCGCTCATTCGAGCGCAGTGCTCAAACGAGTAAATACGGTATATGATAACATTGCATGCATGTTTTTCTAATAATTTGTAATTTGGCAAGCAGAAAATGTGAGCTGAGTAACGATTAGAAAACACTTGACTACTTAATCAAAATTAATCTTTTTTCAAAGGGCGCTGAAACCACCTGAATGGAAAAAACAATGGCATTGTGGTGTACGTGTTTCTTCAAACAAAAAATTAGTTGGCTTCATTAGTGCTGTACCTGCAACAATCAATATTTATAACACGTTAGTAGATGTTGGTTTTTGTGAATAGTATGTAATTTAAACCACAAGAGAGCCTGGAATGATTTAGTATTTCAGAACTTTTCAAATTTGGTTGGTTACTTTATTTTACTTGATTTGCTCTTTCCCTATAATGTTTAACCTTTAAAAAAATGATGAAAGAAAAAATGCAGTCGAATACGACAGTTTTGAACAGTGACTTATGTACATAGCTGTTAGAAATCTTACAATGAACGTTGACGTAGCATTTGTTTGAAAAAAAAATAGATTCCAGATGCATTCATGTTTTTATTTGATCAAAGATTTGCAAATTATCCACAACTTGCAAACGTAATTGAAGACTTCTTCACGTTTATTTGTGTAGACCTTTCCCAGTTTTACGTTCTCAATGCACGAGTTGCGTGTATTTTTAGAGTTAAGAAATGCGTTGAGATCAATTTCCTTTGCGTACACAAGAAACTTCGGGAAAAACGTGTCGCCCCAGTCCTTATCCGTAAAATAACAAGACGAGTAAACTTGCAGGGAATATTTCAAGGCGTGTACACTGCTGGAGTTGTCTTACCTAAACCAGTCTCCGCATGTCGGTAAGTTACATTGCATCAAAACACATTTACAAAACCGAGCTAGGAGTTTTATAAGATATTTTTTGTTAGGTATTGGCACAGATCACTTAATCCAAAGAAGCTTGTTGACTGCAAGTTTTCAAATCTTAGCAAAAATATGACGATGTCAAGGTTGATAAAGTTGTACAAGTTGCCAGAGGTGAGTATCGACAATTTTTCTTGTTTGTTTGATTTCTGCCCTGCTCGTATCATACGCGTATCGTTCTCGTATCATACGCGTTTCATACGCGTATGTTTTTCGTATCATACGCGTTTCATACGCGTACCTTATGTTAATAAATACGCGAGCGGTACTGCTTGCCTACCAACTGCTGATGAAGTTAGTCGATGACTACTGCTAAGGTTGTCGATATTTCAGTCAACATCAGCATGAACAGTCCTTCTCAGGACTCCATTAACCCGGACGATCTAAATCTACAAACATGTAACGATACTTTCGGATTCAAACCCTTTACTTGAAGCGATCTTATATAAATATGGTAACGTCTTCCAAGTTATTGTATCAAGATTTGATAATTGTAAGGAATGGTAACGACTTTGTGAGTTATAGTTAACAGCGAATGATGACATGATGATTACATTTTTGATATGTTTGATGTAGATTGCGTAGCATTTAGGGAAGTGAGGTCATACATGCAATTTTTTTACTAGATTTGGTCTGATTAGACTCTCCCGCCCGCTTTATATACGTAGCTGCAAATTTTAAAACAGGAGGGATTGTTAAAGCTCATCCGAGTCATACAACGAACTGTCCGAGGAATTCAATGACATTTTTCGACGAGAAGCTGCATGGTCATTTTACATAGTTTAATAGATAATGGATAAAGACGAACAATTAAACAACAATGTTGTGGTTGAAGTTATACTATACTCTATACGTAAGTATACAACTGTTCTGTTATAGTGTTCATTTATCAAGGGTTTTACTTCACAATAACCCATTATATGATACATTTATGTAGTAAAAAATTATTTTGTAGATAAATTATAGTGCATGTTGTGTTTCTCTTCACCAAATGCAAGAACGGCACACCTCTTAAAAAATCCTTTGACTTCTAATATGTGACAATGAAAGCAGTTACGACGATTGTTGATAAAATGGTATATTTTTAAGGCTCAATTCATTCTAATCATCTTTCATTAACTAGTTTTATTGTTCCTGAAAATGATTTTGCAAATATTGACGAACTGTGAGGTAGTGGTGAATTCCGTGATTGCCGTCATCGCTTAAAGGTTCCGGAACAAGGCGGCGTATTTCATTGACATGATCTTCGGTCAACTCAACTGAATTTTCACGGACAACAACCATATTGTCCGTTTCGATATCACCTACCGCGCCATCAGGATCAATGCCATATAAATTTACATTATCGATATTAACGTCTGTTAAATCAGTTTCATTAAGCTCAGAACGCCATAGTGCTAGGGGCGACATACTCCGCATGGTTGAAGTCCGTGATGATTCCATTGGTTGACAAACTCATTGAGTGAGGCTTGTATTGCAGGAATGTAAACATGGTGCAGAGCATACAAATCGATTTCATCGTGCGCATCAAGAAGCTCGCTTTCCTCCATAAATTGGAATAGATCTTTATAATAGGAGGAACTCACTCTATTCACCTCCGCCCAAAGACGCTCAATTCTTTGGTTATGCACGCTGCGTCCGGCTATGAAGCTTCCTCTGTTTAGACCTCTATTAGCTATCATAAATCGTGCAACGTGTACATTTTCCACCCCCCTATCGCCACGTACGCGAGATGGAATCCCAAATCTTTGTGCACCATTTACAAAACATTGCAAAACAGTATGCGCAAGATTGTTCGTGAAGCATTTCAAATAAATAAATGTTTTGCTATAGCCGTCGATGCAACCATGCAGGACAAATCTCCAAGTGATGAGTTTGTGATTGGAGTCAATGTGCCAGAGATGATTTGGTTTCCTCACATTTTACACCCGCCTTTGTATAGCGTATCTCCGTCTTATGGCACGGTTAATAGGGTCAATAGTTTCTAATGCTTCCCTAACTCTCCACCTTTGGATATGAATACCCGACCACGCAAAGCTCCTCTTACGTAAGTTTCGCCAGAGAAGGGTTTCAATCTAAAAATATCTCTAATGTACCATTCAAGCTCTTGTTCTGTTATGTCACAGTAAGTGTCTGCTTTACCATAGTCTATTCTTCTTCTGTAAAGAGTTTTGGCACTCACTCCCAGGCAACTGGCAATGGCTTTCCAATTCATACCCGTACTGCGTCATTCTTCAATTTGGTCTGTTGTAACAATGTATCTACGTCTGCCTCCAGAGCTTGCATCTTGCGGCACTGGAATTCTACAACGTATCGCAACTTGCTCATTACATAAAGTAATCTGTGTTCGTAGAAATTGAAGTTTTTCTCTCAATATATTGAGTAAGTTTGCTATGAGCGGAGATATGGGATGTTGTTGATTTCTAAAGACTAAGGAGATGGCCATTATTATTCGAATATGTCCTTCAAGGCGATCACATAAATATTCTAAAAAATTGAAGTTACCAAGAAATTCGTTCCTATCTATACGTTCTATACAGTCTTGTATCGATAATAACAGATTTTCTAAATTTTCGTCGACAGCTCTTGAGACGTTTGACATTTCTAATAAAACCACAGTAATGAAATAAAAAAGTTTCGCTATCTTTCTCTTAGTTTATAATCAGACTTAGTTTTTGATTTTCAATTGCCAGAAAATTCTCGACTCCAAAAAAAATTCTCGACTGTAAAAAAAAATCTTGACTCCAAAAAAATTCTCGACTTTAAAAAAAAAATCTCGACTCCAAAAAAATTCTCGACTGTAAAAAAAAATCTCGACTCCAAAAAAATTCTCGACTGTAAAAAAAATGGCTTTCCATAGTTACATTTATAAACTACGTGGGGAAATTGAAGTCTTCTGACCATATGCGGTTTTGTACGCGGGCTCACAAACATTGTCTTCGAGAGGGCTGTAAAAGTATCGTACGGTCCAGTAGTAAAAGTTCTCTTCAACTGGCCGAAGGTACTACATTGCTATGGTACATTTACAATACATTTAACATTGCTTCTTGAGTGAGTTATGGCTGCATTGACTGAATTGCAGGCTGAGTTGTTGGCTGCGTTACTGAATAGTGGCATTAGCAGTGATGCGGTTGTACACGCTATAAAAGCTCTTGAGAAACAGATGAAACCAGAATTTCAAGGCAAACTTGAGAAAATGTCTCCAAGTGAAAGTAACGAACAAAGTCAAATTTTCTCGGAGATTTCTGGTACGGTTGGTCAAAATGTCGCACCGTCGGTTCCCGAGCTAGAAACCAATGGCTTGTCCATTGCACAGCAACTCGTAAGGTGATTTTACCAGCAAATTTTACCTCGAACTTAAAGTATGCTCAGTTTTATAAAACATCGATTATTTAATCTTTGGACATACATTGCGCGCAGTTTGCTTTCTTGAAATTCAGCAATTTAATTTTGAAACTTGTAACAAATCTTTGACAACTTTGACGGGTTTTTTTATTCATCGAAACGACCTATATTTTCGATTAAACAATTTTGCTTTCCATGATAATAATCGGAAAACAAAGACTTTATATTAGTGCGATTGCATCCAAAAACATAGACGCGATCTTATCTCTCGTTATTCCTTCTTTTTACTCCCGAATAAAGTTTCAAAATCGCGCTGTTTTCTCTCCTTGCGCTCCGATTTTATATCCGGTTTTATTAACTTCGTTTTGAATTATTTATGATTAGTGAAAGTTTCTGAATTTGCAATTTTCTTCTGTGTTAATCATTGAATTGGTTTTTATATGACCCAGACGTTTAAATATTAATCTAAAATTTCTTCATATTCAATCAGGTTTGCGCTATTTTATGTCGGTGTATTATTGTCGATTTCAGTTAACTTTTCAAATGGCGGTTGCCAAGTTACTTTCTATTGTTGCCAGTTACATTTCCAAATATGGAATATTCGATATGAACTTGTCAACTTGAGTTGAAAAGTTGAGTACTTGAGTACTGAAGTTGTGAACTTGAGTACAGAAGTTGTGAACTTGAGCACTGAAGTTGTGAACTAAAGTTGCGAAGTACTGGCAAACGCGAAAGGTCTGTGTTGTAGGCAAGTAAAAGCTTAATAAATTGTTCACTGATAATGGCAGATGAATTGGAGGAGTTCCTTAATAGTTTTAAGGATAAAATTGGACAACAAAGTCATGAAGTAATAGAAAAAGCTTTGAAAGAAAATGAATTTTCTTCACGACTGTCGCTGAAATTGTTAAGTAATGAAAATCTTGATCATCTTTTAAAGAATACGAACTTGCCGCTTGGGGCAAGGAAAGTTTTGGAATTTCATCTCGATTTGCTGCGGAGCAGTCACCGTTATTAAAATTTTCAAAATCTCAATCGAAAAGTTGTCTTGACGTCGATGAAAATCCATCTGCTTCGTACGAGGTAGGTCGTAAAGGGACATATTTCTTAAAACTGAATACTTTCGTGCGTCATTGTTTTTGTAGTCACAATAAAAATAAATGTATAAATTTAAAATGTTGCGTTTAACTATCTGAAATAGGATACAAGTATACCCGCTCAACGTTCATTGGAAAATCGGCGAAGGACAATCGAAGACTCAATTCATCACAACAAACAAGAGTTGAAAGAGATGAACGTGCAATTAGAATAAATGAATTTAAATGTTCCTGAATTACCAATGATTGGTAATTACAAAGTCATCTGCAGCAACTGCCGCCACCGAGGTCACAGAAACACACAAACTAAACCGTGCATTCTTGAAAAATGTTCCGCGTTTACTTATTGTGGACTTAAAGACAAACATCCCGAATATTCTGCGGACATGAATCGATTGAAGTTTAAGATAAAACAAAAACACGAGACTATTAAGCAACTCCAAGAAGAATTAGATGGTGTTAATAATTTTCAAAGCCAGAGTGAGCACCAATTTATAAAAGCATTAACTCCCAGGATGATGAAAATTAATGCTGAATATAAAATGAACAGACCAAAACTTCTTCGCGATATTAGAATTTTGCGCGAGTTCTTCAACAATAAAATTCCCGCAGAAACTACAAACGACGCTGAACAACTTGGAATAACTCTAGCGAAATGCAAGAAAACTTTGCAAGACGAGATTGGTGATTTAGGTGTTGTAGGAATTAAAGAATATGAGCAAATGCAACCGGGTGGCCATGCAGTAAATTTCAACGTTAACATGAACCTAACGCCAATGAAAAACAAATACAGTAAAATCACACAAAAAACATAGTACGAATACCAACTACACTGCACAAGACAAGACCTTCAAACGAAAGCATTCTTAAAGGAGAAAACATACGAAAAAAAGTAAACGACAGCAAAACCACGTTACACTGTTGCTAGCTCAACAAGTGATTCTGAACTGTGTTCATCTGCATCAAGCAGCAGAGCTTCATGTAGCGAACGTTGTCGCGTTAAAAATCCTCGTCGCGCAAGAAAACTTTACAATAATTTCAGTGACTTCAATTTACTCATGAAAAAAGGTTTTCTCAAGGTATGACCGGCTGTTTACTACCTCAAATTGCCCATGCATCGCTTACATATAATCCCCATCGACTGTCTGTCTACGAGAGTTATGAAATGCCTGAAATGGGAACGTATCCCATAGCTATGCAAATATCACCAGCCTATAATCATCATGAAACACAGTCGTTTTCCCCACAATGTATGGTTACGTTAGCAAACAATGGTTTTCATGCACCAAAACAGGGACAGGTTTATTCAACAAACGCCTCTACGACTCTGCCTGACAGTGACAACAATAATACTGGTGAGCGTGGAGCCGGTCTTTAATTACTTTCTTCTGCAGCAGATTTTATGAACAAAAATTATTCATGAGTTTAGAGCACTGACATTGCAGTTGCATTGCAAAACTTGTTCAAAGTTATTCATCGTTGGTAATACGTTTTTTGTTTGTTTGAAGTTTTGTTATGTACATATTAGCACAACAGCGAATAAAAATAGTTATACAATCAAAAAATAAAAATATTGGCACAAGGTAATAAAATGTTCATAAATAGTTTATGTATATCCACAAAACTTTAAAAACTGTCTTGAGAGACCCTCGTCTATCATTTCTATAGCATCGGAAATACACAGTTCAGTGTATTTCTCCATGCATTTTGTGTATCGACGCAGCATTGTATTCATATGATGAAAACACTGTTCACATGTGTTGTAACACGGATGATAAGTTGGTTGATGAAGTAATTCCACATTTCTGCCTTGTAGCATACGTCGTAATTGTGGTTCTACTTTATTTCCATGATGAAAGCCGCAGTTATCCATCACAATAACATCATCATCTTTAATGACAGGGTTTCCAAAAATGTCGTCTATCTCAAAAGCTTCTTCGAAGAAATTTAGCAATTCTAATCCGTTTGACGGCCCTCTAAGAATGTTATAATGCGATACGCCGTTTACATTATGTAATAAATATACAGTAAATGTGGCACTAGAAGCGTATCGTTGGATTTCAAATGCAGGAGTACCCTGAATACTGTGCCCTCGACGTCTGTTGCCACTCGTAACAACTACAGACGACTTATCAAAGAAATGCATTCGGTTGCAATTAATCAATGAAATATTTGCTATGTAAGCTTCTAACTTCTCCATAACGTCCGGCCGTTCTGTCTCTCGAGAAATTTGACTTATTATCTTGTAAGAGTAACCAAGATCTTTATTCAAAATTCTACTAATGGATGACCTGCTAGGTATGTTTGCTGGAAGGCAAACTTTGTTATTTTCTAGGTGTTGCTGAATCTCTTTTGTGTAAATAGATGGTTTATTATCTTTTAGATATTCAGTGTATGCAATAACGTCATCTGTACGCGCGGTTCGAACATCACGTTCTCTCTGGCGAGGTGCAATAGAACCAGTGTCTACCCATAGATCTATTATATTTGATATAGTCGTATACGGTAGGTTTAGTTGTTTCGAAATGTTTGTCAAACGCTCGTTATTTAGCCACATTTCAAGTATTTCATTTCTTACTTCTATTGGTAAAGCTTTTCCTTGCTTACTGTACGGATTCATTGCCAAATATCTACAGGGTACAAAGACCTTTCGCGTTTGCCAGTACTTCGCAACTTTAGTTCACAACTTCAGTACTCAAGTTCACAACTTTAGTACTCAAGTACACAACTTGTCAACTCAAGTTGACGAGTTCATATCGAATATTCCATATTTAGAAATGTAACTGGCAACATTAGAAAGTAACTTGGCAACCGCCATTTGAAAAGGATCGTGACTAAAACACCACACGAGTACATACATACATACGACTGACATACGAGTACATACGACTGACATACGAGTACATATATATATACTTGTGGCCAGCATGTAGTCGTATGTCACTCGTATGTACTCGTATGTCAGTCGTATGTACTTGTATGTACTCCTATGTCACTCGTATGTACTCGTATGTACTCGTGTGGTGTTTTAGTCACGATCTTTGAAAAGTTAACTGAAATTGACAATAATTACTCAAAGGCAATTCGACTTTGGTAATTTTCATCGTATATTTTCAGAAATATGTTTCGTAATTGCCGTGATTATTAGCAATTTACTTAACAGCAAAACGCTTCGTTGTTTTGTACACATTAAACGCAATAATGGAAACCGCGCATTATAGCCGTGAAACTTTAAACATTTTTGTGGTCAAATTTATCAATTTGTTTGGTCGTACATATCCCGAGTTTGTCAAAGAGATTAATAAGTATTATTACATTTGTAGTTATATATATTTTGGATCGGTTTCTTGCTGGAATGTTGAAATATAAGAACGAAAGTGAATCTTATTTAGTTTTTTTTATGTGTTAATTTTACACAGTACGTTGCTTAATTGCTCTATGGAAATAAAATTCTGAGAAATAGAAATTTTTTAAAAAGAAAATCGAGTGTTGAATATGTGGCTTAAGAAGCACTTGATGAGAATCACTAGCAAAAACAATCTCGTGTGTCTAGCTATTATGGTGTAACATAATACTGAGCATTGGGCTATAAAACACTGCTTTTGTGATCTTTGTTCTTTTTGCGAGCAACGTTTTCGAAGTATTTCCTTCTTGCAAAGCTGACCTTTCTCTAAAACTCCTAAACTTCTACTATGAAGTCTTTTGGTAAGTGCAATTGCATGCAATCCCATTAAAATACGAATGCGTTTTATTTTCCTTCAAGACTCGATCCTTGGCAAAGTGCAAAGATAATAAAACAGTACATGAAACAGCATAACATTACTCAGCGCGAGGCGGTCGAAGCAACACGTTTGAACCAGAGCCATCTTTCGCAGCATCTCAACAAGGGTATTCCAATGAAAACGCAAAAAAGATTTACGCTTTACATATGGTTTGAGGCAAAGCACAAGGAAATTGCTGCACGTACGTGTGGAATTTCTTATGTATTTATAAATTTTTCTGTACAAAAGCTTTCATTAAATAAGAATACAGTCACCTTTTGACTTCTTGATAATGGGAAAAGTGATATGATGTGTCTAACTTTTAACAAGTGGTCCCGAGGCCCTCTTCTAACTCCCTCCTTAACCTCTTTCTCTAATACATCCTTGATATTGTTACCAGCCTGTTTATTGTAATGTTTTGAAATGTTCATTGATTGGGAATCTAGCAATGTCTATGTCCTTATATGAGAAAACGAACTTTTGTGAAAAATTATCATTGCAGAATATAATAGAATGTTGACGAAAAGACAAACAGATCCCGATCTGAGTCCAACGGGCTCCACTATGCCCTACAAGCGTTCACGAAGAAATCGTTTCAAGTGGGGTCAAGCGTCTAAGGAAATTCTTTACCAGGCTTATGATTTGGAACGTAATCCATTCAAAGAGGAAAGGTATATTTAATCTTAGTTTTCATTAATTTTTTGTTCATTGATACCTTACTCCATCCACCCACCCCCATTTTCCCAGATATTTCTCGGATGTTTATGGATCTCTTGCCTTCTTACGTCTACCAAAAATAGGGAGTTGTTAGCGAAAGCATGCAACCAGGCTGAATGCGACCAACGAGGCATACCATCTGAGAAAGTCGATAACCTGGGACCAGATCTTGTCAACGAGAGCCGTGTCTATCATTGGTTTGCGAATCGTAGGAAGGAAGAAGCTTTCAAAGTAAAACTTGCAATGGATGCTGGAACATATCCTGTTGTCGGTCAGATAGGATATTTGATTATTTTTCCATATGGAATATTGAATTACTCTGTTTATCGTGATAAAGTTCCTTTTGATTTTGTGATGCTGAGAGCTTCATTATCTTTCTTAGGTGGAAATGTGATGGAACAAACATCGCCCGATAGTAATAAGACCACCCTTGTCACATCCAATCAGAAATCAGTCTTACCCAAGCCTTCGCTTTTGCCGGCATTGAGCACACACTTGCTCCCCAAGTTAATTGATGTGACGACCCTGGATTGTGATACCAGTGGACGAACTTCAAATCCTGCGGCAACTACATCACTCAGTCAACTGTTACCATCCGCTCCGCTTGCTCGACTTCCTACAATGTCCTTGATGAAATACGAACCTAGTCCTCCTACTATGACCCAGGCGCATACAGTCACCCATGCTAACGAAACAGCTCCCGCATTAATGCAGCATCCTATATCTGTGGCAATTGGTGCTTTACCTCATCAAATACTTACACCAGCACAACTTCAGGTTTCTTTCTTTTAATTTCATAAGTTCAACTAATATTTACCCAAAAAGGTTAAACAAATTTATCAAATCTTCTTCATTTTGTTTTAATTTAATTCATGCATAACTTTTTTTTGTATAGGTCATTACTGAATTAGTGCCAGGCCAAATGTTACCAGTTTCGCATACTCCAGGGATCGTCACTCATTCTGGTGAACTGGGTACAAGCGGGGCAGTTCCAGTATCCTATGTTCCCAACCTAATGGTTCCAAGTCACATTGGCACGCAATCTCAACCATACACGGTGTGACGCTAATGCCAATGACCAGCGGTGTACCGCAGGTACAATTTGCTATGTCTTCACCATCAGTTGTATCTTCTGCGTCGAATACAATCACAACAATATCCACACCTTTGTTACTCTCCACTGATGGCAGTGTTTCAACTACCGCTGAACCCAATGTTTTACCATCTCTTGGCTCAGGTCATTTACAGCGTTCTTTACCACCAATATCAACGGTGAAAGAAGCTTTTGTGAAAAATGAAAACACTATTACGTCACAATCTACTTTGCAACTTTCAAATTCACCACTAATGGGAGCATCAACTTGTGTTCAATCCCAAAATTTAACATATTCTACAGCAATGGCGAAACAGGATCAATTATCAGCTTGTCTCCAGTCTTCTGGGGTAGTTTCTGGTAATGTACCAAGTACTGCATGTTCTTCTACGTTAGACGGTGCTCCTGAGACATCTGCACAAGTTGCGCACGCAAATGATGAGATGAATTGTGGGAGAATCCAAATATCCAATGTGATGTCACATAGCAACAAGACGTCGAGTTCTGAGTCTATCCTAAACAACAGTGATACACTTGTTGTGGAAATGAAACCAGTTGGTGGGACGTTACCCTTGAATAAATCAAAACAAGCTACCGATACTAACACAAATGATTCTCAAAATGAAACACCTATACCAACGAGTTTTCTCACGATAGAAAAAGCGGCAACTGCTCAAATGTCGCAAGAAATGAAATTAAAGAACCGAGTTTGACTTTGAGTGAAGAGGGTGTTGTAAACAAGAGGGAAAGGAGACGTCTCAGAATGCAACACAAGAAGCAGACCGTTTAACAAAATAAGCAGATGTTATGAGTTTTTCGATCGATGGAGAAGACGCTAGTATTTCTTACAGAGTGTATGTTTATGTCTATTACTTGTTCAAAATATTTTTCCATCTAAAAATCGTTAATGTTAATAGAAGAAAAACTACAATTTATATTTCTTTTTAAATTTTAAATGAATAGAAGGCTAAAAAAATTGTAAATCATTAATTGACTTCATTGAAATTATTTTTAATTTTTGATTTTTTCAGATTTCCTAAAATTTTTTTCAAGATATAAGCAGAGGTGTTTTGCAATTGTTGAAAGTGGGGACGCTTTATAAAGTCTGATGGGCAATGTCCTATTGTGTAAGGTTTTGGTCACTTGTCTGTAAATGCTAATATGCAAATTGTAGCATTTTCAAGTTACTTTTAATTAGACAATTTTGTTACTTTTAATTGAAGTTACTTTTAATTGAAGCACAGTGTCATGTAGTTGTACAACAAGCAAATTCAAGTATATTATCTTGTAGAGGCTGTGGGTTCCATATAATTGATATTTGCTAGCCAAAATATAATATTACGTTGGAAACGGCGTTCCTCCACGTGTAACGTTTTCGTAAAAAGAACGCCGTTGCTCTTGTGAAAATACAAGTTTGTCCTAGGTGATATCCTATTACCTTAGGTCATTTCGTCATGGGGAAATGGGCAAATCTCGACCCTGGATATAGGATAGTAACAAACAGTAGTCCGACTCTAGAAATTTTTTTGTAGTGCATATCTTATTACTCATGTGATTAGTATTGTGGCAGCCAGTAAATTGCATTTTCTAACCAATAGGAGCGCTGAGGTGGCTATCCGCAGCCAGCCGAAGCCGGTAATCTAATTAAATATACAATGCACGACGACAGTTTGTTTCTAGGTTTCAAAACTGTGCCCTGGACCCACTACACCCTGGATTGATTCAAAATGGCGGACGACGAAAAGACCGAAAATTGTGAAGAAAGCTCCGAGAAAGATGATACCGCTGATTCTCCCCTTGCTAACGGAGTCTCTGAATCGAGCGAATTCAAAAATTCTGCCGTTATTACAAGCAATAACAAAAAGAAAAAGAAAAAAGGGAAAAAGAAAGATGAATCCACATCGCTTTTGCCATCACCCCAAGCTCTAGCACAACTGCAAAAGGCGGTGGGTCGATTACGTTTTAATGAAGCTATCAATGGGGGAAAAGGAAAAGGAAAAAATGCGAATGTGTTTGAGAAAAAGTACGAGTTTTGGGATACACAGCCGGTTCCGAAATTGAGTAAGTACTTTAAGGGTTTTTGAGTAGTCCTTGTATATAGACATTGTGTATGACAAGACTGAATGAAAACACCATGTAGTATATAGGAGGATAAGACTCTATTAGTTTTTGTGTGTCATATTGCTTGTTTAAAACAACATTTATAAATGACTTTTTTGTATCAACAGGATATTAATTGAAGCACAATACTATATGGTTGTCTAAAATCTCTTTAAATCTAAGTAATTTTATGAAAACATGTTGCTACACACACAATTCTACATTAAAGTCCAATTGAGGGGAATTTTCATCATAGATTGAATTATATTTTATTGAAATAAACTTTAGGTTTTGGTTTCATTTTTTGTTTCACATTTCCTGTTTCATAAATCATTCATGTTCTTAATTCATATTTTGCATTGTAATATAGAAATTGAAATGTTGCTTGCTGATTTGCTATGTTTTTATGTTGAAATTTATAAATCAGAAAGTAATTGGAAAAAATTTTCCTGATGCAACATAAAAAATATTAAGCATGTATGTCAATCATGCTGCAAAATACACATTTAGTCTCGCCCAAAACCTTTTTGTAAGTCATACTAGCATCATAGCTCAGATATTTTTGTGAAAAAAGAAGTCATTTTCTCCAGATGCTATTATTAAAGGCATATGTGGTGAAAACCATAGTAAACCTGGTGGATTTTCATGATAATTATGTGCCTGAGTATTCTCATTTTGGCATTTTTCTCTTGTTTTTTAATATAATCAGCAGTTTCTGATTAACCTACTGAGTTATCGATGGGCTTTTCAATAACCAGCTTCAGTGTCTCATCTCTAGTGTTTTTTTATGGAAATCTTTCCAGTCTCACAAAGCACCTGCTTCAAATATGTATATGTGCACTTGGTGGGCTAAGAAACTTCTACCATAATGTTAAAAATATTGCTTGTATTGCTTTTTCAGTTGGTTTATCCATTTGAATAGTTGGCAAGCTATTTGTAGATATAATTTTTTTAGATATTATTTCATTTGAATAGTTGGCAAGCTATTTGTAGATATAATTTTTGTAGATATTATTTCATTTGAATAGTTGGCAAGCTATTTGTAGATATAATTTTTTTAGATATTATTTCATTTGAATGTGGTAAACTTGTCCTTGTGTTGTCCAATTTTTATAAGCAATAAATTGATTATAAAAATTGGAAATCGATTTTTGAATAAACAACAATCTATCCTTCAAATTATTTGCAATAAGTTTAATGTAACATTTTACATTTTAGCGGAGGTTTGTCTTGAAAATCGTGCAGTTGAAGATGATAAAAAAATTGAAGACATTAGGCAAGATGAATATTCGCTCCCTAATGGATTTGAATGGGCAACTTTGGATATTGATGACGAGATGCAGGTAAATTTTTAAGTTGATTTTAGCCTCCATAAATTTTAACCATCAAGTTCGCACTTCATGTAAGATGTTTATTTATCCCCTTGCTCTTTAACCTTCCCTATATTTGCTTATTTTCTGAAGTATTACAACTGAAGTTATTGTTTCAACAGATGTAAGTGCCTTTATGAGTGATGCACTAGTTTAATAAAATTTCCTGTTTACCAACCATGCGCTTATTGTAATGTAAACATGCAAATGTCCACATTTCTTTCATAAGTTTTATTTATATTTTTAGAAACATGTAATTTCTTCTATATTTTCCACAAAGTTTGTGACTTGTACCTACGTACATAGCATTAACTTCAAAAAGTGTGGTATATCACTACACCTTAGCATCTTTAATCCTACTCTTTAATCACCAACTTTCTATCAAAGTGAAAGTCACAGTCGTCTTTCTTAAGCAACTTCTCATAGTGAAGTTTATTTTTCAAGCTGAAAGAATTGTATCAACTATTAAATGAAAATTATGTTGAAGATGATGACAATATGTTTAGATTTGATTATTCCTCGGATTTTCTAAAATGGTGAGCTTTTGTACACTTCAACTTTACTGACTTAATAAAATCAAAGAAATTGATGCTTAGACGAATGTTTGTTCAGGGGACTGCAGAAGATTGATAACTGTGGGCAGGCTCATTTTCATATATTCATATGTTAATTATATTCTGTAATCATTGATTCAATAGAACATATTTTACTCAAGAACTATACAAACACAAAATCACTGAAGAAAGGTTTTGCACTATTATGTTGTATGCCTGATTTACTTGCTTGAGCATCCCACTGCTTTTCCAATTTTTGTAACTTTAGATGCGGTGCTCTTTAAAAGAGAATCTTTCAAGTGTGCATTGTAGCCAGAATATTTAACAACAAATAAATTTCTGAGGTTGATTTGAGATTTTTGGTTGTTTTGTGTTAGAGTCTATCAATTTTGACGGTGTGTCGATTAATCAGGCATCTAAAAATAATTAGTGCGGCGCTCATTGGTGGCGGCCTTCCCTAATAAATATTTTTTGAAAATGTTTCACTCATTATAGAGAGGCGCTCATTCGGGGGCAGTGCTCAAACGAGTAAATACGGTATATGATAACATTGCATGCATGTTGTTCTATAAATTTGTAATTTGGCAATCAGAAAATGTGAACTGAGTAACGATTAGAAAACTTGACTACTTAATCAAAATTATTCTTTTTTCAAAGGGCGCTGAAACCACCTGAATGGAAAAAACAGTGGCATTGTGGTGTACGTGTTTCTTCAAACAAAAAATTAGTTGGCTTCATTAGTGCTGTACCTGCAACAATCAATATTTATAACACGTTAGTAGATGTTGGTTTTTGTGAATAGTATGTAATTTAAACCACAAGAGAGTCTGGAATGATTTAGTATTTCAGAACTTTTCAAATTTGGTTGGTTACTTTATTTTACTTGATTTGCTCTTTTCCTATAATGTTTAACCTTTAAAAAAATGATGAAAGAAAAAATGTAGTCGAATACGACAGTTTTGAACAGTGACTTATGTACATGACTGTTAGAAATCTTACGATCAACGTTGACGTAGCATTCGCTTGAAAAAAAAATAGATTCCAGATGCATTCATGTTTTTATTTGATCAAAGATTTGCAAATGATCCACAACTTGCAAACGTAATTGAAGACTTCTTCACGTTTGATTTGTGTAGACCTTTCCCAGTTTTACGTTCTTAATGCACGAGTTGCGTGTATTTTTAGAGTTAAGAAATGCGTTGAGATCAATTTCCTTTGCGTACACAAGAAACTTCGGGAAAAACGTGTCGCCCCAGTCCTTATCCGTGAAATAACAAGACGAGTAAACTTGCAGGGAATATTTCAAGCCGTGTACACTGCTGGAGTTGTCTTACCTAAACCAGTCTCCGCATGTCGGTAAGTTACATTGCATCAAAACACATTTACAAAACCGAGCTAGGAGTTTTATAAGATATTTTTTGTTAGGTATTGGCACAGATCACTTAATCCAAAGAAGCTTGTTGACTGCAAGTTTTCAAATCTTAGCAAAAATATGACGATGTCAAGGTTGATAAAGTTGTACAAGTTGCCAGAGGTGAGTATCGACAATTTTTCTTGTTTGTTTGATTTCTGCCCTGCTCGTATCATACGCGTATGTTTTTCGTATCATACGCGTTTCATACGCGTACCGTATGTTAATAAATACGCGAGCGGTACTGCTTGCTTACCAACTACTGATGAAGTTAGTCGATGACTACTGCTAAGGTTGTCGATATGTCAGTCAACATCAGCATGAACAGTCCTTCTCAGAACTCCATTAACCCGGACGATCTAAATCTACAAACATGTAACGATACTTTCGGATTCAAACCCTTTACTTGAAGCGATCTTATATAAATAAGGTAACGTCTTCCAAGTTATTGTATCAAGATTTGATAATCGTAAAGTATGGTAACGACTTTGTGAGTTATAGTTAACAGCGAATGATGACATGATGATTACATTTTTGATATGTTTGATGTAGATTGCGTAGCATTTAGGGAAGTGAGGTCATACGTGCAATTTTTTCACTAGATTTGGTCTGATTAGACTCTCCCGCCCGCTTTATATACGTAGTTGCAAATTTTAGAACAGGAGGGATTGGTAAAGCTCATCCGAGTCATACAACGAACTGTCCGAGGAATTCAATAACATTTTTCGACGAGAAGCTGCATGGTCATTTTACATAGTTTAATAGATAATGGATAAAGACGAACAATTAAACAACAATGTTTTGGTTGAAGTTATACTATACTGTATGCGTACGTATACAACTGTTCTGTTATAGTGTTCTTTTATATACGTAGTTGCAAATTTTAAAACAGGAGGGATTGTTAAAGCTCATCCGAGCAATTCTGTTAAAAATTGCGTATATATACATGATCACTTTTATTTAGGGCAGTCAACATTGAGGACGATGTATTTGATGAGAACTTTAATTATCAGCTTCAACATTCTCTCTAGTCATTTTTTTTAGTATCAAGCAAATCTTTCGACATCAATTTATTGATGTATTTTGTTATTTTCCAGGAGATTACCTTACCTAATCTTTATCCTATTCTACCCAATGATATGGAGGATGCCTACTTGATTGTTAAAGAGGTATTTTATACACATACGTCAGATATATAGGAGTATGCTTCTTTTCTTTGAATTGACTTCAAGTTTTGCTGTTTGAATATGAAAGTACGACCAAAATCTAATACCTCGTTATTAGCTTATGGAGGACTCCAATTAGAACTTGATATTTGACACTGCGTCCACTATCAGTTTTTTAGAACACCAGTTAAATCTAAAACTGTTACGTTTATCACTATTGTTGTACCCGATATTTCTTTCATTACACTCTTTTTATTGTTTTTTTTAGTATTTGAAAAAATTCTCACTTTCGCCTGTGTTTTCTAAGGTAAAGTATAGCTACGTACCTAATAAGTAATTAGTTGTCTCATTAGACAAGTACCTCATGAAGCATATTTATGTAGAAGATGAGATATGTGTGAAAACTTCTTTTTATTTTTAATTTATTCTAATGTTTCATATTTCAGGAAGAGTTTCTTCATTGGTTTACACCTAGAGATGGTGTAATGACTTGCTATGTTGTCAAGGTTTGTACTTTGAATCTTTTAAGATATTTTTTCATATGACTTAAGTTAGATTGTATCGTTATGCGAATTTTGTTGACTTTCGGGCGTGAAATATTGGGTTGATGGTCTTTTAGATTATCGTTGTATTAATTATAAAAATTCCAAAAGAATTTCAAATATAATTACAATCGGGAAATCTAATCTGGTGTATATGAATCAAAATAACTACGAAATTCTATTTATGTACAGCGATATCTAATAGCTTTAACACTTGTGTGATATGATGACTAAAGGCAGTTTTCTGTTATATTTTAGAATGACGAAGGAAAAATCACGGATTTAATCAGTTACTACACACTACCATCGACAATTATGAAGCATCCTACTCATAAATCTTTAAATGCTGCTTATTCATTTTACAACGTCAGTACAGTTACGCCATTAAGTGATTTAATGCAAAATGCTTTGATTATAGCGAAACAGGTACGTAAGATGTTTTATATGTGACTGTGTGATGTACTGTAGTACGTGTAGTTTATGGTAATGAAGGCCCATTGAGATTCATTCATGACTTTTGTATATTGATGATATGGATTCGACTTACAAACTTTTATTTCCGAGTTCCGAGCGTTTAAAGTTCCGGAGAAATAAACATTGCCATGGTCCTCAACCGAGCGCTGAAGGTCTGGGTCTAATAAACATTGCCTTTGCACCTTGACCGAGCGCTGAAGGTCTGGGTCTAATAAATATTGCCTTTGCACCTTGACCGAGCGCTGAAGGTCTGGGTCTAATAAACATTGCCTTTGCACCTTGACCGAGCGCTGAAGGTCTGGGTCTAATAAACATTGCCTATGAATCTTGACCGAGCGCTGAAGGTCTGGGTCTAATAAACATTGCTTTTTCACCTTGACCGAGCGCTGAAGGTCTGGGTCTAATAAACATTGCCTTTGCACCTTGACCGAGCGCTGAAGGTCTGGGTCTAATAAACATTGCCTTTGCACCTTGACCGAGCGTTAAAGGTGTGGGTCTAATAAACATTGCCTATGAATCTTGACCGAGCGTCAGAGGTCTGGGTCTAATAAACATTGCCTATGAGTCTTGACCGAGCGTCAAAGGTCAGGGTCTAATAAACATTGCCAATGTATCTTGACCAAGCGTTAAGGTCTGGGTTGAATAAACATTCCTGATGGACTTGAAACTGCGAAAAATTGCCTGGACTATACAACAATGTTTTATTAAAAGTTTGCTATTGGTTCAATTTAAAGTGTTTATGCAGTGAAATTTTTATATACTTTTTATAGCCTTAATGAAATATTCAGATGTTTCCAAGCAATTTAAATATTTATGTCCATTTTACGTTGAGTGGAAGTTGACTAATTTCAACTCCAAAAGTTCTCCTCTTGTGCGAATTTTGTTGACCTCCATGTTTGCTCATTTGACGTCATAAGTAGTACGGAAGTCGCCAAACTAATAATAACTTCTATTGTCATGTTGAAAATGTGTACTCCTTATGACGTCAATTTAGCAAACATGGCCGCCAAAAAAGTTCGCACAAAAAGAACCAAAAACCGCCACTTTTGATATCTGTAAATTCAATCTGAAAAGACAAAATTTAACTCTGTTTCCATAAAAGTAATGCTGAGAGCAAGTACTTTTGAATAAGCAATTAAAACAATGTATGAAAATTTCACTGCATAAGCACTTTAAGTACGCTTGAGAACATTATCTACAATTTATATTTTTTAGAATGGCTTCGATGTTTTTAACGCTCTTGATCTTATGGATAATAAGGAAATTCTTGAAAAATTGAAGTTTGGAATTGGTGATGGAAATTTACAATATTATCTTTATAACTGGAAATGTCCCTATATGGAATGTGAAAAGGTCTGTTTTGTCTTTATGATTGTTGTCTACCTTCTTTTTTACCTTCTATCTGAGTTTGAAATTGTCGTTGGGGGGGGGGTGGGTAAATAGAATTACAGAAAAATGAAGTGAATTCGAAGAACACGAAGTGTGAAACACAGTGAACATGAAGTGAATTGGATTTTTCCAATTTTCCAAACTCAGATAGCTGTGCTTATGTTAACATTAAGCCACATAAAGTTGATCGTCAAGTGTGGAGTGTACGTGTAAGAATGAAGTATACTATTTTTGATTGTCTTTAACTACACAGTCTGCAATCAAGCTTTGTGTGAACATGCCATAAATACAACATAAAGATATAGTATCATTTGTATTCTTTCTACAGGTTGGCTTAGTCCTGCAATAGATGTTACTAAAGTGCCATTTGTATGCTTTCTGTGAAACTATTCTGAAGAAGTTGTCAGATAATCATCGTTTTCATCATTTTCTCGAGTTTTTTTATACACAGTCGCCACGTGCGTTTTTTGATTGACATTTTCCTCTTGTGGATTTCTACGAAAAATAAAATAACGAAAAAATATGTAGAGTCGTGTTGATCAAATCTCACTTGGAATACGACAATCACATGAAATGGTTTTTATGTTTGGATTATGAACTCTGGCTTTTACGTCTTATAACACAAACTACGCGTTAAACGTGTGTATAATTGTAGTAGAAATTCATCATTTTTTAAAGTGTTAGGTTTACTGCTTTGTCTTTGACTTTTTATGTCAAAGAAATATAAACTTGATATTCAACTCCGCAGTAATTATATGAAAACTCCAACTGTTGATATCTGGTTGTTAAAATATTGGGGTGTACACAATTGATACGATTGGTCTTGAGTTGAGGTTATTGTTGAATGTTGATTATGTATTCAATTGGTTATGTTTAGTTGCGAATTGTGAATTTTTCTTGGTTAACTTTTGCAGGTGTGAAAAATTTAGTTGTTAAGCTCAATCATACTATCATGAGTTAGTAATTTTGGTGATGTTTCCGTGTTTTAGGAACCCGCGAAATTTATCACCAACCAATATCTCAGCCATAGCCTAGTGCTAGACTGAAGGTATGGGGCTCGGCTTAGGATTCCATTTCACGTATTTGTTGAACAAATGATTATTATCGTAATTTGTAGAATCTCTTTAAATATGCTTCTAATCATGTTTCTTACCATCTAACTTTTTTTAATTATTCCACATTTGAATTAATTCAAAAAGTTTTCTAATTTATTCAACGTCGCGTTGGAAACGGTTATTGTGAACACCGTCGGTATCAATGGTCGATATACTTTAATGAACTGTTCATTGCGAACAAGTAATCCCTTAATGTGGTGGTGACCTTTGAATTTTATGTACGTGCAGCTAGAAAGTACTATAACTGGCCTTATGTGTCTTGACCTTTGGAAATATCTACGCAACTAAAATATTCTCCTAGTGTAGTCTGGATATGGTATGCTCGACTGTTTGCATTTACTAACAATAGGGGATGTTTATCATTGATTTGTCAATGCTATAAAACTTCCACGTAGCTCGAATCCTACGTATGGAAACAAATTAATTTTCTTAAGCAATTAATTTTCCCGTTGCAAACATTTAAAATTATTATGTCGTAGGGTCATCGAAAATAATTTCCCTTCTTGGGTCATTTCTTATGGGGCAGCCCCCGTTAATTAGTCATATATTATTTGCAAATTTTCTGCATTGCAATAATTTAGCCTCCTGAAAAGGAAATGGATTTCTTCAATCTTCTTTGTGATGGTGTTTTAACGAACTATTCTATTTTTGATCAAAACTTGACAGAGGTAAATCTGTATCTAAATAAGCTGATATCTAATTTTAGAATTCATATTATGATGATTCTCTGATGACAGCTTTAAAATAAAGCTACTATGTGATTTACAGGAATTATATGCTGATCATAAAGTAGTTAATCATTATGTATGTGTGCTATGCTCTTCTTTGCAGTAGATTTTGACGCATGCTTCATGCATTGTGGCAAGAGTAATTTATTGGATTGTGACTTTCTAAAGTTTGTCATATTTAGATCATAGTTTCGGTGTTTTAAGTGACAAATATTTAAATCAGTCCATTGCATAGCATTATATGATTTTTAGCTGATATTTCTTATTCAAAAATGCATATATTACATGAATTTGACTTTAGGCTTTGTGTTATTTTTTGTGTTGCATATCACTTTTATTTTAAAATCAAAAATGTCTTTTAGATGCTTACATTAAAAGATGAGCTTCTAAAGGTCGGTCACTTGTTTTATCTTGTAACTAGTTTTTCAACACAACTGTCATGTTTTTTCAATATGAACATAATAGCCCAACATAATACTTTTAAGAAAGCCATCACAATAATCAAATAGAGAAGGATTTATTAATTACGTTTCGTAATTAATAAATCCTTCTCTATTTGATTATTGTGATGGCTTTCTTAAAAGTATCATGTTGGGCTATTATGTTCATATTGAAAATTTGCTTTCCGCCTGGCAAATCTCTGTCATGTTTTTATTTAATTACAGTATTCTCTACCTTCAAATCTTTTGATCAACTTGACCTTAACATCTTCCAAGCTATACCGAAGGTACCTTCTTAGTTCTTACATGAAAACTGTAAAATTTATATGTATTTTCTCAATACACACTTTTATTTGAATGATCATGACTCATGTGAGAGTGTTTTACACACCTAAATATATCATTTTTAAAATTATGTTTTAATGAGACAAACTGAGTTTCATGCTGTGTATTTGAATGACAAATGCGAATTCCTCCATGCAGTTTATATGTGTATACAACCCTACTGTTCATATACACTCCCTTTGATTTAGTGCATCCGAATTGAGCACTCCAATAAATGAGCTTGTCCGTCTTGTGAGATTATATTCACCGCAATGGGAAAGTAAGAGTGATATTTTGAAGAAAATTCATAATGATTTTGAAAGGTTAGTCCTCTTTCTTAAGATGTTGTTGGTTTGGCAATTGTGGTTAACTAATTGATTATAATCCTTAAATGTCCAGAACGATCAATTTGTATTCGGTGCTTTCTAATTTTGACCAATTTTGACAGTTTGACAAAAGAAACGGATTTCCTACAACCAGTTCTTGCATATAGTTTGATGTAGATTATGATTGATGTTTGAATTTAAATTTTATGCAACTCATCAACAAATTTTTTTGCCAAAGTAAATGGTTTGAACCCGGAGTATCGTTACATGTTTGTAGATGTAGATCGTCCAGGTTAGTATAGTCCTGAGAAGGACTGTTTCTGTTGTTGTTGACTGACGTTTCGACAACAACAAAAACAGTCCATCTCTGGACTATACCAACCTGGACGATCTACATCTACAAACAAGTAAATTTTTTTACCATTGAATTTAATTTTATATCAGATTTTGTAAGAATTGCATAAAAGGCATAATATATATTGATTTTTCTACAATTTTCATTTAGTAAACAGAGACAGTTGGATATTGCTCTTAAGAAACTGCAATTAGTTGGTTTTGCGGTAGGAAGTTTTAAATCTTACATGGAAAAAATTACTGTCAATATAAAGTGTATTTTTGACACGAAAGAACCAGTCAACGAGTGTCAACTAAAGTTTTGAATGTCAATCTTATACTTATTGTAGTCTAAGAAAATGGAAAAGGAAAAGCGAATAAGGAATTGGGAAAAAGTCTTCTCAAAGGTTATGGTACGTAAGTTAGCTATGTACTAAGTTTTTAAAATATTAACTTGTTGTTTGTTGAAAGATTTTTATTCAGCTCTTGGCTAAAGATAAACTAAGTGTCAACAGTCTAAGTCTGTTGCCGCGCCGTGGACAGCCTGTAAATGGTGTTCACTTACTGTAAAAGTAATGTTTTTTTTAAAAAAAATAAAATGCTTATAAATGATATAAAAATTACATAACATGACCAAACTTGAGGACTGGCTACCCCAGTGTCGGTGAGAATTTTCTTTATTACACATTTACAGTGATTTAGAACTTGGAAGTTATTCGAAATGCTCTAACGACATTTAATTAAAACGTATACAAGACGAAAAATCTTCTCTTTTTCAAGGGGAAGAGTTCTATAAATAGTCAACATTCGTACTCGAGTGAATTCATACAATTTTTTCACAGTCAAAATATTTAAATTGTTTGTTTTATCAATTTTTCGTTAAACATTATCTTAATGTCATCAAAGCCTAACATCATGTTAAACCATTGACTGCTTCCCATCAACTGCCACCTAATTTTCTTCAAAAATGTAATCAAACACATGGTATTGCTATTGAATCATTTATTCACTGTATAAACATTGGTTTGTACAACAGATTCTCGACACTATTCGGCAGTTATTTTAAGCCCCGGTAATATACATTGTTATCAAGAAAGAACAAAAGCAAAGTTAGTGTATTAACAATCTTATATTCGATGGTGTTTCATTTCATCTAAAAAATGCTTTGACTCAAGTACAAAAACACTAAAAACATGTACCATAAAGGACTGCGGTCAGATGGCAACTTTTGCTTACAAATTTTATTTTCATAATTTACTTTGAAAGGTTATGTTTGCCCATAATAAGAAATGTTTTTAGAGTGCTAAAAGTCATGGTCACAGATGGAAATTTTTGATTGCATCGTTGAAAGAAAAGGCAAAAACTGGGTACAAAAAGAATAAATAATTTTCATTTAAATACCATTAAAATCATCTCACAAACCTGAGCTCAAAGTTTGAATAGTTATGCGTTAAGAAAATCACGACTTGATGAGCAAACGAGACTTATTATATTCATCTATAACATTATTTGGAGTTAGGGTTAAAATATTATAATGCCATTAAATGTGAGCAAACATTCTTCTTATTTCATGGATTTTTATAGAGAGATTTTGACTATACCATATCCGTCCAACTCCATGAAAGATATTGAAAGTACGCTAATTTTTTCCTGCAGGCTTTAAAATTCATAAATTTATGTGCCTGTTGCGCTATTTAATTTTTTTTGAAATTTTTTTCGCGTGTTTATTTCTAGGTTCAAAATGTTCCAGTGCTTTTCATAATTACACTAGCAGTCGAAAGAATTTCAAACAATCAACTTTTGCGAAAAATGAAGCTCCAAGCATCCAAGTTGACAGAGTCAACAACAACGAGGCAGGTTTTGAATGTGATGTCATTAAGTTGGCAGCATGGATTTACGGGGGGGTGCGAAGGGGTGCGAACCCCTCCATGCCTTGGATAGAGGCGGTGCATGTGGGGTTCAATTTCCATACAAAATATTAAAGCATACCATGGAATTAAGCAAAAGTAATTGTAATTAATGTATAAGCCGCTTGTAAAAAATATTTATAAGACTTTACAAAATTTTACAAAAATTTTCGGACGTGACACGATGACCCACAAAATAGCCACCCAAATCCAGACTAAACTAAAACACCCCCCTCTAAAAATGATCATGGTCCATCCATTTTTGTTTAAGATCTTCAATTAAGGATGGAGATTTTTGTTTTCCTCATTAAAGTATATAGAGCATAGATCTTTGAAATGCCAGGAAAACACGAATGAGAAATGAAATAATGAAAAAAACTACTCATAAATAGCGTATCGTTCCACTTTTTCAGGATTTTATAGTTGTTTTAACGATTTTAATGAGGTAGTGACTGTACAAACTGGATCGTTTAGTTACGTAAAAGCTGGGATGAAAGAAAAATGTTGATGGAGGAAAATCACATTGGACAAGATGAAGATAAAACGAAGCATTCATTGATTTCAAGGTCAGTAAAAATTCTACAATCTGCAAGACGTCAGTACATTGAATCATATCATCTTTTCTTAGATTCAAATCAAAATATTCATTTGAAAAAGAATCAGGTAGCTAAGAACAGTATGTATATACATTTGTTTGTTCGTGTCCAACTCACTTTTTGCCTTGCTTGGACGTAGAGTTTCGTAATTTCCAAGAATGGAACATATTTTATCACGTAAAACATTTGGAATTCTTTAAAATGACAAACGATTGTAATCTTTCTTAATTTTGTTATACTTCTGTAAAGCTTAATTTTATTTGGGCATTTCCAAAAAAATAGCACTTGTTTTAAAAGATCTTCACTTGCCCTCTGGACTTGCGTTAAATTCAAGTTTATGGAAGAACATCCATATGTGGACCTTCCAAGATTAGCTTAATTAATAGTAGCTATACACATTATATTAATATTCTTGAGAACATTGCCTGCTTTTGTTTTTGAAAGATTCATTTCAATTCTCGCAAAAACCCGGAAGAGATATGGTAGAAAGTCCTACTGGTATTCGTAATATCAGCAATTCTAGATTGTCCGGTCGAAGACATTTCAAAGTAAGGCTTTCCTTTTTTAAATACTACTGACACTTCGGCTTTGACGCATCGAAAATCGCACTTCATACAAAGTTTCCACGAAACGTTAAATTCCGATAAAACACTGATTTGTTTCGACTCCTTCTAAACCTCTGCATTATAGAGATTTTTAAAATCAGTTGTACACGTAAGCTCATCAGTGTCTTTGAATTATAAATTATAGCATAAAAACGTGTCTTTTTTTGACGAGTCATCGGAAATAAATAAAACATGCATTCAAGAAGACAAAAGCGTTGGAACAGAGGAGAAAGAATACAAAAGGTTGAGGAATCACGTTTATATTTTTTAGTTGCTTATTGCAGCATGTCATGAAAACCATATCGGAATTATCAGAACACGTCTTGTATTATCGACTATGTTGCATCGTTATTTGATTTTGCAAATTCTGAAATGGAATTTAAGAAAATGACCATCACTAGCTTATACCATCAATATGGTGATGACCGGGAGGACACATTATTGTACATATTGTATATAGTTGTATGTTTATACAAAACAGATATAGGGGTATTGTAGAATTGATGGGAATCCTCTAAGAAAAATTTTTTCCTTGTGCTCTCTGACGTCATGATTTGAAATATTTGCGACTGCATGCAATGTGTGAGATGTGTCTTGAAAGTGAAATTAACTAACATTATTAGATATTTTCTCAAATTGGGCCCCTTTGTCGCATGGGGAGCGGGGAGGGGCAATGCAAAATATCCGCGTACATATATACTTTACAGAATAGCTTGATTCAAAATATTTGAAATCAACCAGTATTGTATTCGCTCATTTCAGATTCCTACATGTGTTGACGTACAAACCTGAATGTAATCTAGGTAGGGTTTGTAATTTTGTGTTATTTTTTAATGTAATTTTGTAATGCTGAACGTACAAATCTTTGGAAAACATTTTTTCATATACTGTCTTAATAAACAAAGCTAAATACAATACTTAAAAGAAAAACTACGGTAAATATGTTTTCAAATGATTTTTATTGATAATATAACTTTTTCATTATTGGGATTAATTCTTTATTGTTTAGTAAACGCAGTGTCTGAACCAACGTGTACAATAAGTTTTGGAAAGCAAATATTTAAAAGCAAGCCTTACACTGATAATGGTGGGATGCTAACATCTGAAATCGACAACACACCGCCACCAAACAAGTTAGTAATTCTTTCAAACTTGATGTTGTATCATTTAACATCGTCTATATTCCTGAAGTAAATAAGGAAAAAGAAAAATTGCAATTCTTAATCATTTGCAAGTATAACAATGAAGTATAAAGCACTTAACGTACTAAAAATGTAGACACTTTGGAAATGTTTATAAAATCATACAACAAATACAGCAATCAAAATGTTACCTGTCTAGGTAATGAATATGGGATGGTATTGTAGTATTGTATTAGTGGTGACTGATTGAACTTTGTCGATCTCATGTTCGTACTCAACAATGTCTGTATAGATATTTGTTTTCATCAGATTTATTCAACAGCTTGTTGCATTTATATATCTTTATAGTCAGTTCCAGGAGTTTAGTTTCCAATTACCTAACGATAATGAATACACACATGGACAAGGCTTTACAAACATCAACTCACTTTGTCTAAGAATAGCTGTTCAAGGCAATGATGGTGAACAAATCGATGCAATGTCGACAATTGAATACGACGAATTGAATATTTTGGTTTGTAAAACTTTTTGATGTCTTTAATGGGATAGATGTTTGAAACTTTGAATCATGATTACATTCCGTCGGCAATCCCCGACCATAAAGTCCAACTTTGAAAATAATTCTTCTTAAAATTACCATTGCTTTTAACAAGTTAACTATCCATGGACAATAGTCGATCTTATTTTTGCAATTGTTTTTATAGAGTCACCAATTCAGGTAAAATAACTTAAAATAAACTTATGAGAACGCTTATACTCGGAAAAATCTACATAGGTTATGTTAACACCTGCAGTTTTACGATAAACAAAACTCGTTTGATGTACATTGTTGGCTTGTAGAACAAATATAAAATACATACGATTGTTGAGAATGGCACTACATCAATATCATCCTCTAAAGAGTTAAGGATTATCTTAACGTCACTTGAGAAGATTAGATCTTAACCTTCATCAGATAAGATGCCTAAGATTGAATCAATGTAGACGAACGAGATGAATAATTTGTGCTGTTTCGTGGGTGACAATGCTTTGAGTTTTCCTTAGCTCAATTGCTTCAAAAGTTCCCTTTTTTTTTTGTACGTTTTAAGTGGGTACGCTGTTTCTACTTAATCAGTAATGTCATAAATTTTCGTTTTTCTTTAGCCAAACCTTCCAGATCCAGTGGATATACCTACCAATTATCCACTGTTATCATTAAAATCCGATAAAGACACAAAGTTCAACGCAGTAGTTGGTCATGTTCCTATTATTTGCTACAAGGTGAGGTGACGAGCAATGTGATTTTCCCACAAAATATCCATTGTTTTTTCTACACGAACATTATTATTAATGTGACGATATCTTTTGTATTTTAAATTTTTCTTTATTTTGTGTTTATGTTTCTCCATTGAAGACAAAACAAGAGAGGTAAAAACTTTTTTTTACTTGATGGAGTTGTTGTAAATTAACTTGTGCGAGCTGCCAAAAACAAAAATATTTTCAGTCAAACACAAGTGAAATGCAGTAGATAATTTAATGTTATGATGGGAAGCAATATTTGTTCATTGGTTCTGTTTTTGTTTTAAATTACAAACGTTTTCTCACTTATCGTTCCATTAAATACAAAATGTATAGTTTCATATTTTATAGGTTTGAGCTTGACTAGTTGTGTCATGTGTAGAAACTGTCTCACTATCAAATATTTTGATTATTTTGTTGATATTTAGGTTGCGTTTTGTGGAAAGATCATCTCAGACCTTAACCTTTAACGAGTAAGTATATATCATTGTGATGATCAACTTATCGATCAGGGGAAAGCTTGTTTGAATAAACAAATAAAAAAGCAAGCAGTCTATTGTCACATCCCCCTTCTTTTACCCTGTTTCATCTATATTCTGAAGAATTGCTCTTTTGTTCTTCTTATGTTAATAGTTTAACATAATAACTTATGTTGTACTATTTGTCCTCCATAAAGTTTTTCAGCCAGAGTAAATCACCTTTGCTTACGAGTTTTTCAAGACTATATATATATTCTTTATATATCTATTCTGAATGTTTATGTTGATGAAAATTTTTCATTGTTTTTAAGGTTGGTTGAAGAGATCCTGGCAGAGAAGAAGTGAGTTAAATTTGAAATTATTTTTGGGAAGGAGGGTGGTGAATGTATTCATGAATGTAAAATATAAGATATACATGGGAAATCGGCCAAGGATTGGCAAGGGGAGTATTAAAATCATAATGTCCAAAAAAAATTACTGAGTTTTGTGTGTCGAATCATCACTCCACCTTTACGACCGTTTTTTATGTGAGGTGTAAGTGCGAGCTCCTTATTGCAATAAATTTATTGCACCCATATTGGAGCATATAATTTAATGTCTTAGCAAATTTAAAATACCAGTTATACCACAATGAGAGGTAAAATTGTTGTGATAAACTTAGTAAACATAAAATTGAACGTCTTGCCCCCCCCACCCTTCAGTATCCTCCTGGACCAACATCCGGGTCATCATTTTCCACCACTATGTCACAAAATTTGACTGTTCGCCATAATGGGGAAGTATAGAGTGGTGCAGTAATACAATTTACTATTATATCGACCAATTTTTTTCTAAATTTATATAATATTAATAACACTTATTAAATATCCAGTGATAAACAGTCAGAAATTTTAATGCATTAGTGTTATATAAATACTTAATATTTTTGTTAAATGGTTTTTTGCAAGATTAATGTTTTGGTGGTCAAGGCTGAGAACCTCACAATGACCATAAAACAACAGCATCTTGTGTAGTTAACATTGGCCTTAAAAAGCTGAGATTATTTGGACCGTTGTCACTAGGATGCATTTATAGTAAAGTAATTTGAATGAGTTGTTCCCACCTTTGGGCACAGTCTGTTTTCTGGTATCAGTATCCATGAGTAGTTAATTTCTCTGACTTAACAATTTATGACTACCAGAATTTAAAATTATTTTGTATTTGCAGTATACAGTAGAGTTCTTTCACATTAGTTTAAATAACTATGATCATGGGAGAACATATTTATCTGCTTGCAGAAATTTACCAAGACATTATTTGGTTACTTGTAACTAGTGATTGATTTAAGTCAAGATTTAAAATACAATAACACATTTTAATGGAAATTTTGAACATTAAAACACACAATATGATACAATTTTAAGTTTGACTTTACCTAAGAAAAATTGGTAATAAGATAATTGTTTGCATACAAGCTTCCAGTTTCCTTAGAAGATACACTGATGATACAATGACAAAATATTGTTTTATGGAATTGCCTTTCTTTTCATTGACCAAGTTCATAAAAAATCGTCGTTTGTATAGTTTCCAAGTTTCAATGCTTTAGAATTTTACTTTATTTTGAGTCCGTGATGCTTTAAAGAATATTAAGTTTGCTCAAGTACGTTGTGGATGTACAAAGTCAAACCACACAGACAAAGTAAGAAATTTATGCGATAAATAAGCAAGAAAACTTATCAATACTCTTCTCACAAACATGTTACTGCTCAATGGTCACCACAAGGAGGTTCTCAATCCTCGCTGTTAAAAATTCCCGAAGAAAACCAGTTAAAAAGTTGTACCTAGGCAATAATACAGCCGCCATGTTGGTTCTTTCTCCCTCACAATAGCGGACAGAAAAGCTGTGACGTCACGTGCCAACACACTGTTGTGTTGGCGACGTTGGCGTCGTTGGTGTTATAAAATATTGTTGATTTAAGCTTGAGCACTACCATATTGACGCTATGGGATCAAAATCATCGAAAGAAACCGACGAAGATAAAACTACCAGTACATTATTGGATCCGTGGCCTTATAAGTTTATTGATACAAGTGAAATCAACTCCACAGCAGAACCAAAGATGTTCAAAAAATTCACGAGAAAAGTTGATGATATGGAATCACCAGTTTTAACATCAACGACCTCACCATTAGTTTTTCTTCACGATGAGAATTGCCTTCTTGCCGGTGGTGTAGATTTTAACCTTGATGGTTCAGGCGTCCAGAAGTTGGTGAATAAACAAGTATTTTGTCCTAATGAATTAGCCCTCTTTCATTACTGCAGTGGGAGAATTATAACACTTGCCAAACATAGAATCCGCGATATTTCTACCTGTAAAAATATCGTTTTGAGGATCTTAGCATATAAGGGCCCTTCATATCTTGAAATCTGGCAATGTGAAAATCCTTTTAATTTCATCAATTTTGTCAGTGCCAAAGTCAACATATCTCGTATTGACATACTTAAACAAGGAAGCATTGTATGTGATGTGTCATGTTGTTCAATATCACCAAATGGTAAATACGTAGTTCTTGCTGTGTCTTCAAACTTTTTTACCATAAGAGATAAATGTCGTTTGGAGGTGTACACCTTCCTAAAAAACAAACTGACAAAAAAACATGTTCATTTTCTTAACAAAATATTCAAGCAAGTTGAATTCATTTCAAGTTTGGGCTTTTCCTCTGACAGTAAAATCTTAGCAGCTGGTTGTGAATTGTTGGATGGTTCAGGAAAAGTGCTTCTTTCATCTATGGTAAAACAACAAATGATTGTTGAACTTGAGGGGATGTTTATTGGTCAGGTGCTATGTGGATAGCGTTCAACCCATCATTCACAAACCAACTTGTCACTGTTACATGTGATGGTTTCATACGATTGTGGAACATTCAATCATTCAATGATGGCATTATATTACCTTCTAGCTCTGTCAAAAATAGTCTTGTTATGAACAATGTTGCTGGAGTACATGTCAATTCACAACCAAGATTTTCACCAGATGGAAGTATGCTTGCTATGACCATATCTGATGGTCGAATTGTTATATTTGACATTTTTAGTGTTGAAGTACTCTGGACCATAACACTACCACATTTTCATCGTTCTACAAACTACTTACGTGCTCCAACAAGTTTGTGTTTTTCAAAATCTTGCGAGTATCTTGCTATTGGAAATATGGCAAATTTTGCATCTTTATGGTTGTTGCCTAGATCTCATTTCTCTCTGAAGCATTTTTGCAGAACTAAAATTATCAGCAATTGCCCACCAAAATCAGTTTGCAAACTTCCAATTCCTGAAGATTTAAAGCGTTACTTGCTCTACAAAATCTAAGAATAGTTCATCAATAGAAAAATGTAACCATTGCTCAACATGTTCTGTTCTTTATTGTTGTTGATTAACATTGTATTGTATGTTTTTATTGTATTGCACAAAAATATTTTACTTAAGAAAATATTCAGGGAGCTAATTATCTAAATCGGGTTATTTGTTGGTTGTTGTCATGGACTACGGTACCAATATCAATAAAAGATTGACAATTTTGAAATGACTTTTCTTGCTGAACTTTCACCAGGGAAAATAATACATTATTTAAAAGCTGTTGTTGCTACGAAATTATAACTGTATTTCATTACATTTACGTACACTACTCATGATGATCCATTGTGCAGGGGAGGGGGGGAGTTTAAAGTCGGAGGCTTAATGTAGACCCAAAAACTATTGTATTTTGCCTCAAAAATGGACTGTTAAACTCAATCTTGAAAGGGAGTTGCAGTTCTCCCGATCTTACCCTTGTGCTGTGAATAAGTACAGTATAGAGTTCAGAATTTCTGTTGCGAAAAAATATGTTTCAATTTAACACTGATATTATACATTTAAGTTATGAGATTCAATGATTCAATTTTTAGTTCATTTTAGTGTGATGATACTACCTTTAATAGACACGTTGCATGTTGATTGGCCATAAACTTTTCATGTTAACTACCAATACTTCCAATTTTTATTTCATGTTTTTTTGCGTTTCATATGTGCATGTAGAAAAAAAGAAGAAGAGGTAAACAAAGAGGTTGTTCTTTTCTACCTACGTTTTTACCAATATCATTGCAAGTAAGAAAACTGAACTGCTCTTTGTGCAATTTCCAGGAGGTGAAAATCTACTCAGAAGCTGATTTTCGCCAAATAATGAATGGACATTTTATTGAACTGGAAAACTTGAAGAAAGAATATGAGTAAGTTCTGAGCAAAATATTGATCTTCGAAATTCGATTAAAAAGAAGACCATGGAATATAATTGATCACTCAATAGAATTGAAAGACTAGTGTTAACTCAAATTGATAAGAAGATGGTATTTAGAGAAATATTGTTTATTGAAGGTTTTGGAGCTAGTTGGCATCATTAATTTCCAAGTGATAATCGCCAAAAGAAACGCCAAGTTTTGTAGTGTTACTCATTAACTAAAAGAGCACAGTTAGAAAATCCCTTTTTGATATTTTTTATTTTATCTTCTCTTACAACCAAAGAAAAGAAGCAAGAAAATTCTTAATCTGGAAAAACCTTTAATCAAAGTCTTCAAAAAATAGTTAATTGCGTTACCACACGTCTTTTTTAATATAATTACATGAAATTAAAAAAACCCACTAGTGATGCGTTACTATTAAAAATTGAGTGTGCTACCTTTGCTTGACTTTTACTATATCATGCATTTATTTTGTTTTTAAAATTCACCCGTAGTTTTAATTCTCTAAAGCGTGTGATATGACTTTATATTACGTCACAGACTACAACTTCAAGAGATACATCTATTTTACACAAGTGGATCTCCAGATGGTTTTTCAAATGCTTCGTCAGCCGGACCTAAAGTCGTTAGTGGTGAGCAGCATTTTCTTGTATGTATCTCTACTGTACAATAGTAAATGTAAATGTTGTTTTACTTAGTTTTCTGCTGTCTGTAATAATCCACAGATTTGTTCAAGAAGATACTTATAGAGATTTTTGAAGTTGAATACATATTATGAGTTTAGATATGTCATGTCTTTCGACATAAAGTTGTCATTATTGTGAACTAAACACACCCGATTGTCAAATCATTTGATGTGTGTGTACAACTCCTAATTTGTAACCATACAACATTACAAGAGCAAACGGAATGGAAAGCAAGTACAATAAACTCGATAATAAATTCAAAATAAATCTTCAATTTTTTTTAGCGTGCTTACGTATAGCATAGTCAACCTGCAAGTTTTAGTCCTGTTGTTTTTTCCATTAAGTGTGTAAAATTCTGATTGGCTTGGACTTAAAATAGTGGCAAATGATCTTGTGCAAGCTACAATAATACACTATTGGTCTATTTCAATAAAAATGCTTTTTTTGAACTTAGTAAGGTTGCTTAAACTTATTTCTTTTGTAATAAATTAGGGCTGTGCAAACTCCGGTTTTTCAGTTCCGGCTCCGGGCTCTTATCAAATCTGAACTCCGGCTTCAAACTCCGGCTCCGGCTATTTTATAACTCGAATCACTGATTGTGGCTGTTGATTTTGAAATTCACCGTTCAACAGTTTAAGGTATATTATTAATTAAATTTTTATATGTAAAGTTAAATTGTCCGTACTTTGAATCATGCATAAATTAGCATGTGTGAACGCAATCTAGCGTCATGTTGTGTCATGCATAAAATGCTTTATATTCATGCAAGTTTTTCAATTTTAGCCGATAGTTATCGTTCGTTGATACAAAAATGTTTTGATCAGACTTGTTTACCAAAGTTTGACAGTATTATGCAGCACAAACATCTGCTACCGGAGTTTTGCCGGAGATGAACAAACTCCGGTTCCGGCAGGCAAAATAGCCGGAGCTTCGGCCTAACTCCGGCCTCCGGTACTCCAGTGCACAGCACTGTAATAAATTTATGATTCAGGAAGTTTCATCGGACAGAAATCATAGCATCCTTTTACATTTATCATGTAGCTAGTACATCGCCAGTACTTGAAAACCGTGCATCGTTCGTCAGGTCAACACCGACCACTCGAGAAAGTAGCAGAAGGCCACGTACTGCCGATTTAACGTAAGAACTTTTGTAAAAAATGACATGTTGAATACTAACTCAAGTAATTAACATTTGCGCATATATTGTGTCATGGAAGTGTTCCGTTTATGTATTCTATACCTGTTCTTTTTTTATGTTACTACAGATACGGTATTTCCTCTCGCCCCCAGTCTCTTATTACTCCCCCTCCTTTTAAAAATTTCCAACTTGAAATGTATCCAAATATAATCCCTTGTGGGACTAAATAGAGAAAATACGATGATGTTGTTCATTTCTTATCCTTTCCAATGTTTTATTTCCTGCAATTTCTTAAGGACAACTCAAACAAAGAAAAGTAAACTTGGGCAATCTCTACCTCAGCGGGGCAAAGATCTTCCTGAAAACGTTTGTATATAAAGCTTTTATTTTAGCATTAAAGCCATTTGGCAATAGGATATTTTTATATTTTAGTTCCTGGACAGATTGGAATATTTTTCAAAAGCAAGTGCCAAATATCATGATGAATTGACCCAAAAACGAAGAAAGCGGTTTGTCTTTTGATTTTATTTCCTCGTTCAAATTTTGATTTCTACACTGTAAAAACTGATTGGTTAAAATAACCATATGATTGGTTAAAGTAACCACAAAAATTCTGGTTAAAGTGGTTAAATGCATCTGAGGTAACCAATTTTTATGGGTTTTTTAACCAATCAGTTTTTATAGTATATATGCCATAACTGTTGTGGATGATTTTTTTATCATATTCGGATCATGTTTGACAGAATGCGAAGGGCTCTAACCCTGTTGTGTAGCAATCCCGCAAATTTCTTCATGTTGCATGTAAAGCACTCTTCATTCTCTTCGTAGGTCTGTTTTCGAAATCTATTGTTTTTACATTGAGTGAACAGCAAAATATTTACATGTCATGAACGTAGGAGTTTCCAGTTTTGTTTGACCGAGTTTGGTATGACAAACGTAATTTAGTCCTGTTCCCCGCGCCATAAACAAACTTGCGGGCTGTTAGGCCACTGTTGAAACTTCAGAAATTAATCTATTAAATTATTCTATCTTCCCATGAATTAATTTGGGTATATATTTATAGGTTCAAGAGAGTTATGAACTTCAATTGGCAACACAGAACAGATTAAGTGCTAAGCACGATGAAATGGATTTTAACGGTAAGGAGTTTTTGTCTCGAGTTTTCGATCATTTTTGTGATTTGCCGAAAGCTTTTCTTATCAGAAATGCATCAAATATTAAACTTTTTCATAAACTCAACACAATTTTCACATCAATTTTTGCATGCGTTTGTTTCCGTTTTATATTTGTTTTTTCTTCATCTAGATGTATGCCTCCCTGCCTTGTTTATGCCATCAAGAAATGGAATCGTATACTCGCCCAAAGCTACTCTGTATTTCCATCCTTCTGGTAAGATATTTGCTTCTCGCCGTTATATGATCTGTGTTTTTCTATGGTTTGTGATCATTTTTACAGGAGCTACAAAGAATCGTTTTACACAAGCGCCATCTGTCTTCAAACTTCCATCGTCCGTTGAGAGAAATGTATCCTTGAAAGTTTAGTCGATTCACTGATCAGAAATCAATAAATTTTCGCTATGCTATTGTTGTTTTAAAACAAAAATTAATTCTTGAAATCTGTAAAATCCGTTCATTATTTTTTTCACTGATGTATATGATACAGAACCTAGGATTGAAGTCTTCACAAAATTTAGAATTAGGTAAATCCTTTGTAGTTTCAAGCACGGGATTCGAAATTTAAATAGTTCACTACATACTAAAAACTGTTGTGCTGTCGGCTTTGAAAGTTTCATCTTTCATTGTATCATCTATACGACATACTGACCTCTAATTTGCTAAATCAATGTATTTGGGGAAACTTTCCAATGGTGACTTTAATCAATAATGCCTTAACTAGTTATTTAAGTCTGCTTCAGTTCTGAATTTATTCCGCATGAGTGAAAATTTCATTCATAATGGACCTTCGTGGTTAGCATCGGCTAAGCGTTCACAATCAGCTGTTGTTCCGAGAAAAAAGAGCGAAACGACATCTTAACAAGAAGTTCACAAAAATGTAGTAAATACAAAATGAGAATCGTAGAAAAAAGAGATTTAGTTTCATTCAACGTCCTAAATAAAGCAGAAACTCTTTGTGAGGAGGAGACGTTGTACATCCGCGCCTCGCCACATTCTAGTTGAAAAATGTTAGTGGCTATCGGTGTTTCTCCATTCTGATGTTGCAATTATATACGCAAGATGGATATACGACACATCTTAATGGTTTATTTGCCATTACTCTCGGAACATTTTTCAAGCTTCCGCTTTTGGCTTTGTAAGCACTGTAAGCACTTCATAATTTTTTACGTAATTCAATTGCTGTTTGTAAACCAAAGATTAAATAAATTAACAAGACATCGTTAGCTGGCTTGTACATGCAAACGGTGGTTGCCTAGCTACAGTGGTGGACTGCAGTGTGGGTGAGGGGCTTGAGGCTTCAGCCCCCAAATAATAATTTTGAAAGATTTAAAATCTTTCGCCCAATCCCTCAAATCACCCCTAAATAACATAACTTTGATGTTAAGTAATAAATATTTGACAGACTTCTGTATTGTACACGTACCAGCAGACGCATTAAAATTTGTGTAAATAGGATTATGTGTACGTAGGAATCCTTAAATGAAATTTCTGGAGATTAGATTTTCAAAGTATACCAGTAAGCATCCCTTGAAATCTCATCCTTCTCCAATAAGCCATAAAGTGTCTGCCACTGCCTAGATGTTACTGTTGATCTTAAACTGGAACCACAGCCTTGATTTAGTATTATGTATGAATAATGGTGAAGCCAGCTCGAACTTGCGAATACAATGCAAAATTTTCAGCAAAATTACTATTCGTGTCTTTTGAATATTAATTTCATTCATGGTTTTTTCAGTGAATAAACGGAAAAAATATTTGCATTGTAGTAAAGAACGGGCTGTTATTGGTACTGTGCATGAAAATTGAAGTTTTTAACAGTTCGTATAAGGTAATAAACTTCATTTCGTGTAAAAAATATCTCAGTTGAGCCTATGTGTTTTAACAGAATTTTTGCGAGCTCAAAGTACGAAGTCCATCTGTCGATTGAGTTTAACAGATATGCTAGACAATAAAACATTTTACCTAACACGTATCCATTTGACAAAGAGTTATTTAACTGGTAAATTGCAGTCTCTATTGTAGATCGTTGCTGATCTTGAAGCAATATAAATGCATGCCATGCGCATCTATTTTTTAAGTATCCACATTCAGAAAATATATGTTTGGTGTTTCCACGATCAACATTTTTCACAGCATGTTTTTATTGTCTATGAATCGCCTCACTGCGCGAGAAATTTTACCTGCATCTAACACTTCATTTTTGTGCCTTCCTTAAATATGTTTCTCGACGGAATGATTTGGTCGGCATGACTTTAATGGCAGAATTTCCTTGCTCCTTGTTTTACTTAGCCGTTACATTGTTTACTCGAAAATCCCTGCATTTCTTCCCAGTTCCCATGTTGTTTTACTTTCATTCTTTTGGCTCGTAAAACCATTAAAGTCAAGACAATATCCTTTATCGAAGGGTCTTTATTAAGATATGGAATATAGTATTCTTAAATTTCGTAGGTATTTTCTCAGTATTTTCTGTTTTGAACTAATTTTAATTCCTGCGTTTTCGCAGCTCTCGAAAATGCTTTTCATATTTTCTTTTCAAAAGTATGACAGCATGAGCTCGGCAAAATTTTGCAATATGAGAATATTTGAAATTTTAAGAATATCAACAAGGATAAACAACTTGCATAAGTTGCGTTGGGAGCTTTCATCACTGTACATTTTGTGAGGTGTGCTCAGTTGGTCATGAGCTGTTGGCTCTCGTAAAAGAAGAGAAACGGTTACCACAGACGTCTTTACAACAGCTAACTCGACACCTTTGCGTCTACAAGAAGACTGCATCGAGTTAGAAACTTCTTGGTGTGATTCTAGAGTTAAACTTTTGAACAGACTTCAACTTAGCCGAACATGCATACAGGTATTGCAAACTTCTTTAACTATTCCTGCCACGAACAAAAATTAAAGTAAAATCAAAAATATTTTTTATGTCCAACAGATTTATACTTTTATTTGAAATCAGTTCTCAGAAGCATGTTGATTTCGAAAGTAGCTGCATTGGAATATAAAACACCGTTTCTTCGCTGGTAAGATAATCAATAAATTTTTTCTAAATTACGTTTCATGAAATGAGTACGAAATAAACCTTTCCATTTCCAGTTTTTGCATCGACTGAGACATTAGTTAATGATTAATTCTAACAAAATCGCTATGTTTATAATACGACGCTGTTGTTCCTTTTTCTTGTTCAAGCTTCGTCATGCGTTAATCGATTTATAGAAAGGCTTACAGCAACATTAAAATAAGAACTTTAAACTTAGCCGTTGTTGAAGCTAACTACGCACAACTAGTATTTCTACTTTTAGATAACTAACGATTTGGTTGCTTATTAAATGTTTCCGGAATTTAAACTTTGTCTACAACCTTACAACCTATACTTTTATTTGAAGTATTATCCAATTTGTTACAAAACATGTTACAGACATATGGCCAAGTCGTGGTAATTTCATGTCAAAAACAACAATAGAACGGTTTTTCAAAACGCTCACTTAAGTGCAGCATTAAAGAATCCGATAATTGGGGTAGTGTCCATAAAAAACTTGCAGTGATTCGTGGTCTAACTACATTTAGTTTATTTAGTTTAGTAACTACATTTAGTAACCACATGCTGCCACCTAAAGAGACACGAACTGCGTAGCAAATCTTATTCTCTTCACTTCAAAGATTGTAGAAAACTAAAAGCACTAACCAATCTCATGGTACTTTTTATTGAAAAAATGGCGAAATTACAAAATTGAAGCCACCATTCAAACGTCGCTCTTGTTGTTATAGTTGCCCCTGATACTAATTCAAATATTGTGCGAGTCTTTTAGAGAAAAATAACGTCCTTTAACTAATTAAACTGATCGAAATTCTTCGTAGTCACAATTAATCTTCATCAGACATATATGGTTTTGATGTTAACTATTTCCTCCCCCCCTGCTAATGGCCTATTCGTCAGTATTCTTTAACTTCCTCTTAGATAAGTTGTGGCGCGATTTTTTTGTCGCATCAAATGATAGGAGAAGTGTAATTTTGGCTTGCCTCGTAAAATCAATATAAAACCCAACTGCAGCAAATTTCATTAAAAATATATTTTTTCAACAACTAGGATGAATTTTGCGAGACTGTTGCCTTATAATGGTCGACTTACTTCTTAGCTGGTTGTTCTTTAGTATGGTGGATTGTTGGTGATTTATTGGCTCTGGTAACATGGGGGGGTGCACATTTCACTTGTATAACTGGTGATGTTGCAGCTAAGTGGAAAATTGATGTATTGTTTCATTGGTAAGTAAACTTCAAGTGGAAAGGGGGGGTGACGTGTATGATTTATTATGTTATGATTCATGCATAACTCACCACATAGTGTTAAGAAATTTATCCAATATTGTTCATTTTTCGTTACTCAAATATGTTTCGTTGTTCGATTCAATTTTAAGGACACGTCGATTTGTTGTATGATTTCTGTTTTCGTTAATGGAGTACAGCTGGTGTATCCGTGTATGCATTCATAGGTTTTTAAGTGTCTCCAAACTTCCAGAAGTTGAAAGAGATACATGTGTTTACAATGTCCGAGCATGTTTGGGATCATAAAATTTGTTTACCTTGTTGTTTAATGAAGTGAATGGTTTGAACCCAAAAGTATCGTTACATGTTTGTAGATGAAAATCGTCCAAGCTAGTGAGTATTGGTGTGTTTATTGACTGAAGTTTTCGAAATCCTTATCGGTAGTCATCTTCTACGTACAATATAATATTACGATGTTTAAACAATTACATCGAGCACAACTCTTCACTTTTCTCTGAAGATGATTGACCATACCATTATTACTTCTTAGAATATTTTCTTTTTTTATATAGCTGGATTTATTGTTTTAATTACTGTTTTTATACCATTGTTTCAAAACTTGTTCTTTTATATTCCTTTAATTCTTTAGATTGGTAATGAACAATTTCTCTGTTGATATGGTAAGGATTATTGTTTATAATATTAGATGCGAGGAAGTCAGTTCTGTTGTCCATTTTTCAATATCTTATAATTATTTAGCTTCTTGTTACATCTTGATCTTGTTAAACACTCTCCGCGCTTAATCAGGTGAAGGTTGAGAACCTCAAAAATGAGGATGACGGTCTTTAACTCAGCGATGATTGTCTTTGTTGCTGATTTTTTTGGCATTGCGTTAATGGAAAGTTGAAGACTAGGCGGTTAGAGATATGTGTTCCCATTTTCACATTTTATGTTTCACATTTTATGTTTCCTAACGTTATTTTACATCAATTATCTACATGCAATCTTATAATGTTTTAGGAAGAAAGAAATATCCCCGAGAAAATTCGAAGACTGGTGCATAAAGAGCGGGAAATGAGTGACAATTGACAGAACTTGTGAATTATCTGGACAAACTGACTAAAAAAGAATTTCCTTCCTAGATTTACTCGTCATTCACACAGGACTACAGTGTTCCACGTAGCTGCAACGTCACCAGATATACCAATGGCATGTGCTCCACCCATGTTACTGGAGCTGGTGAATCACCAGCAATTCACCATACTAAAGAATAACCAGCTTAGAAGTAACTCCCACCATAATGTGGCGATATTTATCACGAAACTATTTGTTTCGGAACGAAATCGTTTTTCTTCATGTAATGTATATGGCTATGTTATTTTGAGAGGTCAGACCTCCCTGATTTCTTCCAGCGAGTACGGTTAAGCAGAAAAGATTAAAGAATTGAGAAATATTTGTGAACGAAAGATGAAAAGAAGTAATTCACACACACAAACCATTTGATGCCTAGTGAAGATTATTTGTTGACAGAACGATTTTTAATAAATTCAATCATCCAGCAATATTTTTTTTGCTAAAAGGGATGACCTTTTGATGGATATATAATATGCAGAATTTCTAAATATATATTTGAAAAAGTAAGTTATAGTTATGCCAAGGAAAATGTTTGTGGAGCAAATTATCAAATCAGGTTACTTTCTTTGTTTGTTATCTAATTGTGACCAGGACGACTTTTTAAGTTCAATCCGCCAGCAGTACTATTACGTTTTGTTAAAAGGGATGATTAACCTGTTGTTGAATATATAATATGTAGAATTTCTAATTATATATTCGCCAGTTTGAGTTAAAGTGGTTTCGTCAATGAAACATTACACGTTACATACAATAACTTTTTCATTAGCGCACTTGATGTCCTAAAATTGTGGTGAATTCATGATACCTTGAAATTGTCTGTTTAATGCTTATAATTAATTAAATTTAGTCATTTAAATGAAGTTACTACGTATATAAAGTAGTATGAATAACATTATATATATCTGTATACGATGCCTCGTTTTAGTTCTGTATGGTAAAAACTTTCATTTTAAATAAAAACTGCTTAGTTTTGTGACTACTAGTGTTCCTATCCGGGCTATGTTTCGAGAACAAACCTTTAACAATTCATAAAAAGGAGTTTTGAAATTCCTAGATATTATCAATACCATAATTGAATATAATCTTGGTGCGGGTTATAGTTGCACCTAGACCGAATAGCGCTATTCACTTGAAAGAAAATTTTTTTAAACATTTAAAAGAATTTAAAAGACAAAAATGTAAGATTTGAATTGAGCATTCATTAAAAGAAAATATTACTTCCAAGATTACGAAAATTTCTATGTTGTAAGGAAAATACAAACAACGTTTTTACAAGTTTGAAAATTTTACCATCTAATGGAAAACGCTATCCAGTCTTCGTGCAACCGGCCCCAACATCAACTTTCAAAACGAGTGTTGGAACGAACCACAAAGTCGGCATGCTGACTACGCTACTGAATATAATTGTTGTACATTTCTTTTGATGATTAAGTAAAAGATTGCAAATACCCTCAGGACCTTTTTAATTATGTAACGGGGGGGAGGTTGCCTTCCAAACCCTCATCCTACCCCCCAGAGTTTTCCCTTTACAAAACAATAAAGAGTTAAGAAACATGAGAAATAAGTTTTTGCTAGATGATGTTAATGTAACATGGTGTAAAGGGATAGAGATGACGGCTACATTGTACCGTTTTATTAGTATAAAGTGAATTATGTCCACGTGGAATAGGCTTCTGCCAAAAATGTCAAGTGTGTATTGTGCATTATCACATTATATACAGTCGAACCTCGTGTTTGCCACCCCGGGGATCACGTCTAGGTGTCTGCTTCTTACGTGAGGTGTTCGCTTATGAGAGGTTGAAAATAAAGTAAAATAATAGTGTATTGTCCCGATCAATCAATTACACAAATCCCTTTTTTCATTTCACAATTCATGCACCTATGCAGTGAGAAAATTTTTGCTTTTCAACATAATCGAGATAATATATTTATTTTGATGTGATCACTAAAGATATTCGTTAAACTATTAATCATTTTTATTTTATTTCAATTTCTTTCATCGATCCACTTTTTTTCACATCGATGCACAATTTTTTGACCATCTATTTAAACTTTTGTTTGTACGCACATCGTGTCTATTTTTCAAGAATGAAACAAGTCATGGAGTCAATAGCTCTGATATGAATGCGGGAATGGAAAGAGAAAGACATTTCTTTTCTTAGAAAATTTACAGACAAATGATTTTCTTTCAAAAGTTTTATCATTGTCATCATTATTATGAAATGAATAAAAGCTAAATGCACAGCGTCGCAAGAGTCATTTGCGAGCATTACTGTAGTGTACAGCAAAGCTTTGAAAATACTTCGCACTTCTTCTCATCTTAAAATGAGCAAGGTAATTCACTTATAGACTTTAAATGTGTCAAGCAAAATACTCATAATGTTATTTTTTTGTTGGATTACAACCTATTTCTCGAAACTGATGAAATCAACGTCCGCTTTGTGCTCCCGAGAATGTCAAATAGTTTTTGTGGAATGTATTCGTTTTCAAATATATTTTTACTAGTTGTATAGAGAATCAGCTGAGAAGTTCATCAAGTTTGTGAATAGCTCACCATCACCTTATCATGGTAAAAAAAATATAGCTATCTTGTATTAAAAGTGACTTGTTAGCATTTCGGGATTAGTAAATTGAATTCGAATTTCAATGATTCAAAATTGAAGATGTTTGATGAAAAACATGAAAAATGCCAATTTGTAAGAAAGGAAATTTCTCAAAGTCTTGAAGTTTTCTCAAGTGTTGTGTCTGAAATTTTGATGCCTACATTGTTGTTATAATTGGTCCACAGAAAAGGAAACCAGTGTGGAATACGAAAGTATTTTTTTTAACATTTTTAAAGAAATGTATCAATATTAACACTCAAATGATAGTTTGAACAGGGTTTTCAAAAGTAAGTTAAATTATAATTAAAAGAAGGAGTGATTTCAATTCTTGATCAATCAAAAATTTCTTGACAGAAGCTGCACACCCTACAGTCATTAGATGAATTTTGTATCATTAAATCATGATTTTAGCTATGAAACCTTTTCCAGTGATGTACATTATGATGAAAAAAATGTGGACCGAATACTATCAACACAATTCGTATTTATTTTTTCTTAATAGCAAATTACAACTACAAATTTCATCTTTACATTTTCCCCTGTACATCAGTAAATGTTTAATTAGCAAATATGAACTTAAATTATTAAACATATGTCATAATTGTGTTGGAGGTACATATAGGAAATTTAATATGGGGCATAGCTTAGTTTCTAAGGCTACTTATTACAATCTTGGCAGCATAATTTGCAAACTAGATACATAGATGAAATTTGCACAGAAGTGATGTACAAACTTTTCATCCAGCAAGGAATAATCATCAACTATAGAATAATCATAGAAAACATGTATTTTTCTTCACTAGTCAGCATTTGACTTGGTTAAGTTTTAGCTCTGGCTGCAAGCATCTGTAAGTATAATTTCTCAATTGTATCAAGAAAGAATGGAATAGAAAAGCAAATTAATATCCTCAAATGAGATATTTGTTAGTTAAAAAATCTATAAATCACATTGTACTATTTAATTCAACTATTTAATACCTCAAAATTTATGTGATCGAACAACCTGCTTTCTTCTCTAGTTGATGTCAACATTCTCTAGCTTCATAAACAAACAATTTCATATCTTTTCAATTCAGCAGTAGCCAGAAGCTTTTGTTTACTTTCCTAGAAAAGTCCACAGACAAAATAGCCTTGACCTTTTTATTTTCATTTTCACATTTTTTATTTTTACTTTAATTTTCCCTAAGAGTAAAAACAGTTATCGTCAGGGCTGTAACGTAGCCTCAGTAATAAGATGTATAACGAATTCAATAAGTACTTAATTTTTTTTAAAGGGGGGGTTAGCGTGGAGATATTGTGTATCCTGGCCGGTCGAAAACGACACACTCTGAAACATACATATGTGAATTTTCAGTTCCCTCCCCCATGTACGGCCTCGGTACATTAAAACCAATGTACGTTACATTGGAAAGTTATTATATGCAAAATTACTAGTCAAAGGAAGTTTTAAACTTTACTTTGTATGTCGTCCTGCTGTGAAAGGAATTTATTTGTCTATATTTCATGTGATCAAAGAATGGCTTTGTACTTTTTGACTTAAAATGACTTAAAATTGACGCGAAACGCATTTGTTCTTGTGAATTAAAATTTTTACTTACAATTGCTTACATCTTTGTAAAAAGGAGGAATTAGAAAATTTTTACTTACAATTGATTACATCTTTGTGAAAAGGAGTGGAAGAATGCAAGAAACTGCTGCGAGAACAGAATTTCATTGAACTGAGAGAAACGTCTCCTTGGAAAATTGAACAAGGAGGCAAGGTAAATGATACTTTTAAAGTTGATCGATTATTGTAATGTGTTACTGTAAAAAAAAGTAGTGGATGCTTATTGTGTGGGTGTTGATGTGAATAATGTCGTACCGTATTTACGTAAGTAGTTATTTTGTTGGAATTATACAATATGATATAAAATTATAAATGTAAATTTGATTCTGCGGTTTTTATTTTCAATGTTGACTTGTTACATGTTTGTAAATGTAGATCGTCCAGGTTGGTATAGTCCTGAGAAGGACTGTTTTTGTTGTTGTTGACTGACGTTTCGACAACCTTAGTCAAACATCGAATTCTCAGGATTATACTAACCTGGACGATCTACATTTACAAACATGTAACGATACTCCCAGGCTCAAACCATTTACTTTAATGTTGTCTAGTATTATGTGACAAAGAATCACTCAAGTATAATGGCATTTGCTGTTGGTGGAAATTTTACACCGGGAAATGGTTTTAGTATAGTTGGTGCACATACTGACAGCCCTTGTTTTAAGGTAATTGCTTTATTTTTCTGCTTTTTCTTTGGCTCAAATTCAAATCCGTGTCTATAATTCATACATTGCATTAAAGAGACCTTTTATAAACCCGATGTTTTAGCCAGCCCGTTTTATTTGGTGGTTGCCTTACCGTGGTAATGTTTCTGTGTTTACGCACGGAAAAAATACACTTTTAAAGAAATAAATTATGATATTTTTCATAACTTATGATTTATCGACTATTTTCCAAGCAATTCAGCAGAATAAATTATAAATAGGAATTGTTTGTGTTTAGGTAAAACCAATTTCAAACATCAATAAGCATGGTTACCTGCAAGTAGGTGTGGAATGTTATGGTGGTGGTATTTGGAATACATGGTTTGACCGAGATTTAACGGTAGCTGGACGAGTTATTCTCAAGGTAGCTATTTTATTACGAGTTACGTGAAGTTTCGTTGTTTTTATTCCATTTCGTAAATTTCGTTGATTTGGAGATTCTACGTGCGAAATGCTCCAATTTCAAGAAAATTATTAGTTTTTACTAGTTAACCAAGCTAAAAAAGTCAACATCTTTGTTTTGTTTTCTTTTTTAAAGGAAAACGGTAAAATGAAACACAAGTTGGTGCACATCAAAAGGCCAATCCTTCGTATCCCTCATCTTGCCATTCATTTACAGAGAGATATTAATGACAAGTTTTCGCCAAATTTGGAAAATCATACGTAAGTTTTGTCCAGAAATTTGTGGTTAGCCTATGATGAATGCTGAACGCTTTTATGAAAACTGCCTAAATGTCACAGTAGATCTTTAAATCCGTGCTTCCCGGAAATCAGTGAAAACTACAAACAATCACAGACATATGGCAGTAATGGCTCCTAGTCTTGGTCTCTTGTGACATTTAGGAGTACTTGTGAGCAGTTTTAAATATATTCATGTCAGTTTTAAATTAGCTTACTAATCAATGAAGATATAATACTGCCATTTTGGAAAGTATTGCTATAGCTATAATCTTGATATTTTGTCTATTTTCTTTCTTGGCTTTTTTTTATTTATTGAAGAAGATAGAAAAGTGTTGCAATGTTCACAATCGCTGTACGATGTTTTTAAACGATGAACGTAAAATTTGTTTAGAATTCCAATCCTTGCAACAGAGGTAGCGAAACAACTTCAACATACTACTGGCGACTCTAGTTCTGAAAAATCAAGTGAAATCACTTGTAAAGTAAGTTTTTTGTTCAGATAATTAAATCTAATTCGCTTCATTTTGAGCTCTGGTAAAGACTATTTTCAGTGCACAGCTTGAGAAATTTGACTATAATGATAGAGGGAATGAATGGGATGAGTAAGAGTCGTCATGTACTTGTACGTTGTGTCTTGTTAGCTTTTTCGGTGTAGTTTTATACCAACTTATTACATCAACTCAACAACAATACCCAAATGAACAACTAGAAGTCAGTCAACAATGCCACTCCAATCAATAACTTTAACCATTCAACAATGCCACTCCAATCAATAACTTTAACCATTCAACAAGGACACACTAATAAATAACTTTAACATTCAACAACGACACACCAATCAATAACTATTAATCATTCAACAAGGACACACCAATCAATAACTTTAACCATTCAACAACGACACACCAATCAATAACTTTAACCATTCAACAACGACAAACCAATCAATAACTTTAACCATTCAACAACGACACACCAATCAATAACTATTAATCATTCAACAACGACACACCAATCAATAACTATTAACCATTCAACAAGGACACACCAATCAATAACTATTAACCATTCAACAAGGACACACTAATTAATAACTTTAACCATTCAACAACGACACACCAATCAATAACTTTAACCATTCAAAAAGGACATACCAATCAATAACTATTAACCATTCAAAAAGGACACACCAATCAATAAGTTTAACCATTCAAAAACGACACTCCAATCAATAACTATTAACCATTCAAAAAGGACACACCAATCAATAACTTTAAGCCTTCAACAACGACACACCAATCAATAACTATTAACCATTCAAAACGACACACCAATCAACTATTAACCATTCAACAAGGAAACACCAATCAATAACTATTTGATTGATACTTGTCCAGTGTACTGCGCGCGCAAGTTTTCAGTGCTATAATATTGCATGTTGTCTGTCTTTAGCTTGTTTCAACAATTGCATTTTTATTCTCGTTATGTCAACGACTTTTATCTGCCTGTGTACTCTCACCATGCGTTAAAACAAGTGGGCAACACACAACCATTTTGTGTGTTTTATTTCAAACTTTGCACGATGATTGGATCCCTACTTTTGAAAGATGCACGATGATTGGATCTCTAGTTTTAAAAGATGTGTTTATTGACGTTGCTATTTCGTAGGCAAACGCTCATCAACCGGCTTTGATCAGTTTGTTATGTGAAGAAATGTTGTGTAAAGCTGAAGATATTGTCGATTTTGAATTGTTTCTGGCTGACACTCAACCTGCGGTAAATGCAAACTACATATTTTGCCCCTATATTGGAAAACAAGATGAAAAACAACAAAGCTTGCCTTTTGCATTTTACTTATATCGTAGTAATAATTATTCACAATTATTCAAAAATTTGTTGTTGCCCGTGATTGATTAAAACGTATTTTCGGTGTTTGGAATTCTCTTCTAATTTTTTAGGCAATAGGTGGAGTTTTGTCAGAGTTTATCTTTTCACCAAGATTAGACAATCTCGTCAATGCTTATGCATCAATTCAAGTGAGTTTCAGCTACTGCTATAAGTACATTTAATATTTAATATTTTCATGTGAAGGTTTTTATGCTAATGTATGTTTTATGCTTTTCTTGCACTGCGTTGATCCACAACTCTCCATTTTTAAATAATTTTAGGGGTTAATTATGTCTCTTGAAGAGTCGTTTGCCACAGATCCCAATGTGAGAATAGCGGTTCTTTATGATAATGAAGAGGTAAGATTTACATGTCGTAGAAAATCAGTACGCCAGTCAAATGCTGAAGTAAATGTCGTTGTTTTTCGAGTTAGGTCGGTTCTCAAAGTGCTCAAGGTGCGTGTTCCAAGTGGACAGAATTGGTTTTGCGACGCATTTCGCCTAATAGTCGTAAGTAATTTCTTTATGGTAGCATATTTTACTAGAAATCTAATCTACTCGTTCTTGTTTATTTGCTTGAATCTATCTGCGTGCGCATATATCATGCGACTCTTCAGTGACGTTGTTCTGTAACGAAATAGAATTGGTAGAATTGCGTTAATAAAATGACAATATTAGAAATTGTTGCACGTGATATTCTTATAGAAGAAGACGCCACATGTTTTGAGAGAAGTTTAGCAAAGTCTTTTCTTGTCAGTGCCGATCAAGCTCATGCTTGCCATCCCAATTATGCGTAAGTATAGTTGTTTCTCTGTTATTAAAGTTCCTTCAGACGTATGAGAAAATATCAGGACGCATGCGCTAGTAGAACCGTCAGTGTTTTTAATGTTGTGCATGATTTGTGTCTCTGATTCTTTAAAATGTCTTTTATCCCGTTTTTTTATTGCAAACGTATTGTAAAATTAAACTGGCTAAGCTTTCTTATGCTTCAGAGAAAAACACGAAATAAACTTGAGACCTGCATTGCACAAGGTAATATCGTATGTGTATCTTTTATCAATCATTAATACCTAGCAATAAATTTGTTTGAAATACATGTTCCAGGGACCTGTGCTCAAATACAATGCCAAACAAAGATACGCAACTACAGCTGTAACGGCAAGTGTTATAAGAATAGTGGCAGAGAAATACGGAATCCCGCTGCAGGTATTGAATTGATCGACTTTCATATGTCTTCGAAACTTTATGAATTAAGACTTATTTTTCAAATCAGGAATTTGCTGTGAAGAACGATAGTCCCTGTGGCTCTACTATCGGGCCTATACTGTCAGCAAAGCTTGGTATCAGTACTGTAGGTAAGCACCAATGTCAATAAGTAAAACCATTTTAGTGTATTTACTGCAAAATACACCCAGCAATTTGAGGGCGTACAGTCTTAAATGGGGTGGGGATATTTTGCATATGGATGTGGATTTTTAGATGGTTGCTCACGTGGCACGGGTTTGGATTGTGTATGCATCGCAGATTTTATCTAAATATTGCTCCATTCACAGATTTACAGTGACGTAATCAGTCCGTAGGTTTGGTCATGTTATGTAAATATTTCAGTATTTTCTAACCCTAAAAACAACAGATTTCTAGAAGAAGAAATTATGCATATGTAATTGCATGACTAATATTGCGGGCTGGCTGAACCACTGCAGATTTTTACTGTATTGCTTAGCGGCACTGCCATAAAAAATGATTGCATTTGGAAGAGCTGAAAATTTTCTTCGCACCTAATTTCTTTGCTTTGTCTATCTTTACGTTTCGCTGACGTTTGTGATATTCATTCAATTAATACATGAAATAAAAATTGATCGCCTTCAAATAAGTTTGTGATCAGTTGATACATGAGATACAATTGATCGTCTTCAAATAAAGTAAAAACTTCTTATCAAATCTTATCAAATTTTATTAAGATATCGGCGGACCCCAACTTAGCATGCATTCAATCCGTGAGATGTGTTGTACTAGCAGTATACACCAGTGTACACAATTATACAAGGTAAGATTACGATGGAGAATGGTACAATTTAGCATTTTACATTTACTTACTTAAGTATGCTTAAACGCTTGGAAGTTTCTAATAGTTATAGTTGATGCTCGGAATTGAGCGAAATTAATTCGAAATCACTGCTGTAGTATCGATTACTTTTTTTTTGTATATATTACTTTTGTTTATCGATTACTCTGTAGTTGGTAATCTCTTATCGCCAATGCTAGGCAATACCAGAATTTCTTTTTCTGACCACTTATAATAATTGATAGCGATAGAAATGTCGATGTAGGTGTATACAAGATTTGACACCAAAATGGAAAAATCGCTTTTACTTCAGTGAGCATTATTTTGTTTGATCTTTAAAACCTTATACAAGAAGTTCAGATTGAAGTAATTCACTCATGCAATTTCCCTCTAATCCGTCACTATATAACACAGTTGATCAACACTATGTTTAGTTTTATATCCTGCTGTTGTCTTCACCACACATAGAGCTTTGTTACATTTTTTCCTAGAATTTCTTTGTTGAATTTCCTGCTATTCAGAAGTCAATGGAAGAAATGTAGACCAAACACGTCAATTGTGGTTAACATTCGACCTTATGATTAATTGCACCATGTGAAACAATTCATTAGATGTTTCAATTCTACTTTAACTTTCACCAAAATGAAGAATTTTTATACATACGAATAACAGAATTACGTACAAATATTTTCAACATAATTGTAGTAAACACTTCATTAACACTTTTTCTGCACGTAAGGTACGAGTTTGCTTTGGGTGTTTTAAAACAACCGATAAAAATGAAATCAATAAATGAAGTGTGTGTTTAGCGTTTGTCATTTGTATCCCACTTTAGAATTAGAACACTTCCGCCTCACCCCACATCCATTTCTGAGCTATCTTGGCCCTTTCAAGAAATTCTTCCATTTGGTTTGCATTAACATTTTCTTATGAGGCTCCCAATACATTCAAGTACAGACTTCAACTTGTAAATAACCATATTTTAGCGTACTTCTTTTGTAATCAACTTTCTTTGGGACGAGCATAAAAGGTTTGAAACTGTCTGGCGTCAACTTTTGGCGGGAGCAGAAACAGGGAGGTAGCCTTTTCAGTTTTTTGAGAGTAATACGAAGTATCGAAATGATACGTAGCTTTGAAAACTCACGGACCGAACCCAAAGAGCTTTCTGCGCGACGTTTCATGAACAATGAAAAGATAAGCACGAATTTTCCTTACATATCATAAAAATTTATTGCTTTCTTTTCAAAAAAACTAAGATTAGAACATAATAAATGAAAGAAAAGTTGATAAATTGATATATTTACAATTTAGCGGTAACGGATTACCTAAAACCGCCGCCACTTGAACTCTTTCATAAAATAACAATACAAAAAATATAGCTTAACTCTATACCATCAACTATAGATAATAAATTATCGTTTATTTAAGAGCCCTTCTTTCTGCTTCTTTTAGTGTCTTTTCTTTTTCGTTTTTCGGTGGCGGGCTAATACCAGAATTAATGTGACTTTTGTATGTTCTGAAACAAAAATAAATTCTGTGAATCAAGATATTATGTAGCTGCAAAGTCTGACGCTGTTTATTTTTGTTTGAAAAACATTTAACATGTATTAGGCTATAGTAAGAGATATAGGAAAGTTCAAGATAAAGCAAGTGGCCTTACACATATGTACATCATTGTCATTATCAAAATTTCCAATTTTCATTAACATTAAAACACTGGCATTTCCTTACTCCTTATAAGCATCTGATTTCAAATTTTCAAAAACATGTGTATTTCCAAGAACGAGCTGATCTTGTATTGCTTGAATCCAAGAATTCCCTTCTGCTTTGAAAACACGCCTAGCTTCACCAAGTTGCAGATTACCTAAAATGTTAGAATTTCATTGCAAAAGATAAGGAGTTGGTAACCATGTAAATATCACATAAATTTATTCTTACTGTACTCTGAAGCAGTTACAAAATGCAACTTCAACTATACTGAGATAAAAATACTAAATTACACACCTAACGAGGGTGGCAATGCTGTCAAGCGATTGTTTTGAATATGGAGTTCTTTCAAATTTGCAAGTTCACCGAGTTCTTCTGGTAGTTCAATAAGGTCATTATCACGCAAAACTAACTATAAAATTGTTGAAAGAAATAGCACAAATTCTGAAATAGTGAAAATTGATGTAAAAAATACAAAACCAAATGCACATTATTGTGCTATACACACCACTTGCAATTTTTTCAACTTTCCAAAATCTGGTTGCAATTTTTCAAAGTCATTATCACCAAGATATAATGCACGTAAACTTTCTATGGAATGAAAAAAACAGAGGTTGTTCAATACACAATTGTAAACAATATATGGAAGCCAATTTCATTATCAACAATCACACTACCTGCTAATAAGAAAAAATTTGCTGGTAGAGAATTTTCATTCAGGTTGTTGTAGGTTAAATCAAGGATTTCCAAGCAAGGCAATGAGCCAAATCCACGAGGTAAAGAACTTAATCGATTCACACTGTTTTTGAAACATTTTAAGGATATTAAACAGATACACTTTGGTTAACTTTGAATAGAAATCCATTTCATTTCGCTAAAAATGGTCAAATTTAAAAGTCTTACCCAACATTTAAGAATTTTAGTTTTGAGAGTGTTGTGATGGAAGTTGGGAGTTCCTACCAAATAAATGTTTGATATTAGTATGTTGATTTACATGACAGTCAATACCATGTTACAGATGACTCTGGCTGATCTCAAACATTGCACCTGTGATGTGTAGACATGGTTAAAAACAAAAACTAATTTAAATAATGGGTAGTTTTTTCTAGTGATAACATAAAATAGCACAACACCTCGATAAAATTATTGAAAAGATTCAAATGTTCCAAATTCCACAAGTCAACAATTGAAGAAGGGATTGCTGAAAAAATAAGAGAAAAAGTATTCTCACACTATTTCTTTTACGCAAATAGCTCTAGAAAACGCCACGGTAAAGTAGTAACTACATGTAGTGTCTTCTGACCTCAAAATTAATAAACGACTTCTTCGCGACTTTCGCGACATCATTTAAATTTATTTCTTACCAGTCAATTTATTGTGAGATAAAGTAAGCTTTGTTAGCTGCCGTAACTGAACTAAAGAAAAAAGGTATCCACCCAATGAAGAAACAGAACACAACAATTGAAAAACCATTTACCACGCAAATATGTCATTGAAAAACATACGCAAAATAGGAACGCTGTTTAAACTTTTTATTTCACGATCGGCTAAGTCAATTTCAGTGAGTTCCTTATCTCTCGCCTCTTCCACTATTTTCTTAATTGCCTTCGACATACTACCGACAGGTTTTCATAAATTTACTTGATAGTAGTTCTCTAAGCCTCTTCCTGTCTTCTTGTTTCTCAAATAAACATTCTAGATATTCCACCTACTTGTTCTACTTATTACGGATGCTATGCTGAATTTTTTGAGGAATCTATGAAGCAGAAATTATATTTTCAATTTGAGAGACCTATAGCAAGCATTTAAACAATTACATATGAGCATAAAATACAAGTTTATATAGCGAGATAGTTACAAGACGCTTCCATAGATAAATTAGAATTTCTTTACGAAGCAAATTGTGACTATATAGTCAAGGAAAAAATCACAAATGAAAAGGAATTTTTTTCGAATTAAGGATTGAGGGGTATACTTCATGTAAGGTCTAGATTAACTCAGACATTGTGGCCGGAGTCTGGTCAGACGAAAAGTAAAACGTGCGATTTCATCTAAACGTGACCTATCTTTTGTCGAATGTTTTAAGTCAAAGTAACTTGAAGTCATGTGAATTTCAGTGTGTTTGCAACTTAAGGATTTCTGATACCACGAAGGAAGATATACTTACCATAGAAAGGCAAATATGCTGAATTATGGTGCAAAGCAACTGGTGTTGAAACTAGAAGTTTTATTTCAGGCAAAAGGTTTGTTCCTTAAATTGTCCAAGTAAAGAATGCTCTTGAGTGCTTGTAAGAAAAAATGTTTATATTTAGCTGTTCTTTGATGCCAACATACCTCTGTCTTGAGTAATTTTTAGAAAATTATTATTTATTAATTTCTTTGAAAATTCATTCATTTCATTGTTTCACCTTCACAGTGAATGATTACGGAAAAATTAACATACAAAATGAAGGGATGTATCGCGAACTAGGCTACAGATTGTCTCTTCTTACTATTTGTACATTTAAAAATTTTTTTACAGAAAAAATTATTGCTGATGGAAAGCTTCTGGTATGTCTTACCATTCCCATCATTAATTTCCTCAATGATTGTTTTCAAGACACCCAGCAATATACCAGTGAGTATTGGGGTGGCATGTCGTAATTTTACTAAATATTTTATGTGGAATATATGTATCTGTGTGGAGAATTCCTTTGTGATTTATCTAGCAGTTCCAATGACTGCAACAATGCATGAAACCACCATATCGATAATTAAGTTCCAATAAATCAATTATTTTCAGGCATTCATTATAACATGCATATAATATGAATATTGGCTTTCCTGTGCATATTCAATGCTAATTTAATTAGCCTGATGTGTATATGGCATAGGAACTACAGTACCGACCTCGAATAACATAATTTGACTCGCGAGTATTGAATGGCGAGTGGGCGAGTGACTCGCGATGCAGTTGCGGAGAAAGAAATTTTTCCGAGTTATTTCGATTTAATCGCTAACAGCGAAATATTTTATCCACTCGCAAACCTCTCACACGCAACTGCATCGTGAGTCTCTCACCCACTCGCCATTTGATACTCACGAGTCAAGTTATGTTACTCGAGGTCGGTACTATATGTCATTCTTTCTTAATTTGAGCATGAGATATTACATGGTGACAGCAGTGTGATAATATTTCATACCAAGTCTCCAAGTTCTACACATGATTCCAAAAGATTTTCAAAATTGGTGAAATTCATATTATTGGGAATTTTTCATTTATTTTATATACCCCCCACTGTCACTATGTAATATTTTGATTTCAGAAAGAATGACCCTATTTACATATATTGTCCAACTATTAGTTCTGTGTACACATCAATTGATAGACTATCAAAATCTTCTAATAAATCATACTTAATAAACTATGTCAAAGACTGCAATAATGAATGAATAGTGCTGTGCCGGAGACCAGATTTAGGCCAGAGCTCCAGCTATTTTTGCCTGCCGGAGCTGGAGTTTGTTCATCTCCGGCAAAACTCCGCAGCAGATGTTTGTGCTGCAAAATACTCTCAAACTTTGGTAAACAAGTCTGATCAAAACATTTTTGTATCAATGAAGGATAACTATCTGCTAAAATTGAAAAACTTGCATGAATATAAAACATTTTATGCATGACGCAACATGATGCTAGATTGCGTCCACACATGCTAATTGCAAAATTAACCAGCCACAATCAGTGATTCGAGTTATAAAACAGCAGGAGCCGAAGTTTGAAGCCGGAGTTCAGATTTGATAAGGGCCTGGAGCTGAAAAACCAGAGTTGAAAACCAGAGTTTGCACAGCACTATGAATGAAACAACAGTACAGATAATTGCTATGTGGTGGCCAATTTATTTCTAGGTTCAGAAAATCGTTCATTGGAGTATCTCAAGCATTGTGTGCAGTTAGTTCATAGTTTAAAGGTTTATTCATACAATGTTCCAATCACTGTATTTGAATTTGTGTTTCTCAAAGTACATACTTTGCATTTAACAATTATGCATTTCACATAGATTGTGCGTGGACCAACTTTGAAGGGCAATTATGTTTTTGATGTGTCACAATTTAAAGCATTGAGGGTCTTGGAGGTACATATTAGAATATTTGTGTGCAATAATTCCATTAGATTCTGGACAATGTGATCATTGGCAAATCTAAGAATGCCTTTTTTAAACTCAACAAACATTCTCAAGTGTTTGAAGTCATTTTGCAGATTTTATTTAATAACATTTATAGGCAAATGTTGTTTAATATTGAAAAGTCTCATATCAATAGCATAGCTACTCTTTCAATTTGCATAAAACAATTGTTTGAGAACTTATCTGTAATACATTTCCTGATTTGCATATTGAAATAAAATACACGTGCTCCAGTATTTCATTATTTTAGATTGAAAATATTGCAGTTGGAATGATTTCTGGTTTGCAGTCTTTAAGACCTAGACTGAAAGTGATAAAGTGTAGTCGGAGCTTAAATGAAATTCGTGTATGTATTTGAGTGTTTGATGTTCGTTTTCACACTTCTCACTTTAGTTTTAACTTGTTTTTCCACTATTGAACATTTGATGAATTATTCAATTATTGTTTAAGGATGTCATAACATTATGTGGTTACGATCTGAGCTCTGCGTTCTCATGGCCACTTCTGGAAAAAGCAGATTTTAGTTTCAATTCTATAAGATACCTGGATTCCTCGTTGGTAAGTACGTAGGGGAAATCGGGAATTTTTCCTAATCAAAGAATTAGCTCATTTTAGAAAAATATCAAAGTGTATGAGATCATTGTATGATATCGGAAATAATTAAGTGTGAATCAACATTTTGACGTCAAAATAAGACTAAATTTTGTTAACCCTGGAGTTACCATACTTGAATCAGACCACTGATTATTAGTGTTTCTTTGTGTCCCCAATAAATATTTATTACTTTTCGTAAAGCAATTTCGTCAGTAAACGTCTGTTCATCGTTTCTTTATTTTTGTTATCAGCACCTGTTGACTTCAGTTCAGTGCCTTGATTTAAGTCATAATAATTTGACTAACTCAGATGATACAGATGAAGAATGGATGGTAATGTAGATGTCAATGTGTTTGAAATCAGAAGGGTCACTGATAGTGGCGTAGCCTGTCCGTTTTTTTGAGTACTCTAATGCCAATTCTCCTGAATACACTCTTTGAGTACACTCTGCAAAAACTATAGATTTTTGAAGAGATGAATAATGCCCTTTCATTACCTCACATGACTAAAACTTTTTTTGTGGCTAGCTGCTATACAGGTTACGCTACTGATCAATTTACCCTGTATCGCAGTAAAGTAAATATGTTTTTTTGTTAAGATATACATGACGTTTTACAAAATGTCTAAATGTTTTAACATGCATTTTGTATAATATTTTTTCAATAAGATTTGTGTATGTACTTTCGTCCAAAAAGTAAAAAATAATCGAGTGCAAATACTCTTCACAGATTAAATGATGACTTGTATTCTACATACGTACTTTTTCTTTTTATACCAGTACTTACCTGAAGTGAAAACCTTCGTCTCGATTATAATTTCTTGATTGAATTACCTGCATTCCCTGAAAGCTGCCGCTCAATTATCACTTCGTTGAGTTTGTGCTATAATGGACTCACAAGCATCAAAGGTTCGTGTCAATGCAACCTAATTTTACATTGTTAGATTTTGTATAAGATTTTGTTAACAAACGATCTTATTTTATTGCGAAAAATTTAAATCTTCCTGATCATCGACTTCGGTGAAAGAAATATTTCTTTCTTTAAAAGAGAAAGGCAAATTAATTTCCTTTCGTACGTAGGTCTGGAGTTTTTGAAAAATTTAAAATATTTGGATGTCTCAGCTAATTGCATATCCAGTTTTCAATCGTTTTATCTTCTCACGAATTTGGATCGATTAACTTCAGTAAGTGCTCCAACTGTGAGTTTTTATGTTTGTTTAAAAAAAAACGTAAACCTTAATTGGCCAGTTTTCAAACCAACGTTATAGTTTTACTGCATTTTTGATAGATGTATTTTTATGGCAATCCAATATCGCATCATGAGTCTTATCGACTTAATGTTGTTTCATGTCTTTCACGAAACCTCCGTCGATCTGTGGTAATATTGAGTTTCCTTCTACTTTTTTCTCCCAAGTGCATATGCAGTTTTCTTTATATTTTCTTTGCCATGGTGTAGATCGCTCTTGATGACAAAGCACTAAGTGTGAAAGAGATGTGTGTAAGTTTGTAAAATACGTATAGTACGAAACAAATGAAATTTTGATAAGATCAAACATTAACTTACTTGTATACTTGTTAGTATGTTGGTAAATTCTTGGAAATGCCGTGCAATACTCACAATCCAAGTCCAACTCATGGCCCATCGGTTGATACGATTCAAAGTGGTTTAGAAGCTACTGTTCCTTCTGGTGAAGAAAGAACATCTCGCACTCGTGATAAAAAGGTTTGTCTGGTTTCGTATATTCCTTCCCATCTTTAAACTTGGCATTTTTGTTAAATATATTTTTGCAAAAATGTGAAAGCTTTTTATTTGCAACCAAGCGAAAAAACAGACACAACTTTGTAAGACAAGTGTCCATTCGGAATATTGACGACGAAGAAGAAAGTTCGACAGGTATGTGGCATCTACCTCATGCTAAATCACGTGTTTTTGTATAGCTATAATATACAGTGACGATTTAATGTTTCCCAAACATGAGTTAAACATGATTTAAAGGCAAATTAACATGTAATCAATAGGATCTAGCCAACCTAAAGTGAATGTAAAAATCAATTCAGAAGTGGAGAAGTTGGAGAAATTCAAAAAAGATGCTGGTGAGGGTAAGTTACAAAAATTTGATGGTTTGTGCAAATATGTACCTTTGTTGAACTCTTGAATAATTATGTCCTTCGTTCGCAGGTTATCTTGTTGTAAGAAACCAACAACATTTAATAATAAACGATCCGGAACATTCATCATCTTTATCAACAGGTATACGGTCATATAGCTGTATATTGTTTCAGGAAAGTCATGTTAAAGTTTCAGTATTGTACATTGTATGTTTCAGGAAAGTCATGTTAAAGTTTCAGTGTTGCACGTTGTATTATTTGTGCTTATGCCATGCTCAGATTAATTCTCAATTTGTGACAGAGCGAGCTCTGAATTTGAGCTTGGATATTCGCTTAGAAAATTTCAATCGTATATTTTTGGCATGCTTTTTGTCTTCTTAAGCTTGTTTTGACAATTGCATATCAAACTCATCATCACTTTGTTACGGCACTCGTAATATCAGCGACAACGTTAGAAATGTTATTTTTGTCTATAACGTTGTACCTGCATATTGCATGTCATATCCAAGCTTTCCTTTGATTTGACGGAAAATGGTTTTTATTCCCTCTTACATCTTCTGCCTTTATAATTAATCGTTCTGTATTTCTAAAACAAGATTTACAAATGCCCCAAGAGAAGGGTTGGGCGATATTTCGATAAATCGATTTATCGTTATATTTTCATCACGTGGTTATCGTATCGAAGATAGAAACTTGAGTGACGATTTATCGAAGTTATCGTCATGCTTGATGACTATTATGATATTGCTTTTATTTTATGTACATTTAGCTTTTATAAAACCCGGGATGATTATTTTTATTCTGAGAAAGTGTAGCTCAAACACCAATTTTCCAAAATAATACTAGATTTAATCACTGATATTTATGTATTGATCCACTAAACAATGAAATTGCAAGCTTTGTATGCGCTGTGTGCCCAAGACTTTTGTATCATTTGTATCAGCTCGTAGCAGTTGTTGAATATGGAGTGACTATCATAAAACTTTACTTTGTTGTTTATGTTTAGTTCATTTTGTTAATCAAAATTTAAAATTAATGAGGTGCGTTTTAGTATATTTATCGCGCTGTTATCGAATATCGTGATAATTTCCTTGTTGTGATTAGCGTTTGAATTTTGGGGCATTTGTGAATCTGATTCTAGTTATTCAGAACGATTATTTATGAAGGCAGAAGGCATAACAGTAAATATTAACCATTTTGGGTTAGAAAGTTACATTGTAAAAGGTAAGAAGTAAAAAACGTATAAACATGCTTATAGTTGGTATAAATTATAAGTCAAAAAAGCAGAAGTTACTTGAACCTTTGCAGTATCCTTGGATGTTCTATGAGAAGAATTCTTGTAAAGAAGAAAGACAAATTCTGAAAATAAAAATCCCGTTTTTAGTTCATGCCTCCCATGGATAGTTTGTTCGCGATACATGAGAAACAGTAAATGAGAGAGTTAAATCGGAAAGATGTAAACCAATAAAAATGGTATACAACATGTTTAAGGTTGTCTTAAATTTGTCAGAAAAGGCGCAGGTCAGAAAACGTTAATTGAAACGTTGCTTATTTTATGAGAACTCTTGTGAACAAAAAGATAAAATTCGAAAGCAAAAAACCCCGTTTACGGTCCATGCTTCCCGATACCTTAAGCGTAAGGCACTACAACGCCGCATGTTAACGTTTCGGTTGGAGATTTCGGCCCCTCCACGCTATCCTACTTGGGAGATGCAATAGCAAGCTTCCGCCCATCAGACCCCGTGATCGCCTGCGATAGGCTTTGCTCGGGGTACGCAGGGAGAGTGCGGTCGCAACCGAAGTCTTGGCCCCTAAGCCACTGCATACTATATCGCACCCAGCTTCCACTGCTAACGAAAGTAGTGCAAGTGCATTTAGTTAGTCGTTGCCATGACTATGAACAGTTAGTCGAGTGGACTGCGCATGCGCAGATGATTTCTCTATTAAATTGTTACTAAGCATGCTATTTATTTCAAAATTGGTGCTAATAAATGCAGTTGGTCGATGCCATGACAATGAACATGGGCAACTGTCAATTCGAATGCGCATGCTCAAGAATACTGCGCATGTGCAGATGATTTATCTGAAAATTTGTGACTGAGCGAGCTAATTACTCCATAGTCGGTACTAGTACATACAGCTGGTCGTTGCTATGACCATGAACTTGGAGAGTTGGTTGATTTTACTACGCATCCTTTAAAGTATATTGAAGAAAATAAGAATACATTTGTCATTATAACAATTTTACCATACGTACGTAGTTACTTAGTTGTATATGGTTATATAGTTGTCGAGAAGCTATTGAGGCTGACGAAAACTGGTGTTAAGAATTTTTATCTTTTTGAAATATTGTTTTCTTTTTGAAATAAAATGAGCTTTCATTTCGATAAAAGATGAGAAAATATTTTTATTCATGGCATCGTGTTTGCTAAAATTGTCATACCATCTGTACTCCCCTGGTCACTGCGACAAATGTTTGCTAACAAAAGGCCAATCAACCAATTTCGATCAGGCTGTTTCATGTATTTATTTATATGATGTGCTGGTATTAACTTGTTCCAAGTATAATGTAGAAGATAAAATATTAATTATCCATGATAATGAATAATTACTAACGAAGTACATCTAAAATAAAAATATTTCTTTACACAGAAATACCATCGTCACATGTTTCTATTCCTGAAACAACTGAAGCAGCTGACGTCATTATCGAGAGCCCAGAATTCGATAGGAAAGAGTTGTTAGAGGGTAAGGATAATTTATTTTTTTACAAACGCACTTTAGTGGCCATCTATTTCTTTTTCAGGCTAGCGTACACGTATTGTATTTTTATTCAATTTATGTTTCGATTATTTGAATTTATATTTATACGTATTATCTGCGTATCTATTTTTATCGTCAAATTGGGATTTCAAAAACTCCACATTGTGAAGTCGTTATTATCTTGTAAATATTTATGACAAAAGTCTTACTTTTTTGTCACTTACAGTGTAATCTTCTGTTGTTTTACAGAGGTTGATTCGCATGAAATGTTCATGATTTCTGTAAATATGAGCGAACAGTCTGAATCCTACGAAGATATGTTTGTTTCTGTTAAAAATCATGAGCTTGTGGAAAGAAATATACAATTAAAGGTACGCTCTCGATCTCTTTTATATCAATTTTTGAACAAAATAATAAAATGCGTGTGTATATACGACCTGCGGGTAGTGAAACTCGTACCTCTATGATAAACCTCCGATGTTTAAGCTATAATTAAGGAGGAATGTGTTCTCGCGTCAAATTTTCTGCAAATCTTCATACCTACGTCTAAATTGACTTTGAAAACAAGATTTTAGCTTGGATAATTTATTGTCAGTTTTCAACAGCTAATCATCTCATTTTCCAATAACGCAATCCCGAGAAGTTCTATAGATTAATCCTACTCTTGTGAATTACCGAGTTTCTATCTGCAAATGTAAGAAAAACATATTTCGTTTTTTAATCAGATTGTTCATCGATTGGATTTAAATGGATTGCTTGATGTCATGACGACTTCTTTAAATGAAGAGGCAGCTGTCGTCATTTTGAAGTTTGACTACGTCAACAAAAATCGAAAATATCGCGAATACCAGTTTGATGATATTTCGAGATGTGAGGTACAGGATTTTTATTTAACTTGTTCCTATTAAGTATGTGTGTAGTATGTTTGATGCGAATACCAGTTTGATGATATTTCGAGATGTGAGGTACAGGATTTTTATTTAACTTGTTCCTATTAAGTATGTGTGTAGTATGTTTGATGTAAATACCAGTTTGATGATATTTCGAGATGTGAGGTACAGGATTTTTATTTAACTTGTTCCTATTAAGTATGTGTGTAGTATTTTTGATGTAAATACCAGTTTGATGATATTTCGAGAAGTGAGGTACAGGATTTTTATTTAACTTGTTCCTATTAAGTATGTGTGTAGTATGTTTGATGTAAAGTGAAATTATAACCATTTTTTCGTAAACTTATATTCGTAGCGACTAATGTGTTGGTAAATTCTACAGTCTAAAACTCTCGTCTTTTCATATGTTGACTGTTTTAAAACACTTTTTGGTTCTTGCACGTGTATTCCAGAGTTTTCAATCCAATAAATTCCGCATTTTCATGATATTGTCGTACTTGTAAAATATGGTATGCAATTAAAAAGTTGAAGCGTTGCAAGATTTCAACTTCAATGTTACGTCATGCGTAATAAATATATTTCATTTTAAAAATTACTTTGGTCATTTATTTATTTTATTTTTTGTTCGATTGTGTTAATTTTACCATGCCGTATGTTCTTTTTAAATAGCCATTAATGCATGACTCTACAAAGCGATTTTGTCTACCATTTTACTGTTTACTTTGCTGCACTGCATCAAAAACCCTTTCTTTATGTGATCTCATTTTAATGATCGAAGTTGTCGTGCATGTGTAATAATAAGTATAACTTATATATAGCACGCGTGAGTTTTTTTTATATTCCAGTAGTTAACTGAAGAGTTTTTTCTTATTTTACAAAGAAAGGACCACGAACAAAGTTCATCGTGTGCATTTACTGTACGACAGCCTGAATGGCTTCACATACATGTGCATGGACTGTACGATAGCCTGAATGGCTTCACATACATGTGCATGGACTGTACGACAGCCTGAATGGCTTCACATACATGTGCATGGACTGTACGACAGCCTGAATGGATTTACATACATGTGCATGGACTGTACGACAACCTAAATGGCTTCACATACATGTGCTTGGACTGTACGACAGCCTGAATGGCTTTACATACATGTGCATGGACTGTACGACAGCCTGAATGGCTTCACATACATGTGCATGGACTGTACGACAGCCTGAATGGCTTTACATACATGTGCATGGACTGTACGACAGCCTGAATGGCATCACATACATGTGCTTGGACTTTACGACAGCCTGAATGACTTTACATACATACATACATACATACAGCATACGTATATCTGATGGGTTTTTTTCTTTTATTAGGAATTTATTTCTCTTTTAAAAGCGTTTGGTCCGCAACGTAGCAGTGAAAATTTAGAAAATGAGCCAGAGAAATACTTTAAGGTTTGTTTTTTCATTTTCTTTCTCAAAAAGTATTACTATAAATTCGTCGCTGGATCTGTGTTCCGTAAGACAATGTAATTTCCAAATTTTATCATACCTTTTTTAGTGCATTAAGTGTTTAACCGAATATGTTGCGACCAATGAGGAGATTTCAACTTGTTCAAATTGTGACAGTTTGTTTGTTATTGAAATCGTAAAAAACCAAGATAAATCGACACCACAGTCAAGCTTTAAAGATACTTTATGGTGTGTATTGTACGAAATGCTTATTTTGCAACATTCAAAAAGTTGGAGATTTCTTTTGCTTATTTGAAAATTTACGAATATTTTGAAATGCTTAGCTTTTCTTCCCTGCTCCTTCTGCTATCATCCAATGTTGTTTGCCAGCGAAATAACAGCTACCGAAAAGTTTGAAAGCTTACATTGAACTGTAAGGATTTATGACATCATAATTATTTTGGATTATTTTAGGTCTGGCCAAACCATTCAGCATCCCGATGTTGTTCCTTGTGTCATGCGTGAATCCACCGCTCCACCTGACGTTTGTAAGGATACAAGCTGTCCAGCTACTGATGGCGAGACCTTTGTTGACACAGAGAAAGCGTTGGATGGTGAATACAACTGTTCAGTTGATGGTCAAAACTTAAACAGTGACAATAATGAACAATTGTACACTTCAGATAAAGAACCATCACTTCCAAAAGAGCGCAGCATGTCTGCCAAAATTAATATTTCACAGGATAGTTATTCCGATACACTCTCTCGATGTTCATACTCTTACAAGTCATCAGATAGCTATTTGGCATCATCCTATAGTTCTCAATCCGGCTCTGAGGCGGTTTATTCAAGCTCAGCTGGGGGAACATCTTCAATGATCGATTTTGATCGCGATTCATCCACACATTGTGATCATCGCTTGAAGTTATTCTTGGAAATGAAATTTTTTCGAGGAGAAGAACCCGAGGAATTCCGTTGTATGATCAAGGTAAAGATCTATTTCCATTACAATAAGTCGAAAACAGATTTCATGTTTTCTTTAATGCCCAGTAATTAATCACGGTGAACAACGAGAAGCAGCCATTAAACTCTTACTGATGAAAGTCACTGGTGTAGCCAGCCTATCTATTTAATCAAGTTGTCTGAATACTTTTGTGTCTTTGCTATTAAAACATGCAATTGATTCTAAAGAAATGAATAAAGTTTTGGAATTTACGTCTGGTAAAGTGTGCGGGTTGCAATGCTACGCTACTTACCATATCTAATTAATTACATTGTTGAGAAGCAAATTCTACTCATTGCAAATGGACAGACTATGGATTGCAATTTTATTCAGCAACTTTCGTGTTGAAAAAACAACTGCCCTACATAAAATTCTAAAAATAACCATTTGATAAGAAATTATAGTTTATTGAAAGTAACGTTTTATCTTTACAAAAGAAATCATCAGACTAATATTGAGATTAGTTTGATGAACTGGACAAAAAATATATCGCAAGAAAGAATAAATTATAAGCTGTGAGTGAAGATTCAGGTATACAATGTGGTGCAAATGAACACAACATGTAGTGGGATACTTAAAAAAGGCCAAGTGGAAGTGCCTTGGACATTCAGTGTGGGGAGTTTAATATCAGAGAGGAATACGTCAGGGATGTAGGGTGAAGAAGAGATGATAGTGAAGTCGTCAAAGGAATCTGTGTGACCTGATGTGTTAATATGAGATAAGATACTGGATGTGCTATGGCATGATGACTGTTTTTATGACTTGAAAATTTCGCCATGATTATATATATATATATATAAACTCACACCTTGCGATTTTAGTTATTAGTTTGATGATGTCTTGTGTAAAGGGAAAAATTACTTTAAACTATTGATTTTTTAACACGAATTCGTTTCCCGTCTGTCAATTCACTCGCTATTATTTCCAACAATTTTCAATTTGCAAATTTAGAAGTGCATAGTTATTTTACTGTTTGTAGTGTTTATCGTGCTATGTACCTTCTTAAAGTCATTCTTTTCTTTTAATGCACTGTCCGCAAAGGTGTCAAATGTTTTGCACTGATCTACTGAAGTTTACTTGATCGTTGACCAACACAGCACTTACCTTAATGCACTGTCCACAAAGGTGCCAAATGTTTTGCACTGATCTACTGAAGTTTACTTGATCGTTGACCAACACAGCACTTACCTTAATGCACTGTCCACAAAGGTGTCAAATGTTTTGCACTGATCTACTGAAGTTTACTTGATCGTTGACCAACACAGCACTTACCTTAATGCACTGTCCACAAAGGTGTCAAATGTTTTGCACTGATCTACTGAAGTTTACTTGATCGTTGACCAACACAGCACTTACCTTAATGCACTGTCCACAAAGGTGTCAAATGTTTTGCACTGATCTACTGAAGTTTACTTGATCGTTAACCAACACAGCACTTACCTTAATGCACTGTCCACAAAGGTGTCAAATGTTTTGCACTGATCTACTGAAGTTTACTTGATCGTTGACCAACACAGCACTTACCTTAATGCACTGTCCACAAAGGTGTCAAATGTTTTGCACTGATCTACTGAAGTTTACTTGATCGTTGACCAACACAGCACTTACCTTAATGCACTGTCCACAAAGGTGTCAAATGTTTTGCACTGATCTACTGAAGTTTACTTGATCGTTGACCAACACAACACTTACCTTAATGCACTGTCCACAAAGGTGTCAAATGTTTGCACTGATCTACTGAAGTTTACTTGATCGTTGACCAACACAACACTTACCTTAATGCACTGTCCACAAAGGTGTCAAATGCTTTGCACTGATCTACTGAAGTTTACTTGATCGTTGACCAACACAACACTTACCTTAATGCACTGTCCACAAAGGTGTCAAATGCTTTGCACTGATCTACTGAAGTTTACTAGATCGTTGATCAACACAACACTTACCAGATAAATACAAACTTGGAAATCAGCATGTTGTTGAGATGGCTGTAAATTTCAACTAAGACATGCAATTTTCTCTTTTCTCAAAGTTTCAAGTAAATGCCGTTTGGTGAAAAATATATATTTGAATGATGTAAAACTTGGTCACATCTACATTTATTAGCATTTTGCTCAAATCACATTAGTATAAACATTTTGTTAGATTACACCCTGCATACAGTTGCGCCTGCGCACATTCTTTGTATAGGTGTATTTCATAGATACATTTTCATTTTTAAAATGTGATATGTTTGCCGACATTTATTTGTAATTCTTATGTTTAGTGTGCAGTTGCATCGTATGGGCACAGAAAGGGAAGACGAGGAATTCTCATTGTATCCAACAAGAATGTATATATTTGTAGGATAAATGGTGTTGAAAGGTATTTATGCACTCGATGTGAAATCATTTTAAAAAATTATTTTGTGCTTTGAAGTCTTCCTCAATGTTCTGATCTACACGAATTGCATGCATGATTTACCTTCAATGCTTCCGAAATACTCATAATCCGCGTCATGATTATTATATTTCAACGTTTGCTTCGTTTGCAGCTCGGTAAGACCTTTTTCTTCATTCGTAATTCCTACCTAAATGACGAAGTTTTCGAGTGTTTTAATGCTGCTCTGCGCTGTGTTTAGGTCAAACCACAGTCAAGTTATAGAAATTAGGGTATAAAAACACTTAAAAGTTCTCCTGCCTGATAATGTCCAGTAAACTTCTCTTTTTTAGGCATAGCGTCACAGTTCCTTCGTCTTCTTTTACTATGAAAATTAACTCTCTCTTTAAAACCTTTCTTTCGTCGCAGCTCTATTTTGCTAAATATTGATGATCTTCGATATACGCATGCGTGTTTGCAAATTTTACAGATAGTTGTAGTGATAGATATATAGCATAATTCACGAAAGTTTATCTAATGGTTTTTTCATTTCACCAAATTACCTCACAACAATGACGTCTTTCATGCCTGGATTGAAATGTACTATCAAGGATATTGTTGATTCCATATAGTGTTAGACCAAAAGAATGGCTCTCGTTGAAGACACATTATCTCATCACAGAGTTGCGTTACATTGAATGTGGTTTTAATTATCAGGTAAAAACGATGCATGTTTATCATTCCAAGGTTTTCAATTATGTGTTGTCATGATGTGAATGATAAAACACGTGATTTCATTGCTCTTGAACTGCTATAGTAACACCAGTTCATAGCAACACCATGATGTAATCACTTCAACTGGGTTATACATTAGATTTCTCGAGTTATAAAAAGAGATAGGCAAGCTTTGTAGTTTTTAATTTTGTAATATATTTAGTGTGTTATTTTGCTTCTTTTTCCCTATTTCAAATGACAGATTTTATGCTGGTTTGTCCATGTACTTACTACACCGCAAAACCCAAAATATAAATTTGCCACTCTTCATTTTTGTTTTAGAGTTTTCGACTGGAGTTTGCGAAAGTATTAGGTTGTTATGTTTTCTTAGTTGGCGATAGAAAACGTACCGAAGATTTTTTGAAGACATTTCGACGTAAGATACATCTTTTTTGGAACTAGTGCAGTGCAGAATACCTTTTTTGTTTCAATAAGAGTAGATAACGAACTTTCTTAAACGAATAAAATTAATTGCCCTTAAATGTTGCGAATGCCGATGTACGTAACCATGTAGAATTTTTATGCAATGTTGATGCAATATCAATTGTATTGGCTAAGAGCCTACAACGTAAAAAAACACAGAAAGGGTAAAATTGCCATTCGGGAACGAACGCAATTGTCAATTCGGGAACGAATGAAGTGAACGGCAAAAAATTTTTTTTTGTCGAAGTACTGAAAATTTATGGCTTCCGTAGAAAATAGTTTAAAAGTTTCTGCCTTCATAATTGTTTAATAGCACAATTATTGAATCTGTTTTCTCACGATATCAAAATTATGCTGACCACGTTCAACGTCATCCGCCTCAGCTTTGCTTCGGACGATGACATTGACCTCTGTTTGAATATTTGATGATATCATGCTGAACCTCATCCAATAATTGTTGGATATATTTCGGAGTATTTTGTCATTTTTGTGTTGCTTCACCTTCACTTTTGCTATAGGTGTGTGTAAAAAAGCCCGCGATGGAAAACGTCTAGCCATTGGTAGAAAAAACCCACAAACTCTCGCAAACATAAGGTATATTTATCATGCAAAAAGTTTCTGTTATTTTGCGACTTTATATTGTAAAGTAGAAGTTGATTGAAAACTTTCAGTTAATGCATGTGACTGCGTGAGAAGTGGCCACAGGATACTGGTCAATGCTGTATGAAATAGGAAAACTGTGTCTTGATACTGAAGCAAATTTGAATTGGTTGTCTAATGATTTTTTGTATGCAATCGTAAAATCAACGTTTGTTAGGTGGTCGCGTTTTCACCCTTAGATTACCGTGTTGTTGCTCTGCTAAATACTTTTATATTCCTTTTAAATAACGTGATTTTTGGGGGTTTTTTTTGAAGGATTCAAGTTCTGGGTTTAAAAGATGAAGATCTTATGTTGAAGGTATTTTGATTTAACATGTAACTGTCATATGTAATATATTTTTTTTCTTTTACAATAATATTATATAACAGTACTTACGTACAAAACAGAGAAAATTAATGAACATATTTTAAAACGAAAATTAAATCATTATGTCTTTTTACAGGGAAGGCGTTTTTACGACCAGGCTGTAAATTTTACCGTTCCACCTTTAATCAAAGATCACAAGGTATCAAATTTCAGAATGGTTGTTTGAAATGAAGTCTACAGACCTGTTTCTCTGTAATCGCTTCTATCGTGAGGATCGTAGATTTTGTTGAAACGCAAGATACGTAGACTCGAGATCTTTCTTTGTGATGAAAACGACTGAAAACACACTTACCCGCATATAATTTTTGATGGAAACCGATTCAAAAGGAACCTTATGCCAAAAGCGATATTAAAAAATCAGTTCTGCACTGCATCTGTGTTGCAAAATGCAGAAAACAACATCAATAACATTTTGTAGGAAGGAGGGGTGTTGCTCTAGTTTAGATGAGATTTTGACTGGCTACGTTTTGAGTGTCGACATTCCGACGAGTTTTACTTTGTTATATTCTATAGCTTCTTATACCATGATTGGCGTATATTGGGGAGAGCCTGGTATATCAAGCACGAATCACAATAGCTTTTATGCTTGATTTCTTTGTATATTAATATTTTGCAATAAATCTCCCTTGTTTTTGACCATTGCGTACAATTCGTACCATTTAGTAAAAGCCAGTTGGTTGCAAAAATCGCTTCTGTCACGTGTGTAGTTTTTACCTCGAGGAGATACGTATTTCAGTAGTCTTTCCCGATCAGACAATAGTTCTTCAAATTTACTATATCTATAGCGTGCTTTTATCGTATTTACGAACCTTCGAGAAACCCTTATGACATAAGTTGATACTACAGTGAACCCAGATTTTTTCAAGCAGCAGGGGAGCGGTTTAGTAAAGCCTGGTTTTCATTTAGTCGTTTCAGTTGTGCCAAAGTTTCACAGACGACCCGTGCGACTATATGAGAACATTTCAGAGGCGACCGGGATGATCTCACATGACTCACACAACCGAAACGATCGTTGAGAAATGCAAGCGACCTTTTTATAGCGCAAAATGATTTTAAGAAGCAAATAACTAGCCAAAAACTTTGTCTTTGATAAACAGCTGCCGCCATTTTTAAATATTTCGCGCAAAAATTAATTAAGCAGTCTCTCGGCAGCGTTAGTACGAATATATGAGAATTACATAGCTTGAGTCGTCCCAGTCTTTTTGAAAAACAACGGAAACAACTCGGAACGACTCGGATGACTCAAGCGACTTAATGAGAACGAGGCTTAAGGCAGTCTTCAGATTTTTGTGAGGTCATGTTCTGCTCTGATTTTTTAGAGTTGGTTTCGTACTTATCCTCAGAGCATGTTGGGAGCGGATTTTATCGACTGGTTGATACGGTGTAAAGAAGCATCTAATTTCCATGACGCTGTTCATATCGGTCAGATGCTTCTCAATGCCGGCATAATTCGATGCCTCAACAAAGACTGTGGATTTTTGGACAAAGACCAATATTACTCTTTTAACTTCTCACACGAATTCAGTGAGGTATGTCCTATATCTAAATGAAGTATAGGATAAGTTATTATTGTTAGGATTGGTAATACCGCAAGATTTTACCTCGTATTTTGTATCATGTTTGACCCGTGTGTGCCGTCATCTTTGTGGTATGCAAGATTTCTTAAAAGATTAAAGCCGTTTTTCATGTTCTCTCATTCATTTCCTGGTAATCATTGTGTTTGAAGCTTCTTCAATTTTCTGCCTTGAATTTGCTCTCGTATTAATAAACAATTGTTCTCTTGTTTATTTCCTAGTGATCAACATACTTATAATTTACACTACAGTCTTGTGTGTTTAACATCTTCTATATTCTACCTTATGAGGAGGAAAATAGTGAAACATCAGAAGAGAGTAAATCAGAGACAGAAGACGATAAGTCGAGCACAATGCTCTACATAATAGCACAATGGAAAGGTAATAAATACGAGCATATTATTGGACTGCAAAAAAAGAATATAGTGGTAGCTTTTCTGTTACGTGTAGCACTATTATTTAGAATCATTATTTTTGTAGATTTGGAGTATTTTTTAAGCAAATATCAATCTTTTTATTTCAGATGAAGAACGATGGCGTCCTATCTCAATTGTCATGAGCGATGATCAAATTGTATTGGCTGACGAAAATCATCAATGGCCGCTACCACGGTTGCACGAACCTCCAAAAGGGCTGGAAGGTCCTCAATTTACTTTGAAGAAAAAACAGAAAATCATTAACATAACGGAAGTGGTAATAAATGAATGAATTGCTTCTGATTTCATGAAATTATCGATTATGTATATTTGTTTATAGACCTTGTTTTCTGGTTCACCTCGTAAAATCGAAATTGAATTTCTGGATGAGGTAATTTTCCATAACTTACACCAAACTGTCATGTACCTACGAAAACTATGAAAAATTGGTGGCTACTTACCTGAATACTTAGTGTTTCAAAAATCGAGGAAATCAATGCTCATGTACGATAGGGAACAGCCGTTGACTACATGAAAAATGTTTTGATGGAAGGCGACATTACAGTTGCTAGCTCGTACTGTATAGCATTATCAAACTTTGTTACATTTTTTTATAACTATTTTAAGTTTTTTGCACCCGTTGTTCAGCACTATTTTTTCGCACAGATTAGAGTTAGAAAAATTTTTAAATTTTAGGAAACAGTACATGTTATCGAAGATGACCGCTGGACTATTTCAATGCATTCTGAAAATTCGCTGGCGAATTTTCTCGATGGCATTAAAGAAATTTGGAAAACAAGATTTTGCATAGATTTGCCGGTGAATACTCTAGATTGAATCAATTGCACAGTGGAATTTTGACAACTGGGACCATAATTATTTATATTAATGTTAGAAATCATTTAGTATTTATAGATCGAAACGGCAAAACTACTTTGCAGTGTATTTAGTCATAAAGACCCGTTAATTATTTCGTCAACCTTTCATGGAAGTGCTATATTTTGACTTTAACGCTATCAAATTTCTATCGTTTCATTAGATCCAGGTTCTCTTCTTAACCGGAAGAAACATTTTGTTGATTTTGAGACTAAACGCATGCGGCACTGACTTTGAGCTTGAGAGTGTTTGCACGAGATTGCTCCTTAAATGACGTTTTAACGCATACATTATTTATATCTAACATTGAAAATGCAAATATTTCAATATGTTCTCAACCTTCACTGTGACACAAACTTCGTGATTGTTATAAACAGCGTTTACATTTCACATCGTGACATACATACGTTCACATTTATAGCAAATAGTTCTGTTATTGTTATAAACAGCGTTTACATTTCACATCCTATAGCTGCCTGATAAGCATAGTTAATAGCTCCCCAATCAAAATGATATATAAGAAGTTCAGAGCAAATAATTTCGTTTGTTTCGAGCATCAACAAGGCAGTTTCATCCCTGGGGATGAGTAAAACGCTCTATTCGTTGATTGGAAAAGTTACTTTAAGTATTTTGAAAGGCACATTTCCCAAGATATCGTCAATGTTTCATGTCATCTTTATGAATACGTTGTCCCATATTAAATATAACGAATAAACTATTAAAGTGATGAAATTACTGGATTGATGAAAGATGCCATGTCATTGTTGACTTGATCACTGGGAGAAAACATTCTCTTTTCATTTTGCAGCTACTGCGCTAGCTGTCACTCCTAAGAAGTAGTGTATGTAAAATGTTTCCTTCTATCACTAGTTGTCCTTTTTATTTATCAACGATCTGATTTGTGTTTATCAACTATGAATCTCTGATTATAATTGAAGAAAGACATATAGTTGTAGCTACTCAAAGCACTTTAGATGGCAAGTATATGAAACGAGAAAAAGTGTCTCTTACGTATTGAGAAAAATGTAGCTAGTAAAACTTCCTTTATCTCATAGCTTTGACTGCATTATATAACGTTTAACTTATTCTTAGTCGTGAGTATAATGCATCTCTTTGCCAGCAAGCATGCCACTTATGACTCTCGATTTGTCCGTCGAGCAATTGCTTCGACATAATTGTTCGCACAACAATAATATCACTTTATTATAGATACTGAATAATTCATTTATAAACTTATGACATTTCATAATGAAGGAATATTACACAAAGCAAATGTAGCGTTTTCTAATTAGGCGTGGGAGAAACCACTGACTTTCGTATTATAATATTGCTGCTTGATACAAATGGTTATTCTTCAAAGTAGTTGAATCCTTTTATGAGTTTATGAAATTAAGTTATCATCACAATTGTCTGAAGTGTGTATATACCCTTAAAAATAATCTCTTTTACTTCGTCTGATTCACCTATCAATAGGGCGCCTTTATGATTGGAGCAATAATTAGACTAGAGAAAAAGTGTCTATAATGGTATTATTAGATTGTGGCATGCACTTTTATAACTTTTTGATAGAAAAAGAGTAAAACACGTAACTTGGAGTTTTATTTGATATTTTCGGAAGGTTTAATAAAAGTTGAACGGTTGCATTATTTATAGTCAAGTTGAAATTTCACGTAAACATTGTTATGAGACTCATTTTGAAATTCTTAGCGTCGTCGTGTTATTGATCAAATCACGAAGAAACAATTTTATGACATTTAGAAAATTTATTTTTTGTACATACATTCTTGATTTACCGAACTTTCCTAACTTATGAAATTTTTGATAGTTTTTTATTGTGTTCAATTTATGAAATTATATTCCAGAAAACAAATGCAATTTATGAGCAACAAACATTTAGTATTTGCAGGGAATATGTACCTATATGTACTTCGATATCATGTATCAAAGAAGACTTTATGATGAAACAGTTTATTTATTTATGAAGCATTATCTTGAACTTGTAAAATTTATTTTTTTATTGTAATTGCAACTCTTTTCCCAACGCGGTGCCCTTGTGTCAACCCAATTTTACTTCATGAGTCGGTTTGATATGAGCTAATGTGATTAACAGTCATTATGATTGCATAGATAATGATGCAATAAGGGCGGATATTTAGTGGGTTCAGCTTCAGCTGACCTCATCTCAAGTTTACTTTACGTCAGCTGTCCTTTTCTTGACTTTTATGATAAAGATAATTTCATTATTGCTTTCACTTAATAAAGGCTTGCAAAGATGCAAATTAGTGAGAGTGATGCTATCCAACAATATAAAAGAAGAGCCATTTTAGCTTTTCTCTCAATACTCACTGAGTCAACAAGATCAAAGAATCTGCTTATTCATCTCAATTGGCAAGGTATGTGCTGTACTATAAGTACATGAAAAGACTTTTTAACAGATCATTCATTTTTTTCATTAAATTCGTTATGTGAAATTTGTCATCATATTTTTCATTCACAATTAGCAAAATGAAAACTTTTTTCATAATTTGAACATGGCAAGGCTTCATTGACGATGGCTTTTTTAATTGTGTATTTTTAGCTATAGGCTGAGTTGACTTTAAACGTAAAATTCGGGTATTCAGTTGACTTCACTAGATTGACTGTCTTTAGCTAAGATGAAGCAGTCTTCTTCTTTAACCGGAAGAAGTTTCTCAGTGAAAATAACATTCTAAATTTTATCATTTAGTGAACGCTGTTTTTCGCTTTCTTGCCAGACATATGTTTAATACATCATCGGAGAATTTGTACAATTTTCTTCAAGTGCAGCGCGCGGGAAGAGCCGAAAATAAAAACTTATAGAACTATCAAGACAATGAATGTTGTTTATTGTTGGTTGACTTACATCTTTGTGTTTTGTTTTTATTTATTTGTAGAAAAGAAATCAAAATGAACGCGATTGCTATAAAGTTGCTGTTGATTGTCGTAGTCATCTCAAGCGTATTGTTGTTGGAAATACAATCGCGTGCAATTGAGCAACCTTGGGATGTTGATGACGACTATACTAGTGATGATTTCCGTGACCATTTTGATTCTTACTTGCACATTCGACAACCGTTGACATATGGCAGGAGAAGAATGATGAAAGCACTTGCTAAATCCGATCGTAGTCATCTTGGCAAAAATTTACCTGTTCAATCCCGTACTTTCTATGAGAATACAAAAAGAGAAGCTAGTGAAAGTCGTTAGTCTTATGTAAGTAAATAAAAAGTGTACATTTCAAGTATTTTAGCTCACAAAATCCGCGATTTTTTTTCTCAAAGAAACAATGTAAATCAAGACGACATATGTACTTATTCAAAACACATTTTGCCATTTGAAAATGTCAGGTCTAGGCATCTAAGTGGCTAACAAAAACTTGGTCCTGCGGGGAAACATTTTAATCATGCAAACTTTGTGATTTTATTTATTTGTTTTGTAATCATACATTTAGCATTACGAATCCATATTTAAAATTCAAAAGTTTACCAGATGGTCTGAATTTTTACAAAGTTTTCATTCGGTTAATTTCAATGAAAAATTGTTTAAGAAAGATGAAAGTAATTTACGATATACCGTATTTACTCGTTTCAGCGCCGTCCCGAACGAAAGCCGACCTCGAATGAGCACTGCCCCCGATTATTTTCAAATGTGCGAATAATCCACCATAAAAATTGTTTATGACATAAGTACAAAATTATCACTAATCTTAAATCGACGACAGAAATTTTCTTCTGTTGAGAGCAAAAAGTGTGTATTTGTTGTTAAATATGCTTGTTACAACGCAGAATTAAAAGATTTTTTTAAAGAGTGCCACCCCATCCCCTGATGAGCGCTGCATCTAAAGTTCTTAAAATTTGAAGAGCGCTGCGGTGTTCAAACGAGTTAATACGTAGAGTAAATGTAAATATTTAATTATAAAAACACTTATCGCTGAACTTTTTTCTATTTTTTATCTTTGCTTCTGTCTTATTTATGGTCTGGGTGTCGTTATGTTGTCTGGCGTTAAATGCACTGTCCCTTTTGAGATAATCACGGTAGATAAAAATTGATATGTGACGCACTTTGGCGACGCTTACCACGTACAATGTAATTATTTTTATAATAAGCCATTTGCACATCTTTTGGGACAAAAATTGTGTGGCTATATTATACAAATTTGAAGGTTTGTCCCATCAATTTATAATGAACGTTTTTGTGATTACTAAATCTTGATAAGTGTCATTGTCATATGAGGCGTATTAAGGATTACAAGATAACAAGAAACACCATTACTTGTAATGTTTCATAGAATTCAAAATTGAAGATTTCAATGTATACTATTGGCGCAGTATTTTCGAAACAAAGTTTTTTTCCAAGAAAAAAATGTCTTTCTTGAGCTGTGAAAAATGAAATATTTCATATATCATTGCATTTCTGTTAATCTTTAAAATACTGATCCTTGAAATACTCGTTTCACATTCAAAAGCTCCTTTTGTTTCATTGATGTTGCGATGATTTAACCATTGAATTTTATTTGATCTCAGGTAAAGAAGACTGATAACGAAGAAACGTTTTTCTATACATTACATCACGATATAGTATTTACATTTCAAAGATAAAATACAAATTGTAACTTTGTGAATTACACTTAAATAAAATGCTGGTTGTCAATGCTGGTTCAAATGTTGTTTTTTATCGTAGCTTTTTCGACAACAGCCACGATACCTTACATCAAAGGTACATCTGAGACTATCTCGCGTATCTTACGACCATACAACATACGTGTCGCACATAAACCAATCACAACGTTACAACAAGTACTAACGAACATAAAGGACAAAGAACGACCCAACGAACGACAAGGTGCAGTTTACAAAATAAACGGCTCTGACTGCCACGCCTCCTATATCGGGGAAACTGGCAGGAACTTAAACATAAGACTTACTGAACACAAACGAGCTACTAAGAAACAAGACAAAACTAATCACATTGCCGAACATCACCGAATCACAAAGCACAACATTGACTGGGACTCGGCAAAATGCATTACTTACAGCACTGACTATAGACAACGGCTTACATTAGAAAGTTCGTATACCAAGTTGGAACAAACCCCCTTGAACAGATCACAGCAATTACCGGCACCTTACAAACGACTTATTCACAATACAAACAAACGATCAACTAAAAACATTACACTTCACACTAATTCACAATGAGAATACACAATTGACACCCACACATTACAACTAAAAACATTTCACTTCACACTAATTCACAATGACAATACACATTTCCTGTACACACAATACAATGACGTAAGAACCAGATAACAAATACGGCTAACACCTGACGTTTACTCCTCATTTGACTTCTAAAGATGGCTACCGCTAAGGTTGTCGAAACGTCAGTCAACAACAACAGAAACAGTCCTTCTCAGGACTATACCAACCTGGACGATCTACATTTACAAACATGGGTTCAAACCATTTACTTTATTTTTTCAAATCGTTAGAATGCTGTGGGTACATCTGCTTTGATATATACTCATTCAAAACTAAATTTTTTTATGTAACAGCTTGTTATTGCACATCACCAATCATTGGGAAAATATTCCTTAAAATGGATCATTCCTATACTTTGACGTGTATGTACTTGAAAATGCAATTGCAACAAAAGGGAGAATATATGAAAGGAAATAAGGAAAATATCTCTCGTCTATACGTCCATTTTCTCGACAAAGTTTTACTGAGTGAACTATAGATATGCAACCAGCAGAGCCATTGCTTCTCTTTGAATTAGGACAACAACTCTAGCAATGTTTACCTTGATGTTTTGTGAGGAAGGAGGGGAAAGCATCCTATTACAAACTTTAGGGCCTGGGAGGATCAAAGCATAGCAGCTTCTTCCCCCGCTTACTACACTTATGATTACTAGTAAAAAATGGAGCGTGTGAGGTTGTTGAAGCTCTAAACGGCACCCGAACTTTGTTATGGTCCGACCGACAGTGCCAACTGTGCCGATGATGCGGTTGCCAAGCTTTTTGCATAACAATGTGCAAGATATGAGGAAGTAGATGATGGACTTCATGTAAGAAACAGATAATATATTTAGTACCTCGTGTCAGGAAATAGAGCCACAGTCAGTGCTGACCAGGATTTTTAGAAAATTGAAGAATATGCTCAACATAGAGATGAAAAAGAGGATTCAGAAAGTTATGGGGACTGCCAAAACAGCATTCTACTACGGATTAATTCCTACTATCATCTATCTTGGTAAAAATATTTCCTTATCAAACATTTATGATCAACTATTCTCTCACTACATGTTTGTAAACCTGGACGATCTACATTCACAAACATGTAACGATACTCCCGGGTTCAAACCATTTACTTTATTCTCTTACTATTGCTTTCAGCCGAAGTTTAATTATTTATCCTCACAATTTTGTGAAACACTGACATTTTGCTCAGAATGTTCTGTCAAATAAACAATGAAATGTTGATGTTCTTTAAAATGCCGTGTGAATGCAATATTGAAGGACATTGAATGAAATGAAATGTCCAAAAATGAGTCATGAGTGAAATAAAAAGGAATAGATCTGGAAAGTGTGTAGTCAAAAAGCCTAGTTTTAACTGTCGGTGTGCAATTTTGAGAGAACTATGCTTTTATGCATACACATTTCAAAATCTCAGGTGCACAGTTTACAAACTTTACAGTCTGGGTTAGGTGTATGACATAAGTTTAACTATCCTGTGGCTCTGAGCAGGTTTGGCAACAACATTTTTCAACTTTCCCCTTCAAATTTGGTCCACCTATAGCACATAATTTTAAAATTCCACTTGTAGCATCTTGTTTGTAGACTTTCTGTCTGTTGTCTACAATTAAAACAATAATAGTACAAAAGTGCATTTAGCAGTTTATTATTTTTAGGCTTAAAACGTGGTGGTGATCCAGGAATGCCTGAACCTACAATTTTGAGGTAAATCATAGCAATATGAATTATAAGTCATGTTCATCATAAAATGAGCCATGTGAGATTTGTTTTGCTCATTTTTTTTTTAATAAATGGAAGAAGAAATTGCAGAATATTTATAGAAGAATTAACTTACTGAAATCTACTTACTGAAAAGACTAGATTGAATATCATTGTTGTCAACAGAGAGTGTTTTCACTTTTAGTGAGCAAGTTTGTGATTCAGGACATAATTTGCTAACCAGTGACAACTAATTTTTATTTTATGAAAACAGTACTCATTCTTCAGTAAATAGAAGTTTGTTTAGTAGTCAGCTTGTATGGACATATATGGATGTCAAAATGAATTAAAATAGCATTTCTTGCAATTATCTTTACTTTTTTTTATAGTTTACTGTGGGCTTGATGTGCTGTAAGAAGTTTGCTTCAACCAACTAATGAAAGAAATCATATCACTGCAATGCCATCAAACTTTGAGATATCTGAATCAACTTGACTGAAATTGTACATAATATCATATATATGTGGTTGATAATTAATTTTTGGTGTTGTCTTTTGTAGTATCTAGGAAGTATATAGGCAAAAAATAAAGTTTTTTCATATTTACAATTTCTCCAATAGGGATCTTAGAATATCAAGGTAAACAGTTAAATCAATAGTTTGAAGTAAGATTCAACAATTGGGTATTTGGGATTGGTATTATAATATGAGGCAGCAAGGTTGTGTCTTTTCAATAATGTATTAGCATATTTTGTTGTACCAGAGCATTGCAAAAATAGTATGGCAATCAATACAACTTCTGGTAACGCTTTAGATAAAGTATTTCGTCCGGAGCAGTGATCATTCTAGACTCTGAGAAACTTCACTGTAAACCTTTCTCGCAATGCTTTCCCCTCCTGTAAAAAGCTAAAAGACTGGGCGCAAGCACTCTGGAAGCATTTTGTAAAGATGAGTAAATACTCTACTGGAGAAAATAAAGGGAAGTCAAAGAAACCATTTATCAAAAGAAATAGATCTCCCAAAACTGTGACAGAATATGACGAGGCGGTTTCTCCTTTTCCTAACATTTATACGAACGAAAATATACCGAGTGCTTGCAGGCAAAAACTAGCTGAACTGTTTGTTCAAATTGAAAAGGAATTTGAGAAAGTCTATTTGGAAAAACATGCACGTAAGCATGTTGTACGCTTATAAACGGAAAGTTTTGTTGTAATGTTCGATATGTCAGTGCTGTTTATAAAAATGATAATTCTGGGCTTTGTTGTATGTTTACGTAATTTAATGTTGTAGCATTCAAACAAATTGTTTCGTCTTCTATTATTTTTGTTTGATATCATTGGCCGACAACATTCAGGGGATGCAGTGATGTATAACTTAACCTGCATCTAAAGTCTTAAATTGTACTAATATTCATTTTTGCTATCTCATTCATAGTTCAAGAGAAAGTGCATTTATTAACTGAAAAAATAGAAAGTTCAGGGAATGTTGAGAATTCTGAAAAGTTGGGTGAAGGGATGGTCAATGACGGTGTTGGGGCTACTAAAACAAGTTTTCCTAAAAAAACATGTAAGCTATAAATGATGTATTCTGTAATGAGGTGGAAATCTATAAGATAAAATGAGGTAGTGGAGCTATAATTATGAAACTGTCAGAATAACTTGAAGAAAATTAATTATTAGACAGTTGTAGAGATGTTGCCATTATGAAATATCGATTTTGTTTTTTACCAAGAGTATTAATTTTGAATGAATTCGGGATTTAAATATTTATAACATATGCATTTTCCACATACGTAGCTGCTGGCAAGTTGATGTCAAGGAAGTTGAAGACAACATATAAAGCTTCTACAAACAAGGTAAAAACAAGATAATATGCCATGACATTAATGAAATATAAGTTTTATGGTATTTTTTCATGATATTTTATGTGGCTATGCCAAACAAAAATGCTAATGAATAATAAAACTTGAAGTATGGACCTTAATGCTGGTTAATTATATGATTTGTCTGTTTGCTAGCATATTTATTGTTTAGTATTTTTTGTCATAATGTGCTTAAAGCCAAGATTTATACATGTCATACATCATTAGTAATCATCAAAGCACAAACACCTTACTTTTTTCTATTTGATTTATGAGAATGATATAATTCAATGTTCTTAGTTCGTGTCAAGTTTCAAGCCTGCAGGCCAGACCCACAGTATTGAATGTCATTATTTTCAAACATATGATGGACATAAAGATGGAATATGGGATTTAAGCACTTCAAAACATATTCCGACTTTATTAGGAACAGCTTCTGCTGGTAATGTGTTTATATTTTTGTGATTTCAAATTTTTTGTTCTATCATTTCTGGTTTCATTATATAATCTATGAGACATTCAATGATTGTCAATGTATTTTTATAACAGACCATAAACCTGGTGTTTTTATTTCAACTATTTTATTTGCTATAATTTGTGATTTATAATAGATCACAATGCTAGGCTATGGTGTATTGATTCAGGTCACTGTCATTTGAAATATACTGGTCATCATGGCTCAGGTCAGTTAAATCTTTAAACTTTAAAATTGCATAACTGGAATATTCTTATTTTCATCAATATAATTTTCTTGATAGTTAACTCAATTCAGTTTCACCCAAGTGATCCAATAGTCAGTACTGGTAAGGTTTACTTACGTGATAATAAATGACCTTGAGCTTAGGTTGTTTTATGTTTAATTTGTATCCACTTATCAGTTTATAAAATGCATGTTACACACAGTTATGAAGCGACTTCCATTTTTTACTCCTCCATGGTGCATATTTTTGTGTTCATTTACTGGAAAAAAGTCAATTTCATTAATTTTCTAAAGGCATTCATAGTAATTTTGCTGAAAAATTTGCATTGTAAGAGCAAAAGATCGGTAGGCTTTGCATTCACATTGGTCATGTTTCATTGAATTTTGCTAAATTAGCCATAAGCATACATATTTTATGCATTGCACAGTAGATTGATACACTGATTTATTTATAAAATGTTCTTTTCCTTGTGGGAATGTATACTCGCCCTTATTGAACAATGTCTTTAAAATATTCTTAAATATTTATTCAGTCAACGTCTGTTGTTTCTAAAGGTTCAGGTGATGGAACAGCTCATATTTGGAGATTACCATCAGCAATCATTGACGTCATAACAAAGAACAAAGGATCGCCAAGCGAAAGTTCACCAGATGTACGTTCATATTATAAATTAACAACGTACATTATTTATTTAATTATTGTTATTTATTTATTTATTTAACAGTAATTATTTTATTAGCTACAAACGTAAGAGTCCGTGGACTATTGTCTTTTTTGGGGCGATGAAATGATCCATTCGATCCCATTCCATTTTTATGCTCGTAACACACGCAAATCTTTGCTATGTTTGTTAGTTAATCTGTGACACAGGAATATTTCTGATTTTTATTCGTCTTCATCGTGACATTTACAAGTTGTGTTTATAATTCCCAAATTCTCAACCGACGTCACTGTGTTCATTTTTCTGTTTAGTCAGAGTTTTATGAAATCAGCAACATGTATTGATTATACTAATGGACGCATAATAATTATTTATAAAACACTGATAACTACTCTATTAGAGCTTGCGAGTTTTTGTTTTCGTCCTTCGAGACTTGAAATGCGACTTTCTAGGGAACCAGCGTATGTAAATTCATTATTACCGTATGACCTTATCAACACGATACTAAATAGACATCTCAAGCAGGCGATAATATTTTTGAAATTCATGATTCAAGTCTAGCATGTATGCAATTAAAAGTTTCAAAAACTATTAAATCCAATATAACTTTCTTTCAATTTCGTTTAGTGGTCCCATGATGAGAACGATGTATCTGATGACGATGAGGGTAAATGATACGTGACTAAAATATTGGGATTATCCTTCAATGTATTTGTAATACTTAACCAAAAATTTATATTACGTATTTATGTATTTTTTATTCTTTTTATTTAGGTGTATATGATTCAGCAGATGGTCATCGTCCATTTATTCTTAAATCTCCTGCTACTTCATTAAAAGCCCATACAGGTGACGTATATAAATGACGTATACGTTACGTCATGCATTTGTCCTGCGCAGTGAGTTCAAATACTAATTCGAGTTATTAAATTCTACCTGCTAGTTGGAAGGTATCTTTTTATAAAGAAACCTTAGCTTCGTGTTGGTTTTGGTTTTGTGAAACAAAAATTTTAGGATTCGGATGACGAGAAGAAATTCCTTAATATTTCTTAGACTTCGACGTTTCTTAGCTAAATCTTACGAAAATCTTTCTTTACTCAATTGAACTCCATGTTGGAAGAACTTTGAACTTAATCAATGAAGGATGGTGTGGAATATTCAATGTACTTCATAATATCTAATATCGTCCAACGTAGACTAATATCATCTTACATTTCTACGGTTGTTCAAACGGAGACTACGAATTTGACTTTGTTGGTTTTTTGAGCTTTGATCTGTCACCTCTCTGTCAGAGGCCTACTGCGAGGGCATTCATATTGCGGCTGGTTTTCAATTATTTTACCGACGAAGTTAATGATTCACTGCCTGTTTATATACGGCTGTTAGAAATCATGATGCGTTGTTTGTAAGAATGAAGGTGACAGATCCATATCACTGACCACAAGTGAATGGATGAAATACCTTTTTGATAGGGAAAATTTAGATGATACTGACTGCTTTTGTTCAAAAACCATCTGTATTGTAAAAATTAACCGATCATTTTCTCAAAAAATGGTGGGGGGTGTTAATCCTCGTACATCTCAGATCCCACGCTCGGTAGCTCCTGCTTTTTATCGAACCGACTTGAGTTTTGGTTTAACGTGCAGCTCAAACACAATGAAATTGCTCCTTGAAGGTGCGGTAATGGCTGTTGATTGGCTTCCTGATGGAAAAAGAGTGGTCACGGCTTCTTGGGATAATACTGCTAAATTATGGGATGCTGAACGAAGTACAGTTATACAAACATTAACAGGTGTGTACAAAATTTTCCTATGGATTATTTACACAACTGGTAACATCGAACATTATTGTTCACTTTCGAGCTACGATTTAGGTAAGTTATTGGTATTCCAAGATATTTTATGAGATTTATGTGAATTTCAACTCCTCAATTTACTGTTTTTGATGAATAGAAAAAAGAGTTTACATGTGAAAATGCATTGTTTAGGTCATGACGATGAATTAACTCACACATGCTCCCATCGAAGTCAAGATCTCATAGTCACGGCTTCTCATGACTCAACTTTTCGTTTATGGGACTTTCGAACACCTTCTTTGCATTCTGTGAGCGTGTTTCAAGGACATGCCAGGTTTGTTGCTTTATTTTATTATTTCGTAGAATTCTGAAGATGTAACCAATTATTGTTAACCTAGCATTCTAAGAAAACAGGCTAGAAATACATACATATAGTTGATAAATAAGTACTGAAGCAACAATGTCTCTGGACGTGACTCCAACAAGTTTGACGACAGTCGCTTTTTTGTTTACGCACATCGCATACTTTTGAAATCCTTGACTTTTCTTCTTGCAGCACCGTTACATCAGCCGTGTTCACTGATCAAGATGTTGTCATAAGTGGTAGTGATGATCGTACTGTAAAGGTTTGTTCTTATCATTCATCATTCATTCATTCATTTATAAAAGATTCTTACAATGAATATATGATTCTCCCCCAACGTGTTTATCGAGTGAATCGTTCGTTAGTTTACCTCCACATGTGATATTTTGAATTGTATGATCAGCTAAAAACGCAGTTTGTAATGCTATAGTAATTTGTTTATAAAGTAAATGGTTTGAGCCCGGGAGTATCGTTACATGTTTGTAAATGTAGATCGTCCAGGTTGGTATAGTCCTGAGAAGGACTGTTTTTGTTGTTGTTGACTGACGTTTCGATATTTGACTCTGAAGATGACTACCGCTAAGGTTGTTCAAACGTCAGTCAACAACAACAAAAACAGTCCTTCTCAGGACTATACCAACCTGGACGATCTACTTTTACAAACATGTAATTTGTTTATGCTGATCACTTTTGTCTATGTTGTCTGTTAACGGAAAACGTTCTGTTTGATATATTTACTTTAATAAATTTTTATGTATTTTTTTTGTAAAGGTTTGGGATTTGAAAAACATGCGAGCTCCTCTTACAACGATACGTTTAGACTCTGCTGTAAACAGGTGCTAAATTTATAGAAAAAAAAACTTTAAAATAAATTTGGGCATACCTGGTTACGTCATAATAATACTTTTGACTAAAGCCTTGTGACTATAGCAAACTTTATTTTTCTAATCATTTTATTACCAACCGAGATGTTATCCTTAACTTACGTAACAATCACATCCGGACAATCGTTTTTTCTAGATTTACAATAAATTGTAAAGTAAGAGAACTTATTATTTATTTCATGATAATTGCTACGCTTTTCTCTACGATGAATTACATTTCGAATGTCCATTTAATAACCAAGCGTGCATAGATGAATTTTTTCATAAATTGTGACTGAGTTAGCTAGTTACTCTCAGAGCAATGAAAGGATATCCAGTTGATTTGTATTAACTCCATCAGTTGTTTGAGTGGACAGTGCAAGTATTCAGGCATATATTATTGACATGTTGTCTGTTTTTTTGACCAAGTTTCAACAAATGCATTTTTCAAACTCTTTTCCTTGATAAACATTTGCTGCCTCACGTGACCCACCATGCGTAAAAGCAAAGCAGGCAATACACAATCACAGACATTCTATCGTGGACAAAAAGAAAATTGTTTGCATGTTTTTATTAGCGATGAAGTCAATGGATGTTCATATTATACATGAATGAAAATAAAATGGGAGGTTATAGAAAAATAAAATAATGTATGAAACATTTTATGGTTGATTGAAATCACGAAAGGCAGTATATATTTTTGTAACTGCACAGTAAATTAGGATTCCTTAAAGTCCTTGCCTGACTGTCAATTCTGTTTAACTTCACTGGCTATAAAGAACATTTATCGTACTAAACATTGACCAAGTCTGCCTGTAGTAAATCAAACTTATATATTTTATAGTTGACGCTAACTCTTTTAATGTTAATATTTGTCCAGGTTGTCTGTATCGTCCGATCAAAATATTGTTGCAATTCCTCACGACAACCGTCACGTCAATCTTCTTGATCTCTCTGGATTTCGATTAATGCATCTTCCTCGAAGAAGGCGATATGTAAGTTTAAATTATACTTAGGGTTCCACGTTACGGGTGTTTCCACGTTACGGGTGTTTCCACGTTACGGGTGTTTCCACGTTACGGGTGTTTCCACGTTACGGGTGTTTCCACGTTACGGGTGTTTCCACGTTACGGGTGTTTCCACGTTACGGGTGTTTCCACGTTACGGGTGTTTCCACGTTACGGGTGTTTCCACGTTACGGGTGTTTCCACGTTACGGGTGTTTCCACGTTACGGGTGTTCCCACGTTACGGGTGTTTCCACGTTACGGGTGTTTCCACGTTACGGGTGTTTCCACGTTACGGGTGTTCCTACAGGCGATGTACTGTAGCGTTTATTGTTGATGTTCCAATATGCTACACGAGTATAGTTATCGATCAATTTTTAGTTCAAGAAATATGCTTTGTCTTTCATTTGCTTGCATTCTTTCGGAAATATTTTTTTTAATTTACATGCAGTACTGTCCAGAGAGTAGAAATGAAATTCAAAAATCTTGAATGTATGTGAAATTGTAAATCGGTTTGCCTCGTTGTAAGTAATTTAAGGCTGTATCCACTTTCATAATCCAGTCAGAAACAGTTGACTGTATTTTAAACAAATGCAACACGTCCACGTTAGCGATTAAAGTTTTCCCAATTAGCCAACAAACTACTGCATTTACCCTAAAGTTGTAAATGAAAATGTTGTGAAACTAATCCTTTTACATTGTCAAATGGGATACCTGTATCCAGGGACTGTCGAGTTGAGGTGGCGGTATTGCCAATTTTGCCTTACTTTGAATCGAAATTAAATGAAAGTTGAATTGAATAAATGAAAGAAACGAATTAAATATAATTTGATTGAAATAACGAGTCAAAAAGCAGTGTTTTTTTCAAACTTTGCATTATCCTTGGATCACTAGTCTTTAACACACAATATTTTATCGCGGAAGGAAAAATATGTCCTGGCTCGTACAAAGTATGGCCTGCTTATTCATTGAAAATTTACTTCCTTAGTGTAGGGTATCATTGTAAAATAAATATGAAAATGTTTGAATCAATGCAATGTTTTTCATAACTTCATTTTAGAGTCATCAGAGAATGGTGAGCAGTGTGGCCTGGGGCGGAGAAATGTCGAGTAAAGGATATAATCTTTTTACTGCAGGATTTGATCGAAAGATTTTAGGATGGCAAATAATCTTTACAAAAGAAAATATACCTCATGGTAAACAATGAGACAACAAATGAAAAAAGCAGTGAACAACAAAGCGGGATTTCATCTTTTTTTCACCAAAGTTCCTTTTTTGTTAAAATGATAGATGTGTTATCTATACACAAAACTGTAGGTCATGGATTGGGATACTGTGTGTAACATAATTTGTAAATCTTAACAGTCTTATGTACGTTTAATCCCTTAATAACAATTTAAAATAAATTGACATTTACATCAGTAAAAACTAGAAATTTAAATCTTCGTTTTTTTCATCAACCGATTTGTCTTCAACTAGATACACGTTATTATCTCTCGATAATTTTTTCCACCAAGGAGCCCGTAACATTGATAGCTCTTTCGCATGATCTAACTGGGCTTTTCTGACTACAGGTGTTGATTGCGACGTGTACGTATTGATTATATCCATATTTGCATCTTTCAACTGGGGAGAAGCTGAGAAAAAAGACGTTGGTAATTGTTACAATTCATTATTCACAGAAGAATTTTAAAGACATAAAACCAACACATTCATTAAACAGATCAAAATACACTGAAATTTTGATTGGTCGCAGATGGTTTTTAAAGTGTTCATGCATTGCGTGAGATCTTTGAAAAATTTAAGAAGCAAAGAACTAAATTATTTAGGTGAGCCGGAACTTCAAGCATCTTAAAAGGTCCGTACAGATTTTGAGCACAGTAACAACAAACCATTCAGTGCTAACGTTGAGTACATCCTATATAACAGAATCGTAATTTTCTACCCAGTAACAATTCAGCATCCACATTCAATTTAGCCAAAAGAGCTTCTCTTCTTTGCTCAGTTTTTCTTGACTTTCCATAAATCATCAAATGACTTTCCAGTAGACGTTGGGTCTAAAGTCCAGTCATAAATATAAAGAATAACGACAGATGACAATCATTATATTTGCGTGTCGTGGCTGTGCTCTGGTTTCAGGTTTTCATTTCAATGAAAGTATGAAAGCATTGATTAATGCTACAGAAAATACCTAACCACAATCAAACATTTTTTCAATAACAATATCTTCATGCAATTCACCAAAGGAATGTAAGTAATGATAACGGCGTACCTCATAATGGCGCTGCTTCACATTTTCCTCGTTCCAAACTTTAGTCTAAAGCAAGATCAGACATGACATTCCTACCATTTTTAGCAAAGATAAAAGCAATTTGAAATTAACTTACGGCCATTTTCTCACGAAACCGTAGTATTTTTTCCTGAATTTCCGTTCGACGAGTATCGTCAAGTTCATTTGGTTCCAAATCAAATGTAATCTTTCTATATCTATTCTTTCTTTTCAAATGGCTCCGATACTATAATGTCATTAAAAAGGAATTTTATTCTCAAGGAAAATGGGTCGAAATTAATATGGTAAACACGTTAATTATATCTAACTGGTGAATGTTACAAAAACAAATTTGATTTCTTTTTAATACTGGTACTTTTAATTATAAGTATAAAATACATTTTAACTAAATATATTTTGCAGTTGAATCTATGGATATTTATCCTCGGCCGGTGTCGAATATCAGCAACAGCCTTTCATTACCTACGTACACTTTATGTTTTGCCAAACACTGCAATACGCAATGCTATTGAATTGAGCAAATTAACAGAGGAGCTAATGTGCAGGAATTAATATACAGGAGTTAAAATGTACAGGACGTTGTTGGATAAGTTTACTGCATTGCATGTGCATAGGTTCAAGCATATAAACTGATGTTCAGACAGTGAATTAGCATGCACTTTTCATTCGTTGATTCGCATTCAAATTATAACAAAGAGGTCGAAACTTTCAAAGCATTTCGTTGCTTATTACATGATCAGGCAAATATTCAATTTTTTTAAGAATATCAAAGATGATGTCCAGTTTGTTACTATGCATAATTATCACATGTATTGCATGGTTGCATGAAAGCACAACTATTAGAAAAATACATTTAGAGTAAATGAATACATAGATGCTGCATACATCCTGTCAAAAAGAACACTTGTATGCTGTGTAAGACACCTGGTCATATTTACCTGTCTTTGTATAACACATGCTGCATCATGGAGCACCTTTTCACGTCTCAAATCTTTATTTGTCGTCTTGCTTGCATTCCACGAAATGCAGACTGTATCTTAATAGCAGAAACGTTTTGTGTTTCAAGGAAATACTCTTGTACTTTATTTGCTGGTACATGTTCCAACGTTATAAGATTTTTGTTCAAACTTTCACGAAAATCTCTTTGTCTCGATATGTTCTCATGATGATGCTTATCGCGTTGCAATTTTATTTTCAAACGTTCTTCTTGTTTTCTGATAAATACTGTCTGTAGAGTCTTTGAAACTTCACAACACCAACATTCATTCTCTGAAGCATTTTTCTTTCTTTGTAACCTTTGTAATAGGCCTTGATAATCGAGGCAGCCGACTCTTTTTTCTTAAAAAAGAATACACTCAAATCCTACGCCTTAAAAACCACATTAAGATTAAGTAAATTAGTTAAATGTTAAACAAATGTAATCATTAGCGAAGTAAAAAAAGTTTAATCATCCCTATAAAATAATTTAGCTCAAATAACTGTTGAAACCAGCTTCAATAAAGGAGTGGTTGTATATTCATACATTCTGTTTTCGTGTAAAAAGTGAAAACGCCCTTGCATAGCTACGTCTGAACAACGATAAAGACTTAATGATAACCAACGTAATAGGTTACCATTAACTCTGCATGAGCAACATCCCCAGCTTCCAGAATAGCTGTCAATTTCTTCAAATCATTATCAAAACCTTTTTCTTTCCACTTGCTCAAATACGTTTTTAAGCCTCTGCAAAATAAATTTAAGAAAGAAAATCAGACGATGAAGAAAATGTGTTTGAAATAAAATAGCAGCGGACAAAATGTTTCCTGTATGTATCAGGATTACATGTACGTACCTACCTGTATTTTTGAGATGAAAGTAAGTCGACAACTGAGGGCTGACGATCAATAAATAAAAGTAGCAATTGGCATGCTAACCTGTACGAAAAATGAAAGCTATTGTTGAAAATAGTGTTATCAAGGGAAGAAGCAATAGAATGTATACTTCATGTCTAGCTGAAATTATTGGGGGTTTTTGTAAAATAATTTGTAAGTGTTTGTGAAAATGGTTATAAAGTTTGATCAAGTTTCATGATGCCAGAAAAATTAAACTTTGAGTCCAAACGAATGAAACGATAGCTAAACAACATTTCCTCTTTTTAAAAATGCCATCGTCACCTTCCAATAGAAATATCTTCGGATGCTGCAATTTTATAAATGAGTTCATCTAATAAACTTGAGCGTGTACCATCACTTGACTTATCAAGAATATTCCTAAAATAATTTATATCATTAAAAATACTTGCGCTTTCACTTTATCTGTAAATAACCAGAGTATAAATAATCAATTTCCCCATGCTCCACAGGAATTTAACCTATAAAATATCGTAGCTTATAATAGATAATTCCATGGCATTTCTCCCTCTAAAATTGTGTGAATTTAAAAGTGTTTACTTATAGTCCAGATTAGGTTGTTATTGTGAAGACTGTAACTTGTATTTCGCATGTAACATTTATAATTTTAGCATGTAATTAATGGATCCATGACTTAAAACACTAAATAATATGACACATATAACATATTACATAAATAACAATGTTAACTAGCGTTACGTATTCATCTACTCCACCTATCACGTTTAAGTATGTTGTGAATAAGACTGAGAATGAGTAAAGATGTTTCAGCATCTTCAACCATCAACATTTGCATCATTTTTTTGGATTCCATCGCTAAGAAAATTGAGATTAAAAGCAATTTTCAATATTCATGGCTGCATGGTATGATAGGTAATCTTGAGGTATTATGCAATTTTTAATATTCATGGCTGCTATGTATGATGGGTAATCTTGAGGTATTATGCAATTTTCAATATTTATGGCTGCTATGTATGATGGGTAATCTTGAGGTATTATGTAATTTTCAATATTCATGGCTGCTATGTATGATGGGAAATCTTGAGGTATAATGAAATTTTCAATATTCATGGATGCCCAGGCATGATGGTTAATCTTGAGGTATCATTCAACATCTTTGACAACTAAGAGTAGAGTAATGAAATAAGGAATCAAAAGAGAGTACCTTTCATATTCAAGGAAGGAGAAAAGTTCACCAACCACGACAAGGAATCTGTAACTTTTTTCAAGTTTATGTACAGTTCATGCCTTAATGCTGCCTAAAATATGGCAATGCACAATCATCTGTGAATACTTAACTGTCCACAAGATTCCAGTTGTCATAGGTCATTGTACATATAAATCATGTTAGCTGATAAATTATAACATCTTCAATTTGGAAGTCTAAATTCAAGTTGCTTTTGTAAATTAATTTTGAATATTTGTGAGTAAGTGTGTAAATTTGATAATTTCAAATTTTCAATCTCTTTTCAAACATTTTTATTCAAATTATACAGCTATGCTTGGATGAAATATAAATTGACTGAATCCATGAAAGCATTGACCCTCTCTAAAACACTTAAACTAGGTATCAATTCATTCTTATTACCTCTGCAGCTAAATAGACCTCCTGAATCTTGAAACACAAATCCAACATGTTTTCCAACAGATTTGGTAAGAATGTTTCATTAAATTGTATTGATGTTGTCAGCTCAGATCCATCACAACACTGGCATAATATTGAGCAGAGTTTAGCTGCTATATCCCATCCTTTATCAATACATGAATAGTCCTGAAGAAGGGCTACAACAATCAAACATAAACATTTAGGCAAAATACACAGTGCATAAAAGTCTTTTGTTAAGCATCCTGAGTGATCTAAAAGGATGCAATACAATCAATTACATTTTATATACCTGTGGAGCAAACATGCAGAATGTCGTAATTCCAAATGTGTTGTCGTACTTTAATGCCAATTTTTGATCCTGGAGGACAATCCTTAACAATCTCTATTAAAAATGTAGTAACTGAATGTTCAACTCTGCTTCGCGGTAGGTGTACGAGTAAATTGTGACGTAAACCTGTAGCTTTTAATTGAGTACCTTGTAATTTTTGAAGTGTAAATGCCACATTGTAATCTTCGGTTTCAGCAATTGCAGCTGCCAAATTTAAAATCTTTAATTGCGTGCCTTCGAAACTCATTACTGGATGAGGATGACAACCGCAATAAAAGATGAATCGTTAACGGACATTTTAAACTTTCACTGGAAAACTTTCCAGTTTTGTTATGGTTTTAAACACCTAGAACTACATGGATAACAACCTCAATGCTGTTGGGTTTCTATGCGTGTGACTTCTCTCAGTTGTCTATGTTGTCTGCAATTTATGCAGCCATCGTAAAAAGCCGCCATCTTTACGAAGGAAAATGAGAAATCTTTATTTGACACCCCCCAGTAGGTATGTAGTATGTAACAAAAACCGGGCCAGAACAACAGTTACAAAGAGAAATAAAATTTTTGAGTAAATACAATGAAAAGAAATGCTTCGGTGATGAGTGTGATGTGGATATTACAGCTGGATATGTCAATTAGTATGCATTAGACAAAACAATAAGAAAAGTCATTCCTTCATTGACGTCGTAAAATCTCTAAATTAGGTGTTGTTGGATAAGGTTCGCATTTATCGCACGTCTTTACTGCTTCGCGTATCCGATAGTCCCACATTGTAGTTTTTAAAAAACACTTGAGAAAAACGACGATTTTTTTGAAAGCAAACATGTTTCGACATTATCAGAATGCCATCTTCAGTGCAGAATGGTTAGTGTTAAGTAATATGATAAGTAATATGATATGAATAAATTAATTACAATGAATAGGATTGTGATTTAGTTACAAAATTATAAAATATTTACAAAAAAGGAAAAGAAAAATAAGTATTAAGAAATTATAACAAAAAATATTATTATGAAGCAAATATAGTGTTGTAGTGGTGAACTTGGATATTTAAGTCGGGATTAGTTTTATTAATGTGTAGAGCTTCCTTGATTTTGAGTGAGAAAGTGGATTGATCAGTGTCGATGATTTTAAAACAGGAAAGTGAGAATTTGTTTTTACATGAAGGAGAGGCTTGAAGACGTTTGTAGATAGTGGAGTTTTTGTCTGTGTGAGTATGTTCCTTTATCCTGGTAGATAATTGGCGAGAAGTTTCACCAATATAGCGGGAATTACATCCCGCACATGAAAATTGATAAACTACCATAGATTTGGAAAGTTCGGGAAGTGGGTCTTTAAACGAAAATAAAGATTTTATTTTAAAAGGTGTGAAAATAAGTTTAACGTCAATGTCAGTGCAGTAGCGTTTAATGATTTGTGTGAGTTTGCGTTGTGTGTGTCGTGAGTAATCACCTATGTAAGGTAGTTTGAAATAACGTTTATTGTCAGGTTGTTGTATATCGTTAGTGTTAGTTGTGGAGTTAGATGAGTCAGTGCTTTTCTTGTTGTCCAAATAGTGTTGTATAGTGTTGTTGATGAAATGAAAAGGAAAAGAATTACGTCGGAGAGTGAATATTAGTTTCTTTAAATCACGTTGAATCAAGTTACAAATTATAACGAATGTGAATTTGTATGAAGGAATGATAATAAGTCTTGATACCACGAGCTTCTCTCGAAAGCCCTGGCCTGTAGGCTTAAATGCCTCATACTATGAAGTAGTGGGTTTTCTCACTTTCCCTGGCCATGTCAATGATTTTCTTGATTTTGGTTTGAATTTTAAAATGATTTTTCCTAGTTGTTTACACTCTGGGTTGCAAAAAAAAGCTAGGAAATGCAAAAGCAAGAGACTGAACTTAGTGAAAGGAATAGATATCACTTATAGGCCCATCTGTTGTAGTAAAATTAACCCGTCCTTGGCATTTGAGGTTTGTATACTCTTTGTGTAGTTTGGACATTGGTGAGCGTTTCTTGTTGTTTCTTGTTGGTTCTTGCTAATGAATGTCATTAAATGTGGCGAGGCATTTTTCAGGAAAGGCAAGACAACAGGTGTTTCGAGTGCGTTTTGAATGCTCACATGATCTAATTCAGGGTTCCCATTGGTGCGTTTCCTACACGTGTCTAACTACAATGCATCTTACTTCTACAACACATGTCACGGATATAATCCAAGATGGAAGTCGCTAGAGCACTGAGTAACAAAAAACAGGCAGCTTTTGGAGTACAGTCGTTGTTGTGTTTTGTCGTATTGTCTTTAGCATGGCTAGTTGGATTTGCTAGTAGATTGTTTGCAATAATTCGATTCGAAAGCATTATTCACGAGTTTGATCCATGGTAAGTGCCAATTTAGTGTCTGTTACTAATAGGATGATAAATGTTGGATGTGTATTTTTAGTAGTCTGCATGTTTTAATCCAACTGCAATAAAATAAACGAAATCTTAACATGGGCATTAGTATTAGCTGAATTTAGTCAAAGATCCCTCAAAATTGGCTATAAAATAATTTTGGGAGTAGTAAATAAGTTATTTGTCCAATGTTAAATGTTTTCAAAAATCACTTTTGAGACCTTGAAGTAACATAAACAATAATCTAATAATAGTCGTCACCTTCCCTTTCACACCATGTGGCTTTCCCATTTTTTATTTGCAAGTGTCATTTAATGGTTTAACTGAATACAGTATTGCACATCTCAAAAAGAAATTGATGAGCCATGAGTAATGTTGGGGGGATGGGCTAGAGTTAAGGTGTTCTGCATTTTTGGAAAGACTTTTATTGTGTCTGTATTTTATACAAAAGCCTTCATTTTGCACAAAAGCTGGAAAGAGGGTGTCATACCACCAATACACCCCGCCCGCATTTACTCCTATCAAGAAATATTGTTTACATTTATTTTGTCTTATTACCAAACTTTTTCTCTGAAGCAATTTTTGGTTTTAGGTTCAATTATAGAGCAACCCATCATCTTGTTTCTCATGGATTTTATAATTTTCTCAATTGGTTTGATGAGAGAGCTTGGTATCCTTTGGGAAGGATTGTTGGGGGAACTGTAAGTTCAGAAATGCACAGAACTTTCAACTGTTGCTAGTAAAACCACTTATCCCGAGTCAAAACAATCAAGCTGCGTATCTTATCTTATGTGTCTCTCTTTGATATTGTAATTTGGATTATTTAGTATGGTTTCTGTTGCTTTTGATGTCTGTTGTATTTTTTAAAGGTATTTCCAGGATTGATGGTGACTTCTGCAGCCTTGCATTCATTTCTTGGTATGCTAAACATAACAGTTCACATTCGAGATGTTTGTGTGTTCTTGGCTCCCCTTTTTAGGTAAGATTTTCTCTGAGGTATTATGTACCATAGTTATGTAAGAAGTAAGAAACGGCAAAGCAAAACAAGGTATTTTCTAAAAATTAACTTCTCTTCAATTCCAGTGGAATGACTGCAATAGCAACCTATTTTCTTACCAAAGAACTGTGGAATTCAAGAGCTGGGCTATTTGCTGCTTGTTTTATTGCTATTGGTACTTGTGTAAAATATTTGTTTTTTTCCCTGCTTTGTTTGTGCAAAGTTATTTAATGTGTGAAGTGATTATTATGAAAAGAATACACCTCAGACTACATTGACATTTTTGGGTTTGTGTGTCCCACAATTCTGATACATCAAAAATTTTGTGTTTTCTTGCATAAGTATTCTTAAGTAAACTGCATAAGTAAACTCCTCTTAAGTCAACTCTGCATAAGTAAACTCTGAAATATCCTTGAATCTACTTCTGGTTTTCATCTTTTGTTCCATTCTTTATTATATTGATACTCAAAATTGGATGCAACTAGTGTATATGATACTAAACAGTATGTTTCTTGTTATAGCTCCAGGCTATATATCTCGCTCAGTGGCAGGATCATATGATAATGAAGGAATAGCAATTTTTGCCTTGCAGTTTACATATTTTCTGTGGGTAAGTTGCCAGAATTAACCATGTAATTCTTATCTTTAGTATGAATTGTAAACATATTTATATGAAAATTGTCTTTGCAGATAAAATCTGTGAAAACTGGCTCAATCTTTTGGGCTTCATCAGCAGCTATAGCATATTTTTACATGGTAATGTGCTAAGTATGTGCGTTATGTTAACCAACAAACAGAAAACTCTGTTATTTCTATTCTTCTTGACTTTATGCAAAATAGAACAAATTCCAATGATAGACATGTTTTGTTTGTGATATATGTACACAAAAATATGATTGCAGTGACAAAAGATTTTTGTTTCAAAAGTTTGTTTGTTTTTTCTTGGGATTTCCTGCTTTGTTTTATATCAGCTCAAAAAATGGAGGTTTTGATCTTGTATTTTTTATATCATGCCCTTCCTTGTGCAGGAATGAATTATTGAAGCAAAACTTCATCTACAACTGTTTTCATCTCATTTTATTTGCTTTTTTTTTCTTTAGGTATCTGCTTGGGGTGGTTATGTTTTTATCATAAATCTTATACCATTACACATCTTTTTTCTTTTGCTCATGGGACGTTTTACATTTCGTATTTATGTTGGTACGTATGTGAAGGATTTTTTGAGTTATACACCAAATTTCACCTAGCTGAATTTTACAACCTAATGTGTTTATTTCAACAGCATTTGAGATAGAATAATGGTTTGTTACTGCAAATATTAAAACTAGTGAGATGATAAAAAGTATGGGCGTTTAAATGAGAAGGCTATTTTAGACTGATGAGTTTTATGTACTACACTTGTTCACTTAAAACCAGTGCTCTCACAATCAAATTTCCTAGTTCCTTTGAAAATGCTTAAAAAAATTCCTCAAATTTCCATTAAATTCTTTAAATTTGTATAAATTACTACAAGGCGTGATCACATGGGCTGAAAAAGTGTTTTTTTATTTTTTCATGGTTTTTCCTCCTTTTTTACTGTTTTCAAGTTTTTCAACGCTATATTTGTAAAGAAACATTAAATATTATTAAGTGTATCTTAATTTAAAGTATAAAAACATCCTTAAAAAATATCCTTAAAACCTTTCGAAAATCCTATTTTTAAGGATAATTCCTTAAAAGTGAGGGCACTGCTTAAAACGTCAATTGCACGCGTAAAACGTTCAAATTTTCGTCACGTTCAGTAATAAACATCTAAAACAGTGGAAAAAAATAATGTAGCTGATTCCTAGGCGTTGTATGAATCATTGCATCCACTATACTAAAATATGGCGAATTTCATTTCTTCACTTTGCCCTCGATCTATTTGGAATGTAGCGAGCGTAAATACGTATGCGATAATTTATTCCAGGCACTGGGATGACATGCGTAATGCTGTCAAAGCCAGCTAACCTGTTGAGGACATATGCATTTGTCTCCGTTATATCAAAAGAAAACTGCAATCTTTCCTTAATGTTTGAGTTTTGTTAAAGTATGTTGATGAAAACTTCGTTCATTTTATAAATATTTTTATCTTTCTTTAAACCCGTATAGCCTACTCAACCTTTTTTATAATGGGACTTATTTTGTCCATGCAAATCCCGTTCGTTGGCTTTCAACCTATCAGAACCAGTGAACACATGGCTTCTGCAGGTGAGAAAATTTGTCATTAAAACCAATGAAATGTCTTTTCAGTGCAAAGTTGCAATGGCTTAACAGTGTTCAACAAATATATTGAAAACAACCCAGTTGCTATGCTACTTTATATTATACTACCTTTGGAATAAATATTTTTACTAATCGTGTACGGTTAGAATTTTGTATGTACAGTAGTAATGGAAAGTTTATACATCACTTATGCGCTATATGAGACTATCGAACTATATACCTTGCAGTATAGTCTTTAGAAAGCTTTTGAGAGGCAAAAGATCGGAGCGAATTTTTTGTGAGTAGCCTGTACGCAGGTTAACTACTATGTCATACTGAAAATGGTAGACATGTCAGAAATCGTTTAGTTGGCTTTTGTGCTCTGTTTTCTGTTTGACAACAGTGAAACTAAAAAACAAACATTGTTTTGGTCGTGTGAAATGTGAATATAGCGACGTCATGTTAATGGCTATGACGTTCGTTTTTTTCTCTGAAAGAATAGAGTTTTTCTTTAGCGCGAATGTTTCTGAAAATTTTTTTGTCGATATTTATTTAAGTTGCTGTTGGTGACGTTGCACTCGAATAAAATTCTTGAACTGTTTTCATCAATCTTTCGTTTTTTGACCTTTTATTCATTTGCATTAGTGCGTATGTACAGTATGTATTTTTTAATCGGTATTGTATTTTGAACAGACGTGACAGACACCTACGTTAGTGTAACCATTGTCCATTTCAAATTTTTTAGGTGTTTTTGCTCTTCTGCAAGCCTATGCATTTCTCAAATTCCTTCAAAATCATTCAACCTGGGCTGAAATACAAGAGTTCTTTCATCTCATAGTGGCAGGGGCTGCTGGTCTTGTTTTTGCTGTCGTTGTTTTTCTTACCTACTTAGGTAAGTATGTAATGGATGCAACAGATCAATATCTCATTTATTTTGTTATGTTTTTATGCTGGTTATTTTAATAATGTTGATATTATTGTCATGTATAATTTTAGGTTATATCGCACCTTGGAGTGGGCGATTTTACTCTCTTTATGACACTGGGTAATGTGATTTTATTTTCGTTTATGATGTGTGTTGGTGTAACGTGACGCTGTTCAACGTGGAATTTCTCCCAAATTTTATATGATCATACATTATTATTATGTAACTGTTTTCATTGGAAACCCTACTCTTTATTTTGCGTAAATCATTCTATAATGTCTTTTACGATTTCTTGTTTAGATATGCAAAAATTCATATTCCTATCATAGCTTCAGTTTCTGAACATCAACCTACGACTTGGGTTTCATTCTTTTTTGATCTTCATATCCTTGCTTGTACCTTTCCTGCTGGTCTTTGGTTTGTCATAAAGAAAATTAACGATGAAAGAGTATTTAGTAAGTTGATGTTCTTCTTCCTCTTTGTTGTTGTGTGGAAAGCGTCATTTGTGGTCATGGTTATTGAATATTTTTATGGGTAGCCTGTACACTGAAAAAGATTAAACGTAGAATCTTCCTTCCAGTCATTCATCTTGTGAACTTTATGGGGGACGATGTGTGATAGTGGTATTACTTGTTTGTAGATGTACATCGTCCAGGTTAGTAGAGTCCTGAGAAGGACTGTTGGTGTTGATGTTGACTGACGTTTCAACAACCTTAGCAGTAGTTCTTGACTGAATGATGGCTACCGCTAAGGGTGTCGAAACTTCAGTCAACAACAACAAAAACAGTCCTTCTCAGGACTATACCAACCTGAACGATCTACATTTACCAACATGTAACGATACTCCCGGGTTCAAACCATTCACTTTAGTGGTGTTACTATTATTTTTTAATAGTTAAGCGTGTATATTACTTCATTAATCGAGCTTCGTTTGCATTTTTACTAAATGTTTTTTAGTTCTATTTCACCTGTTGCAAATCTTCACAAGAAATAATTATTGATATTTAAAAGCATTGTAAAGAGCTCTACGTTAGTGTTTTCCTCTTTGACAAATGATAAATTATGTAAAAATCATCAGAACGCGTTATTGTGTTTTCTATAAACATTGTGGGTGCAATTCTTCAATTATTCTCGTCATGGATCCCAAGTGTTGTTTTTGGAATTTTGTATGGAATTTATACAAAACATTTTTATCTCGTTTTCTTAGTATTCATGTATTCACTTATAGATATAGTCGTTCAGTCATGTATTAGATTGATATATGTAATATATGCTATGTATGGGAAAAACTATTTATATACTATCTTTGCAGTTGTTTTGTATGCTGTTACTGCATCGTATTTTGCCGGTGTCATGGTGCGTCTTATGTTAACTTTAACTCCAGTTGTGTGTGTGCTGGCAGCTGTTGCTTTCTCGGTCACCTTAGATAACTATATCCATTCTGACTCGATTCCAATCAACGAAGATGACGAGGATCGTCAAGAGGAGCAAGTGGAAGAGCAGAAAGACATTGAAAAGAAAAAGGTTTGTGTTTAAGAATGTTTATTACTCGATATTTTATTACGAATTTGTTTGACTGTATTGGAAAGAACGTATAAAAGGACTTTGTACCATCTTCAGTAGAATTGGCTTTTTGCACTTTTTTCTTAAGGTATTTGAATTTTTTCTTTATGCAAATGCATCGTTTTGACATCGCAGAGCACAATGATATTTTAAAAATCATCAATTTTTAACATCGTTAGAATGTTGTATAAACAAATACAACTGTGTAGTGAGTACATGTGTAGTGAATGTTTATAAAAATGCCAACGTTTGATATTTTAATGCAACTGCAGACCATAACTAGTTTTTCCTAAAACTAATTATCCAATGTGATGTTATAACGATTCATTTGCATATTAAAGAGAAGTTATATATTTCTGAAATATCATAATTCTATTAAAAAAGAGTCATTTATTAAGTTATTTTAAATTCCCTTTACAATGCAATCAAAAAACACGATGGTAAAATTTGGTGTCAAATACTGTAAACGCTTGTTTCACTATGAAGAATCTATACTTATACATGATACGTATATCTCAGAGGTGTAAAACTGTACTTAGATTATTTATTTGAATTAGAAGGAATTCTATGTAATGTGTGGGGTTCCTGTGCCGTCTATTTTACACGTGTTCTCTCCGGAATTACTCTGTAGTAGTTATTATGTTTTGCTAAAGAAAATTTCGTCATTTTTTTTCTTGCAAATTTTAGCCATCCAGAAGTAAAGGTGGCATCAAAACTAACAAGAGAAAAGAACGTCATTCATCTCAGTCATCGGTGACGTCTAAAATGTTTGACGAAAAAGAGAGTGAAGAGACGAAATCTACAGATTCTTCATCTAATCTTGGAGGATTTGTGGTGATGTGCATGTTGTTGACGCTGATGCTTTACGCTGTTCATTGTACTTGGGTGACTAGCAACGCCTACTCAAGTCCATCTGTTGTTCTTGCATCCACCAATTATGACGGGTAGGTGAAATTTGCGAGTGATAAACTATTTGGAATATTAATTTGGAAAGAAAACCGATGTGAAATCTAGTTTTGAAGTATCTCGTTTACATCGGAATCTACGTATTTTGATATAAAGACCTTTTGTGTTTACTTTAATGTTGATATAAAAATATTTTGATCATTTTATAGGAGTCGAAATATTCTAGATGATTTTCGGGAAGCTTATTTTTGGTTAAGACAAAATACACCTGATGACTCCAGGTTAGTTTATTCATACTTTTCATAGAAAGATTTTTTAAAAATAAATTGACTAAATGCTGTACTGCCAGCTAGCGCTTGTCTTTTCACGTTTTAATAAGGATTTCTAGTAGAAGGGAAACTGTTGAGAAACTACCAAATAACTCTTATTTAATCGAATTTTGGTTATAATTTACTCCATTGTGTGAAATTCTTTGTTCAGTTTTTCATTTGTCGAGGACATAATTTTTTAACAATTGTCATTTCAAGAGTGATGTCGTGGTGGGATTATGGCTATCAGATTGCTGGTATGGGCAATAGAACAACTCTTGTCGACAATAACACATGGAATAACAGCCACATTGCCATGGTTTGTGAATTGGTTTTATTTTTAACTACATACAATATTAATGACAGCACTTTTGTTTTTATATGCCACTTGGTTTAAGCCGAACCTCAAAATGGCTGATCATTGTTTTTGTTTTGAAATCGTTTCTTCGAAACTTTGCATCATTGTGATGAGTGGAGAAATTTCCCATCAGTCATACGTATATGTACGACAGTATACGAACCACATACTTTAACTAAATGTGCTTCGTTCATTTATCTAAGGTTGGAAAAGCAATGTCATCAAATGAAACAGCAGCTTATAAAATTATGCGTTCATTGGATGTCGATTACGTCTTGGTTATATTTGGTGGAGTCATTGGTTATTCAGGAGACGACATAAACAAATTTTTATGGATGGTCAGGATAGCTGAAGGCGAACATCCCAAAGATATTAAAGTAAGTACGTAGGTAGTCCAATGAAAACACTAGATCTGCATCTGCTTTAATTACATTATTTCATCTTGGTCTCAACACTAAGCTTTAGGCTTAAGAATGTGTTGCTTGTTTTACATGAAGTATGCATTTAGCAATTAGACTTATTTTTTGTTAATTAGCAACTTTATCTTTATTCTGTATGATTTATGAAATACTGACGTCTGAATACTTTCAAACAAACCCGTATGTATGTCCTCATACCTTAAATGCTCGTTTTAGCGTCGTCCTAGATGCTCTCGATTAAGCGCCCCACTCAGAATCCAGAAAAGTTACTTAGCGCTGCTCCCGGATAAGCGCCGCATCTGAGTAACTTTATTTCGGCGATTAATCGAAAGAATTAGAGAGTTATTAAAGTGCCCCTTTCACCAAAATTTTTTTTCAGCAATATGAAATCTGTCTATGATTTTAAGCCTCTCTGAGAAAAAATTTTCGAATTTGGTCAAATCAACATGCTTTTATGGCGTCTTGAAGTTGTGTATTTTTGGTCCATTGACGTCGTTTTCTATAATACAAAAGAAACTGGCACTAGAAGATATTTTGACGTCATCCAAGGTAGTTGGCATTCGGACATATTTAGCTTTTATTAAACATACATGTTCTTTCACGCTGTTTTTATTATAATATTCGTGGGAATTGTCTTGCAAAGAAAGTTATGAATCGAAATCAGAATTGAGTGTTCAGTCAGATAATTCTGACAAAAACTTTATACCGGGGTACGTGATAGAACACTCGGAAGGCTATGATAACTTGAGCGATAATTATTCGGATTTTGAGTTCAAAGCATGGATGGTCGGAAAGACACAAATTCAATCTCATCTTTTTTAAGCCTTGGAAAATTAGCATTCTTTTGATTCGGCAAACTACTAAATTGACGCTCCAATCCTCTGGTCTGAAGTGAGCCGAACAAAGTGTTGAAGCACTGGAAGGCTCAAATTCGCGCATTGCTTCGCTTAGCCTCGAGCTTTTATCATTTTAAAGCGACGTGTGAAGACTCATACGAGAGCTAAGGCTTGATTTATTCTAACTATTGGCTGCAACGCAACTAACTACCATTTTTGTACTCTTACTAGTTCAAAGGCAATGCTTTTAGACGCTAATAGACTATAGCTGTGCTTCTGCAGCAGTGACTTGATAGCTATTGAATACACCACGACTCGTGTGACACGAGTACCTTGGATGACGTCATAAAATTAGCTAGTTTCAGCCTCCTCATTATCACGGACATGGTCCACAAGAATAATACGATTTTAGAGAATTTAACGCTTTACAAAAATCAAACGATTTGATCAAATTCAAAAAATTTTTCTCAAAGAGGCTTAAAATCATAAACAGATTTGATATTTCTAAAAAAAATGTTTTGGTGCAAGGGCACTTTAAGTCAATATGTATTATATTATACCACGTAAGTTTTCATAGTTTTATTTTTCTGGCACAAAAATATTTTTTGTGAACGTTAAATTATAAATTATTCAATAAGCGTCGCTCCCACTAATACATTGCTCCCGCATGAGTGCCGCTTTCAGAATTGGAAAAATTAAGTAAGCGCCGCAGCGCTAAAGTGAGCATTTGCGGTATTTGTTTGAACATAAAATTAGACCGGGCACTTCCCGGATTTTGCAAATTTTGCTTGTGTTTGCTTTCAATATCTTATTCGGCTCATTTCTTTATTTCCTTTTGTGAAAGATGTAACAAAGGAGAGTAAATGCGATCTGCTTCGCATAGGAATGTTATTTTGTAAATAAAAACATTATATTTTTAGGAATCTGATTATTTTACACAAAATGGCGAATTTCGTGTCGATGCTGGTGGTTCACCGGTTTTACTGAATTGTTTAATGTACAAATTGTGTTATCACAGGTTCGGGGAGCTACAGGTAAAGTTACGTAAAGTTACGCTATTATTATCGTCTTGAAGCGCATTTAAACTGCCGGTGATTTTTTCGATTTGCTCGGTATTTGTTAAAATCATGTTCAATTTACCTCGTCCAGTTGGACTTCAGAACACCGTCAGGATTCGATCGTACAAGAAATGTTGAGATTGGAAACAAGAATGTCAAGTTAAAGTACTTAGATGAAGTATTTACGTCAGAGCATTGGCTTGTTCGAATTTATAAGTAAGATTAAGTTCTACCGTTATTACAGAATCTTTTGTGTTGAGTTGAGTATCTGTACAGCGGTTGTTTATTTGATAGAGTGAAAGATCTTAGCAACCGGTACGATAGCCAATTGAAAAGACGAGTCACTAATCATATACCGAGGAATCGTTTCTACTCGAGAAAGGTTGGTAATATTGAATGTCATTTCCAGTATATTATTGATAGTTTATAGTTGTCGCCGTTGATTAGAGCATTTGTGAATTTCTACTGTTATTCGATTGTAATGCACGATTTTTTATTAACAGACCAGCTCCAAACAGAAAGGAAGCATAAAAAATAAACATAAATTCATCTTGGGTCAAAGAATTAAAAAGAGATCCAAAAAATTGAAAACAAGGAAGACAAAGAAGTCAACATAGAATGCGCTCTCAGGTTTTTGCAACATGTTTAAATTGAACATTGTTTTAATTCCCGTTTGTTGGAAGTGAAATTCAAGTTGTGAAAGTTCCATCGTTCTAGCATTAATAATGTATTCTCTTAATTCACTTGAGTTTGCTTTTTATTATATTTCCCTGAATGATGTTTGAATGTGTTTAAACGAAGCTTTTATATATAAAATTGATTTTTCTCCATCTAGCATATTTTCTTTTTCTTTATATTTCAAGATTTTCATTGTTTTATATTAATGAAACCACTACGTATATATTCAGTTTTCTAAAAAACTCGGCAACTAAAAACTAATTTAAAAAATTTTGCATAGTTTTGTTAAACTTTTATCGAAATCCTAAATAATAACGAACGAAGATAATGGATAGTTGAAGACAAGTTATTAACACCTGTATATAACTTCGACATAATTATGTATTAAGTCTTGCAAGATTATTCACGATCGATAAAATTGAGGTGGGGGTGTAATTTTCATAGATGTATTTTCCACTTTATTAGTTGCAATTGAACTCAATTGTGATTACAATGACAGATGAATATATAAATATGAGCCACCACCCCCCCACCCCCCCTCCCTAAAAAAAATCGATCAGAGTCATTATCATGTTCATTTAAGTCAAGTTATTGCACAAAAGTTCGAGAGTAAATTTATAGATTCATAATTTATAGATTCTTTCTAATGAAGGCTCGAAGCACCGAGTCGAAAGCTCAATAAAATAATTTTTCAACAATCCGGAGTAACTCTCATTTTTATACATTAAATATGCCTGGATTACCAATCTTTAAACTTATAAAATAACGTATAAAATAGATTATTGACTTGGTAATTCAGTAGTAATGAGCTACTGCAAGAGTGTTTTCAATAAACATTACGTTTATAATATTACTTTATTCCTCCATTTATCCCACTTCATACTGCCTATCCACCAGTATGTTGTAAATACTCATTAATAACATCAAAATACTCCACACTATTTGCATTTAATATCGTCTGATGGTTTCAATAAAGACGAAACTTTACTATAACTTTGTATTGGATGGCTCAATGTAAAAGCACTCTGCTAGCCTTTAATAGTTAAATTGTAATTCGCATTTTCTTGTTCATCGCTCGGTTCATTACTCCTAATGCTAATCATACACTGATAGCGGGAAACTATTGCAAACATTTACAAATTTTTGTTAAAATTTACCTAATTTTGGTTTACATATGCCGCCAATCGAAATAATATCACAATAATTTGAACTCAAGAATATTTGATGCATGAACAGTAGTTTTAGTTCAGCTTCATCGTCAGAAACATGAGCGAATAAAGCCAGCACGTTTTTAACTTTTACAATGCAAATATTTTAGTGCTCGTGCACTGGAAAAACAATGAAAGGATTTGATTTTCTAAAGAAACTGATGATAATTTTGCTAAAGAATTTCTCTTATAGGTTTATATCGCCCTCGTCATCACGAAGTTTTTTAAAGAATAAAAATCGTGCTCAGCATTTGCAATTTTGAAAATGCCTTTTAAAAGCTTCTTTTAACCGTTTCGTGTCAATCATTTTTTAGATTAAGCCATTCCAGAAAAAGAACTTTATTATTTGTCATTTGTAAGTTGCTTAGTCTTGCATATATAATAAGTCTTGACGCATTACCAAAGCGACGTTCATAACGAACTATGTGTTTACATTAAAATGCTTTTACCTTACGAAAAATTCATCGTTTACGATGATTGGTTGTCATAGATATGACTGACAATTCGTTCGAGACGGTGAAAAGAGTTAGTGTGTCGCTTCTTGCTGCTTTAGTGATTTTTCTTTATATATGTTCACCTACTATCAACGCGTCAAATAATGTCGATGATGAAAAAATATATTTTCGTTCCTTGGCAAACAATGAGACGAAACATGAATCAATACTTCCCCATTTTAACATCACGTCAGTTACAGGTTAGTATATCCGACTTGTATTTCAAAAAGCTTTCATATTAAACTGTGGTTGTTTGTTGGCAACTTATTATTGATCACGGCAAAGATTTGATTTTGGCAGATGTTTTTGTTAGCCTATTTATGACAGGTAAATCTGTTCTTTCCTAAGTATTAGCAAACACTTGTTGCAGAACGTGTGCCTTATTTAAAGATGTTGCTTTGTGTTTGACGTGTTTTATGAAATAAAATTTAGTATGAAACTTCCGTTAATCAATACGAGAAATTTACTGTACAAACTACGTTCAACGATGACATTAAAACTGAATTATGTACGTATGTTATTTTATCAATAAAATATACCAATAATCTATTTAATCGAAAGCTATAATAATGTTGTTTAGAGTAGCCCTTAGCCCCTATGAAATAATTACAAGTTTTGCATGTTTTGACTCAGTCATTCTCGTATGATACATAATTATTTCATGGTTGGTGAGCGCGTACGATTTTTATTCACAAGTAGATTTTACAAGCGAACAAGCTCGTTTGAAATTGTCACGAGAGAGTTCGCTCAATATTTTTACAGGTGTACAAAAACCGTACGGAACCTACACCGATATTATTTGTTTGTTTTACAAGTATTGAGATATCATTGAAAACAACATTCGAACCAAACTAATTTTATTCATATTTTTGAATTTAATCGGCATTCGGTTTAACGACATTCGGCAGGGGCGTGCTTGCCAGAGACCCTACAACGAGAACTCGTAAGTTAAAAAGTTATCGAATACACAACATTTTATTAAAGCAACTTCATTACACGAGTTGTATACCAGTTATATCGAGTTTGTTTTGGTTTCAATCGGGCAATCAGGCCCCTTAAATTCTGCTCATTTGTTGTTCTTTTCGAGGTTGCAGCACGCTCCTGCCCCTGGCATTCTGTGCTTTAAATTTAACGGCATAAATATTGTATTCAAATGTCACGACTGATGGAGAGTCGGCGACTTTCATTTCACATGCGTTATGTCGTAACTGGTCCTGATATCAATATTTTTTAATGTTTAGGTTGGGTGAAAACTCACAAGAAACAAGCAGCAATTGGTTTGATCGTTGGAGTAACAATCACGATTATAATTGTCATTCTTATTTGTTGCTGCGTTTCAAAAGTTGCGTCGGAAAAGGCGAAAAGAAAGAAAAAGAAAAAAGATGCAGTTGTAAGAGGTCATTCAAAGAAGGTCAAGCTTCCGAAATTCAAACTACCGAAATTTCCTGCTTTCAAAATTCAACCTAGTGATGGTTTTGGTCGAGAGATTGTAAGTTGTAGCAATTAATGCGTCTTACCGAAAAAACTAAGCTGTAAAATGCCAACCCAACCAATCCCAACTTGGCCTTTGAAGCGTGAGCCATGGGGCAGAGGGTCCGGAAATATACTTTTTCCAGTGTAATTTTAAAAACTGCAATGTCATAATTATAGTTACATATCTACGCATTCAGTGTAGAGCGATTTACTAACAGCGTAACAAACGTCTTATGCAATAAGCATTCTTACTTTAAGCAAGCAAACCATATCAACTAATAAGACGATCTTGGTCCAAGAAAACGTGAAATGGGACCCAATTTTATTTCTTTTTCTGCATATATACATTCTTTGATTAGGGCTGTATGGGTGTTCAAATTCCTGGCTTTGTCACCCCGTACAATGACGTAGTCCTACCATTGTAACATGCAATTTTTTTCTGTTAGCTTATTGTGAAAATAACAGTTTTCTAAAGAAATTCTGTAAGAATAATAAGAATAATGTTTTGACATTTACAAAGTTGGAGAAAACGTGCGAGCTGGCTAAACTTACAAAGTATGATTGATATTAATCCTGACTTAGCATTTAACCCTTTGTTTTTTAATAACTTGCAAAATCCTGCATAAACCTCGTAACTCAAATTCCGATTTTTCATTGATATTTTGAAATTAATATTTTCGAACTAATCCGGGGGTTAAGGTAATATACCTTCTAAGGTAACCTCCATGGCTGGTAGTGTTTTTGAGGTTGTTTATTGATCTATTTAGTTCATGATATGTTGTCAAGTAGCTATTTCAATTTATTATTTCATTCCTACGCATATCTTTAGAAAAACATTGGACAACTGGCATTTTCTCTTTTTTACCAAATGAAAACGTAAGTTGTGCGATGTTTGTTTTGAAACAAGGCTAGGTGGCTAGCTACAGAATTTACTTGATTGAATTTTACAACATTTTTAGCGAAACTCTTTATGTGAAAATCATCAAAGCCGAAGATTTATCCATAAAGTCATCTGGCTACGTTTCGTTTAATTTTGTACATATTGTACTTAATCCAATGTCTACTTCTCATGAAACAAAACGAGTTCGCAACTGTATCTCCCCCGTCTTTAACGATCTCACCGTCTTTGATGTTAAACCTGATGAGCTCAAAGAACAAACATTGATTCTGTGTGTCTTCGATGAAAACAAGACATCGCCTCGAGATTTGATTGGTTCCATAAGATTGGACATGCGCGATGTATTTGACCGCATAAACAGAAAGTCAGTGCAGTTTGAACAAGGTTTGCAGTGGAGAAGAGAAGTAAGAGTTCTGATGTGAATCTTATTCTTTGATGTTTCAATTCATTTGAACAGTTTAATGTCAAAATGGTTTTAAGTTTATTATCGTTTTCTTAATCAGTCGATGTTCGAGAAGTATCTCTCTTAGCTATATTACATATAGTTTTAAAAATAAAAGCGTTAAAACTATCGTAAAATTCATCGACCAATGTTTATTACTCCATAGGCAAAAGGAGGTGATATTTATTTGGGTTTCTACTGGAATCCAAGAGAGGAGATGTTTTGTGTAACTGTAAAGGATTGTTCACATCTTACTCCAGTTGACAAAAACGGACAGGCTAGTAAGTAGAATTGATTTTTTATCCGCTGAAAATATCTTAGCCCTTATATGTAATTTCTAAACACAAGCGCAAACATCCATAACACAAAATAAGCGCGTCTGTTGCTAAAATTTAAAAAATATCATTCTCATAAATAGTGACTTTGCTTAGAACCTGATGTAATACCATTAGTACAGTCAACCTGTTTGCAACCTGAAGACACAAAAATATGTAGAAATTTCTTTTATTCAACTGTCTTTGAACATTGTCTAGATCCTTATGTCACGCTGGACGTTTTTGATGGAACTACGCGAATACTTCATAAAAAAACGCCAACGAAACAAAAAACTTTATTTCCAGATTTCGGGGAAGGTTCCAGATTTCATTTTCCATTTAAAGGAACACAAAAGAAGTCGTTATGTCTTATTATAAGCGTGAAACATCGACCTAGCTGGCGTTCTGGTATAAAAGAAGTGATTGGTCAGCTTAGCTTTAGTTCTCGATCAATAGGAAGTGAGCAAAGGCATTGGCAATCAGCTTTAACAAGTGGTAAAATTATTTTCATGAAGCATGCTCTCCAATCGTCTGTCGACATTCCGGGGAAACATGTGACCAAAAGATCTCAATGTGAGGATCTTTATGACGATTTATCAGAAGAAGAAAATCTAATCGATCAGGAGGAGGATCTGCCTCTTTGATTCTAGAAATTGCATGGCTTTAAGCATGCATACGTAAAGCAAAGTTTTATATGAATAATTACACATATTTTTAAAGACTGTCAGTAAGCATTAATCTGTTTACACAGATCGAGGTGTTTATATGTAAATATGCATCTTCCAACAATTAGCAACACCACGACCATCTTTAATAAGAAGATGTTTGATCGCTCAATAGTAATTTTTAATACGTGATGGATATTTGCACTGAGCCATTGAGCCAAAAAGTCATTTTTGACATGAAATGTACTATAACTGTGTGAGAAATTGGCAATGCAAGTTCTCGAAACTGGAATTAAAAATGTCATATAATAGTTAACAAAAATAGTAAAAACAGCTTATGCTTTTCTTTTTTGTACCGCAATCTGTTGGTCATCGCTGTTTCCATGTTAGTCAGCATAACGGATAACTTGTTCTACAAAACTACACCATTTACTATGGACATCTAATGACATGTCTTAGATGTCCATAGTAAATGGTCATCTAGATGGGTAATTTCTGAACTATCTCGAAGCGTCTGGCTTAGAGCAGCATCACTTAGTGGGTAGTTGCCTATCGCTAGCTATATAACATGCCAAAATATTGCTCTTGTTTGGATACAACTTAAATAGGCCCATGCTATGGAGCAATTCTAAATTTCCAATTACGCTGGACCATGAATTGCACTCAGTAGCGTGATTGCACATAACAATCGCAATTATACTTCGTTATTTTTTATAATCAAAGATCGAGTCTGGAAATAAACAAACAATTTTTAAGACTCATTTGATGAACAAACTACAGTTATTACATATATATGCGCAGCTGACAGTCACAAATCACTCACAATCATTAGACACCATGAAATTTAACGCAAGAGCAGTGATGAGTACAACTACAGATACAGTCGCGTCTCTGTTTCGAATATGTAAATATTGAGTCGTCAATACGAAGCTTTTTTTGTACGTTGATTAAAATTGTGAGCTGCATGCCTAAATCAGTCAATTTCTATACAATTTTATAATGAAACTTTAGTAACTTTATCATTTTTAGCTTTTAAGAACAAGCAATTATAGAAAGAATTTTATGATACTTCATCTGCTTATGAAAGCTTGATTAATCTTGCGTGAACAATAATTCGCCACATTTCCAAAGCGCCATCCAAATATGTTTTGTCAAGAAAATGCTTTCTAAACCATCACAAATTCATCGCTTACGATGATTGATTGTCATAGATATGACTGACAATTCGTTCAAGACGTCAGTGAATGGACTTGTTCTGTCGTTTGTCGCTGCATTAGTGATATTTGCTTATTTGTGTTCACCTACTATCAAAACATCAAATAATGTCGATGATGAAAAATTACATATTCGTTCACTGGTGAACAATGGGACGAAACATGAATCAATAGTTCCCCATGTCAACGTCTCTGCAGTTACAGGTGAGCGCAATCTCCGTTCTACATCTTTTAATATAGTCAACTATAGTTGTTCTTGTCTAGCACCAATATACTATCATCGCGTCTCTTCTCGTGATTTTTAAAGCAGAAACTTGATCTTGCGACAAATATTTTTAGTAAGCCCAACTTTTTTACAGACAAAATCAATTTTTTCTTACTGCTAGATTATGTTCTAACCTGTACCAAATGTTGCCAAGTTTTTGATGTGACTTATATCATCCTTGTTGATACGCTAGTCCAGGTCTAGCTATGTCTGTGGTGGTTTGTACGAATTGTCTGACTATTAATGTAATAATCACGTTAATGGCGTAATTCAAACTGAAATCATACGTATGTATGTTATATTGTTTTTACTATAGCCTTGCGTAAGATCTTCAATGTTCATGCATCACGCATTTTCTACGAACAAATTCATCAGCATATTAAGGCTGTATATGCTATAACTATATGTCACATAATGAACTCGTCCATTGGTCAGAACCTAATATTAAAACCAATTTCAAAAAGTTTCCCTTAAAACTGTTAGGCAACTATTTATGTTTTTCCAGAGACTGGTTGGCTTATGATGTCGACACCATGAATGCCATCTTTAGTGCACCTACGCAGTTTTCATGTATGGTAGTGCTGGGTTATTGATTATATATGTATATAAGAGAATTAAGACTGATCAACGAAGATGTTTTTCTGAGACGTGGCAGAGAAACAGCATAGGAAATGGATTTAGATTTCAAAACGAATCTAGAACAACAGTTGAAGTACACCTCTCGCCAAGCAAGAAATGTGAAATAAACAACGCAACTAGCTTATTAAACATACATTAATTTTAACACTTGTTTCAACATTTCTGTATTTTATGAGTCGCAAATTCAAGATAGCATAAAATCAATGTTTATAATACGCATAAATTCGGTAATCGGCTCAATGAATGAGTTGTTTTAAGAATATTTCAAAATACTATGTAGTAATAATAATCAGTTGAATATTAACTGTTGTAAACCTCAAATTAAATCTGAACAAACCAACTGTCATCTATATCTAATTCTTTATTTTTTTAACGTTTAGATTGGGTGAAAACTCACAAGAAACAAGCAGCAGTTGGTTTGATCGTTGGAGTAACAATCACGATCATAATTATACTTCTTATATGCTCCTGCATTTCAAAATTTGCAGTGGAAAAGGTGAAAAGGAACAAAAAGAAAAAAGATGGAGTTTTAAGAGGCTTTCTGAGAAAGATCAAGCTTCCAAAACTAAAACTACCGAAATTTTCTTTGTTTAAAATTCAGCCAGATGATGGTTTTGGTAGAGAGATTGTAAGTTGTGAATATTTTTCCAATCGAAGTTGCACCTTTGAGTTCAGCATACACAAATGCTTTTTATTTGTAAATATTATATGCTAAAATTAGAAAATAAGATATTTTGTTTCGGCCAGCGAAAACATGGGAATGTGATTATTTTAACAATTTTTTGGTACAACCTTGAATTATTGTTACATAATTTAATAAGGACGTGTCGTAGAAAGTACTATCTGTGGTTACTCAGACGTTTAATCCATTGTTCTTTACAGCTTACATCGACTAATTTGTTAGGAAACTCAAAGTTTCTAAACGTCAGTGACTAGTTTGTGTAAAAAAATACGTAGAAAAAACACATGTTTGATATAAACCTTGGGGGGGTCTGCCTCCCGCGTCCTCCCACAGTTTAACATCCCCATCCTCAATTTCTCCGTCCCGTAAACCTATGGACATATTAGTGAATTGTTAAGTAATTTATTTGAAATACTTCACTCTTATAGAAAAATATCGGACGATTGAAATTTACTCTTTCATATGAAAAACGAACGTGAGTAAAGTGCATTATGGGAAATATTTGTTTTGAAAAATTATTTACAAAATTTAATTGAGATTTTTACAATACTTTTAGCGGGACTCTTTATGTGAAAATTATCAAAGCCGAAGATTTATCCATCAAGTCATCTGGCTACGTTTCATTTAATTTTGTACAAGTTGAACTTGATCCATTTTCAATTTGTCGACGTGCAGATGAAGGATCTCATGAAACAAAACGAGTTCGAAACAGTATTTCCCCCATCTTTAACGATCTCATCTCAATTAATATTCTACCTGATGAGCTCAAAGAGCAAACATTGATTCTGTGTGTGTTCGATGCAAACAAGATATCGCCTCGAGATTTGATAGGTGCTGCAAGCTTGGACATGCGTCGTTTATTTGACCGGATAAATGGAAAATCAGAGCAGTTTGTAGAAAATTTGCAGTGGAGAAGAGAAGTAAGAGTTCTGATGTGAATCCATGTTCCTTGATGTTTTAGCTCAATTCATCAGTTTAAAGTCAAAATGGCTTTAAGCGTTTTTTAATTGTTTTCTAATAAGTCAATGTTCAAAATTTGTTTCTTGTATTTTACTCCATAGGCAAAAGGAGGTGATATTTTATTGGATTTTCGCTGGAATCCAAGAGACGAAGTGTTTTACGTCACTATAAAGGAATGTTCACATCTTAGTCCTGTTGACAAGAAAGGACAAGCTAGTAAGTAAAAATGATACAGTAATCCACAAAAATAAACAATATTTGACCACGTGCCTTTTTTCTCTAGACACAACCAATAACATTTGTCATTTATATTAATTTAAGTTTTGTGCATTCAATGCCAATGTCTGCAAAAATTTTTTGTTCTTTAAATATCATAATACTGCTTAGAACCTGATGTAGCATTTACAATGGACATACTGTCGCATTTATAATAGAAAGAGGAGGGCAATATTATTTTGGAATTTCTTTCAACACTTATGCCACTTTTATCAATATGTCATTTCATTTTTTCTAGATCCTTATGTTACGCTGGACGTTTTTGATGGAACTGCGCGAATATTTCATAAAAAAACGTCAACAAAACAAAAAACTTTGTTTCCAGTTTTTGAGGAAGAATTTCATTTTCCATTTAAGGAAACACAAAAGAAGTCGTTATGTCTTATAGTAAGCGTGAAACATCGACCTAGTTGGCATTCTGGTAAAAAAGCCGTGATTGGTCAGCTTAGCTTTAGTTCTCGATCAATAGGAAGCGAGCAAACGCATTGGCAATCAGCTTTATCAAGTGGAAGCAACATTTCTTTGATGCATGTTCTCCGACCTGCTGTCGACATGCCACGAAAACATGTGAGCAAAAGATCTCATTGTGAAGATCTTTATGATATTTTATCAGAAGAAGAAAACCTGATGGAAGAAGAAGACGATGTGTTACTTTAAATTACATTTCTTTAAACATGCATGTGTAAAAAACATTTATACAGATGTTTACACATGTTTTTAAACTTTTTTATTGATGTTCTCATGAGTGGTATTGTCATTGGAGGGTTTCGCAGATAAGAACATAAGACGGAAAAGTCCCAGATGATAACAGTTGTAAGCTGAAAAATATCGATACTTGTTTGTATAAAACTTTTATCGATTTCTATACTCATACAGAGTTCAAATTTTCGATGGATTTCATTGAAAATAATAAAATGTGTACATGTTTACAGTTTGATACTTTTTGGTGTACATTTAAGCCAACTCCATAGCTTCACGGCAAAGGCTTTTTTACATGAAGTACAAAAGAATTATGCGCGATAGACCACTGGTCTTAACCAATGATATCACCGTGGAGAAATGAGCATAGTGAGTTCTCGAAAGTTCAAAATGGTAGGTGGCACTTGGGAGTAAAAGCATCAAATATCAGTTTGCAAAAACGGTCTACGAGACAAACACACATGGAATATTTCCGGACATAAAAACAATGACAGAAATTCTGTTGTATCTGTATCTTGTATGCCGTTTTTGTCTTTTTAATTCTAATTTCTAATTTCTTTTATAGGCTTCTGGGGAAGTTGTTAATATTAACGTTAAAATTAATACTTTATTTTGTTATGATGTTCGAACTTAATCTTATTCTACATTATTTCACTTATTTTGTTAAATACTTTTCATGGGTAATGTCACATGCGTTAATGGCGAAATTCAGTCACGAGTAACGCGACATATCGTCGTCGTGAAAATGCGTTAAATATGGCGTGGACGTAACCATATATGGGCAAATCACAATATCATATCACGCCATTTTTACGCCTTTTCACAACGTCTTAGACGATAAGTCGTCTAAATTTTGCTAATACACATATTTGCAATGATTGACATTAAACTAGCCAGTCAATCGGTCAACTCAACTGCAAAAAAATATACTTTTGAGCGTACAAACGAGGACATCTTGAAACACTTTAAGAATCCTTCTTTAACCCCTTTAAAAAGCAAATAATCTAGAAATCCAGTATATAGTACTATTATAGTGTAAGGCTGCTATTAGTATACAAAAGTCTGTTGCATTTGAAATAGCTGTAATCAATGGCGTGCAACCAAACGTAAAATATTAAAATTCCAACGGCACTTTTCAACGGATTTAAAGTGCTTGATAACACAAAATTCTAATCTGTTTACACACTGCTGTAATGGTACTTCATTTGTGATCAAAATTATACCTCACAACTTATCAACGATAAATGACGAAACATATGGCCAACAAAGTTACAGATGTTATCACGGATGAATGATATTGTTGTTGGTTCACTCACTGAATACGTATACATAAGGTATCTTGACGATAAAGATTTTGTCTCACTTTGCAAATTTACAGTCATCGTTCTCATCCTTACTTCTTTAGAAATTGTCTTTATGATCAGTAAACAAATGCTAGTGAATCATGTTTCTTCAACGACAGTAATTCTTATAGCAGAGTCATTCTGTCGTAAAAAAACCAAACCTGTCTGGATTTAATACATTACACTACGTAAAAAATATGTTCGTAGCTATGCTTGAACTAAAATACAATAGATTCTACGTGAGAAGTTTCCCGTAGTGGGATGAGAGTTAATAACTCTCGACCAATTATGGGAAATTTCTCGGTAGTATTATAATACCATATCCATAAAGTGTTATCTCGTGACTATAGTTTGTCAGTTAAATTTCATGACGTCATTTCTTTAGCAGTCATATATACAGTCAATTTATGCGCACAATATATGTTTTACCTAACTGAGCTATTTAGTTGAAATAAAAGCTCAAAATTTATATCTTCGTCATTATAACATGATCACATACAAGCGTTCGTCTTTCACACATTCTTTGTTTAGTATCGAATGCTAGTTCTCATTTAAATGTGGTTGACAGCAACGTACGTCTTTCTCAAATGAGATATTGACGTAAGGTGCAGGGATTTGACACAGTCCAGTTATACCCTTCGTTTGCATCATTTTCAAATGCAGCGTTTTCAAATTTTTGGATTTTTTTCTAGAGGTAGTGTTCATCAAACTATGAAGATGAGAAAAAATGGGAAATAAGTTGAGTCAGGCTCATGTTATTACGCTATCAGTTTTGGCAGTTGCTTTGGCTTTGTTATTTGTATTTCTTGTAAAGATCACAGAAAAACAAGTCTGTATAAACAGAAGAAAAAAGCACCGTAAAAGAACACTTCAGTTTCAGAATCAAAGATATAATATTGTTGTCATTCCTCATTTTCCATTTGGGACAATGGTTGAATCATTCGTTCAACCGGAGACATTTTCTTCCCTACCTGAGGTAATTTAGTCTTCATCAATCGTAGGATAAGATGAAGAAAAATGATTGATTTTTCAAACTTTGGTCAAAAATTGGGCAGAAGAGGGGAGCTTGTTTTCAGCTTAAAAAAACGGAGAAAGAAAAATTCCATTTGTATTGAATAATTGAAAAGTCACGTGATTGAGCAATTTACGACGTGTCAAAAAGGTCGTGATGGACGAAGCATTTCTTATTATTAAATAAATGTATAAAAAGCCTTATCTAGTTTTACTATATTAATGGTCTCTTCGTTGTGTTTTCCTTGAAAAGGGCGAGTCCATTGATAGGAATTTTGTCCCACGTGATGACCAAAAATAGGGTTTATTTATTCACAAGTTGACCACGATGTCAACTTAAAAGTAGCTACATTTTTTTCGTATCCGAGAGTAAATTTGCTTTTCACTCTGTAGGTCATTGAAGTGGATGAATATAAAAAGGAAGACAGTGATTGCGCTGGAACCTTGTACTTTAAACTGCGCTATGATCTAATAAAGTAAGTTGAAGAAATCATCAATACCGAGCAAACTGAGAACAAAACTTCGTGTTTTATAAGAAACGTCATAATCTCCCGTTTGAATAAATTTGAAAGGTTTGTAGGCGTTATCTTGGAGATCATTTACACTGATCTGGATACATTTTCAGTTTGTTTTTGTGAATGATATCTCACTTGCTATCAGCAATAAAGTTAATAAACTATTGACTCCTTTCAAATTATTTAAGAAATTATTCAGCTCAGCAGCTTGTACTCTAAGGTTTCTATACGAAAGATTTAAAACAAAATTTTGATTCCAGATTACCTAATATGAAGGGAGTATGTATTTGTCATCAACAAACAATCATTTCTTAACACAGCAGGTCATTTTATATTCATATTTTTAGAAATACCCTTTTTGTGGAAATGCTCGAATTACGAAATCTACGAAACATCTTTAATGATGACATAAACGTCTATTTCATCGTCAATTTATGTCCACTGAATCAGAAATCGTTTCGATCTTGCGTTTACAAAACATTCTCTCCAAGTCTAAACGAAAGATTTGAATTTTTCATTCCATTCACCCATGTGTTGTTTCAACAATTGAATTTTGCCCTATGGAGATTTGATCGCTTCTCTCATCATGAAATAATCGCAAAGACATCTCTTCAGTTAGAAGAATTTAAAAAATATGGTCTGATGATATCTCGGGAGATTTCGCTTGCAAAAATATTAAAAATTGTAAAGAAGGCAAGCTAGTGATTCTGACCATGCAGCTAAAAATGGCAGGAAGAAGTCAAAAAAGTTGTTTGAAAATATTATATTAAAAATATTGTATTAAAATCATTTTTATTTCATCTGCTTCGGAGAAGATTTTTCGAAGGCTTGCGCCATACTGACCTAGCATTCAAAAACATTTTTAACGAAAAAATAAAATTTAAATTTTGTCATCTTGAACACAGTTAAAAGATTGAAACTTACTCAATTAATTTCAATGCAAAGACAGATCTAGAGAAATGTTCAGGAGGTGCTCAATCATACCTCTCTGAGCTTAGATAATTTTTGATAGCTTATTCATGAAAAGCTTATTGCATTTGAACTCGTTCCAAATAATACACACTTCTCTGCATCCTTCCTTGCAACTTCATTATCATTAATATGATTTTGTTTAGTAAATAGTCAAAAATATACTCAAATGAAATTTTTCACTCACAAGGATACCAACTTTTCATGCATAAATAATCTATCGTTCTATATTAACTCTTTAGTTCTGCATCTATACAAAAAACAATGAGCTTCTTGTTGCTTTACTTGTCTGTAAACAGTAAAGAAATCTGCTTGCGTTATGGAGTAACAGACTGTATAATGTAAGCTGCCATGTTTTTATAAAATTTCGTGAACTACGTGAACTGAGAAGTTTGGAGAGTATCTGAAATCTGATCGTACTCAAAAGACATTTTGCCACGTACCTATTTTTAATTATAAAGCCACAAAAATGCTAGTCACGTGAGCGAAGATGGAATAGAAAGAGAAAGTTCAAAGCACACGAGATTAACGCATGCGCACTATGGAATTTTCATGTAAATACAATCGTTGTCGAACTCGAACAAGTTCTTTCATCCCTAAATTGCTGAGTAAATTGCTACAACATGCCTCCTTATCACACGGAACAGTTGAGAAAACTATTTATTGGTGGCTTGAGCTTAGAGACTACGGAAGATGATCTTCGTGAATACTTTTCTCGTTGGGGAAATATCGTAGATGTTGTCGTTATGCGTTTCCCAGATACGAGACGATCCAGAGGATTTGGGTTTGTAACTTTTGAAAATGTGGAATCAGTTGATGATGTCTTAGGTATTAAATCTCATTTCATTGATGGTAAACAAGTTGAACCAAAACGCGCCGTGGCGAAAGATGAAACACGGAGCTCTTCCGAAGGAACACAAGAGAAAGAGAACAAAGTTTTTGTCGGTGGGCTGGCAAGCGCGACGACAGAGGAAGATATTCGCAATTGCTTCACTACGTTTTGTAATGAAACTGGTCAAGGTAAAATTGAGGAGGTTTTAATCATGAAAGATCCAGATACAGGAAGACTACGTGGTTTTGGTTTTGTCACTTTTGATTGTAAAGAAATCGTCGATAAAGTTTGTTCAGTAAAATATTTTGAAATCAGAACTAAAACTGTTGAAGTTCGTCGTGCTGAATCTCGATTAGCCATGATGAAAAAGGAGCAAAGAGATCACCACAGTTATTCCAAGCGTAAAATGGATGATCGTAGACGAGATAGTCGACATGATGGTTGGTACATATATGCCTTTTATGTCTTTTATCCTTCATAATTCATTATAAGCCATGTTAACTCATGTCACCTCCCTTACAAATAAAACTAAAATATTTAAACCTTGTATTGAAGCAGATCTGCCACAATATTTGATTTCATTTCATGCAATGTTATGTATTAAGTAAATGGTTTGAACTGGGGAGTATTGTTTACAAACATGTAATGTTATGCATGTAAGTGCAAAATAAGTTTATCAAAAGTTGTGGCAAGGGATGCCATCAACTACATGTACAGCTGCTGGGAGTGAGTAGTGCTTGCAGTGGAATTGAAACAGATGAGCAACAATCACCAAATTAAATGGAAACCAACTAAGAAAAGAATTCCATCACTTAAAGTCGTTATAAAATAATGTCAAGGGGTAAAAGAAGTCTGATATTCTATGGTATATGTTTCCTGTCTTGTAAAAAAAATCCAATCAAATGTACATCTATGGCAGTTGTGCTTTTGTATTCATTATCATATGTATAGCCAATTTGTAACATCTGGGGCATCTAAGGACTATTATTATGGCTATGTACTTTTATTATTTACAATATGTTTAAATCACTTGTTTTTTTAAGAGCCAAGTCGAGGCAATTTCACTTCTGGATTAAATCAATTGTCAATGATTGGTCAAGGTGGAGGTAGGCTACCTTTCTTTGGTGGCGGAAATGCTGGCGGTTAGTTGATTGTGCTCTTTTTTATCACAATAATCCAATTAATGAATGGTAATTTAACTACCCGAACTGATGCTAGGTTTAAAGAACTCAAACACACTTTAATAGTTGTTGGAAAGTATCTCTTGGTTTTGTTTTACAAAATCGTTGCATGAACCTTTCTACATACATCTGGGTTCAATTTTGGACCCTAATCGCACTTTCTTCATTGTGAAGAAAGTCACTCTGACAAAAATCTGTAGCGTTTGCACATACTGATGTTGTTCCACCCAGAAGAGACAAGATCTGATAAAAATGGCTTGATTAACAAACAACGAGAAATGTATTGTAAAGTAGGAGTGCATAACGTGTTCTCTTTTTCTGTTTGCTTCCAAGGTCTGTTGTTCATTGCTGTTTCCTTGTAACTCATATAATTGAATGCGTAATTCTACATAACCACACCATTTATGATTGACCTGCATGTTCAAAAGACTATATTCATCCGTCGTTAACGCTCATTGATATGCCTGTCGCGATTTCTCCTTGTTCATTATCACACATTCCTTTGAACTTCCTTTACTTTTTTCCACGTTTTTTTGCTTTGTTTGGCAAACGTATTTCTGATGTTGACCCCTAGAGGATGATGTTTCTTTTCACCTTCAACAAAGGTTTATCATCGCTTTAACAGATTTTTTTTAAGACGTAATTTTGTTTCTCTATTCCTGCAATAAATGACTGCAATTAACAACGGGATGTATATTTTCTAAAATATGATACTTGATAGTTTGTCATGAATTATCTCACTTCTGCCTCAACCAATCTATCCAACATTTCATTAATTCACTCATTTCTTTTCTTTTCATCTGACCTGGAGTTTGAAAGAGTTTGAATATCTTTAAACTCTTTCACCAGCATCAAATACTCACTCATCACCGTACAATAATTTACTTTGTGCTCGTGACGTGTGACGTTACTTAACACATGGTGACGTCGCGATACACATAATGACGTCACGACACTCACGGAGCTCTGGTGCATTGCTCCAATTTTATGTTGAATCATCAAACATGTATTTTTGGAAACCATTTGCTCCTTTTTGGTGTAAAGTTCTTTGTAAAACATTTCTTTGTACTATAGATGTGATACTTATAGTTTATTGTAATTCAGTCTGAAACGTTGTTCATGGTTTTAGGTGGAAACGGTGGTGGATTTGGGGCTGGTGTGAATATGAACCCCATGGCTCTGGCAGGAATGATGAGTATGTTCTTCAGTCAAATGGCTAATATGGGGGGTATGGCTGGAAATTTGGCAGGAAATATGGCAGGCAATATGGCTGGAAATTTGGCAGGAAATATGGCTGGAAATATGGCTGCTATGAATCAAAGAAGTAACACTGATATGATTGGTCGTGACCGTTCTGATACATACAGAGCAACAGGTACAAAAATCACCATATTTTTCATGTTCTCCGTATTTTATAAGTAATGCACTGCTGTGTGTTTTAATGACGAGTAAAATGCCATTAAACCTAAACCTTTTATTGAGAGTGGAGCATTTGACATGAAACGGCGGCTAATAATGTTCGATATAGGAGCTTTATTTGTTAAGTTTTCCGTAATCATACAATAGAGTACATCCTATAAATATGCTTGTTGAGTAGTATTCGAATATATTACAGATGTGTCAATTTACGGTGACCAAGCTGCCGCAAATGTTGCAGATATGTCTGGATATTCAAATGCAATGAATGCAGTGCTTGGTGCTGCCGGAATGAATCCAGGAAATGTTCAAGCTGCATTATATAATGCTTATGCTTCTGGTGGCACTGGTACTGCCAATGGTACTGCTCAACTTGGCTCTTACGATCAATCGTCATCCACATATGGACCATCAAGGAGTGGATCTGGCAATCGTGGGTATAAACCATACTAAGGTAGTTTTGTATTACTTAATTGATTCAATTGGAAACCTGATATTCTACTATTGAGAGGTATTCAAAGAATTAAAGAAAGCGAAATGATTATATTCTAATGAATGATTATAACATATTCTATTTAGATGGAAACAGCATTAGCAGTCGATTTGACAGGTAGAATGATTAGCATATTGGACGGTAGATAACGACAACTCAAATTTATCTTGAAACAGTTATGTAAATGGCTTTTGTAGTCAGTACTCAGTTTTCTTCAGTTTAGCTTTTGTACCACAGCTGATCTTGTACTCAAACTTGTGTGACATTATCTTTTAATGTATGTATTACTAAAATGCTAAAGTACGCTAATATCTTCTGAAATTTAAATTGTGTCTTTATATATTTTATTATTTTTAATTGATAATTGTGTAAACCTGTAGAACAAGTAACAATGATATTTTCCGATGAATCTTCCACCCAGAAATGACAAATTTCATGTTTCTTTTTAAATTTTCATATATTTTCTTTAAACAAGCCTTTCGATGGTCTTTCAATTTTAAACTGACGACTTATAAATAGTTTAATGTTATTACCCAATAGCCAGCAACTGAAATGCTGGAAAGTCTGATTTTCTGTTAAGAGGTAGCTATATGTGAATTGTGAAAAACTTAATAAGCAAGATTTTCCGTCGTCATCATTCATAAGACGTTCTGTACAACACAACGTCGCTATTTGTATTTAAGTACTTTGATGTGAAAAAGTTATGTCGTAGCAGATGGGAGAAGCTCAGAAAATAGAAACGGCAACTTAAATGAGGTAGAGTCGATCAACTTGAACTCAGAAGTCATAAGTTTATTTTCGACGATCAATGCCAGTTTTCGTTGAAGAACACCAGATTTGTTTTTGAGACTCGCGGGAGATTGCAGGAATGAAGTTCAGAGGAGAAACATTTAGATTTTATACAAGACAGTTCTAGAAAGGTTGTGAAGTTTGTATTCGCAGGTACTGCAACATTTTCAGGTAATTCTGGCTCTTCTTCTTGAAGCGAATATGTTTGACGGACATGAAGTGAATAAAATATTTTTATATTTCGCATCGATGTTCGTTTTGGCCCAAGGGTATCACGTGTTTTTGTTCCCCGTCCCGCGAGCAAATTCGCCAATTGAAGTACGAGCTTAACATATTGAATAACGAGTTTGCATGGATTCTGATTATAGTAGAAATGCTGAGGCACATGTTAAAAGAGGGGATTGCTCACAATGTATTAAAATATCGATCAAATATCGACTTTAGAAGTTTACATGACACTTTCGCTTTAGTCCCCAATCCCCTTTTGGACTAGTTCTTTCAATGGAAATTGCCATAAGTTATCCTTCCCTATCTCGTGAGACCAATCTAGCATCAAAACACATCTTAAAGTTTCAGTTGTGTAGCCACAACTTTGCATGCAAAAGTCAAAGCATTTCTTGAGTTAGAATAGCGTCGAGTCAACTCCATCTGATGTCTATCCAACATTGCTATTTTTAACCGGAACAATCATCCATCCAAAGATTTGGTTTTGTTAAGTTTTTAAATTATATTTAGCTGACATTAATATTTTATATACACAAATTAATCTGTTATTGTTTTATTTAAAAGTAGATCTGACGATTGTGTGTTGGCTGAAATAATCTTGGAGTGAGATGTGAGATGTGTTTCATTTGGTTTCAAAGAAGTTCTCAGGTTATCTTTCAGGTTTGTTATTATTTTTTTCAAAAACTATTGTTTTTAAGTTCATGAATTCTATAATCGGAATCAGCATCATGAAAAATTAATGAATATTGTGGAGTCCATGTTTTGTACGGTGGCTCACAAGGGACACCACACAAAATAATAAGAATTATACGAAATAAAGATATTAATACATACACAAAATACATCACACCCATACAAAATAAAAATACACTCACAAAATACATAATACACACACAAAATACATTATACACACACAAAATACATTATATACACACAAAATACATTATACACACACAGCATAAAAATACACACACAAAATACATTATACACACAAAATACATTATATACACACAAAATACATTAACACACACAACATAAAAATACACTCACAAAATACATTATACACACACAAAATACATTATATACACACAAAATACATTATACACACACAGCATAAAAATACACACACAAAGTAAAAATACACACACAAAATATGATCGCGGGCCCTTGCAGTGTCGGCGTGATCGTGTATGTTTTCAAAGTTCCAATGGTTCCAACTTCCAGAGTACATAACAAAATTCACTCATTTCACTGTGATCAATTATTTCAAAGTTGCTTACAATATTGTTCCCTGTATTCTGGGTAAAATTAAGGCTAATGTGTTGTCCTGGTTGCTGCAACGATTGCGGCTCATTCTCGGAATCAAAGACGTACTGCGATGATTGTTTATCAGAGCAAAAGAATAACCTGTTATCAGCGTGTTTATCATTACACGCTTGATAACAGGTTATTTCAACCGTGGTTATCCGTATGGGCAATCGTCAGACTTATTTAAACCTCCGGTATTCTGATGTCGATATGGACACCGCATTTGTGACAAAAAGAAGCTTCGTCAAGAGATTGTGCACCACAGTTGGCACAAAACATAATTATGCCAGGAGCGTGCGGCGCGATTAACGCTAGTTATTATTCACTCTGTGAGCATTCTCGGCCGTGATTGCTCAACTACCTGCAGGTAATAGTTGACGTCATAACCTACAGATAATAGTTTCTACTAATATGGCCGCCATTAAAAGCCGGTTTTGAAAACAAATCAAATAACAGCGATGTTTGCCACTGTTTCTAAAAACGATGTAAAAGCTTTTAAAGGAAAAGGATGCGGAAAACTCTAGAAAAGCGGCAAAGCTGGCATTGAACACATTTACAATATGTTTAAACGAGACGAACTTGAATAAACCGTCTGACAAAAACAAATTAGCGAAGGTTTGAAAAATGTTTTATCATTTTCGCCCTCAGCTTCGCTTCGGCAGATAACATTGTTACATTGACCTCGGTCTGAATAATTCTTGATATCATGCTCAACCTCATCCAATAATTGCTTATTATTTCTTATATTGATTTTTCGCTTCAGTATCGCAAGCAGAGGCGTAACTAGAACGTTAATTGGGGTGCATATTCATATATTCTGTTGTGCCTTACTGATTTCTTTTGAAATTCAAATCACTTTCAATGTGCACCCCCCTCCCCCAATTCCTCCTCCCCCGTTCTTGTTACGCCTCTGATCGCAAGAGCTTGCTTTCGATTCCTTTCCAAATGTCATTTAAAATATTTCGCAGTTAAAACTGTTAAATATGACGACAAGTACTAGTCGACCACATGTTAAAATCACAATTACACATATCTGATTACAACCTTATAATAAACTGATAGTAGTCAGCTATCCGACACTTCAAGCGCCCGCGATCATATTTTGTGTGTGTATTTTTATTTTGTGAGTATATTGTTATTTTGTGTGTCTTTATAATGTATTTTGTGTGTGTATCTTTATTTTGTATGTGTGTAATGTATTTTGTGTATGTATTGATATCTTTATTTTGCATAATTCTTATAATTTTGTGTTGTGTCCTTTGTGAGCCACCGTAGTTTTGGCTTTAGAATGCGAAAAGATTCCGCAATCTTTCTCATTGTGTTTCGACTTTTGCTCATAGCTCATACATCAGCAATTTTATTTAAAAGTATACTCTAGATTTAACCGCATATTTTAATTAAAATTAGACAAATATAATGTAGTCTCTTACGTAACAAGTCCTACGGATGCAGCTAATAGAAATATAAGTTGACTTTTCATAATGCACTCGAGTAGCCCACAACGAACACTGTTGTTACAATAGTTTCTTTGATGGTATTGGTGGGTATTGAGTCTAAATATAGTTGAAGTCCCACGTACTTCAGACACTTGACTCTGTAGCCCCGATCATTAACTTGTTGTAATGCGCGGTAGTTCAATTGTGATCTGTTGAAATCACTTAGTCATAACTCACTGTTGAAATCACTTAATCATCTTTAATCTTGCTTTTACCTCCTTTTCATTGCATGGTTAGACGTTGTATATCTTGCGAATACAACAATAGTAAAGCTATTTTTCGCTTTTTATGTTCAGATTTGTTATATCACCATAGCGATAGATATGTTCATTTTCCGCAAGTTGGCACTTAGGAAACACTTTAGTGCCAAAAAACAATTGTCCCTGAACAATTATACTCTTACATCAATCGACGATTTGCAACGACTTGTTGCAGTTTACAAAATAATTTGCTCCTACTGTCACGCTTCCTATATCGTGGAGGCCAGTGGGGGAGACTAGCAGGAACGTAAACATAAGATTTACTAAACACACATGCACTACAAAGAAACAAGACAAAACCAATTACATTGCCTAACATCACCGACTGACAAAACTCAACACTGACTGGGACTTGGCAAAATGCACTACTTACAGTAATGACTATAGAAAGTTGGTATACCAACTTAGAACAAGACCCACTGAACAGATCGCAACCTGAAACCAACAAGGTACTTACAAACACATTACTTTAGACAAACTACGACAACACACAATTGACACCCACACTCCCACATATTTCCTCCCCATACAATACAATGTCGTAAGAACCAGATAACAAATACAGCTAACCTGACGTTTACTCCTCACTTGACTTTGAAGATGACTACCTCTAAGTTTGTCGAAACGTCTGTCAAAATCAACACCAACTGGACTCTACTAACCTGGACGATCTACATCCACAAACATGCAACGATACTCTCGTATGAAACATGCAAATGAAGGAAAGGGTTGATTTCGTTTCTAGGGTAGCGACGGTTGATTGGTTTTTATGCCATTTATACCCACTGAACAGATCACAACCTGAAACCAACAAGGTACTTACAAACACATTACTTTAGACAAACTACGACAACACACAATTGACACCCACACTCCCACATATTTCCTCCCCATACAATACAATGTCGTAAGAACCAGATAACAAATACAGCTAACCTGACGTTTACTCCTCACTTGACTTTGAAGATGACTACCTCTAAGTTTGTCGAAACGTCTGTCAAAATCAACACCAACTGGACTCTACTAACCTGGACGATCTACATCCACACACATGCAACGATACTCGTATGAAACATGCAAATGAAGGAAAGGGTTGATTTCGTTTCTAGGGTAGCGACGGTTGATTGGTTTTTATGCCATTTATACCCACTGAACAGATCACAACCTGAAACCAACAAGGTACTTACAAACACATTACTTTAGACAATCTACGACAACACACAATTGACACCCACACTCCCACATATTTCCTCCCCATACAATACAATGTCGTAAGAACCAGATAACAAATACAGCTAACCTGACGTTTACTCCTCACTTGACTTTGAAGATGGCTACCTCTAAGTTTGTCGAAATGTCTGTCAAAATCAACACCAACTGGACTCTACTAACCTGGATGATATACATCCACAAACATGCAACGATACTCTCGTATGAAACATGCAAATGAAGGAAAGGGTTCATTTCGTTTCTAGGGTAACGACGGTTGATTGGTTTTTATGCTATTTAAATTCTTTGTGTTGTATTGTATACATTGGAGATCAACATTCCTTAAATGTGGGTGGTATCATTGGTATGATCCTTATGACTTTAGCGAATTAACTGGTTACGTTATAACTCTTCATAAAATCATTGCTGCCACAACCTTACCATTTCTGAATAAGCGGCATTAATATGTTGTTGGCTCGATACTTGGTTCTACTCGTTTTAATTCTTCATGACGGGTTTGGTCTTAACATACCACTGTTCATAACACCTTTGAGAGATTTACCGCAGCCTCGGGTTAATACCTCTTTGATATACAACTCTTCTCAAGCGGATGATTTTTTTTCCAAAGTGACCGCCTGGGATGTTCAACAAGCATCAAACGATTCAGCATCAGATTTGTATCATCGAAGTGTTTTACGAATTGTCAATGATGCACGCAACTTGTATGAAAGATCTTTGCTGAGTACAGCTCAGTTGCGGGTTTATCAATGTGATTCCTTTTGCTATTCCTTGAACATATCTGATGTTGTGAATGTCTCTGGAAAAAGCAGCGATGAATTAAACGGACTAACGCGTCCACCTATTACATTGGGGCAACTACACGAAGCTGTTATTGAAACATTACAACGCTATTTTTGCTTCAATATGTCTTTAATTGAAATGGAACTTGGTCTATCGTCTTTCAACGTGACTCTAAATGAATGGAAACTATTTCTTCCGAAGATTGCCGAGTCTTCTCTACATTGCCACTCCAATATGTTGCGTGTACAACCGTCAGAAATTGCTGAACTTTTGAATACAAGTGTATCGACTATCGTCAGTTCCAATCTAGAACAATTGAAAAACAGACTCATTTTACCCTTCACGGATGATATAATTAAAAGAAAAAATGTTTTTGAAGATGAGGCAATCAAAAAGTTAGTATCCGGTGGTTTTGACTCTCAGAATTGGTTTTCTTTTCCTTTATACAATCTTATTCTCTCTACTACGAATCTCAGTGTCAGGGCTTTAGAAATACTTTATGGTTGGAACACCAATCAGCTATACGCACTTCAAACTGTTGTATTGTCAAGCTATAGAAGCTGTGGTAATGTGACGTCGATTGAAAAAACAATGTATAACATCTCAAAAATTATTTTAGAAGATTTGAGTTGTCCTGTAGGCTTGGCACTCTCGAGATCTGTGAAGCTTGTCAAAACACTTCATTTGCCAGAAGAAAATGTTCGCAGGTTAAGCGTGCTAGAGATTTTCTTCAAGGCAACGAGTATGGACTCGTGGATTGAAGTCGCGAATTTACTTGGAGCGAAGCTTAACAGTGGGCTAATCCTTGATACTCCACTTCTGCGAGAGATTGTGAGAGATAACGACGGTCTTTCTCAAGAAGAATTGGAAAACCTTTCCATCCCTAGAATAATTTCTACGTACATTCCAATTCACGATTTCTTTTACACTTTCAACAAATTTTCCCCGAAATTCCGGCAATTACTTTCAACCTACGGGTTTACAAGAGAAGAATTGCTGCAGTCTTCTGGTTTGCGAATAATAAACACGACGACAATAAGCGAACTTCATGATACAGTATTAAAGACTTTATTTTTGCGCTATGATGTGAGAAATATTGTATCATTAGTTGGATATTCTGATTACTTTTCACACGACTCAAATCTGACAACGTTACCGTCTTTGGAATGGCCAAAGATTATAAACGCTCTAAAGCAGCAATCTTATAAACAGGTCGTTCAGGCGTTTTCCCTCAATATTTATGATCATCCAGACGCTCTAAGTATTATTACTCGGGAAGATGGCTTTAGGACAATCAAAACCTCCATATTTGGACCTTTTAATGTAGCTTATATAAATAATTTATCGATGTGCCTGTTCAACAAGACGCTGAGGTCAGTGGAACAGAATAATATCAGGGTTTATGAAGAATTCTATATTAAAAACCTCACAGTTACAACGACAAAGAAGATAAGATTTGAAAATGTAACTGTGCAGAATTTTTTGTCTGATACTAGTCAGACTTTGGACGAAATTGAACACACCACATTGCTAAAATCAGTCGAAATGGCCACAGGTTTTCAACTTGAAGAGATCCGATGTCTATACGGGGAATCATTTGTCTCGACTTTGAATAGTAGTTTAACTTGGGAAAATGTCATGGAAACGAGGCTGTGTTATACTTTTACAAACCTTACATTCCTTCAACTAATCACAGCTGTTCAAAATGCACCAGATGTTGATTGTGGTAAGTTCTTTAAGTGTTTACACCTTTGAATCCTCTTATACGTTAGGTTAGGTCAACATACTAAAGTAGACCGTTGTAAAATTTGTGCCTGAAATTGTTTGACAAGGATACTGATTAACTTTAATAATAAACAGAACCTTTAAAATATATAAAGCTTTGTTTCTCCTTCATATTAAAACGTTTTTTCTTTTATATTTATAACTGTGTGAAACACTCCATATACGTTTTTTAGATTTTGAAAGTCATTTGGTGTTCTGCAGGTTTAAAATGAAAATAGCTAAATCAATAAAATATGGTAATCATTTCTTTGACAGAAATTCAAGCTTGTGCTATATGTGATAGGCAAGCTACGTGTGATGATAGCTCATCCGACTCATACAGATGCACTTGTTTAAATGGGTACGAAGGGAATGGATTGGTTTGTTCAGGTATAATTGACATCATATGTAGATACCTCGATACCGTTTTCGCAATTAAGTTAGATTTATTTGAAAGAGTAAATGGCAACTTATTAACTGACGTATGATATCGACCGAGGTTGTACATTTCAAGGTTACTGTATTTGTGAACCATTATAATTGCACCAGAACACACGAGACCCATCAAACTAGTACAAATGAAAATGTTTAAATTTTTCTTATTGTGGAGAGTGAAGTTATTTTTTCTTTGGAACGGAAAATCAGAACTATTTTTTAAGAAAATGTTTCGGGAAGGGGCGGAATAAGTCAAATGAGTTTGAGTCAATGTATGTATTACCATTTGCGTTCAACTAGCAACCGTCCCGAATTTTTCGCGTTTGTTTACGTTTCAAACGTCACGTTTGACAGACGAAACGTCGGGTTTCAACTGGTAAACGTTACGTTTGTTCAAATCGCGGATTTCTATGTTTGTAACAGCTCTTTCTTATATTATCTGGTCAATTATCAAACTTTGCAAATCGCCTAAGGTATACAGATGTAATTTTCAGTTGCTACAGCATTTTATTGTAAAATCGTATAAACATGTTAATCACATGACCAAAACCTGTTCAAAATGTTCCTCAAACGTTACACATTCCTGAGCAAACGTTACGTTTACCAGTTGAAATCCGACGTTTCGTCTGTCAAACGTGACTTTGGAAACGTAAACAAACGCGAAAAATTCCGGACAGTTACCAGTTGAACGCAAATGGTAATAAGGTAAAAATGCAATTGGATTTTTCCTTTTTTTTATTAAGTATCTAAGTTTTTTTAAATTTTGAAGGGTTACCCCTTGTAAAGTTTTTGTCATTTTTCTAGATAAAGATGAATGTGAAAATTCCACTGTTTGTCATGAACAAGCAACATGTACGAACACAATTGCATCTTTTATTTGTACATGTAGAGCTGGTTTTACTGGAGACGGAAGTAGGAACTGTACAGGTTTGTTGATATTTCGTATTTTAGTGATTTGGAAACCAATGTTGTTGATTTATTATTACTTGTCATTTCGTGTGCGTGACATATTTCATTTCTATTGAATCTAAAGAAAATATTTATGATAGCCAATTAAGTGTTTTAATGATTGTAATAAAATCAACCATGCCGGCGATGAGAACAGTCATTTTCTCTATGGAATGACAGGAACGTTAATATTGCAACACTATATTTTGGATGACATATTCCATATCTATATCTGCCAAACTATTTTATTTTAGATACTAACGAATGCAGCGACCCCTCTGCTTGTCATCCTCTAGCTACCTGTATAAACAACATTGGTTCCTATAATTGTACCTGTCAGAGTGGCTATATTGGTGATGGTAGATTTCAATGCACAGGTTTTTTCCTCTTTTTAATATCAAATAATTGCTGTCTGACATTTTTAGTATATTCTGGTCTTGTCCTATATAAAGGAAAGATAGTTGAAACTCATTACGTGTTTCAAACTAGTTCGAAGAATAGTATTAATTCTTCACGTGCTGTTCACTTATTCTCCTTCTTCGGAAAGAATTCCAAAGACAAAATATACTCTGTGTCCTAATTGTTGACATCAAGTAACTACTTGAAGTATTCAAGAATCAGCGATTGGTCGCTTTATCAGGGGAAGTCATTTGATATTGAACTTTGCTGCATAGAAGCAATGTATTGTTAATGTGCATGATAAGCAGGACAGCTTTTTAAAAGCAGATTGCTCATCAAATGATTTTGAACAGCATTAGCTCTTCTTGATAGGAATTTGACAGTTCTAATTTTGCTTTTTTATTACAGTCATTGATTCCTCATCATCAAGTTCCCCACCATCAAGTTTGTTACCATCAAGTCCATTATCATCAAGTCCTTCACCATCAAGTCCTTCACCAAAAGTCAATCATCCTCTGACAGCAACACGGTCGTTATAGTTATTGCTGTAGTTGTTGCAGTGCATATCATAGTGGCGGCTATATGTATTGTGGGTTGCTTTTTATATCGGAAAAAAACGGTCGAATTGGCAGGAGTTCAAACTGGAACAATTCAAAATGCTGCATACGAAAGTGATAAAAATTTAAGACGAAAGTTGCCGCAAGTTCCTAAAACGGAAAATGCTTATGATCAGTTGGATGAAACCAAGATGGTTCCAATTGACAAAAATTACCAATCGCTCCTACCAAGAAACACAGATGGTAGCACAAATATTGCTGTAAATTATGTGGTTGTTGGAGAAAATGAACAGGATAAGCCTAGTCTTGAACAGAATAAATTGCCTGAAAGTTATGTGACCATTGTTTCCGAAAATAGCACTACCATCGAGCCAATCTATGAAGAATTACCTCCTTAACAATAGGCCCGTTCATGCATTTATGCTTATATGTATATACTACCTGCCACATACTTATATAGAAAGACAAGAAATTTTATATAAATGTTGTTTTTATAATGTACATTATATATCAACGCTCAAACGGATATTTTTGTTGAGGCAACTAATAGTCCGTGTTACATATTGAAAGTGGAAATTGTTCGACTGCATCGTTACTTAATTCAGTCTTTTTTAATATACCGTAAAACGTTCTGGATTTCAACTTTTTTAATCGTTTTATATGAATCAAGAATATAAACAATGACTTGCTTCATGAAAGTCTGAATTTTATATGAAGAAGACATTGAAGGAAATCAACATATGTTGAGAAGTTGGGGAAAAACTTTGTCTAGAATAGCTGAGAGCTTCAAAATACTATAAACTAATTCGTAATATGTTGAGACTAAAATTGATCTAAAATTGGATTGTTTCGCTTCGTCTGGATGGTCTGGATACTAAACTTAATTGAGTACAATCAAATCCATAAATGATTTTAAGTACCGATTTAGAATGTTTTATGATGGTTTCGTTTGCATTTCGAAACGTTATTACGTTACAAAAAAAGTAATATTACCCTGAATTTTAATAATTTGGTTTTATAATCTTCGGAAATGCAGAATTTTTATGTTGAAAATAATTCAAGATTTTTGAATTATTTTCAATATGGAAATTCTGTTCTTGAATCAAGAACAGACTTCCTGTTTCCAAATATGATGACGTAATCGGCTTCAATCTGAGATTGCAAATGTCAAGTCATGTATGGAGGCGAACATCAACAAAGAAGATTGGAAAGTGCTTGATAAATAATAGGTCTAAACTTATCAATCTTGTTTCCATGTTGAATCATTAGCGCTAAATGTTTGGATAAAATGGCGACTGCGGAAGCCGAGATAAAGGCTTCTGGGGTTCTCATTAAATCGCATTACGACCAAGCAACTAGGTATGTGATAACTGACAACGTATTTCATTTTTCTCTTCATCTACTTTCATTTCGGATCACCTATTTGCTTTTTTCTGTATGTGTTCATCTGTAACTGTCATAAATTGGATTTATTTTAAATTTCTCATTGATGTATCTTATGGGTTCTCAGCAGACACAATATCATTGATGTGATAATTTTTGAAAGATTTATAATTGTTTAGTTGTGGCTCATTATATATAATTCATCATTTACATTTGTCTTTAAAAAAATAACCTTTCTAAATGCTAAAAATAAAGTGAGACTGCCAAAAAAGGCAAAGGAGTTTAGCACCTTTTTTATTTCAAAGCATGCAGTTTAAGCGATGTATAAGCAATTGCTGCATGTCATGTGAAAGATGAACTTACTAATTTCTTGATTGCAGACCTGCCAACCTTGAAAGTCCCAAAAACTTAAATTCTCAATTTTTCTCTCCAAAAAACTGGAGATTTTAGTGAAAAACTTAAGATAACACTGTGGAAAGCGGGGAGCCTTTTTTCCAACTGTAAATATTAAAAGTGAATATAAAGGTAATAGACCCTTTCTTTTGAGGTAATATTAGAAAATATTAATTAGCAAAGCTTTGGCAATGATATTCCAATTTCCTAAACTTTGTTGTAATAAAAAATGACTTGATTGAAAATTGGTAGAAAGCATCAAATGTGTGAACACTTAAGCAGTGTGACATTTCACATTTGACTTAAAAATCAATATTTTATTGTTTTAAACTATTTGATATTTATTTATAAAAAAATGAAATGAACAAAAATTGTGTAAAATGGATGCTAAATTTGAGTAAAACTGTTTGAGTTGGCAGGTCTGTGATTGACATTTACTAAAAATTACCCGCAAACTCCCAGCTGAATAAGCTACATTGAAGTTAAGAAAAAATTTTATCAACCAGGGAGATAAATAAAGCTATAACTTGTGATGAAAATAAGGAGAGTGAAAAGGCTATAAAGTATTATACAAGAGGTAATTGTAACATTTGTTTAATACAATTTACACATTTAACACAGAGTATGGAGTTTGAGCTCTTAGCATTCACGGAACAATGTAGAGTCTCACATGAAGACATATACTTTTAACATAAAGCAAAGCTTATGAGTTTGAGCATTCTATAACAAATTCATACAATAATGAATAACTACATATATGTCCAAGTGCAGGAGTTACCATTGTACTCAGGTGATTAAATAAAAGACACATTTCTGTACATTGTTTCAAACACTATATATATATACATACATATGTGTAGTGGTGTTGAGAAAAATCACAAAACTACAGATTCATCCCGACAAGCCTGTTTCGTGATTGCTCACTCTTCAGGGGATTTAATGTGTATTAAATATGTATATACATCCTGTTTGAGGTATAAATATATACACATTTAATTTTTTTTTATTATTTTTTTAGCCTTGCGAAGTATTGATGTTGCTCTAGCATTAAAAATTTCTGAAAGTTCTGTAGATGGGAAAAACTCCAAACACCTGCTTGAAAAAATCAAGAAGTAAAAATTTAAAGCACATAAGTACATTTTTATACATATGTACTCATAGATTTCATTTGGCTTAGTAAAGTTATTATGTATTCAAACAAATGATATTTTTACATGTTTTTATAAATATTCCACGACAGCCCATGATATTTATATAATAAGTTATGTATTCTGTATGAATATTGCTCACTACTCTAATGAGCACAAAACTACTTATAAATTGATTTAAAATCCACCTTCATTATGTTTAGACTTAAGGTTCAGGCCGAAGAAAGACTGAAAAATTTAAATTCTGAATTGAAAGAGCGTCCTAAAGCCCCAAATCGACCCCCTCCACCTGGTCATGTTAGATCCCAAGACAATGCCCCCCATCATTACATTCCAGCTGAGATCGACAATGGAGATGTTTGTCAACAAAATTGGGAAGATGCAAGAGAGCTCTTTTCTGTCAATAACTGTAAGTGTGCTCATAGCTTAGTAAAATATAACTATATTCATTTTGAAATCAAATCAAGCATTGTTAAAATCATAGGCATACGGGACGGGGGAGGATTGAAAAGTTGGGCAAATTTTTAACGATAGTCAGTGAAAAATATGGCAGAACCCTTTTTGTATGTTGGAGAAAGTATTTACTGGCCCCCTAGAAATGATAGCTCCAGTACGCTTATGGTTAAAATAATATCTATCACAATGACTGAGCATTTCAGAATTAATTGAATTTAATGGTCTGTAATAATTATACTGCAGTAAGTATGTTTGCAATTTCTAGTTAATTCAGTGAGATTCTTCTGAGTTCAAATAAATTAATCATCAGTACAACCATACGTTGTTCCACAAATGTTCATTTATGTAGGTGTCAAAATGTTCTTTGTCTCTAAAGATGGTAATGTGACTACTTTGTACCAACCTCAAAGCCTTCGAGCATTACAGCTGTCTTCTGAAAATTCAGGTAAACAAGAGATCAGTGTTTGAGTTGCATGTCATTTGCATGACAACAATAAACATAGAAAAATCGCTGTTGTAATTTATTGTTCAAGCTACTCCTACGTACATCTTACTTGTAGACAGTTTTGGTTCCTGACAGATACATCAGTTTATAAGTTCTCATTAAGCTGTATGTTTTTAATTTTACAAATATTTTTCAGCTAAGTTGAGTTATTTCTTTCAGATCATACTAGTTCCACTTTCCTTCATTGTGGATCGTGGGTGTTCCCACTAGTCCCAGGACGCTCTCCTGTGCTCAAAACAGACGAGAGAACTTTCATGATTCCAGACATAAATTTAGATTCAAATAATTCTAGCACGTCATCATTGACTGAAGGAAAGTTCCCAACGGTTGGCCTCGTTTTCTCTCCAGATGTTAGCGATGGCCAAATTAAACGATTTGAGAGAATTTTAAAATGTTATTCAGACTATAGACATTATTCCTCAGAGCAAAATTCAAATGAAGCATCTACTGTTGTACCTTCTGCACCTTCACTAATTGAAGACTCCGAAACACGTACATCACTGGAACCAAATAGTGATAAAAGTGGTTTGACTTCTGGTGATAGTCAGGTGTAGAATTTAATTCTTCATTAGCGATTATTAATTGTGATAACACTGTTTATCTGGTGAGGCCTTTATAATGTATTAGGAACAGTAGATTTCATAAGAACATTACATTTAACAGGATTAAACATGCGAATATTTGTTACCTTAATCACACAGCCAGGCGGAGTCTCATATGTACTTATATTCATTGTGTTTGTTTTTTTTTTCATCTGTTTGGTGAAACAGACCTGGGGCGCTAAAGTTTCAAGGGTAAGTGAGAGTATCTCAACACTGAATGTTTAATCGTGGACTTACGTAATAACAAGTCTGTAAACTACATCTGTTCATTGAACACAACTGTCTATCTAGGTATATTGACTGCTTCTCGAAAAGCAAAAGAATTAGCAGTTTAATGTAGATATTTCCTAACTATAAACAATTTAAACAAAACTAAAAGATGTTTTCTAAGCCCATTTGACATCCCGCTATTATAATGGTTATGTTGAAGAAGCTTCTATTATAGAGACGACCTGGTCGTTTATTAGAGACAAGTATCCGTAACTAACTCACGCTTCGAGAAGGGGTTTTGTTTGATAGGGGAAGTTTTTGGATAATTTGCAGTCTTGTCAACTTTTTTGGTTTTAGGGCATTGAAGCTGGAGCTGTTCTTATTTCCTGGGGCTTAAGCAAAGGTGCCGAAATTGGTGGACAACTCATTAACCAGGGGTCGGAAAAACTTCGAGGAAAAATAACGCCGAATGAAGAAAGTGCAAAAATTGATCCAAAGATCGAAAAAAATGTTCGGCAGATAAGGACAGCAACTGGTTAGTGGTTAATATGTTAAAGTTTTCATGAATAGAAAATATTTATGCATGTGAGACTTAAAAACCAAGTTGAGTTGTATGAAATCTTTTTCACTTATTCACTTGCTTACAATTTTTTTATTGCTCTCAAAAATTGGTTATATAGCGTTGATTTGTTCAGATATTTTGAGTTTATTTTTTAGGTGTTGCTTGCCAAGTATCTTCAGCAATTGTATCTGCTGTGTCAGCATTAACCACTGAACTTGGAAGACAGCTTGCTCCAGTAATTGTCCAGCAGGGTAGTAAGGTATTTATTATATATTTTTTTTCTCAACTATATTCATACACAATTAATAAAATAATTCAAAGATATGCAACGTTTTTGAAACCTTTATCTTTTCTTTCGAGTCAGTTTATTGCAGTGGTTTTTGTGAGTCTTTTCATCAACATGTAAATACGTGTTTTATTAGCTTTTGCCGCCTTCAACGAAACAGAACGATAGTCAAGGGAAAGGACATGTAGAAGAAGTAATAAAAGTTGCTGTGGGTAGTGTGCGTGGTTAGTATAAACACATCTATACGTATATAAGTTGTCATGTAGCAGTACTCATTCATTTATCATTAATTTAACAATTCATTTTGTAAACTTCTCTTTCAGGCTTTTCTGTTGTTTATGAAGGGTTAACTAATGCTTGGAAGATATTGTACAGCAACATTTCCACTGCTACCGTAACGACCGTCGATCATAAGTATGTTCTACGGTTGTCTATTATCAACGTATAATCACAATATGGCTACCGTAGCAGCGAAAGTTGTTATTACAAATTATCTTGTGTTTTAGAGACATTTTGTTTTCTCGGATAGTTCGTGTATTTGAAATATAACTAAATACATGTGTCGAATGTTTGCTGTCATTTTATTGGTCAAGAGTATAGGCTCTGAATATCTTATTGAATATAGTATGAAATGTGTTTTTGGCAATAATTTTGTGTCCTTAACCCTTAATCTTGAATTACTAAGCTTTGGCAAGGATTGTATTAGGGATTAATTTCGCATATTATAAAACACAGAATTATAACCAAAACGTAGCTCAGGAAAAGGACTCTGATCGAAATACTTGAATTTCTACATATATTTGAAGGTACGGCGAGCAAGCTGGAAGAGTCACTGGTGATGCCATGGGTGCTGTGGCTAATGCTTTCGAGGTATTATTTTTCAACTGCTCGCCAACGTCGAGTCCATTGATTTAATCTTTTAACTGCAAAAGTTCTTATTCACTGCTCAATTTTATCCGTATATTTCTGTTCGTCTGTTATTTATTCAATCTAACCAACTTTATAGGCTTATCAAAATGTGAACCATCTTGGATACAAGTAAGTCTTTACGACGACTCGTGGTTTGAAGTGATTTTTTTGAACTGAGTGTTGAACTCTCTATCGTGTAGTTGAGCATCAAATTTGGTACAACATTCCCACATGACTCATTTTATGTTCTACCTTTCAATTTATTTAAGTTCCCGCGTCCTTCATACTATTGAACCCCTGGCATTAACCAAAACTCTGTTACATATTGTACTTTTTGGTTGATGTTCTTAGTTATGCTAGAACAGCTAGCCCACGGCCAAATAAAAACGGGCTTCCTTGACCGAACAAATTGAAATCACGGGCGGACCTCGCGTTTTAGTAATTTTTGCACTCGCGTTGTAAGTTGTTTAGCTTGAGAAAAAAAGTATAAAAAAATTGTATTTGTATTTCCCTGATAGCCATATGTTGATACTTGATAACAAACAAAGAAAAAAAATTGCTAACTTGTTTGATGCCATAAAACTTCTTTCATCGCCATATAGAGCTATTGCAAAGAACACAGCAAAACAGACAGGAAAAGAATGTTTGTACGATATGAACAAGAAGATGTAATAAATAAAGCAATAATCATCGATGAACACTGTAAATTGTGTATGTACATATATAATACTCTTTGTTTGTACCACTGTGTGATTTTGTAAGTCAGTGGCTATATTAGCGTTTTTTAAGTTATAAATCATCATTATAAAGATGCTGTTTGTTTATTGGAAGTTGACTATGGAATTGATTTCGAAGCTGTTGAGTACAGTTCGAGGTCAAAATTATTACTCTTTTGTAAATAAGATGTGCTTAATCTTCGTGTTATCAATAAAAGGTTTTTTCTCTGTCCTTTTTTCTTCTACAAATGTTTTATGATTTTCATTCCTTCATGACGTAAAGTTTCATTTTTCCAGAAAAATATGATACAATTTAGGCATGAGTAAAAACTCATAATGCTACTCGCCCAAAGCCCCGTCGCCATTAAAATATCATAACCGAGCATTACTTCTAACTTTAAATGCAGAATTTGGTAGCAAATAGCTGGAAAAGAACAGATGAAACCACACAGTACAACTAACACACAACTGGATATATCTTTATAAAATAACCGTCGCCGTCGATTATATTTGTTTCTGCAACTTTTGCCTTGAATGGATTCTGCTATTTTATTATCGCTTTGTCGTTTTGTCTTAGAAATCTTGAAGATTTTAAAGTTAATTACTGCTAGTAGGATAAGAACTGTTCCCATGATGGCCAATGGCGTTATTTCTGTCGCAAAGACTACGTTTTCATATGACAACAACCATATTATCAGCCAAAAAAAGATTTGAAAAAACAACAAAAATAGCAATCTAGATTTAGTGACAGATGTTTGATGCAAGAACGGATAAGATAAAGCCAAGTACCTTTCAAAATTCATCGTAAGTAATGTGATCATTGATGATCCATAAAGTACAGCTGAAACTTTCGCGTTGATTTCGTGAAATATTTTGTGACTTTGGATGCACCAAGCCAAAATTGATAACATAATTAAAGGATGGGTGACAGTGACTACAATTAAATCGATGCATGCGAGGACAAGAATCATATAGTAACATAATTTGCTTCGTAATTGATTGCTTTTCTTGAATGATGCGACCACAATGGTATTCAAGAACAACCCAATAATCATGGACGATGAATTAAAAATATAGAGTAAGACTGCATTTATGATCACAAAATTGTCCATTGTGTACGATCTAGTCTGCAAGTTATCATCTGCCACTAGGGGTATTTCGCGTTGCTTATATCTTACGTGTTTTATCATAAAATTTGAATTTAATGAGGAGGGAGTATTTTTATATATTGAGTATTGTTAGTACGTACATATTCTTAGGAGACTGTTACACATTGTAAATTGTCATGAAACTTGTCTAACGATACTTTTATCACACGAAATGCAGTGGGATGTTTAGTCATAAAAAGCAATTGAATGCGATAGTTTGGTAGAACGTGCAACAAATTATCCAATAGGAATTAAGCATGACAAAATTACTGCAAGAGCTGTTGCAAAACAAGATGGCATGTCGCATTCTGCAATATTGGACACCATATGTGACAAGACGTTTATTTAACACATATAAAGTAAAAGTATTGAATAATGCGTAACAGAAAAATTTAAAATAAATGTGTTGATTTTTCCTCTAACGTGTATTCTTGATTGATTTGCAAATATTCTTTGATCAATTTAATGATTTAATTAATGCAGCTCTGATCAGCTTGCACCGTTTGCACAGGCCAAAAGGAAAACAAAGTTTTAGACCAATCAGAGCACGTGTTTCATTGTTTTTATTTCATAAAGAGATATAACTTAAAAGGAATAAATTAAAAAAGGCAAGAAGAAAATATTTGTAGCCAGCACACTTTGCAATGAGTGAAAAAAGTCAAAATGGAGACGAGCTCCGAATTCGACCTAACTTGAGTTTTGACTTAAAAAATATTTTGCTCATTACAAAATACAAAGTGTACTGGCTTCCTACATTTTTGTATCAACTTTATTATTCAGTTTTATGCCTTATATCTTTTACTTTTACTTTATATAAATGTTGCATAATGTTTTTGTCCTATTTATCGTCCCATTTTTCAATGTTATCGATAATCATTGCAGTGTTTGCCAAAACTGACATCTATCTCTCACTACTTGCTTGCAAGCCACCGCAAGGTGTACTCAACTTGTGCTCAAGTGTACTCAATGTTGTAACAAAACAAACCGTGCTTGAGTAAAATTGTGGTATCAAGTGGAAGCACGATGACGAAAATATTGCGGGAAATATCAAATATGAGAATTGATTAGATATAACGAGTTAAATGATTTTATATTTCTGCCTTTTACCTTTAGTATTTGAACGTTCAAATGGAATCATAGCTAATATTTGAATATGAGTGGGAAGCGATTGATAGATGCGTTAAACAGGATAGGATATCATGATGAAAATCTGTCTGCTGAGAGCGTTGACTGGTTATTTGAAAATGAATGTATGTTGCCTTTCTTGGAGTGGTTCTGCGACAACCTTAGTTCACTAAATGTACTTACAGCCGACGAGGTTAAATGGTATGAATTTTGAATGTACTGTTCACTGTAGACTAAACAAGACAAACGTACAGACCCTGTACTACAAACTCAAAAAAAATTTTCTAATTCATGTTTTCTTTTTTGAATCACATTGAAACATTGACCAAACCAACAGCAAGCAAACGGCAAACGTTAAAAAAAAGGCGAAGCAAGTGAAAATTGACAAACACAATGCTCTTTCCTTGAACGTGCTCCCAGTATCGTGACTTTCATCTAATGTGAACGAAAAAATATTTTTTGAGAGTTTTGGACGAGAGTGGACATTACAAAAAGCAAAGAGCAAATCTTGAAATAGAACTTCTCATTTACATGTTTCATCAAATCTTGTCTTCAAACCTACAAGAAGACAATTCTCTTATGATTTAGTAATCATGTAATGGTTTACCAGATATAATAGTTTTCAATGTTAAAATTGACGTTGAAATTGGGACTTCAAAATAGATGTAGCAAACGTATGTTTGGACTAATACATGTAATCATTGAATATTATTTTATAAATTGTTTGTTGAATTTTAGCTGCAAGATTCAACTAGCTAAGAAGAGCAAATGTGTGAATTTTATTATTAATGTTTTTCCTTTGAAACAATTGATGTGTCACTTAATAAATGGAACAAAATAATTTACAATGTTTTTCTTTGGTATCTTGAGCTACACTGTCAGACTACATATCATTATCATAATTCCTGTCATTATTTTGTAGTTTTGATGAATTAAAAAATTCTGGGAAAGAAATTCTTGAGGTAATTCATCTATTCATGTAATTTCTGTTGTAATTATCCATTTCATCAGTAATCTTTAATAGTTCCTTTTTCAACGAGGTTGATTTGAAAAATGGTAAATGTGTTTTTTTGTTATCCTAAACATGCTTAATGTATAAATAGTTCCTGCTTCTTCCAAGGGTGACAATCTCACTGAAGCTTTGAAACGACTGTCAGCATTGGCAACGGATGACAATAGTGAAGATGAATTAAGGTATATTAGAGACATGCTTGTAAGATCGAATCTCTGCTTATAATAAGCAAAAGTGAATAGAGTAAGTTAGAAAAATTAAAAGCTCGATCAATATCTTGTTGATTGTATGAAATTTTCATGTACAAAGTAATTAATGGCTATTCAAACATTTTTAAAATTGGTTCGTACTTTCTCATGTTTTTCTTCAAGTGAGGAAATGGAATTTTTGATGGAGAAAAAAGATTTTCTGGAAGAAAGATTGGATGTCATGGTCAAGCAAAGGGATAAAATGAAGTATGTTGTTATTTTAAATTGTGTACATATATGATTTAAGTTTTCAAATAAAATGCACCTTGACTTGTGAGCTCTTATAAATACCAGTTGTACAAACAAAACATGATCAGACCTTCAACATGATTATGACTTTTTCAATTTCACTATGACAAAAAATGCTGCTACAAATGTAGATACAACAAATGCAAGCAATACATACATTCACAAATCTACAAAAAGATGATAGTAAAGAATCTAAAAGTTTACATGTTGATATAAGTATTTCACGAGGGCTTTAGAAGATTATGAAAGTTGTGAATGTTCCATGCTCAATATACATAAGATCATGCACAACTGAACAGTTAAACTTGTCATAAAACTGCTTAAAAAATAGTTATTTTTCTAACCACATCAGGTCACCGAGAAAGGTCTGTTAACACCTGTAAAAATCTCTCACTTATATCATAAATATGTTCAAGCAAGAAGCTAAATCAATGAGTATCTTTAAGATACACCCACATACTCATGCTTTCAAGGTCACAACAGCTATAATCAACACAGTGCAAATCAGTGATTAATGAAAACACACACAATCTATTTTCTAAATATACATCATTGCCATTTGAAACTTTCACCAATGTTTTTACGATCACTATTTCAACTTTATCATTTAATAACAAACCATAATCGTATTGAAAGCATTTCTTACAGAATCAATATATTATTGCTTATATGAAAAAGTCTCTTCAACAAAGATTAAAGTAATACATGATAATATTAAAATTACTCATTAATTTTTATGACATTTTTCATTGAGTTAACAACAAAAAATGGTGTTAAGATTTGATTGCAACTGAGTAAGTCAGCAGGAGAAAATAGCAAAAATGTCAAAAGGCATGATGCCGCATTTTTTACAATTGTCAATCAAATTTTAATTCATACACATTTTATTTGCAATTACTCATAGCATATTTATTAAATTTTTGTTTTGTAGTATTATGAGCGCTGAGTCTAATCATAGACAATCACGGTTGAAAGACTTAGAGGCTGAGGCAAAAAACAATTATAAAAAATGTTTGGAGGAGGCTTATTCAGCCGACGACATGGTGAGTACACTATACGTTACGTTAAAACTTGTTTTTTGTCATGAAGTCAATGGATGTTCACCTCATGATAAATGAACAAAATTAAATGGAGTTAATGAAGAAATGAAATAAATGTATGAAGTATTTTATGGTTGATTTAAATTACGAATCAAAAGGCAGTGATTTTTTTTAACTTTGCACTATCATTGAATCCCTAGTTCATATTGATAATATTTGTTTCGTTGATATTCAGCTGAACAATAGCTTGGATGAGTTGTCTAAAACAGTGGCTCAATTTTCGGAACTTTATGAGCAACCAGGATCAAACAGTGGTATGTTAGGATAAACTACTTCATTTCATGATGATATTGATTTTTTTTAAAGTTAACGATGTAATTTTGCCTGTTTTGGTTGTACACTACTTCTTTTTAACGATTTATTAGTAATTTTCTGCTGTAGTCTTTGTTTGTTTTTTTTGTTGATACGTACATTACAAAATTATTGTCATCCACGGGGAATTTCTTACGTGCCTTGGCAAAATTTCTGTCTTTAAAAATTGTTAATTCTTTCTTGACTTGTGACTTCCTTTCTAATGATTTCCTAAGAATTACCGGTTAAGAAAAGAAAATCTATCGTAAGGTATTTGTAAAAATGGTTTTTGCGAATTTTAAAGGAAGTTTTATTCAAATTATGGATAATTAGGAAGTGCTTTTTAATTATAGCCAACGATTGTAGTTGGCACAAAAGAAAAACGAAGTGAAGAATGAAAAAAATAGCCATGCACCTACGTACCTTATGAGCTTGCACTTTATGACTTAAATTTTTCATTTATTCTTTAAAATGCAATACTACAAACGTTTTATTCTTCTACAAATTGAAGGCAATGTGTTTGTGTCAACGTGTTTTATTACATTGACTAAAGTCTATAAAAATTAATGTTTTTAGATAGGAAAGCAGCAAGTTTTTTCTCGCAACTTTCTCTTCACGATTACCACAAAGCTGAAGAGGCGTTTACAAACGAACTTACAAAATATACAAAGAAGCAATTTTTTGACGTAAGTTTGGTCTTTATGTACGTGTATACACTGTTTAGATAACGATATGGCGCCGTCCTTAAAGGCTGTTTTTCAGTTTTATGACGCATTTAAATTGCGTCATGACAACATTCGCTGTTTACTGGTAGTGGTATATTATACTTTATTGAATATGTTGGAAATTTCCATCCAGCGATGCTTATGGGAATATTTTTTTACAAAAGGGAATAGCAGAATTAGCCAGCGGAACAGAAAAATCAAGATACACTTTTCTGGAAATCAGGGATCCTACAACGCTGTTTATTAAAGGTGTGTGGTTGAACAAATTATCATGGGAACATTGAGGTACTTAAGGGCATGGCGAGGGTTCTTTTTTGCTTATATGCTAAATAGCCTATAATCTTCATAAACAGACATTTTTTTAATTTTTTCTTATCTTCTTCATCAATTTCTTCATCGATACAAATTTCAACGTCATTCTTTCTATAGTAATCTTTCATCCATAGCAAACATTGATTCTATAGCAGGCATAATCAGCTTTTACGTACATACATCTTGTTATGTGATGAGTTTAGTGTTTCAATATTAGATTGAAAGCCGCGTTGTTGTGAAAAGTAATGAAAAAGAATGGTCATCTTAGTGTAATGTTGCAATTTGAATATTTAATTTTTAATTGAATTATATTAATTTATCACGTACAGGAGAGCCAAAAGATGTTACGGCAGGCGAAATAAAGCAATTGAACCGACTTCAAGCAATGTAAGTGATGAACAGACGTATATTGTAAAACGGCCTTCACTACTCTAAACCTTTTTCCTGTTATGGTTTGTAGCTATCCAATCAGTAAAATGAAAAGCATTCAGGCTGAAGCTAAAAATCACGGTGTCAATGCAGCCATTGCAGATGCTCGAGAGCAACTTTATCGATTAACAAACCGTTTGTATACGTGTGACAGTGCAACATTACGGTATGTTATGAATATGTTAGTGCAACATTACGGTATGTTATGAATATGTTAGTGTAACATTACGGTACGTTATGAATATGTTAATGTAACATTGCGGTACGTTATGAATATGTTAATGTAACATTGCTGTATGTTATGAATATGTTAGTGTAACATTGCGGTACGTTATGAATATGTTAATGTAACATTACGGTATGTTACGAATATGTTAATGTAACATTGCGGTACGTTATGAATATGTTAATGTAACATTGCGGTACGTTATGAATATGTTAATGTAACATTGCTGTATGTTATGAATATGTTAGTGTAACATTGCGGTACGTTATGAATATGTTAATGTAACATTACGGTATGTTATGAATATGTTAATGTAACATTGCGGTACGTTATGAATATGTTAATGTAACATTGCTGTATGTTATGAATATGTTAGTGTAACATTACGGTATGTTATGAATATGTTAGTGTAACATTATTGATTTTCCACAAAAATATCTTAAACTAACATGTATACTTGACCCAAATTTTCTATTTAAAGAGAGCAACTTAAAGAAACCGAACATGGTCTTATTCAATCCCGTAATCAAATTGCTGAAATGACGTCAAATTTACTGTCGCCATTAGTGGAAGAACTTGGTAAACTTCAAGTAAATAAAATACTCCGTGGAGATTATGATCTAAAAATAGCTCGGCAAGATTATTTCATTTCAAAGCAAGATCAGGTAGTAAACCTTTAACTTGTTCTCTTTACAGCAATTGTGGAGATAAAATTTTTGCCTCTGCAGCAGCACGTGCATGATTGTAAATGTCTTGTCTATAATTGAAATCGCCTGTTAATTTTCATCAATTACGTAGCTGCGTACATAGACACGCGAGTTGACCCCTGCAGCAGCATGTGCATGATTGTAATTGTCTTGTCTATAATTGAAATCGCCTGTTAATTTTCATCAATTACGTAGCTATGTACATAGACACGCGAGTTGACCCCTGCAGCAGCACGTGCATGATTGTAATTGTCTTGTCTATAATTGAATCACCTGTTAATTTTCATCCATTACGTAGCTATGTACAAAGACAGGCGAGTTGACCCCTGCAGTAGCATGTGCATGATTGTAAATGCCTTGTCTATAATTGAAATCGCCTGTTAATTTTCATCAATTACGTAGCTATGTACATAGACACGCGAGTTGACCTCTGCAGCAGCACGTGCATGATTGTAATTGTCTTGTCTATAATTGAAATCACCTGTTAATTTTCATCCATTACGTAGCTATGTACATAGACACGCGAGTTGACCTCTGCAGCAGCACGTGCATGATTGTAATTGTCTTGTCTATAATTGAAATCACCTGTTAATTTTCATCAATTACGTAGCTATGTACATAGACACGCGAGTTGATTGAAATTATGTATAAATATGTAGGTGATCAACCAGTTAATGCTACAGAGATCGCGTTATGAATTCCTGTCGATGATCTTTGAAGTAGAAGCTCAAAAACATAGAGATTCACATCATTTGTTGAGTAGTGTGCAAACGCTTCTTGAAAATGAATCAAAATCGTTTGATAGACGTAATGTATCCTTTGGCGTTATTTGTTTTTAAACTATAAACATAGGAAATACTTGATGTAAGTCTTCTGAATGTATTTGGATGTTAAGCAGTTTATTATTCAAAGGTGATATGAATGTTAACAATTTCTTAATAAAGAATTTTATCAGGATGTCATGTCAAATCCATTGTTACGAGATCCTGGCAAAAGCCGCGAGACAATTGACACACGCGATTCAACATTGATTCGTTTACATTCTTTATTAAGTAAGTTATCTGATAGCTTGATCATGACCATCAAAGATATTGATCATAAGCATCAAAAATATTGATCGTAAGTATCAAAGATATTGATCATAAGCATCAAAGATATTGATCATAAGTATCACATAGATTGATGATAAATATTCGGGAAATTTATCAATACTGAATGATAACTAACATTGATCATAACTATCAGGTTGATTTATAATAACTATCTCTAACTACATGATGACGTATATTATAGCATTTATTTATTTGGTTATAAAACTGCCCGATCTGTTTTAATTCCCTTTTTATTAATATTATTTTATATTGCTATTATTTAAAACTTCCAATATATGCGACAAAATATGTATTTTGAAGGGGAACTTCACATGTAGTCAATTTTAAAATAAATTTACTGATCACTATCTCCTTGCAACTAAGTTCTACAGGATGTATAAAAAAACTGAACAGTTTTTGTAAAATTTTTCCAAGATTTGCAAAGATTTGCACAAACTTTTGGCGGAAATAGTTAGTTGGGCAGTGGACTTTCAATGGTTCATCTGACGGTAAAATTATCGCAAATAAAAATTGTGTTACCCAGAGGCGCTTTTAAAATATCTTGTGCACGAAAATGACACTGCTGAAAAGCAATTGTAACAAATAAGCTTAACTGATTATGGCATGTGTTGTTCAAGCTAACAAAGTTTTAGAAAGTTTGGCTAATGCGAACGCTAAGGTCTAGTTCAAACGTCGAACTTTACATGAACCGAACGCATTTAAAGCAAAAGATAATGAGGAAGTTTATCTCATTTTTCGAAACAGGCCTTAGCCTACAAGCCGCAGGTTCTTTCGAATTTTTCGTTTTTAAATGCCCTGTTTTTCAAATCTCATTAATTGTGCGTAAATGTGAGCTTAACTTAATGCAAATAGGAATAATTGATGAAGATTAATTGGAAGGATACTTGATGAACATTTGAAGTTCTTTTGAAGACCTATTCTACCCACGATTTTGGAGATCTTGTGCGCTTATCATTCAAGCGACGTTTTCCTAACTAATCAGTTTTTTTGTACACCCTGTATGAAATTTGTATGATGTACTTTTGTGTTGCACATGTACATTTTTGTGTTATCGCGATTATGTTCTAGATAATATTCTCATATGTTCTCTCTTTTATCTTCCTTTACGACTATTTTAAAGATAAACAAGAAATCTTTGATAAAATGTGCATGATACATATGTCGTTATAAATATTTACTTGTATATATGTTTATTTTTCTTATTGCAGATGGCATGGATGACACAGACAAAAAGCCATCATTATTTCTTACATACGATGGCTTGCAAAAGAAAGCGGAAGAATTGAAGTGTGAGGAAGCGGACGTTCAAACTCAGTTGGTTAACCTGGAAAATTCACAGAATGAAAATGTGACCACTATGTGAGTAAATTTATTTATTTCCCATGCTCTGTTGTACATATTATGATTCTGTTGTATTGTTCCCCATTAGTTAGTGACGGGTCCAGGGTTAGTGCATTATTGCAGCTCATCAATTTAAAATACTACAGGGTTTATCAAAAATAAAGACCGTTAGGTATTGAATTGTTAAAATTTCACTGCGTGATCAGTATGCATAGCCCACGGGTGCATTATTTTTGCAGATTTTGATGTTAGATGTTACGTTAGATTTCCAGGAGACGAAAAGCTACTGTGCTTGTTACAAATATATGGAGAATATATGTATACGTAGCTGACAATATTCTTGCTCATTCATAGGCTTAACATACATTTGGGGACATTGAAATGTAACAATATGTCAATTTGATGTATTTGAAATATATATTATATTGTACCATTACCTCATGCCATGACCTCATGCAACATACATCTTTTGCCATGACCTCATGGAACATATCTTTGCCATGACCTCATGCATGCATCTTTGCCATGACCTCATGCAACATATATCTTTTGCCATGACCTCATGCAACATAAATCTTTGCCATGACCTCATGCAACATAAATCTTTGCCATGACCTCATGCAACATATATCTTTTGCCATGACCTCTCATCTTTGCCATGACCTCATGCAACATAAATCTTTTGCCATGACCTCATGCAACATAAATCTTTTGCCATGACCTCATGCAACATAAATCTTTTGCCATGACCTCATGCAACATAAATCTTTTGCCATGACCTCATGCAACATAAATCTTTTGCCATGACCTCATGCAACATAAATCTTTGCCATGACCTCATGCAACATAAATCTTTTGCCATGACCTCATGCAACATAAATCTTTGCCATGACCTCATGCAACATAAATCTTTGCCATGATCTCATGCAATAAATCTTTGCCATGACACGTTGCAGTTTTCATGTTACAAAAGATATCATTTTAATTCTATGGAGTAAGACAGACGTTTGCATTTCAGGGAGCAAAGCGTATGCGAATATCTGAAGATGCTTTATGGAGGATCTACAACAGCAAATGGTTTACCTCTTCTAAGAACAAAAGTGAGTTAACGTTTAATAGAAATTTAGAGCGACGACATTTTCATATATCTGAAAATTGTTTTCCGTGCATAAGTAGCTATATGCTTTCATATTTTGCTTCTCGGCTTATGGAGCATTCAATAATGGCTATTTTATTTAATCTAGCTTTAAAGTAAATGGTTTGAACCCGGGACCTTTTACATGACATGACCATTTACAAACATGTAATCTAGCTTTATTATTGTTTTGTTTGCTTCAGACAGGTACAATAACTTGCCATTTCTTAAATCTCGTTTGTTTCCCTTCATTGTTTTTAAAAGCATTTTACTTATGAAATTATGAATTTTCACAATTAGGTTTGTCGGCAATGTCCTACATATGTCAGTTTGAAGATAGTTGTAAAGGAAGAGAACTGATAATTTTCATCATGATAATCGTTGTGCGTTTTCATCTATCATGAATTACATTGCAATTGTGCAGTCGATAAGCCAATGGTTTATTAAATTATTTATGGTCAGTTTTCTATTCTAAATAAATACAATTTCATAACAAGGGTTGAAAGTGGGGTTCAATGTAGACTACATATGTCCTCCACCCCCCCACCCCCCTACCCCTACACCAGTTCCCTCCATGTCGATGTCACGTGTTCGATACCTTAATTGTTTTGATCTCAAAAAAGCACTACGTGATTTTCGTTCCTACACGTGTGATATTTCAACATTGATGCATTTTATTTTCTCTATTTGTGCAGGCTTTATCTAATGGAATAGATCAGCTACTTGATTTTTTGACAACGTTGGAAAATTCTGTCATGGATGTAAAAAAAGATCGTGAATCTAAGAAACGAGTGAGTTCAGTCAATAATGTCTCTTCATTTGATCATTTTATAATCTGTCCTTTCTTTAATATTTAAAAACGCATGTTCGATTTCTTATATTCCTAGGTTTTAAGCGCCGATTCTTTGAATCCCATGGAACGACGGCTATTTATACATTTCTTTACAAATCCTGAACGCTTGATACAAACTTTCGTTGATCTCAAGGCAAGAGTGGAATCTCAAATACTATCCAAAGGTGAAAGTTAAAAAGACGTGTTTTTCTTCTTTCCGGTAAGTCAATGTGTTTACTCACCATCAAAGCAAGCTAATATTGTATTAAGGATTGATTTGCGACAATCGGCATGTTTTGTCAAGCGAAGTCTTTTTGGTAGAAAGTTGGCAAGTCTATGTTTTCAATTATAATCCTGAAAAAGGAGCTATAGTTTTCCAATGGGATACATTTTTCAAATACTCCACATTAAATCTCTTTCCATTTATAAGCCTTGCCGGTAATTTTCTGAATCCCGAACAGTGATTGTGATAAATGACCAATATATGACATGGATTCTTTATTTTATATTTTCCATGTTCTCTCAATGTGTAAATCACGAATTTTTCCACCCCGACAATATTTTGACGAACCATTAATGTGTTCAAAACTTTTTTCGACAAAGGTCTGACAAGGTTCATCACGAACGCATCGTGGGAACCGATGTATCTGGCCTGGGCTGAGCATAAATCGTTCTCTTTACAATATTTATTTCTTTCGTGCCTTGTCAATGCGTAAATAGTACCACGCCTCAGACTTTTTTCATTCAGTTTTTGGAAACCATGTCCCAAGTAGCAATCAGCATTCATTATAATCGCGGTTTTATTTAGAAGAAATTGGGATATATAACGAAATGCGTCACCATAGCGCATTCGACGGTTTAGAGGATGATAACGTATTTTGTTTATGTTGCTCGTCGTTGTTAAATTGCTTATGTATTCATCATCGTGATCATTTTCTAAAAGAAGATGAATTCTTTCCACAAGGGAATGATTTAGATTCAATTTTAAGGTATTAATGTACTCCTTTTGTCTCTCATATTGATCATGATGCATTACTGGAAACTGAGTTACGATATGAATCGTTCTTCCTTTAAAATATCTATTGGTTTGGGTTGTTTTAGTCTGCAGAACTATTTCATCTAAAGACTTGAACATTGCCAAGTAAATTACCATGGAAAACGTGAATAAAATTGAAATGGGCAACACGTAATTACAAGTATTTTGACAGCTGAAGATTAATATTTTTCGCATAATTATCGAAGGTAGACGTTTAGGGTACCGAATCTCGGCTTATGTATCAGTTTGTTACGAAACTATTGTTCAGTTCAGCAATTTATTTCACTGAGATTCACTTTCTCATGACAAACTGCTACCTTCTTTGGCTTTTTAACTCTATACTTCACCTCAAATTGTGTCTTTCCATCAAACGCTTTAAATTTGTTTTGTGTTGTGCAATGTTAAACGTTAACTCTTCAGTTGTTCATCGGTGATTTATTTCATCTTGTTACACGTTTCTTGCTCATTGTAAATAAAGAAATTGAAGTAGTTAGCTGGTGGCAACTTCTCACGTGTGCGCATGTGTGACTGACGTTAACTTCTCACGTGTGCGCATGTGTGACTGACGTTTCACAGCATTAACACCAGGGGGCAGTTGCACGAAGGCCGAATAGCACTGTTCACTGGATAGCAATTTTTTCTCAACATTTAAAAAATCTCTTATAAGAGAAAAATATTCGATTTGAACTGTGCAATCATTGAAATAAAATATTATTTCGAAGATAACAAAATTTCTTTGTCATAAGAAAAATAAAAACACTTTTTTACAAGTTTGAAAATTGTTGCTATACAATGGATAACGATACCCAGGCTTTGTGCAACCGGCACCAGTTCTTTAACAAAATGACCATGTTTTGGCAGTTTTGCGTCCACTAAATTTGCTATCTTTAGATAAATATTACTTGCCCGGCGAAAAATAAATAAAACACCCATTAAAAAATATACATCCAATAATATTCCTCCAAAGACTACAATTCTCGTTAGTAAATCGATCGCAATAAATTAGTTATTTTTAATTGGTTCGTGAAGTAGTTAGGCGTTAAACCTTGCAGTATTAAAACTAGCTAGAATTAGGAACGTATCGTAGAAAAAAATTTCAAAAATTTTAATTTGGTCAAAAGATTTTCTAGTCATATAACGGTTTAAAGTTGCCTTTCAACGGACCTTGCATTGTCCAGTTGTGGCGTGAAGTCTGGATCTAGAAAAGTGCTGATGTTATCAAGGTAGTCGCTATATATATCTTGTATTGAGGAGTCTCTTGAATGACGTCACAAAAGTAAGTCGCTCCAGTCTTTTCGGACGACGGACAAGATCCATCGAAAGACCATGAAAATTCAACGATTTGACCAACATAAAAACTTTTTCACTGATATGTTAAAAATCATAAGTTAATTTACTATCGCATGTAAAAATTTCTGCCGAAAGGGGCACTTTAAAACTGTATTTCTGGACTACTGTAATATACTTATCAAAACTATGAGATTGTGTTCGTGAGGAAGTGGACGACCACATAATGTGGAATACAGCATGTTTGTATTGCGTGTTTTATGTATTAAAAAGGCTTGCCGTAATTGTGTATAAAGTTTGTGGTATTCACTCTTTTACCGATGAAATATGTCGTGTTTTACGTGTTGATTAAGTTAATTTAGCCTAAATTAAATGAAAAATTTTTTGATATCTTTGTTTGGAGCCTGGGGTTATCGATACATCCATATTCAAAACGTTGTATTGACATCAACAAGTCTCTAACATTACTATCATAAATAACTTCTATTTTGCAAAATATACAACCATTATTATCTTTACACATTGAATAATATATTTTTTATCGAATGCAATGTTTTCATAACTTCGTTATGTTTTATAATTTCGTAGTTTATCAGTTAGCGATCCGTTTGCATAAAGTTTATCAAAAGAATAATGAGTCATAGAGCAGATGGGAATCTAAAAGCAGCAGTCAATAGTCACGACATTCAGAGATTGGGAAGACTTCTTGTTCTAGATGGTGAACGTTTGAGAGATCTCTCTCCCGTTGTATCTTTTCCTAAATACAGAAAGCTACGCAGAGGTTCCATTCTTGACAGCTTATTGCGCCTGTAGGTGGAATGCTTCCTGGATTTTTTAAACAATCTCTTTCGATAATTGGAAGATAATGAAGTCATCTTTTGCACTCTGTCGTGAAACCTCCCACTTCTTACAGGCGTGTTTTCAAATACTGCCGTACTGGATTGAAAGTGGTGTGTAGTCGGCGAGAAACGGAATATTTCCGGTATTGACCATGACGTCACTGACTCCGATCGACTTACTATCGGTGAATGAACCAACCGATAGAAGTCTTTATTGACTGGCGTAGGCAGTGCCTTTGTCCTGGCGGTTGGCTCATTTTGCTTCAATGTTGAATGATTTGTTGAAGAATTTTTGAGATCGGAGCCGAACACTGAAGATTGGTAAAGTTCCTCCCGTGCATGTTTTCTATGATGAAAAATTATGATAAAATTTAACAAACTCGTCAGTATCTAGTATTGATAGGTAGATATTTCCTGAAAACAACTATTGTGCATAGAAATTTACGTGAATTTGTGAGTATGAGTTGCGCACGATATGTGTTTTACTTATTCATTCAGTGTTGGTTATTAAGGATGAAATATAATTTGTCAGGATGACTAAGACCCAATGAAGGGAGTCGTATATTATTATATATTATTATATGGCAGCGTCACTTCCGCAAAATGGCGAGCTTTGATTGGCTTACAAACATTTTTGCCGGTCCATTATTTTCCCGTAATCGACCACGGTCCAAAACCCGTAATTTTAAAGTCAAATGTAAACAAACTTCGTAATGCAAACAGCAAAACGCAAGAAAAACGAAACAAAAAAACATTTACGGATGTGAGTCGAAGGAAAACACTCGGAAAACAGTTCAACTTTCCAGACGATAAAATTTGAAACGATTTAATTTTTACTGACGAAAACTATAAAAGTGAAAGGCAACCCGTAAAAAAACAGCAAGGACGAGAAAGCATATAACAAACCTTTTAATAACCTCGATTTCTTGGTCTTTACTGAGAAATATCGTATCTTTTTGTACAAACCTCGCCCAAGACCTGGGTCTGATATTTCTCCGTAAAGACCTCGAGCTCGGTTATTAAGGGCTTATTAATTACCACCATGATCTACGAGCAAAACATAGTGAGGCTATTGAGGTTAAACAACTTCTACCTTGGTGATTCTTCTTGATCTGAAGATGAAAATACATCGCTATCAATATATTCATGTTTCTGTACAACAAGATATGGATCCCATTGTAATGATTCATTTCGTGTACTTATTAATCCCTCGTAAATCCCAGCATGAACTGCATGACTTAATTTAAGCCATAGAAGACGAGATCTCTTTTTTACCTAATAAGGAATATTGGTTTAATGCTTCATTTTTCTATACTCTTAAGGCATACCTTATGAAGGTTAACGGGGCCTTAACCCTTCTTAAAACATATTTGAAAACTGATGCTTCTCTTGTGTTGCCTATACATTTCTACAAATTCGTAGTACTTTATGAACAGAAAAAAGGAACATCTCACATTTCGTTCTCTTTTCACACCATGTAATGCTTGACTTTCCTCATCGTGATTAGTATAAGATGATTGAACCCTTTTTCTTTTATTCACCTTCATTGGGATAGATAAAAGAAAAACATAACATTAGCTACGATGCGTTATATTTTAAACTAAAATGGGCCACTGTATAGTGCATGGAGACTGTTGAATGATTGTTCAGAACCGTGGTTTTCTGTTGAAAATATTGGCGTTAATACCTGTGTGGTTTTAGCCGCGGTTATACTTCTTACGAAAAACACTTCCCGATTGCTAATATCAACTCCGAGCTCACCTAACGATACAATCACGTGACCTACATTAAATTTTCTGGAGTAGCGATTAAATCGACTTATCTCGAAATGAATTGAGTAAGAAAAAAAATCCACTGAAGCTATAGTAAACGTATAAGTCCTTTTATAATTTCCACCGTTCTTGTCGCCATCAAAATCATTCACTTGTTGGGAAATTAGACGAACGCTGACAAAAGCCTTCGTTTCTTCTTCCGTGATTAATGGTAGATTTTCGCCTTTAATAAGTTTTATCGTCAGAGTTGATCTAAAATGTAAGTTAAAATAAATTCTGTTTATGTTATCATAAATTACTGACAACATACGGAGCTTTCATAAAAAAAAAAATTATGAGGTATTATGACAGTATAGAGCTACATTTTATTTCGCTCAACGTTGCTGCTACAAGATGGTTTAATATTTGATGATTGCAAAGTATGTCAGTAACATATAAACAGCAAAGCATAAAAGAAAAAAACTGCATGACAATCCGTGTATTTTTTATGTCAGCATTTAACAAGGTATTTTCTTACTTTTCGTTGTCATATTTTAGAGAAAAATAGAGTCGTCCTGAATCAGTTCTATCCTCCAGTAATGTATAATCCACTGTCTCATTACATTCATCATAATCATGGTTGACCTTTAAAAAATGTAGATATTTTTAATTGCATTATCACAAAGACTCAAAATAACAACGTGCAAGAAAAAAAGTTGGTTTTTTTTGTCCATTTATTGTGTAGATAGTATGGTGAACTCGAATAATTTTTCCATATTTTTTTAAGACAATAACATGTAACCTCAACTCGTTTTTTGTAAGTCAGAAATGACAAGGGAAAAAGTTGTTTTCCCGATAGTAGTTCCCCCCAAGACAAGTGATCCCTAGAACAACATTCAAGGAATTTTACTCGAATTTGTGTCTAATACATGGGTCAATTAAGTTGAAAAAGGTCACGTTTCACTGTTGTATTGGATATGAATTATGAATGAGGTTCAAGACAGGGTTTTTTTTTACCTGCTTTACGTTTGCTTCCTGCTCTAGCATGTGTGTGTTACTTTGAGGTAAGACAATATAATTCATGGCCTGTTGTTGACAATTTGGTCGATTACTAGTGTGGACACGCGTAATGTTTCTCCATTTGCGTATCATGAAGACGATAACCATCCCGAGAACAAATATTACCAACAAACCGCATTCCACGGAAATTATGAGTTCAAGGTTATTCATTGGCCATCTGAAATGAGTTTAGCTGTCATGTAGGTACAATTGCCACAGGTGATAACAATAATGTTTTTTTGAGAACAACTTGTTTAATGACAACAAGTTTATATTAGGTGTTGTGTGAAATGTAACTGATTGGCTTTAATCGTAGAAAATTTATGGCATATCGCAAAGCCTGAAAAAAATCCGGCAGCATGGCAGCGTGGGTCAGGAAATTTTTTGACCTCACAAGAAGCTTTTTGAGGGGAAAAACGTCACGAATGCATACGTATGCACAAAGGAATAAATGATTTCATTTATTTCATTTATCGAATGAAAAAACTGTAAATTGAAAAAAGTTTAAAATGGCAATTGACTAAACAAGAGCAAGAGATTCTTGCGGCTGACTTTGGTGCAATGCTTTTAGTAAACATGCAATTTTTTTGGAGGAAATTGTTTGTATACGAACGTCTGCTTCCAGAAAGAAAAATATTTTATAGAGACTTGGCATATCACTGTTGAAATCATATGATCTTCACCCATCTAATATCAGCATCATAGCAACGATTTAAACATTATCCGAACATCATGCAAGCAAAAATTATGACCAAACGTTAAATGCAAAAAATGCATTATGATCTACTTTTAGTTTTTGAATAAAATAATTGATGACAGTCCACAATACAGAGATCTATTAGAGATGATTGAACTGTCTGACCATAGCAATATTTTACCGATAAAGCAGCATGTATGTACGAATAGTCGTATTGACTGCCATTCCACACTAAAATTATTACATCATTTAATTGAAATGTAGCTGTTTATTTTTTTTCTATAAAAACAACTACAATATTGCTCTTATTATAGTTTATGTCAGTTATGTGTGCATTTAAAAGTAAGATCAAAGAGAAGTAGACAAAGCTAGCTCCTTATAATATCAAGTTACAAATCAGTCGACAATCTTAACAGTTTTTATAATTTGAATTTTTTTCGTGGCTCTAATATGTCAAACTGCTCAAAAGACTATATAGTTAAGCCAAGCTAAGCATGGCAGCTTACGTCTAACTTAGCTCACCTTAAAAGGACTGATATGTGCATGAAATGTACGTATATTGCTGCCTATGAGTAATATTTACAAATTAATTTCACTAAATTAGTAATTTTATTCTCACTCGACAGCATGTCTTGTTATTGCAATAATTTAATTATTTTGAGTGGAAAGTTGCTTGTAGCTCAATCATAGAGATTCACAAACCAAATACATTGTTCTATTTTGCATATCGAAGTAGCTATTAAAGATACCATGTGTAACATACTTATCAATTAAACTACATGATACTGTCGCAATTTTTCAATGAATGAACAAGCTTCACCAGTACTGCTCATCTGCTCTCCGCTGTATGCGGTACGAAAATCAAATCGATAATTCATAAATAGAAGATCAAAACCTAGAGTTTCTTCGACATAATAAAGCAAAATGTTTTTTGTACATGAGTTATTATTCAAGTAGTGTTTTGTCGGATACGATCCGATCAATATGTTATACATCATTCGTTATTAAAACCGTTAGAAGCTATTGAGTTTGGACGAAATATTACCTGCAAAATGATCTCCAGATCTTTTCATAGCTCTTAACTATTGATTCTATTCATCGACTGCAATTTTTGTGTGAATATAAGCATGCGATGTTTGCCCCCTACTGTAATATTACACTCGAATGAACGCTTGACAGGTTCACGGTTTCAATTTTCATGGATGACTGAGGGAAACATTGTGCATTTATTAAATATTTAAAAAAAAGGTCAATATTTTCATTGTGCCTCTATTTACAAATTAATAGGTGTCATGTTATCTTATTTGTAAGCCGGGTTAAATCATTTTATGCTGTTGATAGTTGCCTTTTGGATTTTATGTAGGGCTTACAAGACTTTTCAAAAATACTTCAAGTTGTTGGGTTAATTCCAAAATTAATCACTGATTCAGAGTTCTCTTGTTCAGTGGTTTGATTTCGATGTGAGTTGCTTGGTTTTTTCAATAATCACTTCGTTGAGAATCCCCAGTTAAGATTTTAAATACCAATTAGTTCATAGTTTCTTTCAGACTGTTGATTACTTTTGTTGTACCGTTTTATTGTTACAGTTTAACCGTCTGCTTTACGTGTTATTTACTGATGAACATGCGTCATTAGTAGTTACCATTGAAAAGCAAAAAAGTGATTGAATAAATTTCATGAAGCATATATTGTTTTATGTACAATCACAGTGCTTGCTCATTTATTAACTTTCAACAGAAAACGTCGTTATTCTTTTCTAATAAAACCCTGCTGTGCTAATCAGAACGATATATGAGTATGTACGCGATTATGCTTTTCTTAGTAACTAGGCTTGCAGCCGTTGATAATAAAACACCGTTAGTTTACAAACCTATTTTTTCCTATTCTTTATCTTTTAAAGAGATGAGGAATGCTCTAAATGCTCTGATGTTTACAGTTGATAAAGATTATTGAACCGACTTGGTTTTGATCTTCTGTATCTGACACCGATCCCAAGCAATCCAATATAACAGTTTCTATATTATGTCCATCGTTTATTTGATGCACACACATCCGAGAAAATGAAATATCTGCTTTCTTTCACATATTCAAATTATGAATATCTTAGAAACGGATTATTGATATAGATATAACTGTCTTTAACGTATTTATTTTTTCTGTTTTAACTTTCTAACAGGTTGTTTGCTCTATGGAAAGTTTACCTACCTAAAAAATATAAGCTTACACTTCCGTCGACTTTTCTTTTCTGAACATTGAAAATAAGCAATTTACTGAAACCACTTTTCCATCGTCGACTCAAGCAAATTTAAAGCCTGATTAATACTATTGCATTAATGAGCACAAGTGACACGGGTTCCATAATTTGATGAAAATTTATTCGAATACAAAACATGTAGTGTTAAAATCCAACTCGCATTCAAATATGTATTGTTTTGGAAATTTGTCTTGACAAGCCCACGCTTCTTTTGTGATAATTGCTAATCGAGCTGTACTGCAATTGGCTCCGACGATTATTACAATAAATTGATGTCACCTGAGGAAATTCACGGCAGCTGTAAACTACAGTTTTGACAGACTATACAAAATTGTCCAACGCGTAATTATGGTTAGAAGCGTTCGAGCTTTCTTACTAATTTCGTCGAATTTGCTGTGCAAGTAGCTAAGTAAAACACATTCATCAGGCGGTACATCCATATTGCCTTACACAGAAATGTTTTGGAACTCCGTTAGATTTCTTCGACTGACTTGCTAAGTACACAATGTAATATTTGTTGAAAAATATGTAATTTTAATTTAAGATTGTTCTTATAGAGACAGTACTTGTTCGATAGTCAAGCAGATGACATAGTGACTCACAATGCAAATAACACTTTGAACACTTGTTGCTAAAAAGACCTGCCAAAAACATACACGATAAATAATGCTTTTTAATGAGTTACGATGCAATTAAAGATCATATTTAAATTCAACACTAAGTGTGCATATCCAACATTTTATGGTTGTAATGATAATTAACGAGGTCATCTATACACTGGTGTACAAATAGTGTCCACTGTTCAACTACATAACACCTAACAAGGACCTTAATTAAGTGTCTACGCTTCTACGGGGTGCATTAAAAAAGCCTTTGAAATTACGTTTAAATTTATTTCATGATTCAGCAATAATTGATATCCCCATGGTGGGGATGACGCATTTGACAGGAGTTCTGTGCTTTGGATTTGCAATGAATAGCAACCGCAATTCGTAAATAGCTTCTGTGAAAGGTTTCTTATGTTTAAGAGATTTTTTGTTCATGTGTAAATGGTGTAATTTAACACAAAAAATACTTGTTGTTCAGTGGTTTGTTGGACCTTTTTAATCGAACTGATTGTTTATTACTAAGACACAAAACCCTTTAGAAGTGTACCTGTTTTATTAAACTCAATGCCTCATCATTTTACTAATCCTATGGATGTGCAAAATGTTGTCAGCGATGTGTTAATTATCATAGGCTTATTTATAATCTCTGTGTTATTTATTACATATCTTTGTCACAAGCACCAAAGCTTTTCGCTCTGTCAACATAACCTTTAATGAGCAAAATATGCACAAAAGCGCTCTCGTTAGATCAGGTATTAAAATTTCAGAAATTGGTCGATTTCTAAAGATCTTTTTTAATATACACCATGTAAATATTTGGAGTGGGAATTTTCTGTAGTCAGTGCACTTTCTAAGTCCATAGAAAGCTATAATAATGACCATATAGTATAAATATTCCATTGTTAATTATTCAATTCATTGACATTAATATATAGAACATCATCATTTACTTCAATGGTACATGCAAATCTCAATTCAACCATTATTAAAAACTCAAACATCATTCAACCAAGCCAGTAAGAGTCGATTTTTGTAATGTACGCTGGACTCTGAAGGAAGATGGTCTCTGGGCAGATTTTGAGATGATATACATATCATGGTAGGTTAATTACTGCTCAGCAAACATGCATCACCTTAAATTATGTTGGACATTTTGTCACAAGGAAGAAAATGCAAACGGGCCACAAAAATTGACTTTGTACTTATTGACTTATGCACGTTCAAATTTTCTTTGCACTGTGGCATTAACATGTGCTCTGAGATTGTCTAAGTTTTATGTTTCCCCGCATTGACTTGCCTATTGTTCTAACTTTTTATTACAATTATTCATATACTGAACAAGTTCTGCTTTAATATTTCATAGCCGTTGCGGTCTGCGCTTTAAAACAAATATTATAAGCTGAAAGTGTTTCCTTTGGACCCTAAGGTAATTTTGTCATTTAAATTACTCTTGATATGTGTATTTTTTGCAGGTGTACAATTAAACATCATGTATAGAACGGAAATATTTGTTTCTTGACCTCATGCATAGTTGTAAAAATCCTAAATCAACTACTATAAACCACTATACAATCTACATAAATGTATAGTGGTACGCATTAAAGTCGGGGGGCTCTATGAATCGTCTTTGATGGTCTGGGAGGTTAAACTTAAACGAATTCTTACGATCATTTAGAATATTTAACGAGGTCTCAAGTTTTGACTTTTAAAATTTTTTTGGGCTTTCCCACAGCCATGCATTGGTGTTAACATGTGAGATAGTAATAGTCGATTATTTATTTACATTGAAACCTATAGCAAGTAGGGCTGTTTTAGTGGCTGCCAACGCACACAGGGCTGCTGTTAAATTAGAGTCGGTATGGGAGTCCAGCACGAACGTACATGGTTGAGCTTTCAATTTCTAGTTTGAATAAACAGTAGTAATGTGCACGAGTTTAGCTTGCTCTGCTGCATGTCTATTGTAAGATTAGGGCTAGCTAAGTCAGAACGTTGTTCTGCAGTGTCAATGATTTTAAAACAAGAGGGTGAATGGTTTTTTTCTGCATGAAGGTGATTTTATGAGTTGTCGAATATAGATATATGTGAGTTTCATAGTTTATACAAAACTTCAAAACTCGTATCTTGTGTTTTGCATACTATATATTATGATTCAAGACTGTGTGGTAAACGTAACGTTAATTATCTTTTGAAATACGTTGAAGCGTATTTACTTACATTATTTAATTCAACATCTCAGTATTGTCGGTATAGCATGTTTGAAATTTTGGATCAGCAGCTAGGCAATGACTTAAACCAGACTATCTCTTTAACTGTTTTGGGAGTCTTTATTTTCTCGCCATAAGAATGGAAATACAATCAACAAATAACAACTTTAAAACTTGAAGCTATATAAGCAGCTGTCGTCCGAAAGTTCATTTAAAAAAACGAACGTCATTTAGAAAAATCTATAACATCTCGCAAATTTTCAATAGTTTGTACTGAAAGTTCATACATGAAATGTCTGAGTTTCTATGTCTATCAGTAACAATTTTTGAAATTAAACGTATTATTTACAGTGGACTACACTATTTTTAAAAATTCAGAATCATCCATCAATTTCACAATCGTCTTTCACAATTCATTCACAGTCAATCATCATAAAAAACCATAACATGCATTCGCTTTGCTAATATCCTGCATAAACTGATACGTTGTTTTTAATTATGAACTACAGTAAACAGGGTTTTTTTCGTTGTGACCGTTGTGATGCGTGATTATGAACTACAGTAAACAGGTTTTTTTCCTTTGTGACCGTTGTGATGCGTGATATGAATGTTTATTTAGCAATTGTATAAACTCCACATCACTCTTCATTGTAACGGACAAAACGTTTGTCCAAGGAATAATCACGAAAAAATATTCAAATGTTTGATGGCAGTTTGCACATAGGCATTTCCATCGTTTTGATAAGGAATATATGTATGGTAAAGGTCTTGATGTTTTTAAAACATGCTGTAGGGAGAAATTTGTGCAAAACAGATTTTGAGTAGCCAAAACTATCTGAAGTTATTGATCAATTAGTTCATCATCTGAACGTCAGATAAAAAAAGTAATTTTCTTAATTACAGGGGACGATGTTCAATGTCTCTTAGTAAATTTACTGCAGCTAAGTGGCATCTACATTAACTTGTCATTAAGAATAAGTACAGCTGGCTTACTTACAAGAGCTTAGTAAAGAGGCTCTCCTTTTCCTTAATCATTTTCAAATTATTTGTTTAAGCGTTGTAATATTGTATAAGGAAGAAAACATGACTGAATGCGATAAGACATCATGTTGCAGAGGAAGATATCACAGGTCTGTGACATGTTCAAATATTTTTTCTTGTTTCGTTGAAGAAGGACAGCGTCACTTCATTAATATTTCCAATTTTTTCCTGAGTGAATGCATATTGGGTTTTATTTGTCTGACGAACTTTCATCTGTGAGCACAGTCATTGTCACTGTCACTACAACTCAACTCAACTCTTAATTTTCTTCTGTTGTTGTTGTAAGATTTGCATTTCTGTAAATTGTACCACTGGGCTACTGTCTTATTTCCAGAAATGATGTTATTCCACTGTATTGTTGTATCGCTGGAACATGAATCACGTGTCATAACAACTTTCCCCAATGCAACGTCAGCTTTGTCAGTCCTTCGCTGTTTTAATGTAATTTGAAGTTTTATATCACATAAGTTAAACCCGGTAAGATCAAATAAAACGACTTCGTTGTAAACTGGATTTTTCGTCGCAAGCATAGATCACCTTTCGCTTTCTTTGGTTTTTTCTTAAATGTAAAATTGTCACCTCTGCATAAATTCCTATGAAAATAAGGTTTACAGAAATTTAAAAAATACTGCTAGGATCAACAAGCATGTTCATAGCGTATTGCAGGTTAAACAATAAGAATCGTGTATTAAGCCCTTAATAACCGAGCTCGAGATCTTTACGGAGAAATATTGTACAGAAGTTTTTTTGTACAGACTGAGCCCGTAGAGCGAGGTTTGTACAAAAAGACAGAGGTCCGATATTTTTCCGTAAAGACCGAGAAAGCGAGGTTATTAAAAGGTTTATTATATGGCATTATTTGACCTGAAATTGCTTTCTTTCCCGTCTTTGCTGTTTTTTACGGGTTGGTTTTCACTTTTCTAGTTTTTGTCAGTAAAAAAAGAAATCGTTTCAAATTTTATCGTCTGGATAGTTAATTTGTTTTATGAGTGTTTTTCCTTCGACTCCCATTCGTAAATGGTTATTTTTTCGTTTTTTTCTTGCGTTATGCTGTTTGCTTTACAAAGTTTCTTTACATTTCACTGTAAAATTACGCGTTTTTGACCGTGATCGATTACGAGAAAATAATGGACCGGCAAAAATGTTTCTGAGCCAATCAAAGCGCGCTATTTTTCCGGAAGTGACGCCTACCAATGTTCGTAATTTTTGCATGTATGCCAAGTTATACGTACCTTGATTATCATCTGACATTAGAATGAGATTTTGAGCTTTGAATACCACCACCGTTACCTGTTTTTTAGTAGAACAATATGCAACTGAAAATAATACAGCACCTTGATTGCGATACATACTGTTATCTTGCAAATCCTACGAAAAATAAAAATTCATAACCTTCCACATTAAATAAAATACCACTTTTTGGAAACTGTTCATTTATTAGCGAAATTCTTTTCAAATATAGCATCTGCATGAAAGTCTGATGGTGTTATCTGCACAATTTTGTTTCTATCTTGGCCCAACGTCCGTCAATATAATACTTATTGGGTTTATAGCAAGTTAGGTCATGTTGTGTACAATGACTCAATAAATCTGTTCAAAATTCTCCTCTAAATTTAATACAAAAGCCGTATGAAATACGGAAGGAGAGTGAGCTAACATATAAAAGACAAAAATTTGAGAACCCTCTACAAACTTTAATTGAATCTTAAATCAGTGCAATGCAACCACACTTGCAAATTGCATTAGAAAGGATCTGAATCAAAATTTTCCAGTAAAATTCAAGAACCTGTCTCAGATCACTCTTAGCAAAGGTTTTCATCTTTCAGGGCTATCGCAGATGACCATCGTCTCTCTTTACTTTAATAATGCATGTTCCCACACACAATCCAGATAAAAAATACTACTTAGGTTAAAAATGACGTTATAATAAACTTACTCTTGTTATTCTTTGAATATCTTTACAATAAACTGTTTCTTCGCCATTATTACCATCGTTTTTAATGTTTCCAATACCATGTTCTACCATGCCCAAACATTCACCTTGTGAAAAGTTGTCAACATACCAAACAATAAATCTCAAAACCGTTTTCTCCATCTTGTCAGTTGCCACACTCATTTCAAAATATTCGTCAAAACGTGGACTGTATGTTCCCTGTGCAACTTTGGACCTTATTTCTTGATTTTCTGTATTGTTGCTGTCGTGTTGTCTGAGATTTATTGTGACGTAAACCTTGAGGTTTTCACTTCTCGCTTCAGGTAGCTCATCTGCACTAAGAAGTTTTATTGTCAATTTTGAACTAAAACAAAGTAGAATGTATGCTTTGAAATCATTGGGTTGTTTTATAGAATTATAGTCTCGCACGAACTGTTCCCGCATTACACGGTATTCGTTTATTAATCTTTTGGGAAAGTGTAAAATCGTCAATTTCTCTAATTGTCAAATTGAAATATTCTTTTTATAAGAACGCCACATTTTCCATGGTAGCGCTTTTACAGGTAACAGAAACATGTTAGAGGCTAACTTGAGGTTTTGGCACATTTCACTAAGTAAACAAAATTTCGGTTTTCACTATTTCTGAGACGCATTTTCACGCTGTAAATATGGCTATCTGTAAAACAAGGAATGGGGAATGGAGGAATGGGAAAACCAGGAATGAGAAATTTTACAGATTCCGGCTTTTCTCATTCCGGATTTAACAGATTCCGGGTTTTCCCATTCCTCCATTCCATTCCCGATCCCCATTTCTTGTTTTACAGATAGCCCTGTAAATATAAATGATTATGTAGGCGAGAAGTTAAATTTTGCTTCAAAAGAATAACAATTTAGGTTTGCTCGCCTTTTCTCAACGTCTTTGCGTTTTGGACCGGACAATTAAGTCAGATTTTTGAAAACGTCATTTATTTCTATCATGCACTACTTTCTTCAATTCTCGAGTAGTTTTTGCTCGATATAAAGGGGCAAACTCACGAATCAGTATAATTTTACTGCTTTCCATTTAAAATTTATGTCATTATGGACAATTACAATGCTATCATTAATCAGGACATGTCATTAAAGTAAATTATCCATTTTGTCCTATAAAAGCCTTTAGTATCCATGCAGAATGATTTGTTCTTCAATACTCTTATAACGAAAAACAATTATACTAACCTTTTCAAAGAAGGATCTGATTTGAGAGTAAAAGAAAAATAAAGCTTTCCAAGATTCTCTTTACTTCCAAGGAATCTTTGTGTTGGGTAAATGTACTATGAAATCGCAAAAAAATCTGTCAATATACAAAGTTATTAATGTAAGACTGTCCGTCGCATCGTGCATTTGCAATCTTCTAATTAAATAATGTATTCCTATACAGTATACTCATTTTATTTATTGAACGAAACTAACAGTAAATGATTTCGCTTGATTTCTGATAACAAATGATGAAAATTGATGATGTACACATTTTCGCATTTATCTCGTGAAATAATCCAAAGTTTAAATAACGATAAGCCAAACTATGTTTAATCTCAATTATACAATCCGTTTTCTTTACCTTTAAACTTGGAATGAAATTGTTTAATCCTGAGCAATATTTTCAAAACTTAACGTGAAATAACTTTCAAATAGCTCTTATTGCTTTTTCGTAAAAGATCCTTTGTGTAGACCGTAACTAAGATTAAATTTAACAATCCTACCTCAGTTTCATCCATATCACTGTCCTCAGTGTAAGGTACATCACTCTCATCTTCTCTCATTATTTTTCCATAAGGTTGAATAGTAACAATAGTGATTGTACCTTGTGGTTGTTTAATTTTTTCATTTCTTACATCTGTGTTTAGTCTTTGATATTTTTTATTCAGAATACGACTGCCAAATCCTGTTCTTTCATCTCTCCAGTCCAAAATGGCGTTGATAAATCGCAGGCAAAGAAGAGAAGTCATGGTAAAGAAAACAACAAGCAGGAAACACCATCCAATGGCTAAGATCGTCTAAAGGTATATTTCGTAAATTTTTCTTCTTGTATTTCAAACAGTATCTAGTGCTCAATATTGTTTATCATCGTTAACAGGTATAGTCTTTAAGCAGTTATAAATTTCAGGATATGATATTTATAAATTAGCATGTATATTGCGTTACCAGGAAACTGAAAGCAAAGACTATGCCCATTCAATAATTCTAGCGCATTTATATCATATTATTTTACCAAGTTCTGAAACTATACCGACATTATCAATATGTGTGAAATCTAGCACTTCGAAACAATTAAGAAATTGACATTTGTTTAAACTGTAAAATTAATACGGATTGCCGTCAGCCACGCTAAAATCATCAATTTTGTCCGCAATAGAAGCCATATCCATATTTTCATCGGCTTCAACTGTAACTTTATATCCATAAATTTTTATAAAGGTGTTTTGTTTTAGATAACTTTATACATATATATATATAAATATATGGCTTTATAGAGCCGATTTAATGTTGTTAGTAAACAATGTTTAAGTTGCTTGGCGATGTTTAAGGTCGCGTTGCTTTGAAAATGATTTTGCCAATGTTTTCCAAATAAACTTTGTTTTTGCCTAAGATTTATTGATTGGAAGAATGGAAGAGTGATAACAAATTGTGCAAGTGAAGACTTCTGCCAAAAAAATTTTGTTCATATTTCATGAAGTATGTCCGTCGGCACCATTGGTTCATTGGGATGTAGGAGACCATTTGGCAAAAAGTTTTTACAGTTTGTAGTTGACGAATTCTGTCAGTTGTCAAACGATAACTTGTTTTAGCGTAGATAAAATTGCTGCCTTAAATCTAAATGCAGAGAACGCTAAATTTTCAATTTCTGTCGTATTCTCGATCATTTGTCTTCAAATTAAATGATGTCAAACGACAAGATAAGACTAATCAAGAGGCCAACCAGTACAAAGGGGATTTTCCTAGTTTCACATTGAAATGTTTCCTTTCCCAATGGTTACTTTCAGAAAGACAACAGAAGCTTTGTAAAAAGTAAAACAACATGTAATCATTTTGTTTTATAACTAAGTACCTATATGAGTTATAAATTTGACCGTCAACTTTTATGGAATATAAATGAATACTATCCTGTTAATCTTGAGGAATTGTCACTAGAGAAACACGAACCAACAATAGAGCCAAATATAATCTGCCATGAAGCGATAACACCGTCATCAGAGAAATAAAATAAGTTTAGATTCCAATAAAAGTCTTACGTATTTTATTGATTAAAAAGTTGTCACGCTTGGCGAATTCGCATCGTCTGTCGTGGTTATATTTCAACTCACGCAATGGTGTGTTCATTGATATTGTAACCAACACTTTTAAACTAATGCAGATATTATGTTTCTAACTGGTGTTATAAACAAAATGTTCTAAAAAACATTGCTCCAAATTACTTAAGTTATGTGAAATGTAGCGGATTTTGGTCTAACAAACTTTTTGTTGTATGTCAACAAATTACTAAATTTATTATAATTTAGAACTTTTATGTGATAATTATAACCATGTATAAAAAGATTGATAAGCATTTTTTTCATTGAGTTGCCATTAGGATGAATTTTTATAATTGATTATTTATACAATACTGCTCAAACCTGCATTCTGCATTCACTCGCTCTTTGCTTCCTGTTTATTTAAAACTCGTATAATTCCACTTTTGTCTTGTGTATTTCATGGTTATTCCCCGATTATTGAACAATAAGCAATGAACGATTCATTTAACGAATAAACTTTGCCGACTCCCTTGTTATGCATGTGGTGGGCTTCATGCTGTAACGGTTCATTGATCACATACTGATTGTAGTCTTTGTTATTGTTAATTAATCATGCAAATCACCAATGTTGTGTTTGAAATAGTCTCAGCTAAAACATCTGATGGTTATTTAAGACGCACCAAAACCAGACGTTAATTAGTAAATGGATATAATACATAACTTGCTTTTCGATTAACTATATGACGACACTTTTCATGTATTTTTGAACACAGTAACGCTGTTGACCTATGGACCAAGCTCTTCAAATGCTTTATAAATTTAATCTGTGATAACACTTCGCTCTCATTCTAAGAACTTCGAGAACAATCCCCATAATTATTCACAACAAAGCCTGCTTCGCTTTTTTTAATTTTATTGAGGACAAAGTTGTCGTTTGTCATGGTAAATATGTAACTTCTGATTATTTTGTTTTTGATTTAGACTATTATGTACAAAGAATAAGTTTGGCGCATAAGGATCTCTTTGTTTACATTGTCACAACAAGTAAATTCTCTAGAGATCGCGTTAGGCCTCCCATCAAATGATCTGAAAAATAGTTTGAAAGAGTCAGATCAAAGATATTTCGAAAAAATTGCGCCTTAAAACCTCTAGAATACGTCATGGCACATACGGGACACTAGCGCCTCTCGGAAAAGCAATAGTTCTTATCAAAAACGTCTGACGTTCTGGGTTGCAAACCTGTTATTTATCAAAAGCACGCTTGCCAGGAACAGGGGTGTGTTGCTATAATTTTGCACGGGGAGCTCTCTGTCATAAACGAGCAGAACGAGCAGAAAACATATTGTTTGTTACTGTTTCCAGTTGAAATAAACAACCACGAACTACTTTTTGTTACAATACTCTGGTATGTAAAGGAATGATCAAGCGTATAAAATCACAAATCATTAACCTATTGGAGGTGAAACATTTAAATAAATGCTTCACAATTTCAATATATGAAATGTTGAAGAATTACAAAAAGGAGCTGAGTCTCTTCAACTCGAGAGAGGGGGTCGGAATTTCCTTCTTGAGCTTCCCCTCCAATACACACCTGACGCTTGCTGAGCATTTACGCAAAATGAAAACTATAACTTTGAATTTTGGATATTTGTAGCAAACCACATACTTAGATTCCGATGGAATGAAGTTGGATAATCTTATTGACACATTTGATAAATAATTTGATGACAAAGTAAACCGAGAACACAATGTATGAATTTTGACAACATTATGACGTCATGGATCTTGTCAAAAAATCTTATCTCACTTGATGAGGGGAATAAATTAACATATAAATACATCGCCAGCTGCATGATGGTGAGCAATTGAAAAATATGAAACTTTGATGCTTATGCTTATATTAAAGTAACGATAAAGGTTCACAAAATTACTTTGACTATTCCAAGGCATTAGGTCGATCAGTAAATAAACCTTAAAACTAAAATTTCAACACAATTTTTATCAAATAGTTGTGTCTCGATAAGAAATCGTCTATACCTGTTTCACTAGCTTACATTTGAGTTGATTCGTTTAGGGAAAGAAAGATTTTTGAAGCTAAAATAAACCTAACTATTGCGCACAGAATCATCGTCAAAATCGAAAAATAAAAATGTATATGTTTATAAAAATGTATATTTTTACCGACCTTCTCATCTTTAATCCTTTTCATGTTGGATATTTTTCGCAATCTGTTGCGCTTTCAACGTTACTTACAGGCGACCAAAGTGCATTTGGGCTGTTTGCAAAACACATGCACGTAGCAATGTGTTTACGAATTAAATGAACTAGCTACGGTTCGTGAGTGAACTATGAAGACAACTGCTTGCAATTAAAACATGATTGTCTTCTTTACCCGTCAACAAGGGAACGAGTAGTGAAGAAAATTCAAATAGAAGAATAATTAAATTTGCGTGGGACGCTTGCTACGTATATGTTTAAAGGCGCAAAAATTCTCTTTATTAAATTAAATATTCAGAAAAACAAGGTTTTGTTTTACCATAAATAATTCACGGCCAAGATATTGATGGCCAAAGTATAAATTTGTTCCTTTCATTGCAAGGATTGTGATTAAAACAAAAAAATAATTCCCGACTTAGGATTTTCATTTGTACAAGATCATTACCGGATGAGTGTTTTGAAATATGATAATCAAAGTTGTGCAGACTCGTCAATCTTAAAAATCCTACTTCGAACATTAATCATTTTCATTAAAAGAAAGTTTTTATGTTGTGATATTTTATGTGTGCTTAGAAAATCAACTGATTCAGTAAAAAATACAAGGATAAGCAATAATCTGTAATAGAATAAAATAATACTAAAGGATTTTACCAAGGATTTTACACCAGATTTCGTATATATTTAGACTGTTTCGAGTAACGTTTTCCTATTTTTAGTCGCTTTTTATGAAGATATAACCACAAAATTTCATTTAGTGGTTTCACCTATCAACATCAAAACGTAATTTTCATTTTTGATTTGCACAAGACAAAAACGTTTATAGTGAAGCTGGTACGAAAAGCAGATAGGTAGTTTTTTTCATACTGTCTATTTTTGCTTAAGATTAAATTATTTTTATTAGTAATTTTAAGATTAGTTCGCATATTTATTGTCATATGGCACTGGAAGTCAATGAGCAAGTGACATCTCAAGATGTAAAGAATCGAGGAACATGGTAATGATTTTCGTGTGTCTATGTTAAAGCGTAGTTTTCACATGTGACTCGAGCATAAGCATAAACATAAGAGCTCTCATCTGCAAGTTTCAATAAACTGCAATAAGCACAAGCATAACCACTTTAATATGCCCAGGATACCAGGCTTTAGAGCAAGCACATTTTTGGTAAGCTCTTTAATTTATTAGGCGAACTGTCCGAGACCACCTCTTGATTTGGTGCTTTCTCAATTCCGAGTCTGATTTTGAGCTCAATTCCTTTCTCGTTTTAATAGTATATCTCACTGATGAGAAGAATCAATTGCTCTTACCTTTAATTAAATAAATAAAACAATTTACAGAACAATTGCTGAACAAATATCACATTTGCACTGGTGTAGCCAGCCTGAGAAACAAGCGCTAATATATAAATTTTTCTTTTGCGATTCACTCACTTTAAAAAACAAAAGAAATTAATTTCTAAAAAACTTAATAATTGTAATTCTTTGAAATTTACATAGCAAAATCAAGACTTAAGAGCTAGCTACGCGACTGAATAAAAGTAGAATAAATCATGGAATGACCATAATCACGATATGTCATTCTTCATTATTTTAGATAATTGACCGTGTGCTACATTGATGTAACATTAATGTTATAAATAATTGACCGTATGCCACCTAGCCGTGGCCTTATTTGTTCTTATAGCGTTTTTCCAATGCTGTAAAGATGAACCAGTCGTGTGTGAACCCAACTCAAACCAATGTAAAAGTACAGTTCGATTGTCGAACACTTGCTCCTGGCAATAGCTGAAAATTTTAAAAAGTATTTTTACTTTTTCTAAATTTGCTCGAGTAAGGCTAAATTCTACTTTTTGATTGAACATTGGATTTAGCTCTTGACGAATAACGAACGTCTTTTTCTTCAAGATTAACTTGTCTTTAAGACGTACATCGACTCTAACATAAGGATCTAGAAAGAAAACAGTTGTTTTTGTGGTAGTTTATACAAACAAAATTTCTTCAATACATCTTAGTTTCGCAGAATTGATCAGTTTACTAAATTCAAGGTAAATTATGTTACAAAATTATGACGTTTTTCAATAGCTCTGCATTGTTTTCATCGACACAGTAGCTAGTACTATACCTGGCAATGTATCATGAAGAAGCGGTTGCATATTCGCAACTTTTATGATTGCTAATAACATTTTCTCTGTATTCTTTATATAATGTAAGGACAGCAACATCACTGGCTTATTTCCAGGTACATTTTCTAAGTAATTCTTCAATCTGGGGCTAATGTTTGTTGTATGTCGATGTTTATGATTCTTAAAAAAAATTAAAGAGAGAAATTGCTGGTCATTCAGTGAATGTTGCAGGCTCAATATTTTTAGACTTTTAAACACTTAAGCTGGCTATGTACCACATAGCTCAGTGTATATAGTTATTATGGCGGCGACAAAAAATATTCTTTACTGATTCCCTTTCAACTTTTATTTATTATTTTTATTATATTAGATATTTAAGCGTTTCCCAGCAAGACACGTTAATAAATTTTAACCAACAAAAATGTTGATCAATTAACCATAAACACATGTACATGCACACTATAATGCTAAATTATTGGTTCGCAGATTTTTCCTTACTTAAAATGGCCAGTCTTTTTAACCCAAGAGCTCGGAATTGGTGACAGTTTCTGTTTTATTCCCCATTGATAAATATCGTACAATTTGAACAACTGCAATTTATTCTAACTCATTATATAGGCAATTGCTATTTAAGCAAGTTTTTTTTGTAAAGCTCATAATATTTCTAAGAGGTAGCTATTTCCTTTTTCAAAAAGAGTTGGAAATATTCGATTTCTATTTTTTGGACAATTTTCTCTTTTAGTTTACGTCATACTGGAGCTAAAACAAATTTTTGCAACTTGAAGCAATATACAAAAACATATGCAAATTAAAATGTTCGGGACAAACCACTCGGAGCGAGCTTGTTTATACACGTAAATTTTTTCATTTAGTCACTTTAGTGATCGCCCACAAAACAATTTTTTTCAGAATTTGACTTCATTTTAATAAAATCCACATTTTTCTCCACCTTCTAAAAATCTCATCAATATTTCATATCTTTTATTTTGTGTTATTGAAAACTTTAGTTTATGCTTATACCTGCGTATCCTTATAATTGTCGTTTATAATAGACATTTCATCGGCACTGTCCACCTGTCTGAATAAGGTTTTTTCAAATTGTCTTTTCTTTATCATCATTGACGAGTCGTTGAAACTAAAGATGAAGAAGTTTCATCACAATAGTCTTTTGAATTGTATGGAAAAAATAACTGATGACACACGTTTAACGCAAGAGAAAAGATTTGGCAAAGATAAATGAGACAACATAGTGACATGTTATGACGAGTATGTTACTATACTTATAGAAAATACCCTTGCTAAAGATATAAGAGTAGACTTTTTGTATCATATGACTGAGTACCTCGTAGTTATGCAAGTATTTTAATTATAGTTATAAGAGTACCTTACCTTGGTTCTTCAAATTCATTTTCATTAATAGATTCTCTTATTTCGGGTTGTACACTTTCATAAGAATATTGAACACAGGCATGTTTTATTGATATTTGTTGCCGGCGTAATAAATCTGTATTCGATTTCATCCTGTTCTTCATCTTTCATGCAATTTATGTTTAGTTGACGTTGAAATATTACAAAAAGCAGCCCAATAAACATGCAAATAACAATGAAAACTATGAACCATAACGATGTGTGAGCCATTTCATTCAACTGCTAAGAACACTGTGGCTAAAAGACAAAAAAAATGTGAAAATAAGACTAAACATTTTCAAGTATGTACCTACTGAAAAATTGATAATTTATAATTGATGCACTTGTACTGCACAAATATATAAATTTTATACAAACAGTTTTTATGTTCTCATTATGAAACTTTGTTGTGTTTGAGCTTGGTATTTTGTGTGTTCGTCTTAATGTACCGCAGAAAGTAGAAAGCTGAATAACTATTCATTCCAGTCTTTCTAGAGAAAAATTTGAACTTAACAAAAATATTCCTCGTTTATAGATATCTAACACAATAAATCAATATATGATTGAGAAACAGCGTTCAAAAAACCCAAAACAAAAAAAAGTCCTGAGATTGATGTCCACCTTGGGGCTATATTCACGCACAGTTTCAAAACTCACGGCAAAACGAAATCTTTGTTCATTCTGTATTTGTTTGAAAAATTTATCGTCTTTACTGTAAACAGAAATATTTGCAATCTTATTTATTATTGATTGATTCATTTCAGTGCATAATAGCCAACACAATAAACATCGATTATTCCAAGTAAATGCCGCCCAATACCCATTGCTGTTATAATTTCAACGGTCTTTATCAATCAGCTATATATCCATATACACGAGCATAAAAAATGTTTGATGTAAACTCTGTGATGCGATTAAAAGCACATGAGCTGGATTGTATAAATATTAAAACATAGACATTGATATGTTTATAAGGCCTCCTAGTGTATCAACCACAATAGATTTACATTTATGGAAACTTTACAACACTGGCAATTTACGCATTGTTAAGTTTTCAAAAAGCATTATCAAATCCGGTATGTTGAACATGATATGACGAGTGTATAGCGCAGTAGCAAACTATTGTTCTATCGATGTATATACTCCGAGTGGTAAATTAATGAAATCATAATTCAGACCAACAAACTTACAGTTCACTTTGAATTAGCACCAATTTCAAAGCATAACTCCATTGTACTTTTAACGGACATGATGATTATTCATCGATAATTGCAATTTTATTCACTTAAATAAACTTCTCTTCAAATAACTAGTAACTCTCTCGTTAAACAAAATTATAGTTTAGCCAGATTGTCGCCAAGTCATTAGAAGTTCTCCTCGGGTACTGCTTATAGTGTCATGTAAGTATTACAAATAACATATGCTTTCATGACCATAAGAGGACAATACAACAAGTCATCCATGATTACCCACTTCTTGGTTGACTGGCTCTCCAACAAAGATTGAAATTAACATTAAAGTTCGTCGTCGTTCGTCAACCGATTGTTTGATATTGATGACTTGTCTTGCTTCATTTAGCTGGCAGGCAGATTGATCCCAAGAGAGGTTAACTATTGTTGCTCATATTGTCTAAATGCACTCAAACAAATCTGCCTGCCAGCAAAACGTAAACAAGGCAAGTCATCTGTAATTTACGACCTGAAAAATATCAAATTTCCGAAATATGTTTGAACAGTTTCAATAAAAATGCCTATAATTACTAAATTTGAGGGGAAAATATGCGTGATTTTTACGTTGAGCACATCCACCATTTACCAGCCATCACCTTCATTACTTGCCTTGTTTACGTTTTGCTTGTAGGAATAACCCCAAGATAGGTAAACCATTGTTGCTAGTGTTGTCTAAAGACAGTCGACCAAATATGCCTGCCAGCAAAACGTAAACAAGGAAAGTCATCTGTACATTGTTAGATATTCTGCTGTTCTGGACTTTTCTTTTCTCTTGTATACACACGTTTTTTGAAACTCAGTTTGAATTTATTTTTATTTTAAACGAGTTTAAGACTAATTTAGCTACTAGCCATTAAATTCGTCATGTTTTACTTTTTTCGCTATAAATTTCAACCTGTTTTATAGATTTATTAATGTAAATGGAAAAATCATGTCTCGATATAAACGACGCACTATTTCACTAAGTTCAAAGAAGACAGTTGTAAATATATAAATATAAAGCTATACTGGCCTTTTGAAAACTACGAACATGAGCTAGCAAAACTGTAGTTATAAATTATAATTAAAATTAGGATGTGAGAGCATGCCAGTTTGTTACAGGCTTGCTGGCGTTAATGGCAGCTTTCCAGTGCTCTAAAAATGAACCACTAGCGTTATCGCCTAGCATTACGTCATAAAGAATAGCTGGACGATTACGCAATCTGCTACCGCGTGTTGGCAATTGGTTCTTGATAGAAAGCCTTAACTTCACTTTATCGAGATCTTTTCGTAGAACGTGAAATTCCAACTTTTGATTGTAAAGTGGGTTCAGTTCTTGCTTCATCACTGCCGTTTTCTTCTTCATTATTGTTTTATTTCCAAGCTGAATAGAAACTTTTACGTATGGATCTGAAAAATACAGGCAACAAAGCTATCATATCAGTATGGTTTACAAATTACTTTGTACATGAGCGTCCTTACTTTTGCTGAATGTTATTGTTAAAACAACAAATTTGTTGTGAAAACATCCGTGAAAGTCAACGAAAGAATTCATTAAGTTTGAAAATAGTATAAGACTTGCTGTACAATTTTTCAAAACCAGATCTATGTATATCTGTGCGTGTTTGTCATGATATAGCTTAATATTGCCAAAGCTCAAAAGTTTTTAATTTTAGTTCTTTTTTAATATGAAGAAGCAATGGAACCTTTAACTCAAGAAGTTTTTATTTTTATTTGTGTGCACAAGTAAACATGAATGCATTTATTTAAGTCGTTAATGCAATTTTTTTGCCACCTAAAATGTAAGTAAATACGGCGTTAATTTTAATACAAAATAAAACATAATCCAAAAAAGGGCATTTTGTAAACTTAAATTATAGTTATAGCTAAAACAAAACCATTAGATCTGTAATATTTCGGTTTTATTGCAAAACCATCATTCTGTCTGATGATGGTTTACCGATGTCCTTTTTCGAAGTATGTTTTATTTTGTATTTGATGAAATTGCCTTCACGTTAGTTTTAATGTTTTTGCATTTTGGGTGATTTGTACTGACCAGGCTTTTTATTTTTGCGTAGTAATTGAAGATTGGCCAGTTTAATGATTCCCAAAACGAGATTTTCCTTTGTTGTTTCGTAATACAACGACAAGAGAATCATTGGTTTCATTCCAGGTACATATTCCCAATCTTTAACCAAGCGAACAGTTGATCTTGTTCTTCTGAGTTCATTCTATATCGATTCAATTCAGCAATAGCCATTTATTGTGTGCTTATGTATGCCTTTTTGATTAACATCATTCCATACCTCACTTTCAGTAGAACCGTCATCTGTTGAAACCATTTCATCACCACTGTCCATTAAACTTGTCATACTTAGAGATAAGCTCTTTTGCAGACTTGTTTTACCAATGGTTAATACTTTTTGAACTTCCTTTCCAGACATCAGATCATTTTGATTCAATTCTTCAATTGCACATAATGTAGAACCGATATACCTAAAAAAAATATTGTGGTATATTGATCTATGGTGAAAATAAATAAATGAACGTTAAAAACATACATAACTGAGCTTAATATAGTATGTTATATATTTCCTCTGAAATACTGAAATAAAGCTTTTACAAGACATCTCAAATGATGATGAAATTAAATTAGTGTAAACGTTTCCTGTATCATATTTAGACTTCTTGAATTTATTTTGCAACGCTATCTGATAGCATAGTTTTGTTTCCTTGCTCAGCTGCTAAGCATCCCCTAAGCAAACCCATTTAGTTTAAAATTTATTGATCACTTTATTGATCTGGGGCCTGTTGCACGAAGCCTGGATAGCGTTATCCATTGGATAGAAAAAATCTTCAAACTTGTAAAAAAGGTGTTTGTATTTATCTTACGACAAAGAAATTTCGTAATCTTCGAAACATTATATCATTTCAGTGATTGTTCAGTTCGAGTCTTATACTTTTTGATTTTTAAAAAGTTTTATAAAAGTTTAAAAAAAACTTGCTATCCAATGGATAACGCTATCCAGGCCTCCCCCAACCGGCCCCTGTTCTTTATGACAACATCACCTGTTTGAAAGCTCTCTTGCATCCATGACTAAAATATCTATCTTTTGTTCAGATAGCTCACTGGGTTCAACTTCAAACTCAAAGGTTTCTTGCAATTTTTGACTGCTTGTATTTAAATATACATCAGTCTTGATTGGATTGCTTCCGAAATTAGGAAGAAGACGAACTTCCAAGAATAAATTTATTTTTGTATTATCCTTGCGTGTGGGAAGATCCAACATATTCAACAATCTCACCAGGAGGTACTTCCTGTAAAATGGTCAATGCTTGTTATGTTATATAATTAGGAACAAATAACTATCAACGATGCCTTTTCAAAAAAAATAATGTGACAAACCTATGGCGATCATAGCGAAGAAGGATGCTCAAAGATGCTGTTAGATCAGGTTCAGTCTGAAAATATAAACTTTTCGATAGTACTAAACTTTGGAATACATATTTAACTCAACGATTAGAGCTTTATATAATTTCAACTTAGAATTGTACATGATCCTAGTATGAATTGTAAAAATCTAATTTCGTTTAACTACCGCGATATTTTTCGGATGTATGAACTATTAAAACTTACCGATGAATCATCAGAGTCTTCATCCTGATCAAGCGCAAAACATAGTAAATATGAAATAAGTTACGTTTTAAAATATTTAAAAAGTTGTGTGGCTTGAAAACATTACTACACAATAAAAGGGAAGATTGTAAAAAAATTGACCGTTACATTCACATACCTCATAATGAGGATATCCACGAGCCGATGATGTGTCCTCAGGTTGCACTATCTCAGTTGTGTATTCCAATTGGGCATCCTCGATTACCAATGGAATTGTGGCATTATCCTGCGTTTCAAAATCGTTTTTTTCTGAAGATTTAGGAATTTGCGCAGTTCCCAAAGAACGATGAAATAATGCAGAAAACAGTGCAACGACAAGAAAGAAAACCAAACAACAGCCAACCAAAGATAGTGCGACAATACCATCCACGTACATTTTCGTTATTACAGAACAATATTTGAGTTAGCTGAAATCAAAAAACAATAAAGGACAACTGAATTTTAACCGATCTGGTGAAAATAGGTGATAATAATACTGTCACTTGCAATGAACAATATGTTCCCGTTCAAGTAAGATTTTTTGTTTTTTTCCAAAATTTATAGCGCAGAATCCCAGCTTTTCCTGCAATCTGATTGGCTGTGGCGGCATGCAGAATTTTACAATATCTCTTAATTGTGGGTCCGGAATCCTATAGCTCATAACGTGTGCAAAGGATTGTTTTATTTTGTTTTGTTTTGTTTTGTTTTGTTTTGTTTTGTTGTGTCTTGTTTTTGTTGTGTTTTGTTTTTGTTGTATTTTGTTTTTGTTGTGTTTTTGTTGTGCTTTGTTTTGTTTTGTTTTTGTTGTGTTTTGTTTTTGTTTTGTCTTTGTTTTTGTTTTGTTTTGTTGTGTTTTGTTTTGTTGTTTTGTTTTGTTGTGTTTTGTTTTTGTTGTGTTTTGTTTTTGTTGTGTTTTGTTTTGTTTTTGTTGTGTTTTGTTTTGTCTTTGTTTTTGTTTTGTTTTGTTCTGTTTTGTTTTGTTGTGTTTGTTTTAGAAAAAAATTATAAGCCAGCTTTAGTTGCAAAAATATTTAAGTGAATTTTTTCAAAGGTAAAGTGCCGCTATCAGCACAGGTGTGCTGTCTATTGTATCGGTGAAAAAAAATGTTCAATTTTGTCAAATCGTAGTCTTGTTATGGAGGTTTAAAGTTGCATTTTAATGAAACTTGTCCGTCGTAGCATGAAGTCTGGGTCTAGCCAATTTATGACGTCATCCAAAGTAGTTGGTATTGGTTGGTATATATATATCTTCTATTGAGAATCCCTGCATAACGTCACAAAGTCGTTCCACTTCCACACTTTTTGAACGACGGACAAGGTTCATTAAAAGGAGCATTTTTGCTAACTTTAAACAGCCATAAAAATGAAACGACTTGACAAACTTAAAAACTTTTTTGTCTGTCACATTGGAGATCACACCAAAATTTAATATCTCAATTAGAAATTTTTGTAGAAAGGGGCACTTTCGCAAAGCTTGTAAGAATAAGCAAAGTTTTGATTGTTTTCTTTGTTTCTTATTTCTAATTAGACAGTTTTTTATGGCATTACTTCATTTATTGTTTATGTCGGTCAAAAATGGGAAAATTCTCTATCGGTCTCAAAAATATTTTTCCATCCGGACCTCCTACTGCAAATAACATGTATGTCTTCATATAAGTTGAGCTAGCGAAGAATAATGCTGTAAATTTGTAATAGATGTAAATGTATATAATTATATAACTGATACGTGATTATTTGACTGGTATGAGAACTTTATATAAGACGTATAAATATGTACGACTATATAATATTATTAGTATAGTATAAAATGTAGCATATGATGAATGTCAGTCTTTAGAACTTAGAACTATCATACTACACTAAAGCTATGTGCTTAGCAAAATGTCAGTCGTGCCAAGTGGCGTAAGCAAGCTGCTCTCGTGTGCGCGTGCTGTTTCCGACGACTTTTGCCATTCCAGGCAGGACTGGCAAATATCTATTTTTTGCCACGCGTGGCGAAATGCTTTGTCGATTTGTCCGTGTGCGGCGGCTTTTGTGTTTCCATTACAGCGCATGCTCGATAAATTTCATATCAAAGGAAAAATAGGGGCTTGCTCAACTGAATGAGTTAAATTCTGCGTCACTTTATGGTTCTGAAGAAGACGAAGTAGCACTTGTATGCCTGTTGCTTATTCTCCGTAGACACTGCATACGAGATTCTTGTTGTAAAACATGGATGATTTTTTATTTCGTCAAAAGCAGACTCTTTTTTGTCTCCGTTTAAATCTACTGATCGTTTAAAGTTTATCATCCAAAATTGCTCCTTCGACTGAATCATGTTGTTCAGTCGGGGCCGCTATTTTGGTTTGATGTGAAATATATTGAGCATGCGCTGTTTGGAAACTCAAAAGCAGTTTGCTTCAAGACGCCGCACACGGACAAATCGACAAAGCATTTCGTCCCACGTCGCAAAAAATATGAAACATGTTAGATATTTGCCAGTCCTGCCTGGAATGGCAAAAGTCGTCGGAAACAGCACGCGCACACGAGAGCAACTTGCTTACGCCACTTGGCACAAATGACATTTTGCTGAGCACATATCTCTCGTGTGCGCCTGACTTAATGTATATATATATTGATATTTATAATGTTACAAGTTAACGCGCAGTTGTATATATTTGCATTATTATAAATATAGATAAAAAACTCGCGGATTTTGGAATGAATAAAGCGTTAGGGTTAACTATAAGCAAGCCATGATTTTCAGAGTATTACTTCGTTCTAGTCTCATGAACAGCAAATAGACTTACGAACAAAACACTCAAAACCGTAGGAAGGCAAGACTAAGACATACCTCTTGTTCCAAGAACAACGATTTAATACTTGACACTAATCATCCGCATGAAACACATTGCTTTTATTTTCAATGGTTTTATCGCAATATAGAGTTAACTCGACACGTTTCTATTTGACAAGAGTATACATAACATTGTCTTGGTTCAACGCTCTGTTGCTCCTTAATAAAGGGCGAAAGTTGACACATCAATTTAATTAATAATTTCATAATTCATATAGTACAGACATAACTTCGAAAGGTTTTCTCCTTTACAATACATGAACTAAATGCTATGTTCTCTCATAAACGAAATTTTGCTGAAGCTTATTTTCGGAAATGCTAAATTTCTACTCAAAAAGAAAATAGAACTTTACAGTGTATTTTAGATAAATTTGTAATTTAAATGAGCTTTGGCACCAATTATATGGACTTTGCTTCGGCCAACGCCTTTGTCCATGCCATTGATTGGAAACATAACATAGATGGTGCATGGAATATTTGGGAAATATACAAACTAGAAGTTGCTATCGCGAGGGGGAGTGCTGCTCCGACCTCTTGTTTAGAAAACATTGCACGGTTCAGACCGTAGTCACAGCCATTGGAGCCAACTTCGTGTACAGCATTCTAGGTGGTTTCATACATAAGTTATGATTGAGTGATTAGAATGATAGACAAAGAAATTTTACATGCGTGTCTCTTCAACTTTTAGCTTTGCGTTGGCAAGGTTTATTTCGCCATGTTTAGAGTTTTCTTTCTATCTGAAGGCCGGTTTACACGTTCCGATTTGTCAGATCCAGATGTTTCGGTTCCGTCTTATGATTGCTGCTCAGACGGTCAGTAGTTTTGTTGATATTTAGATACGTTTGGATATTTATAATCTTGAGAGCAGCCATTTTGTGTCCAGTAATTTATCGATATATTTGCGTACTTTTCTTCTTGTTTCCAAGTCTTTTTCAAATATATATAATTAGGCTAGTCGGCTTCCTCTGATCTTGTCGGTCAGATGAGAATAGAACAAGTTCTATTTCTATCCTCTTTTTTAGATTGAAGGATCCGACTGTCGGACACTAACTTTATATGTGCTCACACGATCCGTTTTTAGGATCCAACAAAATCGGATCCAACAAATCGGATCGAGTGAACGGGCCTTAATCAAACGTTCCATACCTTATTTGGAATACATGCAAACAAAGGCACGCGTTCTGAAAGCCGACGGTTGATTTCAGGCAAAGGTGTACTTTGTCTAATGTAGTTGGTATGGGTTGATATATATATCTTCTATTGAGGATTCCCTGCATAACGTCACAAAAGTGAGTCGTTGCACTTTCACACTTTTGAACGACGGACAAGGTTCGTTCAAAGGAGCATTTTTGCTAACTTTAAACAGACATAAAAATGAAACGACTTGACAAACTTAAAAACTTTTTTGTCTGTCACATTGGAAATCACACCAAAATTTAATATCTCAATTAAAAATTTTTGCAGAAAGGGGCACTTTCGCAAAGCTTGTAAGAATAAGCAAAGTTTTGATTGTTTTCTTTGTTTCTTATTTCTAATTAGACAGTTTTTTATGGCATTACTTCATTTATTGTTTATGTCGGTCAAAAATGGGAAAATTCTCTATCGGTCTCAAAAATATTTTTCCATCCAGACCTCTCACTGCAAGTAACATGTATGTCTTCATATAAGTTGAGCTAGCGAGGAACAATGCTGTAAATTTTTAACACATTTAGAGACAAAATGACTGTCAACAAATGCTGTCTTGTGATCCGATATGATCCATTTCTGGCAATGGTGATACACTGTTCTAACTTTACATTTCCATATTTTAACTTTTAAACCTGCGTTGAATTCACTTTGCTTGTGTACAAACGTTTTTCAAAAAAAACTGAATGCATAATCTATGATTTGCATTCCGTAGTTCTGATACGAGTGAGAAGCTTTGTAACTGAAGGGAGTTCAGTTCATCTCCCAAAAAACTTTACTTTCAACGGAAATCGGTTTGCCACAAAAACATCACTCGGTGGCAGTGCCACTCTAAAGAATGGGCACAACTGGGTCCGTGCCAAGGGGCAAAAAATTTTGTGGCAACAGAATTTTTTGGGCCCAAAAATCTTTATTGCTTGAAAACTTTCAAAATTAAAGTCTTCAAATTCCATCACATCAAACATATTTTTAATAGATGTAAATGTATATAATTATGTAACTGATACGTGACTATTTGACTGGTATGAGAACTATATATAAGACGTATAAATATGTACGACTATATAATATTATTAGTATAGTATAAAATATAGCATATGATGAATGACAGTCTTTAGAACTTAGAACTATCATACTATACCTTCAAAATTAAAGTCTTCAAATTCCATCACATCAAACATATTTTTAATAGATGTAAATGTATATAATTATGTAACTGATACGTGACTATTTGACTGGTATGAGAACTATATATAAGACGTATAAATATGTACGACTATATAATATTATTAGTATAGTATAAAATATAGCATATGATGAATGACAGTCTTTAATTTTGAAGGTATAGTATGATAGTTCTAAGTTCTAAAGTCTTCAAATTCCATCAGAGCAAACATATTTTTAATAGATGTAAATGTATATAATTATGTAACTTATACGTGACTATTTAACTGGTATGAGAACTATATATAAGACTTATAAATATGTACGACTGTATAATATTATTAGTATAGTATAAAATATAGCATATGATGAATGACAGTCTTTAGAACTTAGAACTATCATACTATACGACTATAAAGCCCGGTGCACACTAAAGCTGTGCTTAGCAAAATGTCACTCGTGCCAAGTGGCGTAAACAAGTTGCTCTCGTGTGCGCGTGCTGTTTCCGACGACTTTTGCCATTCCAGGCAGGACTGGCAAATATTATATGTACGACTATTTAATATTATTGTTGGGCTATTATGTTCATATTGAAAGTATAGTATATGATGAATGTCAGTCATTAGAACTATAATACTATACGACTATAATGTATATATATATTGATATTTATAATGTTACAAGTTAACGCGCAGTTGTACATATTTGAATTATTATAAATATAGATAAAAAACTCGCAGATTTTGGAATGAATAAAGCGTTAGGGTTAACTATAAGCAAGCCATGATTTTCAGAGTATTACTTCGTTCTAGTCTCATGAACAGCAAATAGACTTACGAACAAAACACTCAAAACCGTAGGAAGGCAAGACTAAGACATACCTCTTGTTCCAAGAACAACGATTTAATACTTGACACTAATCATCCGCATGAAACACATTGCTTTTATTTTCAATGGTTTTATCGCAATATAGAGTTAACTCGATACGTTTCTATTTGACAAGAGTATACATAACATTGTCTTGGTTCAACGCTCTGTTGCTCCTTAATAAAGGGCGAAAGTTGACACACCAATTTAATTAATAATTTCATAATTCATATAGTACAGACATAACTTCGAAAGGTTTTCTCCTTTACAATACATGAACTAAATGCTATGTTCTCTCATAAACGAAATTTCGCTAAAGCTTATTCTTGGAAACGCTAAAATTCTGCTCAAAAATAAAATAGAACTTTACAATGTATTGTAGATAAATTTGTAAGTTAAATGAGCTTTGGCACCAGTTCTATGGACTTTGCTTCGGCCAACGCCTTTGTCCATGCCATTGATTGGATACATAACATACATGGTGCATGGAATATTCGCGAAATATATAAATAATCCAGGTTTAGTTATAATGTTAACCGATCAGGTTTTTTTTTTGACTAGGCAATAGTACTCTCAGTAGTTGTGTACACCACAATCTGATCGCAGTTACCAACCAGGTAGGACAATGGCACCGTCAGTTCTAGTAGTTTGTACACCACAATTGATCGCAGTTAACCATAGGTGGACTCTTGCAATTACACATAGTTACCATTGAGTTCTATAATAACATAGTTACACCAGTTACACCCACTGATCTCGAAAAAAGACTGGATCAAGCAATTGTATATTTGTTGTAAACAAATTTTGAAGCCGCCGCCGTTAGTTAGGGATCAACACATCGAAAGATTTTTTATCAAAATTATGAAAAACATAGCAACACATGGCCAAATTATGCTTTAAGATAACGCAGAAGATGAAAAACAACCTTTATGGTGATAGAAAAGCGAGTCAGAAAGAATAATCGGCCGTATAAAACAAAACGCATACAGGTTTCACTCCGAATCACTCGTAAAAAAGGCTTGAATTTTAAAGCATTGATCTGTTTATCATCGTAAATGAGATTATTTAATCAGTTTTGTACTTCTCAACAACGATTCCAACAATTCTAGGTATTTCCATGCAGTTGTGGGCTATTTTCCATAGTTTTTTTTTATGTTCATGTAGTTACATGTTTGAAAATTATTGACTATTCGCTTATAAATCCACAATATATTTGCTCCTTATTTTCGAAAGTTGGTCCCTTAGTAATGGCGGCGCTCCTTATTTTTTGTTTTCAACTTTTTTTAGTATAAATATAATTGCCCAACATAAAACTTTTAAAATGGCCCTGGGTGTATAATTTTAGTAACAATAACGTTTCGTCTTTAACTTAAGACATCTTCAGATTACTATACATACATATAGGAAGTTAGAAAACATGTATACTAATTATACATTATTTGCAGGGTGTTACATTACAAGGTATAGTGATGACAGTGTTGTGTGATTTTTGTGTTAAGGGATAGAGTGGTGTTGAATGGAATTAGATAAGATTTAGTGGGATGGAACCGCCTTGGACATTAAGAGATTGTTTAAGTTTGGAGATGATGAGGCTTTCGTGGATGGATAGTTCGTATGCATTAGGAGAGGATGATAGAATATCGAAATTGTCAAAGTTAGCGGAGTGATTAATGGTTTTGAGATGGGCGAGCACACTGGAATTGATTGGAGTGGATAAAGTTTTTCCTGTCAATGGAGAGATACCCAAATGTTCTGATATTCTGGTGTGGTTTGACCCACATACGATGCAGAGCAGTGTCGACACTTGCTCAGTGTAAGTAGGTTACACCAGTGTAAGTAGGTTTTCGGTAAACGGAACTACAGAAGTAGAGAATGTGCCATTAGAACGCGTTATTTCCACGTCGAGGAAGGGAAGTTTACAGTCATTTTCTAATTCGGACGTGAAACGAATGTTTGTATGTTTTTGGTTAAGGAAATCAAGAAAGAGAGGTACATGTTCTAAGCAACTAAAAGAAGGAAACAGTCATCTACGTATCGTCTGTACAGGAGTGGCTTGAAATGACAGAGACATTTCTTTAACCATGAATTCGCGTGAAAAGACGAAAATGACGGAATGACGGAATAACGAAAATGACGTCGAAATAACGCGTTCGAATGGCACATTCTCTACTTCTGTTTATCGAAAACCTACTTGGTCTTTTTACAAACTTCCACAGCTTCATACCTCTAACATACAAACGCTCCATAGTTTCTTGCTTCATTCACCGAACTTTCCATCTTTGCTCCACCTACGAGAACTTTCATCGTCAACTTGAAGTCATTCGAAAACTGATCCACTCAAATAGTTTTCCTTCCCAACTCTTCGATAAACTTGTCTGACGTTTCCTCAATAACCTTTACGAACCTAAACCTCCTATGCACACTGTACCAAAGAAAATCATGTATTTTGTCCTTCCCTTCACTGGCTCACACTCCTTTCAGATTCCCACCCAAATCACTCGACTTTGCAATGCTGCTTATCCTCACCTCAATATTCGCTTCGTCTTTCGCTCTTCTGCACGCCTTTCATCCTTCTTTCCTTTCAAAGATAGAGTCCCCAAATTTCTGAAATCTGGTGTTGTTTATCTATTTAAGTGTCGACATTGCTCTGCATCGTACGTGGGTCAAACCACGCGCCATTTGCACACCAGAGTATCAGAAGTGCAGAACATTTAGGTATCTCTCTTTTGACAAGAAAAACTTCATCCAGTCCAATCATTTCCAGTGTGCTCGGCGCCATCTCAAAACCACTAATCACTCCGCCAACTTTGACGAGTTCGTCATTCTATCATCCTCTCCTTATGCATACGAATTATCCATCCACGAAAGCCTCCTCACCTCCAAGCTTAAACCATCTCTTAATATCCAAGGCATTTCCATCCCACTAAATCTTATATAATTCCATTCAACACCACTCTATCCCTTAACACAAAAATCACACAACACTGTCATCACTATACCTTGTAATTTAACACACTGTAAATAATGTACAATTAGTATATATGTTTTCTAACTTCCTACATGTATGTATTGTAATCTGAAGACGAAACGTTAAATTATAAACCCATGGCCATTTTAAAAATTTTATGTTAGGCAATTATATTTATGCTAAGAATTCGCTTTCCGCCTGGCATACAATTGTCACAATCTACAACTTTTGTGCTAGATGCTGATAGATCAGTGGTTAACCACATTGCGCAGTGAAGTATATCAGAATGACATAATAATTTATCCCTAATGGGCGCTTCTGAGAATCATAAACGTTGGTTTAAGTTTGGAGATGATAACGGGTCAAAATAACGCGTTATATACGCGTTATATTCGAAATAACGTAGCATATCGTTATAAATAACGCGTTATAATCGAAATAACGTTGCATCAGTGTTGCATATCAATTGTCACGATCTTCAACTTTTGTGCTAGTTGCTTGTTCAGTCTTATTTCGAGATCAGTGGTTACACCACATTGCGCAGTGAAGTGTATCAGAATGACATAATAATTTATCCCTAATGAGCGCTTCGTCTAAAATCTCTGCTTTTGACATGTGATGACTTCTTCAGATTAAGTTAAGTGGTTGAGGCGTCTTGTGAGAAACTTCATGTTATACAGACTTAAAGGAAAAAATGGCAGAGCAACCAACAATATCAATGTCAAATGTTTTGATTGCGTCTTCCTCAAATTGGGATCCCTTGAATTCAAAAGACTGGGACAAGGAGAAAGCCAGTCCTGATTGTGTAAAAAGAATAAAACGGTTAGTCATTAAATCGCCTGTTGCATTGCAGTTAGTTAAAAGACAAATCTACACAACAACTTTTTTATTGCACAGTGTTTTCTTTTCGATTTAAAGTTAATGTTAAGCATTACATTCTCGTATGAGGCTGGCCGTCCTTTTAAAATAAGTAAAAAATTTTCTAGAGCAGCAAATTGCGAAAGTATAAATGCTTCGTGCCATAAAATAAACTTTTCATTAAGTCCGTTAACCATGCTTAATCCGTCGTCTCACTTCCGTAGTCTTAAGTTTACCGAGAAACTGAGAAAGATTAGAGTATCATTGGACTTCTGTCTTTCAGTACAAACCGACTCGATTTTCACAAAAAGAGTTGGTTCAAAATTTCTCTGTGAAGACGTTGTGTTTGACTGCTTGGCCTTGGTTAATCATACACAGCTTTTTTGACTCTGAAGATGACTACCGCTAAGGTTGTCGAAATGTCAGTCAACAACAACAAAAACAATCCTTCTCAGGACTTTACCAACCTGGACGATCTACATTTACAAACATGTAACGATACTCCCGGGTTCAAACCATTTACTTCATTTAAATTTTATGGATGTATGTAAGCTTGTTCATTTTTGGGTCCAAAGGAGGGTCACAACCTAACATTTTAGGAGTCCTCAGATTAAAAGAGTTAGTCCCAGATTGAAGGAATTTACACTTCAGTTTTAAAAATCTATTTTATCAAAGTCTCTTTTTCAAGTTATTGATTTAAATATTTAGTTATTATGTCAAAACAACAGACTCGATGAAAAGAACAACGTGAAAACACTTTTGAAAGAACAATGCATAAATAGAGAAAATATTTTTCTGCATCCCATATGACATGTATGCATTGTTTTTGTGAGAAGTAAATTAATGTTTTTTGCATAAAGAATGCAAAATTTTTTGTCTGATTACTCCTTGAAAGAATGGAATAGAGAGGATTGCAGTAGGAGCGCATCCCTCAATGAAATTTGTTTAATTATTTAAGACATTTCCAAATGATGCAAAAGGAAATTGCTCTTGTTAATACAAAAAATTATGCAATATTGCTATTGAGGGTAGTTTCTCAGAATAATTGTTTGTTCAGCATTATTTTTTTTGAATTCTGCCATTTTCCAGCTTATTAATTTTAATATCCCTGGAAAGAATAAGATGATTGGATGGATGAAAAGAATAGTTATTCCATTCTATGTGGCTTTTTTCTCTAATATAGTAATTTTTGCTGGAATACACTCATAATTTTCTTGAACTTTCATTCATGTTATGTCACTTTTAGAGCAGTGTTTAAACAATTTGATGTATGTAAAACATGATATTTTAGGAGAGACAAGAATTTTGTCAAGGGGGGGGGATGCTGGCCCCTGCTCCCCTCTGGCTGTGTTGCTATTTTAAAGTGGAATGTGCTTTTAAAAAATGTATTTATCTTTTAATGAAATGGTTCAATTCAATTAATAGTGACCTAATGAGCATTTATAAAGATCCTCCACCAGGAGTGTGTGTTGTTGCAGATGAGGAAAATGTCACAAAGGTAGAATTTTCATCAATAAATCTATGCTCAATTTTTTAAGCCAGTCCAGTTTGTGTTAGAAAAAAGAATTTGTGTGTCATTGAAAAAGCAATAATTTCTTTAAAGATAGAACAATTATTCTGATATAGATATTGAAAAAATGGGGCTTGCCTTTGATCAGATTTAATTGTACTTAAATTGAGATTTCCTGAATATACCTGTTCAACTAGTAAGCTAACAGGGATTGAAATTAGCATCAAATGCCTTTAAATATTGCAAGTAGATAAGAAATCCTCACTTCAGCATGTTTAAGGTCAAAAATTTGTGTGGGACAATTGGTTGTGTATGTGCTATTTTAATCGTCACAATTTTCAAAGGCCTCGTTTCTAAGCTAAGTTTCCACTTTCTTGTTTAATTCTGGAAAGAAAAAGGAGACTAAACACTGATCATCATCGACAATGTTATAATGGTGGTTGAGAATTACATCATTCAATTTTGTTATAAATTTAATGTTATATTAGACTACAAAGTAGTCCAGTTGTTTTTGAGCAAGTTTGTCATTTTATGTGTGGCTATATTTTGCATGTTTGTAAGCTTAAAAACTATTATTAGTAGGCTGTATGATAATGTTATTTAAGACAAGCTGTATGGTACTGTAGTAATGGCAGATTGTATGGGACTGTTTGTCAAGACAGATTGTATGGTACTGTTAGTTAAGGCAGATTGTATGGTATTTTTAGTTATGTAGACTATATGGTATTTTACGTTAAGGCAGGCTGTATGGTACTGTTAGTTAAGGCTGTCTGTATGGTACTGTTAGTTGAAGCAGGCTATATGGTACTGTTAATTAAGGCAGGCTGTTGGTCATGAGATTTTAAGGTTTTTGATGCATTTTTATGACTTTTTCAGATTCATGCGTTAATCACTGGGCCTTTGATACTCCATATGAGGGTGGATTTTTCTATTTTATCATACGTTGTCCTCCAGACTATCCCATTAAACCCCCACGTGTCAAGTTCATGACCACTGGGCAAGGACAAGTGAGGTTTAATCCTAATTTATACAAAAATGGAAAAGTTTGTCTTAGCATACTGGGGTAAGTATGGCATGGCTTTTGACAATAAAAATGTTGAGATTAACCATTATGTACTCCATACTTCACCAAATAAAAAAAATGGATTTTTTGATAAAGCTGTTTTGCCTTATGCAATATAGAACGTGGTTTGGACCATCATGGAGTCCTGCTCAAACTTTATCGAGTGTTCTCATCTCCATCCAGTCATTACTCAATGAGAAGCCATATCATAATGAACCAGGATGTGAGAAAGTATGTTTATTAATATAATGCCATTGCTTGTTGCGGTCAGTGGCGGATTACTAATTACGTGGTCTGTAGGCTAAGACAAAGTTAATGGCCTTTAAGCGATATCTATTCCTCCTACTGTTCTCAGCTTTCCTTTGCTTTTGCATTTCTTGTTTGTAACCCCATAGCACAGAATAGACACCTAACAGAAGGCCCACTTGGCTAAAATTGTGGCGTATTTTTTCACTACGCATGCGTGACTTCCCAGCAAGATACTTTCAAAAATCAATATGGAATAGTATTGCACGAGAATGCTATTTTACTAATAATTCACGTTTAAAGCAAAAGTTTGCCGAAATTTTCACAAAATGTTATCATCTTGCGAAGACGATAAGGTTCCAAGCTTTCGTAGTGCAAAACGATATAATTGTAAAAACATCTATATTTTCTATTGCCATCTAGCTGAAGTATCTTGCTGGAAGGCGTGTCTCCTTTAGAATTTGCTTCAGAAAAGTGGGGGACACGAACATCAAAGGTTCCGACACGAGTGGACCTTCTGTTAAGATATCTATTCTGTGCTCATAGGGTAAAAAATGGGGAAAAGCTCATTTTAAATTTAAAACGAAATTTCAAAAATCATTGACATGTTTAAGGAAATGGGAAAAGCACTACTTCATCAGTTCTGAGCATTGCACATTTGAAAAGTAGACAGTACGAAAGCCATTTTCCCTCTGCATTCAATTGCTCGTAAGGTGTTCTACAGCGTAAATTATCTAAGTTAAGCACATTTAGCTAGCCCAGAAAGCAAAAACGTTCAAATCCTAATTGTGTCCAGATACAACGGGTCTTTCGAAATCCCGGGCCTGTAGGCTTAAACCTACTCAGCCTACTGGATAGTCCGCTCCTGGTTTCGGTCCTTTCACGTTTGATGGTTTTCTTGCAACTAAAATGAAATTCAAATGGCCATATAGCTGAAATCATCCAGTTCATTGGTGTTAACTCCATTAGTTTGTCGAGTGAACTGCGCAGGTTTTCAGTCAAATTATTCGCATGTTGTCTCACTTTAGCTTGTTTCAACAAATACGTACATTTTTGTGCCCCATTATGCGCGTAATGAAAGAAGTCAGCACACAACCATAGACATTTGACCATGGACTAAAATGAATCATGAATCGAAATTAAATGAGAGTTAGTGAAGAAATGAAATAAATGTATGAAACGTGTGGTTGATTAAAATTGCGTGTCGAAAGGCAGTGTTGTTTTGCAACTTTGCACCATCCTTAAATTTAGCAGAGGCTTTGGGAGCTCTCGTGAGTTGCAGGTGTTCAGTATTCGCCATGTCATAACACAAGAAACTTAGAATAGTTTGAAATTATTTCATATCAGTTATTTTCAATCAGTTTTTCTTCTTCTTCGTGCAAAAATTACAAAAATCCTCCATTAGCCTCTTCTGGTATTTCATTACATACAAATGACTTGCACATTTCGTAAATGTTTAAACCATTTCAAATTTTCTGGTTCTTGGTGCGGTGGTGCCTGTTCAATAATTTGAAAATTTGGTACACCTATCATTAACGTTCAAGTAGGAAGCCAAATTTATGGGTGTCCTTCCTATAAGGTGCACCCACACGGCCACACCTAGATAGGTTTGCATTACGTAGCTGTATTGAAAAACTTTGAACACATTTGCTTTTTCTTTTGTTGTGTTTGTAATTTTTGTGTTGTATTGCGTATGATTGTTTGTTAGGAAAAACAATTCGGAGATAGCGACAGGTACAATGATTGTATAAGATATGAAACATTGAGAGTTGCTGTTTGCGATATGCTCGAAAATGAGTCATCGTGCCATCCATCACTGAGGTAAATAATGTTATTGTAAAATAAATTTGATCATAAAGTCTAGGGAACAACAAAAATGTGGCATATAAATCTTTGCCCTGAAATACCATATTGTTTTATTGTCGTACTTAGGAAATTTTATATCATAATTTTTGATTTAAAAATAAGTTGAGTGAGGATTTAAACTTATTTCTCAGGAAGAGTTTAGAGGCATGTCTAAACATTTTGTTATTTCTATAGTTTCATTCAATGTTTTTTTGATCAGTGTATTAACAGATGTTGTTATAATTCCATTAAAAAGAGTTTTTAGCGAAATATTTAACAAAATATTCACGAGCTCAATGTCTTCAATAAACTCTGACACTAAACGTTTTTAGCTAATTTAAATACTAAAAGTTTTAGCAAATTTTTTTAACTATAGAGAGGTGATGCTTCGATCCTTTCCCGAGTATTATGACTATTACGCCGGCGTTGTAAGCGAAAAATCTGCACTAAATGGAAAATCAATGCTGGTGAGGATACCACTCTACTTGCTCAATTTTTATTTGTTTGAAGCCTTGCTATAATTATTAATTTTTTATTGTTTTAATTAGGATCCGTTCAGGGCTAATCGAGGGAAATTTGATTTCGATGGTATCATGAAGAGATTAGAAAAAATCAAGTCAAACATCGAAATAAAAACTCCTCAAAGCTCTTCTGATGCATCTTCGGACAGTTCCTCAGAAGTGGATGGCTAAAGTAATACACAGGCAGCAAAAAAAGAACTACTTACTAAATAATATCTAGTAAACCTTTCTCTTCCTTTAGTTACAGCTTTGCACTTGATAATCTACATAAGCCAGATATACTACGTACACTAATCGTCATTGAGCCGTTTTTCCTCATGACGCCGTCATTCCCAACTTGGATAGCGGTATTCTCTTCTGTGATATTACAAGCATATATCATATGAAAAGGACGTTATGTTTACATTTTGTAAAATTTTTGTGAATAAGCTAGCACGAGCATGCCATTTTATGTATGTATATTAGTTCAAAACATCTTTATTCTGGACTGTTTTACTTGTTCATATTTTCATCTGTGTTATTTTCATCTAAGTTAAGAACTATTTTCACTGGTCCAGTTGCCGTTGGATGGGACGTTTTATTGTGTTTTCATACTCCAATGTATTAAAAACATACTGTTCTATCAGGCCGTTTAAAGCATACTCCAGTTTAATTCATATATAATATATTATTGATGTAATATATATATTTAATTGTGTGAGTCTACAACGACGACTAATTAAAATTCTTGGGAATATTTGTCCTCGAATTAAAGTATGCTGTGATACCCGCCTTCCTTCCTATATCCAAATCAATGCAGCACTTGACCCGATCAAGTAAAAATTTATGTTCAATTGAACGTACATTGTAAAAAAAAACGGTAGGTTCATGAATTCATTGATAATTCACTTTCTTCGATACGAAACGTTGTGGATAAGTGAAGTGTATTGACCTGTTGCCAATACTATCAGTACTCGCTTGTATATTTTAAAATTTATGATTACCATTTGTGTCCAGTCACCGTATAAAATATGAGTAAACGTTTGTTATTTCGTGCTTGGAACCGTAGATAAGATTGTCATGGCAGGACAGTCACTGGTAAAATCATTTGCTTTAGAGCTTTATTACCACTTTGTTTGATATTTGAGACTTCTTATGTAAAACTTGTGTAGCAATGATCGTGCGTGTATGGGCATGCATCCCATATACAATCAATCTTCTATTATCAGAATATTAAATAATCGTCGTGTTGTACTTGAATGTATTTTATTTAACAATTGTATGTGAAAACATTATGCCAGCAAATTTGTACGCTAGAAACATAGAATATCCGTGATTTGGTGGTTATCAGTGCATGGTTCTAAATAATCAAACTAAAGAGAAAAACATTGGACGTGTGCTTTTAACCTGGGTTTTCCTTTTTAGTTATTTAGTGATGCCTCAGTGGAAAAGAGCGGTAGAACCAATGCCTGAGTCGAAATCCACATCTGTCGCCATGGTGGAATTGAAGTCAAAAGAGAGTGATGAAACCACTTTGTTGAAAACAGAACCTCAAGGTTTGAAAGCTATTTTTTATCATCAAATTTGCAACGTTTAAATTAAATTTCATTCTCATTGTCTGAAAGTTTACCGATGAGTTGCCAATTGTATTAAATTAATTAGCTGTTAAATTGAGTGGTAGGCTTGTTTTTTAACAGGTTGTGACTATGGTCCTTGGGTATGAGTTGTGTACTGTACCACCACCTAAAGTATAACAGTTTTTTAAGACTTTCAAACATTTGAGTATGTAACTTTGACCATGCTCAAGTGTATTCATTATACATTTGTAGCTTTAATAACTTGCTCTTCTTTGTACATTACAGAAATTGCAGTTCAACCCCCTTATTCTTATTGAAATATCAAGGATTGCAATGCTGTTTGTTGTAATTTATGTTTAGACATTCCTGAAATTGTAATTAGTCCAGCAAACAAGAGTTTGTCATCCAAAACATCAGAAACAAAACATACAAAGAAGTCAGATGCCAATTCCTCTCCACAGAGAGTAATTGATCATGGAGTTAAAACAGTTCATGATGTAAATATAACTTTTATAATTGCAAATCAATTTTATAGTCTGAGCAATTTCGCATTTTACTATAGCAATCGTTTCAATTGCCACTTGATATTACAATATGAAGTTGTTGATTTTTAATATGCTGTTAGCATTGGTAAAATTAAGTTAAGAATATGTTTTGGTAACCTTCAATCCTTATAAAATGGCTAAGCGAATTGTAGAATTTGGTTGTTTGTTTTGCAAATGATTAACTAGAAGCTTTATTATATATTCTGTTGTAGGTTTTCATTGAGATGTTGGAGCTTGACTCAAGTGGTCTCTTTTGGAAAGAAGTGGCAAGATGGATAAAGTATGAAGAAAATGTTGAACCGTGTGGGAGTTGGGGTCCGCCATTTCTTTCCTATATTGACTGTGAAAGTATGTGTCAACTGAGGAATTGTATGGAGAAAGGTAGAAAATTTACCAGTTTTCATTGTTAGTTTTGCATCACAAAGTAAAATCCCAAAATCTTTTAGTTGTGAACTAGGGGTACATCATCCCTAGGCCTTCCATTTTCCAAATGGCTGTTCTAGTAGGAAAATAGGTAGTTCTAACATCTAAAATGAGCAGTTTTGGAGACAATATTTCAGACTACCCAAACATAAGAAATGACAAAACATTCAATATACGTATACTGTACTGTCAACTAACTCAAGAAATGTAGAGACCTTAATGTTTTAAATACTTACAGTTGTTCGTTGACGTTTTAGTTTTTTCTACCTTCAGACAAAATTTAAAATCCACGAATTTTGTGTTTCATTTTGTCTTCTTCCCAGTTGAAAAATTTGCGAACTAAGTTTTTTTTTAAATTTTTTGCAAATGCTGAGAATGCCATTTTCAAAGACCAACCAACGGAGGTTCTGAGCACAGACACTTCTAAATTCTTCTTGACCATGCAAACTGTTGGTTTTTCATTTCTTTTTTCTTAGTAAATTAAAACTCTCAAGCAAGCTTTACATCTCGAGATTCATATTTTTACACTTTCATTCCCAGGTCCCCGAGAAAGACGAGTGCCTGCGCTCCAGCCAGACATCTGTTTAGGTTTTTTTGCATTCGATTTATGTGAATACATTCCTTGATTCATGTTCGTATGTAAGCGAGATCGCGTGCATGACATGCATTGTGCATGAATCAAGGAATGTATTTAGTATTTACCATAAATCGATTGCATAAAAAACCTAAATAGGTTTCTGGGCCGTCTATGGTCCAACTTAAACTCGCAAATACAGAACTACTTAGTCATTGAAAGTTTTTTTGTCATATTCGGATATTAAGTTTTTAAGTGTCAAATGACTTATTTTCAATACCAAATCGAGACAGAATGAGCAGATACGAGGCTGATAAAAAAGTTGGTCAGAATCACATAATTTCACCTTCGTGAATGGGTACTAAAATCATTGAATATTAACTCATTTTGGGATTGGAAGTTTGGGACTGTGTTTAACATATAAATGAATATTATTTTTATAAACAGTGCAAACTGTGACATGTTCATGATTAATTATTTTTTCTTTCGCTATTTGCTTTTGCTTTAATGATTAAGCTCTTTTGTGAAAATATGCGATTCTGACAAACATTTTGTTATCCCGCACTTTGCTCATTTTGTCTCCATTTGGTAATATCATGCAACATAATTTATATGACCTGATATTTCTGAATGTAAAAACATAGCGTTTCTAGACCGAGCAGTTTACGTACAATAGCGTATTAGTTTTTTATAGACCCTGTATAATTATTGACAATATGTTGACTTCTCTTTATCAAAGATAAAAAAATCCAGCCAATTGCTCCCAAATATGAAAATCCAAAAACAACTAAACAAATCAAACAAATCAGCAAGTACAGCAACATTTATTAAGTGAATGCTTAGATGAGTTTGTATTTAATGGTACAAAAGTGCAACGAGAAAATAGTATGATTAATTTTCTGTCATGAGCATTTTAAAATAGCTAATGACAGAAATAACGCTTTAGAAAAAATTGTTCGTAAAATAAGAAATAAGTTAGTGGACACTTCCCCATTTTCTTATCATTTCTTTCTCACCTGATTAAATTTTTAGGTTTGGTTTTATTAGGCAGTATAAACGATGGCGCTTTCTCAATAGCTTACACCATAGCTAATATGTTAGTACTTTCTGGTCATGTTGATCCTCGTTATCGCGTGAGACTTCAACAGATCCTTTCATCACCTCGCAAGCATCATGGTGAATCTACATCACATTTTCGAAAGAAAGTTCATTATCGTAGACTCTTTCTCAAGATATTTTTAAAAAGGCGAAAGGAAATGTTTGAGCATGTATGGGAATTATCTGACGATAATGAAGTGCGGAATCGCTGGGTTCGTTTATCCAGGAAAGCTCTTGATCAATATCATGAACAGCATCCGCAAACCGACGATATTAAGGTAATCGATTGTTTTAAATGCCAAGTTTTTTTTTGATAAGGGCTCAAACTCGTCCATTTTTTCACAATGATTAAAAACTTGGCTTAAGTTATGAGACTGTGATCATAATGTGTTGTGAATGGATTGTTGGGTAGTTTAAACACGATTTATCCCTCATTTTAACATTTGCATGCTCTCTATGTGATTCTCCATTGTACAAAAACCTGACTTAAAAGCGTGTCACTTGAAGTCATTAAGATTATCAAACCTGTTTATGACATTTTTGTTTTATCGCAGGTTAATGAAATTGCACAAGTATGGTGCCCAGAGAATTATCTTTTTGATGATCACGGTGCTCTAAAAAGCTCAAGTGGCAGTCAATTGTCAATAAAACAGACACTCTTTGATCGTTTAAGCATTGAATCTAACGTTTCAGAAGCTTCCTATCTCGTTGACATGGATTACGATACTGTAAAACAGAGGGGCTTGCCTTTGACCAACGATCAAGTTAAACTGAGAAAGATCCTTCACGCTGATACGAAAGGAATAGTGATTCATCACGCTCCAGTTCACTTTTTAAAAAGAGATCAAGTTCTGTCAGTTCTTGTCCGTTACCCGGATGATAAACAAATAACGGACTCATTAGAGGTGCACCTACCAGTGAAAATTATATACATTCTATTCACTTCAAAGCACACAATCCGTTTGGATGGATATCAAATATGCCGTACAATGGGCACACTATGTCATAATAAGGTGCTGTATTTTGTAATGTTGTATTTGATCATGTCTACTTTCTTTTGGTAATTTCAAATGTTTTGTGTTGGATGTAATTGTCTGTTATTGTCGTTATTGAAGAGCTCTGTAATCAATTCTACTCGATGGTTCAACAGCCAGTGTTCAGATCTCTAACAGCCTTCGATGAATGAAAACAATAACATTAAAAGAAGAATTAGTTGTTTCACTTATGTTTCATTTATGTATCTTTTACATTTGCGTGTGAATATGGAATGATTTTATGACTTTTTTTCAAAGGTATTTAGAAAAGCTTTGTATCAGGCAAAAACATTCAGCGATTTGTCGAAAGCGTTCTCTGTATTTGTGGATGGAAGTGTGATGCTGCCTCCCGGGGATTGGAAGGCAGAGTTACTTACCCCAATTGCAGGTGCAATTGCTGAAATTACTCGAAAGAAGTACACTCTTAGAAAGTTCAAACACAGAGATGGAAAAAAACTTTGGCGAATTGTCCGAAACAGGATTCAAGTTATAGCTACGATGAAAAACATGCTTCAAAATAAAGATTTAAATAAAATTAATGATGCGAATGAAGAAGACGATCACTCTGTGGAAAAGAACGAGAATGTTGGCTTATTTCCAACCCGAGGAGATTGCCCGTTGAAGAATAAGTTTAGCGAAATAAGTAAGAAAATACATTAACTTCTATTATTTGTTTTCAATCAGAAGCGAGCGAAAGCCTAGTCTTTCCTGCTATATGATTGGCTGTAGCAGCGTGCGGAATTTTACGATAGTTCGCCGCGGTCCGGAATCCTGTATTAACGGGGCTCCATCTGTTTTGTTGGTATGTGTTTTGATCAATACACGAGTTGTATGTGTAGTTTAACAATTTATCATCAACCTAGGACGAAGAATACGAGAGAGGCACTTTTCCAAACGAGAAAAAAACTTGGAAAATGATGAAAGCTCTAGCAGTGAAAGTGATGAAGAGAATGAGGATGAATCTATTGAAGTGCATCCATTACATCCCGATGGTCGCTGGTTTGGTGGTTTACGACGTGAGATGGCCAAGCGTTATCCTTTGTACTTAAGTGATATTAAAGATGGTTTGCATATCCAATGTTTTGCTGCCATATTGTATCTTTCAATTAGTTTGATAGCAATGTGTTTAACATACGGTCAGGTGATTGCTAAATACACTAAAAACTATATTGGTTCATCTGAGATGTTGCTTGGTACTGCTATATCATGTGTACTTATGGCTGTTCTTGGCACAGAACCTTTAACGGTTATTGCTGGTACTGCTGCTATGTTGATTTTCGAGAGCTCTACGTATCAGGTATGTCAAGGACATGGTGTATAAAATTTAGGCTTATATTAGCCATATCTTGTTGTTTGTATTCAACTTGCTCTATAATTCATTGATTATGTGTGTAATGTAATCGGTGAAATATACATGAAAAATTTACTTCATGGCGTGACTCCTGGGCTAAGTAGTCCCAAGTCCTCTTTAGGAAGAATGAGATTATGACGTGTTTCTTTTCATTGAAGGTGTCCGATTCCCTTGGTTTAGATTTCCTACAAGTTCGTTGGTTTACTGGATTGTGGATATTTCTATTTCTTGTTCTCATACTGGCTTTCGATAAAGCTCATTGGATTCACTACTGCACAAGATTTACTGAGGAAATCCTTCATGTTCTTGTTGCCTTGCTGTTCATGTACGAAGGAATCAAAAACTTGTCGAAGGTTTGCTTATTATATTATTCAAGTTGCTAAATTATTGAACTCAATATGGGGGTTAAGATCGCTAACCCAACTCAAAGTCTTGCTTTGTTTGATTGGTTGGAATTGAAGCCAAGTTCATTTGTGCATTGCCAGAAACAATGTAAGAATCGTTTGATAAAGATGAATCTTTGATATCATATCACACGAAGTTCATGGGCGCAAGAAGATTGATAACTGGTCTGGGATATTCATACTTCAATGATCTAACGGATTATAACATGCATACATAAATGTGAGCCCATCCTATGATTCCTCTTTCTACTCCCATGCTACGAATATTGTAAACGTTTAAAAATAAAAACACGCCACTGATATAAGTATTGTCACTATTATGGCGATCTGGTTATACAAGATTTTTGAAATTATTGTTATTTTAATCACAGGTCTTCGAAAAAAACCCACTCCGTAAAAGATACATAACTGTTTCAGTCACGAATTCAACTGAAGTGCTCGTTGGTAAACCCAACACAGCTTTACTTTATACGATAATAATGTTCGCAACATTTGGCTTGGCTTTGGGATTTCGCTTGTTCGAAAAGACTCGCTTTTTTTCACCTCGGGTGAGTAAGGACTGACTGCACGTCAAATTTTTATTCAACTGGAGGAAAATGTTTGCTTCTGAATTTTACTGTAACATGTTAACATTTTTATAAAACTGTCAAATGTATTAAGTACGGCAAGCATCCATGTTTCTTGAATAGTATTAAGACATTCGATAATCTGAATGATGTGTGGTAATGCTATTTTGTCCTGGTCTTTACAGTTGCTAACATATAATACAATTTCATAATATAGAAATTGTTAGATATATGCTCTTATTGTTTTGTGTTATCCTTCAATCCTGGAAGGATCGTTTTGTTAGTCTTATACATCTTACTACACAAATAGTTATCCTTTCATGAAATGAAACTTTCAACTTGTTATATACCTATTGTAGAACTTTTACTTGTTATTTTGTAAATATAGATTCGTCGACTGCTAAATTTCTTCAGCATTCCTGTGGCGGTGAACGTTATGAATGCTGTAGTATATTCTGTTGATGTTTATTTAAAAACTGTTGATGTTCCGGAAAAATACGAACCTATCCTTGTGCTACCTGACGGGAAGAAGATGTCTAAAGGAGATCTTTCGTACGGTGTTATAGCTCTATCTGCTGTTCCTGCTTTATTGACTGTTATTCTCCTTTTTATTGAGAGTGAAGTCACATTACTCGAATGTTTTAAGGTATGTTACAGATTTATAGAAATAATTTTTATGGCCTGCTTGATGAAATGGGGCTTGTACCGGGAAAATAACTACCTCGGCAAAATAATTACCTCGGCAAAAAGGCCAGATCAGTAAATATATAGAAAATTGACGATCTTATTACATGAAAGCTTGGTTTCCAACTTGCTTGCCAGTGGATTTGTGGGATTTATAAGATTTAGGGAATTGCTAGTCATTTTCCTGACGACTTATTGTCAAAGTATTGACATGCTCTGTTGATTGAATTGAAAAAATGATAAATTTATAAAAGAAGGAAAAATTTTGGTCAGTTCGAGTAGTTTGTTCGTCTTTATAAAAACAGTCAAACTTTGTATTGAACATCATATATTTATCATTTATTGAGTCATTTTTTATTGCTCAATTGACTTTGGCAGTAAATACAGAATACACCACTGGCCGAAATAGTATAGTTTTACGTAAAAATCCCAAAATTGAAAAAATATAACTTCGGCGAAAAAAGTTAATAACGTGACGATATTATAATATATTTAATTTTTTAGCAAACTCGTGGACGCAAAGGTTCTGGTTTTCACGTCAATCTTCTGGTCGTTGCTATAATGGTGTTGATATCTTCATTTATGGATTTACCTTGGATGTGTATGGCTGCTGTTGAGACCTCGGTGCATTTAGACAGCCTGAAGGTTTGGAGTCGTTACGATGCACCAGGAGTAAAAAGTCACGTGTTAAAAATACGGGAGCAACGATTGACTTTATTTTTCACTGGAATCTTAACTGGTAAGTCAAATGCCTCATTAATGTGGTTCTGTTATTACTTATGTTATTACTGCTTTGGAAGATTGATTATGGGATGTTTTTTTTGCAAAGAGGATTGGTTTCATTAGCTAACTTAAATTGATAATTACGTCGATTGATATGGTGTGAACCTTACATGCTGTATGCATAGCTGCATGCAAATCCATCCCGAATGTTTACTGTTGCCTTGCAAAGTTTTCATTTATTTTCATTTCTTCATAAAATAATTTTCATTCGGTGTTTTTTCAGTAAATGCATACAACAATATTTGCGTAACAACTAGGAGGGAAATATTTTGGACTGGTTTCCTGCTGATAATACTATGTACAAAGTACAATAACATAATGGTGTATATTAGTGGACAATATTGTACGAAGATGTACGTGATGGAGACTATCACTGGTTATGTATAATCCACCTTTCCGACAATAGACACACGTGTAAAAAATACGAGATCAAATTACAAAATTCGGACAATCAAATGGTCGGACATAGTATTGTGTATGTAGAATAGTGGCAATAAAATGGTTAGGAGATGCTTTTGAGTTTTTGGGCTTTTGTAAATCTGATTCTAGTTATTCAGAACGATTATTTATAAAGGCAGAAGGAATAACAGTAAATATCAACCATTTTACATTTACAAACATAAAACATTGTCTTATTATGAATATGTGTTAATTGTATTCAAAGGCAGTCATGAATCTTATCTGGAATCTCGTCATGCATCAAATCATAAATATCGTAAAAATAACAGTTCAAAAATTCTATGATTTGCAACTTTCTTCGCTTGATGCTGCTAAAATCGGTCCTGGATATTCTTTGGTAGGGTGGTTTCTGACTACGAAATGCATACTACATGCATTTACGTAATAAATTGACGTCTGTCTCTATGTCATCGAAAGAATTCCTTTGAATCCGAAAAGTGTATTGTTTAATCGAAAAATTATTCGAAAAGTGAAGTTACTTTCTAGATTGAATCATGAAAATATTGTAAGGTAAAAAGAAATTTACTATCCAAAATGAATCAAAGTTTTATAACATAAGGGTTGAAAGCGAGGCTCAATTTAGACGTTCAATTTATGAAAAAGTAGATAATCCCTTTTTACAATGAAGCCCATGAATGTTTTCGTTAACGATGAGTGAGTATTGTATAAATAGGCTCATGTTCATCACGAGAGAGTAATGAGAAAGTTACTTTGTAAAAGGTAACAAGTAAATAAACTAGGGATCTAAGGATAGTGCAAGTTTCTTGGAAAAAATGTTCCTAATCATGGCAAATAAAATTAGTTTCAAGAAAGCTTAAGAAACAATAAAATAAATGTCTTAGTTAATGTGAGTTGAAGTTGGTGTTAAATGCCCTTTTAATAATTGCTGAAAAACTTAAAAATCCTAAAAAAATCATTAAACATGAAATGAGCGTTGTTGCTAGACACCCCCCGGAAAGTTTACATTATGACTGGCTGACTGACTCGTGTGAATTTTTGCCACTCACCACAACACTACAAAGTTCCCATGGAAACTTTGCACTAAAAGCGAATAAACATGCTTAGAGTTGGTTTAAATTATAAGTCAAAAATGAGAAGATGTTTGAACCTTTGCAGTATCCTTGGATGTTTTACTTTCTTTTATGAGAAGAACTCTGTAAACAAAAAAGATTAAATTTGAAAGCAAAAACCCGTTTTCGGTCCATGCTTCCCGATACCTTCTTAAGCGTAAGGCACTAGAACGTCGCATGTTAATGTTTTGATAGGAGATTTCGGCCCCTCCACGCTACTTCGGAGATGCAATAACAAGCTTCCGCCCATCAGCTAGTAGATGCAGTTGGTCTTTGCTATGACCATGAACTTGGGCAGCTAGTCAAGTCGACTGCTCATGCTCAAGCAGACTGCGCATACGCTGATGAATTATCTGAAAATTTGTGACTGAGCAAGCTAATTATTCCATTATCGTACTAGTACATACAGTTACTCGTTGCCATGACCATGAACTCGGAGAGTTGTTGGAGTTGACTACGCAAATTTTCAATATGTTGGCATGCTCTATGTATTCTTAAGCTTGTTTTGAAAAATGCATATCAAACTCATCAACACATTGTTACGGCTCTCGTAATATCCGCGACAACGTTAGAAATGTTTTTATTTTTCTCTATAACTTTGTATCTGCATATTGCATGTCATATCCAGGCTTTCCTTTGATTTGACGAAAAATGGTTTTATTCACTCTTACACCTTCTGCCTTTATAATTAGTCGCTCTGGATTTCTAAAATAAGATTTACCAATGCCCCAAGAGCATCTTCTTTCTATTTTATTGCCACTATTCTACATATACAATACTATGTCCGACCATTTGATTGTCTGAATTTTGTAATTTGATCTCGTATTTTTGACACGTGTGTCTACCGTCGGAAAGATGAATTGTGATTGCATGAATATGAACCTAGCTTTATCTTTTATTCAGGTTTATCATCATTACTTAATGATTATCTGGATCAAATTCCTGAAGCTGTATTTTCTGGGATGGTTTTATATATGGGTGTTGTGGCCTTGTTTGGAGTTCAAATGATCGAGAGATTTTTCTTGATGTTTATGGCTCCAGGACAACATCCTAACATTTCATACTTGAAAAATGTGCGTTGAAATTTGTGTTTACTCATTGATTCAATACATGTGACGTATGAATATTTAGGCATATATACATGCTTCTGATTTTTTAACTTTTTCTACTAGCATTAACAAAATGGCCGTTTTCGTCAACGTATCCCCGAATTGCATGCATTCTTAAGAATCTCTGAAACTGTTATTAAATTTTTTTATCTTTTTATAGGTACCTTTATCAAAAGTCTATCTATTCACTCTCATTCAAGTTTCTTGTCTAATCATGCTTTGGATTGTTAAAAGTATCAAAAGTGTAGCACCTTTTTTCCCATTATTTATATTAGCTATGGTTCCTTTACGTGCAGTATTAGGGAGAGTTTTTACTCAGGAAAATATTGGACAGGTTTGTGTTTCTTTTATGTACTGGAGACAATTTTACATTTCAGTTACGATTCATAACTGTCGTCAAAGATTATCTTGTGGTTAACATTCGAAAATTGTCTTGAGAATAAGTTAATTAGGTTACATCATGCATTGTCCACGTGAAACTTGAACCTGAAATATTCAATAGAAAGGTTCATTGTGCGTCACGACCGTGTTTTTTTAGCAACATGCAATTTTTTGCAAGCAGGAAAATGGTTACAGTCGATATCTAAAAGGCTTACAGTTTGCTCTGCCCCAGGCTCATATTAAAAACCATGGTTTTTAATAATGACACTGCTTGCTTTTTTAGCTTGATAACGAAGAAGATGAAGAGGGTCGTGGTCCGTTGGATTGAAGGATATCAACGACCTGGACGTAACACCTCCATAATATATATATATATACATTTAGGCCTAGTTTTGACGTAGAACTTTACATGAACTAAATGCATTAAAAATGAGATGAACTCCTTCATTATCTTTTGTTTTAGATGCATTTGGTTCATGTAAAGTTTATGTAAAGTTGCACGTCTAAACTAGGCCATAATTTTCATATAGAAGGTATCAAATTGTGGTTGGAAAACGTCTTCACTTCATCCACTGTTTATACGTACATTATGTTTTTATGTTTTTAACTTTTGAATTAGAAAACAGTATTCAATTTTGAAAACTCTAAATTTTTTGAATTTATATAAAACTCAGATATTTTAGAGCTTTCATTAGATTTCCAATCTACATAAACAAAGTATAATAAGTCGACAAAGATATATTTATCAAGAAAACCTTTTGAATGATTTCGGTTTTATCGTTATAATTAACCACACTGAACTCTATACATGAAAGTTAACTGCATGCTTGTCTTCTGTAACATTTTTATAATAAACTGAATGAGATAGTTTGTAAAATTTTTTATTTGACATCATTTACACATATAGCATGAAAATTATGTAATTGTCTGGTTTGTTCGAAACATTTTGAATAGTATATTCCGCATATACTTTTTTTTGTATACTTTCACTTTGAACCTAACTTAATGGGCCTTGCCATTTCAACTGTCATAAAGGGACCCAGAAGACTAAACCCACAAAGTTTGGGAATTAAGACTTCAGAGTGAAAATTGAAAGATTAAAGGAAACAACATCATAATCTTAGTTGCTTCATTGAAAGTGCCGAGTTTTTTTAATAACGCAGCGTTCTCATACTGTAGTTTACCATCAAGACAGCTACGTTGTCATACTGTACTCTTTGAAGATGTTCCAAATTATTCTATGTGTGCAAATCAATTATCCAAACGAAACTCGTTATTTTTTTGATAAAGAAGAAATACATTGCTGACGTCTTTTGCTGATAAAATTGAAATACGGGGCTAAACAAAAATGTTTTTGAAGCGTGGTTCACCCATCAATCTTACAATTCTTTCTAGTTCACCTTCAATTCGTGATACAGTCTGCCTACTTAATGATATGGGGGAGTGAGACAAAGATGGTCATAGAGTTTGGGGTGTAAAGAGGGGGGTGTCCTCCCTCAGCGACTTAACCCAGTTGGTCTCATCAATAATACAGTCGGTCTCAAATTTATGCTTTGGCTAAAAAGTGAAAATTCGGAGACTGTTACCGTTTTAAATTTTTTGATTGTTTTCCATTAACACCAGGCACAATGCTTACTTGCTTGCTTTTGATTTTGTAAATATTGGTCGATTTATTCTGGTCAAAAGTAAGTCAAAACTTTTTGTATTAAGAGGCAGTGATGGCAAAGTTAGAGTTGAGCGATTGAATAAGATCAACAATAAATTCGACATTATAATTGTGTGAAATATCAATAATATTTCAACATCGAAGACACAGTAGCGGGTCTGTACAAAAATTTTACTTGAAGAAAGAAGTATTCAAAAGTTTGTATTTTTATCATGACTTATAGGCCCTGCTTGCATAAGCATTTTTACCCCTTGGGTTGGTCGCAGCCTTGTTTACACATCTGAAAATATTTTATAAGTAAACGTAAGATTTTAGCCCAGAGGTTGAAATTATTAAGTAATTGCACGCTACTATCAAGCACGTGCAAACAATTTAAAACAAATGCTGAAACAATTACTCGGTGAAATTTTCAGCCCAGAACTGTATATTACCCCAGACCCAAGAAGATGTAAAGTCACGTGCGAAGTATGTGGATCAGCGTCCGTTCAATAAGGATTACACTAGTAAGCACTGCCGTACTTCCCACCCAGCAACAACATTGAAATACTACCAACCAAAGGATCTCACCCCACAATATCTGGACTCTTTATCGACTGCAAAAGAGCAGGAAACAAAACATCACCTTCACCACCTAAATATAGTGAATCATTGAAAAAAGAGTATCAGGAACTCAGGAAGAGGATCAACAGGTAGTAGAGGAAGAGAAGGAACTCGATGGATGCAGTATCTGAAGAAGATATTGCAATACTGCAATATCTGAAGAAGATACAAAATACTGCAATATCTGAAGAAGATACAAAATTTTGGATAACAAGTAATGGAAAATTAAAGCACCTTATATGTTTTCAGGGAATGTCAAGAATTGCTCTTTGCTGCTGATAATGCTGATGCCCCAAACCAAAACATTTACTCGGTAACCTGGTAGATATTGTGCAGAGAATAAATAATCAGAGCTCCTCCATACTAAAAACGGCTGTCATTGAATTAACTAAACTTGAAGCTACTACCAATGAAGAAAACATTCAATTAAAATCATAAAATGTCGACTATTCTCCAGTCGAACGTGATCCAGCAAAAAGGCGAGAGATAACATCTGATGCTGATAGCATTTAGCTCTTTGATCAGGGTCCCTTTCAACCTAAACTCGCTTACCATCTTAGGAATCTAAACATAAAAACGAACAAACAATGGTCATTTTCATCAGAATGGTTCAAGCAATATCCCTACCTTGAACATTCTCTCGAATCAAACAAAGCGTATTGTTTTGTGTGTCAGTTGTTCCCTCAAGGTGATTCAAGGCTGTTTTAAATTCATATACAAGCCCCTGATATAAAAAAAATGTGCGAAAATGCATTAACTATTGACTTTTGCTTGAAATTGTGGGAAAATGTGTGAAGTCTTCGGTATGATAATGTGTGAAGTTTTTTGTAAAAAGTGTGAAAATGAGTTAACTATAGTTTTTGGCATAAAAATGCATAAGCTATAGTCTTTGGTATAAAAATGTGTGAAAACATGTAATATCATCATCATGATCATCATGATCATCATCATCATCATCATCAGCCTGTCACGCCACTGCTGGCGGATGGCCTCCACATCTTTCTCCACTCTTCACGGTCTTGGGCTCTCTGGATCCACATGCTGCCCGCTTTCTGCTCGATGTCATCTCTCCATCTCCTTTTTGGTCTTCCCTTGCCTCTTTTCTTGTCCCACGGGGTCCATTCAGTTGTTTTCTTTGCCCATTCATGGTTTTTCATTCGGGCTAGATGTCCTGCCCACTTTCCTTTGGCTTCAATAACTTTCTCGATGACATCCTTCACCTTTGTTCTTGCTCTCAGGTCTTCATTCCGGATCTTATCTCTCCTCGTGACACCGAGCATTGATCTTTCCATACTCCTTTGGGTGATTGCCAGTTTCTCTCTTTGATGGTTGGTAAGTGCCCACGTCTCTGCTCCATAAGTCATTGCTGGTAGTATGACAGTGTTCATGATCTTCCTTTTGAGACACATGGGCATTCTTTGATCTCTCATGAACGTGCTGTACTGTCCAAATCTCTTCCATGCTGATGTTATTCTCTCATCTATTTCTCTCGCCATCCCATTTCCTGGTGTTAGTAGTTTTCCCAAATACTTGTACTCTTCAACCTCTTCCAGCCGTTCTCCATCAATCAATATTCCTTTTTTTCTCCTTCTCTTCGCTATTTCATTGCACATGATCTTTGTCTTCTTTTTGTTCATTTTTATTCCATCTTTCCTCCCTTCTTCGTTCAGATCGTTCAAAAGTTTGCTGAGGTGTTCTTCCTTTTCACCAAATAAGATGATATCATCTGCAAATCTCAGGTTGTTCATCCTCTCTCCATTGATGTTAATTTCCACTTCAACTTCCATTCTACTGAATATTTCTTCCAGCGTTGCTGTAAACATCACTGGTGACAAGGTGTCTGCCTCACTACCTTCATGATCTTGATTTTTCGGCTAGTTGATTCAGTTCGAACCTGAGCTGTGCCTCTATCATATGTTTCTTTTTGGATGTTGATGTACTTTTCCTGTACGCTGTGCTGTTTTAGCGCCTCAAAGACAGCCTTATGCTGAATGGAGTCAAAGGCTTTTTCATAGTCTACAAATGCCATGTCGATGGGTATTTTATACTCATTGGTTTTCTCGAGTATTTTCACAACTGACTGCAGATGGTCGATGGTGGAATGACCTCTTCTGTAGGCTGCTTGTTCTGGTGGTTGGTGGTCACTAAGGGTGTTGTTTAATCTATTTTTCAAGATCTTCATGAAGAGTTTGTAGACTTGGGAGAGTAAGCTGATTGGTCTGTAGTTTGCGAGGTCTTTCTTATCTCCCTTCTTAAATATGAGTGTGATGATGGCATTTTTCCACCCGTTTGGCACTTTTTCTTCAGTAATCACTCTATTGAAGAGCGTCCTCAGCTTCGGTCTGACCACTTCGCCTCCCGCTTTTAGCATTTCAATCACAACCTGATATTCTCCTGGTGCTTTGTTGTTCTTCATACTTTTCACTGCGTGCTCAATTTCACTGTCAAGGATCGGTGGTACATCCTCTGCCTCTTCTTTTCTGATGTTTTGGGCTGCATCTTGGTATAAGTTTTCATAAAATTCTGCGCACCTCTCCAGAATTCTCTCCCTAATATTGATGACGGTTCCATCTTGTTCCTCTAAAGTTGGTATAAGAACCTTGCAGCCTTCTTTCTCTTTAGCTCTCTTCAATCCTTTCCCATTCTCAATTGCTTCCTTCACTCGCATGGTGTTGTGCTCTTTGAGGTCTTCTCTCATTCTCTTCCTGATGGTCTTACAAAGTTCAGTGTAATATAGTTTTTGATATTTGAATGTGTAAAAATGCATGAAAATGCGTGAGAAAATGTGTGAAGTCATTTGAAAGAAAATGTTTGAAAATGCATGAAAATGGTTGAATCATTTCAGTGAAAATGTGTGAAAATAAGTAAAAATGTGTCAAGACTATAAGAGTTGCGTGAAAAAGTATGAAAATGCATGAATTATAGTCTTTGCATAATTGCATAAAAGTTTGTGAAAATAAATGAAAATGCATTAATAATAGCCTTTGCAAGAAAGTATATGAAAATGCATAAAAAACTATGAATTTTAGTCTTTGTGTAAAAATATGTAAAAATGCAAAAAAATGCGTAAAGTATAGTCTTTGCATTAAAATATAGGAAAGTGCATAACTATAGTCATTGTTATAAAATACTTGAAATGTGTGAACTATAGTCTTCAGTGTGAAAATGTGTAAAAATATGAAATACAGTCTTTGGTATTAAAAGGCGTAAAAAAGCATGAGTTATAGTCTTTGAATGAAAATGTGCAAAAATGCGTGAACTATAGTCTTGCATAAAAATATCTGGAAATACAAGAAAATGCGTGAGTTATAGTCTTTATGTGAAAATATGTAAAAATGCATGAATCTTTGCATGAATCTTTGCGTAAAAATGTGTGATAACTCATGAACATTTGGGAATTATAGTCTTCGCATGGAAATATGTAAAATAATTTAAAAAGCAGGAATTATAACTAGTCTTTGCATGAAAATGTGCAAAAATGAGCGAACTATAATCTTTGGTGTAAAAATAAGTAAAAATAAGTGAATAATAGTCTGCACGAAAATGCATGAATTATAGTAGTTGGTATGAAAATACTTGAAAATGCGTGTATTATAGTCTTTGATGTGAAA